TGGTATATCTTGCTGTCTGTAGCTGATTTTTCTTGAAGCATGTGTCTGCATCTCTTGAGGATGCATTAAATAGCAATATCATTCGGCCGCCACTTTTGCTAAAGGATGGTTTGAAGTTTTGATGAATATATGTGGTATGTCCCAATGACGTTTGTTGTAATCCTTTTAAAGCACTGCACATTTACCCTTTTTCGTTTTCTCCACAAATAATCTTATTGTCGTCGCATGATAATTGAGCGAGCAATATGGATGCTGGTCGACAATCACGTGCGTTTCATTGATGTGCCTTGAGTGTGTATGTGCATATGTATCTTCCATCTTGACTTTGAAAGATGTATTGACTGCTTCCGCTTGCCACCGACCAGGTTTGTAGGATCGTCTCTATCACCACTGTATCGTAGACTGTATACTGGTGGTAGGCTCTTCTTGATTTCCGCTTTGTTGGTATACAGTGCCGTCGTGTGGATCTGAATATGATGGGCCACTTGATGATGACGCCTTCAAAGCCAATGTCGTGTTTGATGCGCCTTATGAGCGAGACCTTGTATTGTTTGAAATAGCTGTGTCCTGTGTTTGATTTGCGGTTACTACAGCTGCGTTTTCATTCACCACGCGTTAACTGCCTCACAACCATAGCAAGAATGAAACCGCCACATATGATGTGATGCTAGTTTGCTCACTTACTTGTTCGCATTGGTGTCCTTGACCTTTCCTGTCGTCCAAACCCGTGATGCTTAGTTGTATGGAGGTCATCGCCAAGATTTTGAATCGCCTTTACGATTCCTAAGAAGAGATAATAGATATGAGCATACCATTGTTTTTGACTTGATATCGGTGTCATCAGATAATCATGCGCACTTACTTTCAATTCATAAAGTAGCAAGTAAAATGACTAATTGTGCTGCCTACGTCGTTTCCTGTCGCTCTTGTTGCCTCTGATGTGTGGTTGTCATTACGCTGCATACTATAGTATCGCCAGATTATGTAGGTTTGACAAAAAAGCGTTCCCATGGCTTCTTGTTCCCTTCAACGATAAACAATCAGAAACGGACGAAACTTGTCATGTAATTGAAATGTTGCCGCTTGATTGTTCGATAAGTGCCAGATTCCAGGTTTAGTTGCCACCTTCCTGCCTTGGTTGATGTTGTCGTCCGGAGCTCTTGATATCTTGTTGTGCCATGATGAAGATCCGCTCGAAAGCTTGTTCTGTTCCCGCTGTTGTCAATTGTTACCGCAAATGCTGTTTGCCTGAGTTGTTGCCACCAAGTTGGATGTCATCAATGCCGATGCCGACTATTTTGTTGCGTCGATGTTGTCGCATGAATAAATCTTGCTGTTTGTTGTCATAAGCAGAGGTGACTCATCATCTCGATCCGACCTTTAGCAATTGTCATTTGCAATGTTGTCAATTCGTTCCGCTCTTGTGCTTTTCGGTTTTATGTCTACAACGTGCTGATACCGCTCTCTTTTATGTGTTGCTCCTTATATGTCCTTGCCGCCTTAATGTAACTTGTTGAGATACTCGAGTTGAACCGTCAGCCATGCTGATGCCTCTTCGTTGCTACAACTTCTTGCTTGTTATCCGTATCACTGAGTTGCGCTACTTCTTGATGTGATGATAAAATTGCTGCGCTGAAACATGTGATTCACCGTTGCACGCTTTTTCGTGATGGGCATGCATTTTGACAAGAGAAAATCAAGCCAAAGACGGGATTCTCCGAATCCTCGATTCGACACAAGGGTGCTTTTGTACTCGGCTAGCCTGAAATTTGGCGCCACCCCACCATGACGGCATGTCAGGCACATGCATACTAACCACACGCAACGACGATGTAATCAAGCCAAAGACGGGATTCTGCTAATCCACGATCAGCGCCAAGGTTTTTTTTACTCGGCTAGCCTGGAAAGCTGGCGCTCTCCCAACATGGCAGCGTACTACCTCCATCGCTCTCGCCAGGACAACCCCAGCCCGGACACCCCAGCTTCAGGCACCCGAAGCAGAGGGTAAGGGTTATGAGACAGAAGGATACTCACTTCCATAGCAGAGGGACAGCTAACTGCTACCCAGGCCCCCCGAGGGATCAGACGCGGTTTAGGCGTAAACACATTCCAGAGGACGACCGAGAACCGTGCTGTGGGGTCGGTGAGGTGGTAATGCTTGTGGAACAATGCTTTGTGGTATTGTCGACGCAGGAGTACCACGGGGTGTCTTTTGAGCCAGTGTGAACCAATGGAGCAACCACGACTAAGAAAATGCTACAATGCAAAGACGGTCTCCAGGTCCTACATAGAGCTGCTCCCCTCCCTTGTATTAGCAATCGTCAAAACGATTAACTGCTACAAGAAAGGGGGATGGACGACTAGCAAAAATACTTTAAATTAGTTAGTAAGTCATACTCACTTTGTTTTCTTTATTACGTAAAAGTAAAGATGATTAATACGTGCCTGCAAACAGAGCCATGGTCTACCGGGCCGCTCCATTGTACATTCCTGCTATGCAAGGTGTCACCCTCGTCCTCCAAAACCGACAAACGACAATGCAATGTTCCTAGCATCACCATACAGCACACCGGTGGTGCCACAGCCATCTAGTCCAAAGTCATCGTGAAACATGCGCAGAGGCCCCCTATATCTCCCTATACAGGCGATAGCACAGTGCCTTGCCACAGCCTTCCATCTCAGCCCTTACCTTACTCCGGGTACCCTCCACTGCACCCCATCGCCTGACGAAGGCGGAAGCCGCCAGACAAAACACCAGAAGCATCGCAGCCGAACCGACCACGCAAAGACCTAAAGAACATGGATCCAATCAGTAAATATATTCCTTGAATATGAGACAGCCTTCTTTAAACTACATACCAAAACAGCCCACGCAAATAAGCCGACCAAAGAGGGCCCAAACGAACCACCCCAAGAAGCCATGCCGAGAAGGCACCACCGAGGAACCGACACATCACCACGACGCCGACGCGCCAACACAAACCAACGCCAACAAGCGGGAAGAAGAGGATAAAGCAGGAGCAGGTAAAGAAGAACGGAAGCAGGAAAAGGAGGGCCTATTAAATCGACCAGCCAGCAATGTTAGTTCTCATCTTTATCAGGCAGCAATGTGTTTGAAGCAGGCTTAGTAAAACGAGGATTAACTTGTTACCAATAGTTATACGGAATACTGAATACTGAATGCGGAATACTGAATGTTTTTTTGAGGGTTTTGACTTTTGAATTTTTTTTAAGTGCTATAAAAATTTGTACGAAAAAGAAGAAGGCGGTATCAAAGATCGCGTCTATGATAGCAAAGAAGCAGAAGCACAAGACCAGCAGAAACATTACTTACCTTTTGTGGTGTTTTTTGCTTTTTTTGTTGGGATCTATCATAACAGAAAGAATAGACGTGTCCAAGTCAGTGAACGTGCTCAATAAAAAGGTCAATGTGGAGTAGCTTACTTTATAGGTTTTTTCAGTACCACCAGGGGTACGAGGGCGGTACCCAGTCAACGTGCATCAGATTGCTCTGATCGTCGTCAATATCCATGTCATCGCTGTCAATGTCCATGAGATCACCAGCATATGGGATCTCTTCGTCCTCTTCTGGCACAGGCGCCTCCTCAGCCTCTTCGTCATCGGCAACCTCAACCATCGGAGGAGCGAGAGCGGGGAAGAGGACAGGGGAAGCGGGAGCAGAATGGTGAGGAAGAGGGGACGGCGGCAAGACGGGAGAACGCAAAGGACTGAACTGCGGTGATGGCGGTGGGGACGAACCCGCACGCGACAGAGCACTGGACGCATCATCATTGTTGCCGAGGTCAATGATGAGGGAGGAGTCGGAAGAGAAGACGGTGACGAAGGAGTGGTGTGAGGCCGTGCTGGCGTTGTCGAAGCTGAAGGTGGGTGTAAGGACGGGCGAGAATTGGGGTGGCGCGGAGGAGATGGTAGAACGGGAATGGTATGAAAGCTGTGATGCCGCGTCAGGGTCGTAGGGGATGGTGGACGCATCGTCGTGGTCGTAGGGGATGGTGGACGCATCGTCGTGGTCGAAGTTGTAGTAGCCTGTGGCTGGGTCGTAGGTGTTTTCAGCGTGAGTGCTCATCGTAAAAGTACGGAAGAATAGAAAAACTGGTAAAGAAGAGAAGAAAAAGAAAAACGCGTTTTTTGGTATCCTGCTTCCTTATCTATACTTGCTCTGATATGATTTGATTTGATATGCACAAATAATTTCCTTTTTTGGGTTGCCTTGCCCGATGATCTCTTACCACTCACATTAAAGATCCTTCTTTATGACTTATGGGACCTTTGAAGCAGACAACTGGAAGCTTGTTTTCGAAGAGCTATACAGCAGAAAAAGTCTTTTTTGTTGCCATGGCATTCAGGGGTTGTGACATTTCTTGTTCCTGAAAGCTGCTTGTTGCCATGTCAAGCATGTCAAAAATTAATTTTATTGTATTCGTCGCGTCACCCGTTTTGGCCAATTCCGAGCGGAATGGCGGCTGTTCTCGCGAAGAGATTCGCAAAGCTTTTCTCACACAATTGCAACCAGCACAATGTAAAGACTCCTGGCAACACGTACATACCAGGCCCTTGTCTTTCTGCGGCTCTGTGGCTAAGTTACGATACTTTTCGTGCAGGGTCTCCATTGTACTTTGCTATCATACTCGGCCTCCATATGCACAGACCGTTCGTGCTGGCCGTGAAAATAAAATTGGGGGTGTAGGGAGTGTGTGGGGGGGAGGACATCGGAGGGGATCCCGAGCTTGGAGACATCACTGGTACACGACGCTGCTGAATACGCTTGATAGAGTTTTCCACATCCTGGGAGGTAGACTACTTGTCCATTTTAGCCTCGCATCGAACTCAGTGGTCAGCGTGATTGACGATGATCGTAACCTGGCGAGCTTGGTCGATGCAGAGAAATAGGATCCTTTTTAAGAAAACAAAAACCTTTCCCAATCCTTGCGGTGGATCCGCTTTTATGATGACGCTGCTCACATAAACAGTCATTATCTCTGTAATTGTAACATATAATATAACATGCTCTACTCCTCCTACTTAATAATATGTATTACGATCCCTGGGTACGTGCGTACAGTTTTTTTCGGAGAAGTGCAGCTAAGAAGCTCAGCGCAAAGACAAAGTCAACGGAGGAAACCAGTTTGAAAACACTGGCGTGGCCATGTACGTTACCTACTAGAAGTGGATGCGAAACCAGTACTCAGTCACTGAGGTGTTATGTCGCCATTTTAGCGAGTAATTGGATCTGTGAGCCCAAACATTCCATACCAACAGCGCCCTCTGCCAGGATATCCACACACACACAAACAGAGAAAGGAAGAGAGAGACAGAGGTTTAATAACAGTGACCGAAATTCTATGCCATTTTTCGCGCATGTACAGTATGCAGTCGCCGTTGTAGAGCAACCCATTCATCTAACTGCTGTTTAATCTACAGAAAACACTACAGCATTAATGACATTATTTTTTTCCTTCCATCTATATTACTGTACCTTGCATATGCACTCCGTTAAAGTAGTCTACGCCATCCACACTTAGAGCACTATGATATTCTACGCTAGCATGTAATATTCCGCTACACGGGTTCTTTTAGCTATTGCATTCCAATCTCATATACAAATATCTCTCTAACACAACTGTATCTCGAACAAGTGACCGCATGCTCATAGGCATCGGTCCAATTATCCTCTATATTGAGACATAAAACTTTAAACCTAAACTGATGAAAAATACTTACCTAATTTTGGCTCTATCGGCATAGTTTTTTCTGACAAGCTGATCTCAAACAATGATGTCAGAAAAATAAACAAATGATATTTATATTTCTTGATGAGTTGCTACTACAACAATGGAAGAAATTTGACAACAATGGCATACCGTAGTATAAACAGAAAGAAAAAGTAGAATCAAATTATTCTTAGAACTCTTAGAGGAACGTAGAAACAGTATTACAGACGCCATTGACTAGCGCGCTAAGAGAACATTCTTTCCATAACTACATATCACCTCCTTCCTTGCCCTGTTCAACTTCAACTCCTTGTTGAGCGTTGTTGTTTCTATCACCTCTCTGGTCGCTGTTTCGATCATTGCTTATACTGGCCTCTCCAATAACGCGTCCATCACTTTGATCGTGCTCGCCTTCACTGCCTTCTTGAGAGCCGCTTCCACCTTGATGGTTGTTATTGCCAGCTGCTCCTCCAGTGGTGCCTTCACTACCTTGACCGCGTTCGCCTTCACCGCCTTCTTGAGAGCCGCTTCCACCTTGATGGTCGTTATTGCCAGCTGCTCCTCCAGTGGTGCCTTCACCACCTTGACCGTGTTCGCCTTCACCACCTTGACCGCGTTCGCCTTCACCGCCTTCTTGAGAGTCGCTTCCACCTTGATGGTCGTTATTGCCGGCTGCTTCTCCAGTGGTGCCTTCACCACCTTGACCGCCTTCGCCTTCACCGCCTTCTTGAGAGCTGCTTCCACCTCGATGGTCGTTATTGCCGGCTGCTCCTCCAGTGGTGCCTTCACCACCTTGACCGTGTTCGCCTTCACCGCCTTCTTGAGAGCTGCTTCCACCTCGATGGTCGTTATTGCCGGCTGCTTCTCCAGTGGTGCCTTCACCACCTTGACCGCGTTCGCCTTCACCGCCTTCTTGAGAGCCGCTTCCACCTTGATGGCCGTTATTGCCGGCTGCTTCTCCAGTGGTGCCTTCACCACCTTGACCGCGTTCGCCTTCACCGCCTTCTTGAGAGTCGCTTCCACCTTGATGGTCGTTATTGCCGGCTGCTTCTCCAGTGGTGCCTTCACCACCTTGACCGCCTTCGCCTTCACCGCCTTCTTGAGAGCCGCTTCCACCTTGATGGTCGTTATTGCCAGCTGCTCCTCCAGTGGTGCCTTCACCACCTTGACCGTGTTCGCCTTCACCACCTTGACCGCGTTCGCCTTCACCGCCTTCTTGAGAGTCGCTTCCACCTTGATGGTCGTTATTGCCAGCTGCTCCTCCAGTGGTGCCTTCGCCACCTTGACCGCCTTCGCCTTCACCACCTTCTTGAGAGCTGCTTCCACCTCGATGGTCGTTATTGCCGGCTGCTTCTCCAGTGGTGCCTTCACCACCTTGACCGTGTTCACCTTCACCACCTTGACCGCCTTCGCCTTCACCGCCTTCTTGAGAGTCGCTTCCACCTTGATGGTCGTTATTGCCAGCTGCTCCTCCAGTGGTGCCTTCGCCACCTTGACCGCCTTCGCCTTCACCACCTTCTTGAGAGCTGCTTCCACCTCGATGGTCGTTATTGCCGGCTGCTCCTCCAGTGGTGCCTTCACCACCTTGACCGTGTTCGCCTTCACCGCCTTCTTGAGAGCTGCTTCCACCTCGATGGTCGTTATTGCCGGCTGCTTCTCCAGTGGTGCCTTCACCACCTTGACCGCGTTCGCCTTCACCGCCTTCTTGAGAGCCGCTTCCACCTTGATGGCCGTTATTGCCGGCTGCTTCTCCAGTGGTGCCTTCACCACCTTGACCGTGTTCACCTTCACCACCTTGACCGCCTTCGCCTTCACCGCCTTCTTGAGAGTCGCTTCCACCTCGATGGTCGTTATTGCCGGCTGCTCCTCCAGTGGTGCCTTCACCACCTTGACCGCGTTCGCCTTCACCACCTTCTTGAGAGCTGCTTCCACCTTGATGGTCGTTATTGCCGGCTGCTTCTCCAGTGGTGCCTTCACCACCTTGACCGCCTTCGCCTTCACCGCCTTCTTGAGAGCTGCTTCCACCTCGATGGTCGTTATTGCCGGCTGCTCCTCCAGTGGTGCCTTCATTACCTTGACCGTGTTCGCCTTCACCACCTTCTTGAGAGCTGCTTCCACCTCGATGGTCGTTATTGCCGGCTGCTCCTCCAGTGGTGCCTTCATTACCTTGACCGTGTTCGCCTTCACCACCTTCTTGAGAGCTGCTTCCACCTCGATGGTCGTTATTACCGGCTGCTCCTCCAGTGGTGCCTTCACTACCATGACCGTGTTCGCCTTCACCACCTTGACCGCGTTCGCCTTCACCGCCTTCACCGCCTTCACGAGAGCCGCTTCCACTTCGATGGTCGTTATTGCCGGCTGCTCCTCCAATGTCTTCATTTTTTTGCTGTTGTTGAGTCTGATGATGACCTTTTCCGTTATGTCCGTTTTTTCCATTATTTCCTCGCTGGCTATCGCCGCTGCTTAACCGACCACGGTGATTTCCATCGTGCGTACTTCCTGTGCTGGCAGGGTTTTTGTCCTGATGGTCGTTGCCTTCATGTCCATTCTTTTTACCGCTCTTTCCATGCCCTGCACCAGAACGACCATTTGTATCTTCGTCGTCGCCTTTGTCTTCGTCTTCTTCTTCTTCTTCATCATCCTCGGAATCGGAATCATCGCGGTGAGGGAGCGTAGAGTTGTCTGCGGTTATTGACGACTTGTGCGTGTCAATGCTCGTATTTCCTTCGGTCGAAACACTGTTGTCGCAACGGCCAATAATTCGTGCTGGAGCAGCTTGTGCCGACATGGCTGATAAAGTCAGAATAGCTGCAGCTGTTATGGTGATAAAACGTGCTCGCATTGTCGTGTATAACGGATGGTCGAATGAGAAGAAAAAGTTTGTTTGTGAGCGATTTGAGTTGTGCAAAAAAAAAAAGGGTAGGTTAAATAGGATTGGGTTTATATACCTTTACGCTGTAGTTTCAGTCTTAGTCAAAGAAGTGTATGTAATACTATGTTATAGCTGCTCAAAACCTTGGTACGTATTTCAGTTACTATATACTGCTAACTCGGTATACTAGTCTATTACTACCGCCTGGTGGTGGTGAAAGATCTGCTGCTAATCAGGGGGGTGAAGGGGGTGGGGCATGAGACGGAAGAGGCTCTTCTCCCTCGTGTATGGATTATTTGCCAAGGCCACCAGCCGCGCTATTTACTGTCCATAGATGATTGCTGATCGATCATTCATGGAATAGCAACAAGCTTAAAAACTTATTGTCTGTTTCTTGGTTATACTTTATGTATCTTCTTGCTTGTTCTGTCGCCTTATGTGTAATTTATGCATTAATAAGTAGTTAATTTCGATCTAGTAATCATTCTTTCAATACTTAGTAGTAGTACTATGTACAATGTTTATCACACGATGGAGGATGATAGTGGCAATTATTATGTTTCAAGCATGCCTGACTTACTGAAAGTAGAAGCTGTACATATAATATACTTTATCCCTACAGCTTAACTACAGATTAGTTGGAAGGGATAGCAGGATACTTTAACGCAAAACATGCAAAGTGATCCTTGGATATACCCCACTTGCTATTTGCCGTTATGATACAAAAATGTAGAGTAGCACTTATCCGGGGAATGCCATAACTTCTAGTAGTGTGGCATGTGGTGTTCATGACCTCCCACCCCAGCGTGACTTTCTAAGACAGTGTTAGATAGACATACTACATGAGATTGCTCAGGCCACCGTACATATTTACATTTTGTGTAGAGGGACATGCTGCGCACTGCTGTGTGTTTATTGTGTCTAGTCGTGTACAAGTATGGCTCTCATATCATAATGCACGTTTCCCGTTTAAAATGAGGGTGGAGTGAAATTTGCGGATCGCTGTATTATCACAGTAGTAATAGGTAGTAACGTAACATATAACAACAGATGTTCGCTGCGACTTAAAACGAATAGTAAGCACGAGGTCGAGTCATGAGAAGCGATCTCAATTTCTCTCCAAGTGAAGAAAATTCGAATGGTTAAGTTACTTCGACCTACTATTTACTATTGTAAGTATAACGACCGAGGCTGGATAAATCAACTAAACATCTTATATGTATGCTTGTTATTGCATACGTGTGTTACTTTCAAAAGCGTATATACAAAGGCATATCAAGGTTTGTCCATTATCTCGCCTTGTAGTAAACGTATGTATGACATGCCGACGCAGCTTGCTTTCTCTTTCCGTAGTTTCTTTTTACTCACGATGTACTGTACGCTGTTCTTAACCTTGCTGACGTTCTCATTTTTTATGTAGAGCATATGAAGACGTACCCTGATATGTATATTTAGAGTCAAAAGGTATTGCACGTTATTTTGCACAATAGCTCTTGCATTAGTGCACATTCTCTAACGCCGGTCAATCCAACGAGGAGAAACGGCGCCTATCTATTACCCCACATTGACGTTTTGAGCAATTCACCTTGTTTCATCTTTCCCAAACTCTCATCTTTGAAACTTTTCATTTGTTATGAGGCCATATTAATTAAAGTTATGGTGCATCGTTTTGATCGTCGAGATATATGCGCGGTATCTATTAAATTTGGCTTTTAAAGCAACTGCAGCTAGAGATCGTCGCTGGGCATCACTAGTATTGTTGCCGCTGCCGCTTATTTTAAGTAGCCCAGTTGCCGTGTAACAATATCAAGAAGCTTCTTTTCCTTTTAGAAACTTTTTGCCGTAATGAATAAACCATGATGCTAGCGTCCACTGCCGAGTGTGCAGTTACTTGGCGTACATCCTTAAGCTTGATCGTAAGCCGCCTCGTGTGCACTTTAAAGTGGACCATCGCTCGTATACACTCAGGAGAGTTCCGCTAACCGCTTAAATTTTTTTTGGCCATACGCCCATCCATCACCCAAAATTATAATACGTGATACTACATACCATGCCTTTGATAAACCTGCAATGTTCATTTAAAATATATATTTTTTTGCGTCGCGAGTGTTTTTTTAAATGTTTAATGTCCTTCCTGGAAAACATTCATATACTCGATAAGCTTGTCAATATGCTCTTCGGGCATGGCGTTATAAATAGAGGCACGGACACCACCTATGTATATGCACGAGATGAAATTAGCATTCAGGCACAGCCTATTCTAATCACGACAACCCTTGAAAAAGGGAATTTACACATACCCACAGAGCGATGACCCTTGAGTTGCACCATGTTTCTCTCCTCTGCACCCTTTAAAAACTCCTTTTCCAATTCAGGTGTCGTTAAGTTAAACACGACGTTCATCTTGCTTCTGGAATCCGGCTGCACAGGTGATTTGAATAGAGAGAGGCTGTCGATGGCATCATACAGTTTGGCTGATTTCCGCGTATTCACGCACTGGATGGCCGTTAAACCGCCTTGCTCCAGCAACCATTCAAGAGTCAGACCAACCATGTAGATAGCAAAAGTGGGTGGGGTATTGTACATGGAGTCATTGTCAAGCATGGTTCTGTAATCTAACATAAGAGGACGTAAGGGACCCTCAGCTAGATCCACCACCAAATCCTTGCGAATAATAACCAGCGTCACGCCAGCAGGACCGAGGTTCTTTTGTGCACCACCATAAATCACACCAAACTTCTTGACATCCACAGGACGGCTCAAAAAGTTGCTGGACATGTCTGCAACCAGGGGAACGCGAGGATCATTTTCGGGCACATTAGCAAACTCGATACCATGGACGGTCTCATTGTCGCAGTAGTAAACATACGCGGTGTGTTCTGGATCCGACAGCTGCCATGTATCACGAGGCGGAACTTGTCCGTATTTGCCTGTCAACTTCTTTGCATCGGCAACGCGGTTCACGCGTACGTTGGTGTTTTGTGCCAAACGCTCGGCTTCCTGGCATGCCTTGTTGGACCAAGAACCTGTGACGAAATAGTCGACCTTCAGATCCTTGTCAGAACCGCCAACAGCCTTTTGCTTGGCTGCAACCAGATTGTAGAAAATGGCAGAGAATTGTGTGGTGGCACCGCCTTGCATGAATAAAATCTCATAGTTGTCGGGAATGTCCAACAGTTTCTTTAAATTGGACTTGGTGCGTGCGAGGATTCCGCCAAATGTTTTAGAACGATGCGACAGTTCCATGACAGACATGCCTGTGTTGTCATAGTTTAATAGCTCGACTTGGGCGCGCTTCAAGACGGATTCGGGACTAGATAACAAGTAATACAGAGAGGGAAAAGTATGAGGCACTGCGTAGACAAAACTCCAATTGAACTTTTCTCACTCTTACATTTTGGCCGGGCCAGCACCGAAATTGTAAACAGGCTCCATTGTACAAAACAGAATATTGTTGAGGATTGATATAGGTGAAACACGCTCTTTATTTTTCTTATTTTTATCAGAGATCGAAAATGAAGCGGAGCTATAGTCATATGGAGTCATAGTAGATCTTTATTGCTTACTTCGTAAACAAGCCACGCCGCAGGCTTGCTAAAACTGAATATGATACAAGCAAGATGAGAATAATATCAGTTCATTAAGCATTCGCTATGGTCAGCAGATCTATGATATAAACGGGTACAGGGATGGAGGGAGCTCATATCTATGTTGTGCAGCAACGGCGATCCGGCGTTTACCCCGACTACTACACTGATAATTTGTAGTCCGTTGTTATGCTCAAGCTTTTTGACACATGTCAAAATACGACATGATAACATTTTGATTGTACAGGAACAAAACAAACTTGTGTGAGTCAATACGCAACAGTCGTCACAAAGCGCGAGCACTAACACTCCTTGCTTGTTTTAGTTATTTGATACAGCCTGTTATACACCAGTCTAAAGGAACTTTTTATTATGTAGATACCAACCAACATTGTACAAGACTTTGGCTTGTACTCAGTATTGTATATGATCATTCCAACAAATTAAAGTAACGGTCGCGAACGAGCGAAAAAAAGCGTTGCATGATGCTGTTTGTTTATATTGAAAGCTGAGCATTAAGACGGAGGTCCCAGTTTCCTCCTTTTTGCTCAGCAGTCTTCTGTTGGTGTCTCCAACTACTCGTAACATTGTGGAATTGTTCGGTGTTCTCATCTAATTTGATGATGGTGCGGTGACTTACTATAAATCTGTATATGTACTTATTATTGGTACAGACATATAGACTCACTATATGAAATTACACCGATAACCGTAAACAATACTGCGTTGAGGATCCGTGCAAGTCGTATGCTGCAGTAGATTGAAGAGTGGGACTTGGAACAATGCACATGTATAAAATATGTATACATACCCGCTCTTCTTGCCCAGCTTTTGCATATCCAATGCAAGCAATAATATAACGAACAATGAGGACAGGTCACGATTAATGCCCGTAAGCACTAATAAAGAGCAAAAGGCCCATCTTTCGTCAGTAGCAAGTGCGAGAAAAGCAATGAGTTTTTCATTGTTCACCCAAATCGGGTCACGACTTTTGTGTGCTAAGCTAAATATATAAGGCATAAACAAAGCGTCATCTGTCTATTTTCTCTCTTTGCAGTCGTTCTCCCTTTTTCCAGTCTTTTTATTTTTGCTTTTCTTGTTATCTCTTTCGAGCAGCAAGCAGTTACTGTACTCACGTAAGTTCTGATTCCAAGTATCCATATAAAAAGTGTCAAGAGGTTATAGAAACATCGTCCTCATGTCTCGTTTGGATTGATTTCGATAGGTACCTTTTTCGACGCACACACTCCAGCAAAAATAGTCAGCTTTAGCCTATAAACCAATACTCTCTCATCATGTCGCTACCACCCATGAACGCAGCATATGCTGGCTCCATGATGACACCTACAGCTACACCATACTATCCGGCTACTGCACAACCCATGCCATACGCCACACCAGCAGGTAAGGAAAAAAAATAATACTTGAGGGTTGTTATTGTTTTGTTTTTTTTCGGCTCCTTTTTTTAACATTTTCCTGAGAAAAGCCGTACCTCCGATGATGGGTGCACAGCCGGGCACGGTGCCACCGCTGCCAATGGCACAAGGCCCATATCCTCCTCCGCCACCACTGCCGTACTATGGATACCAACCAGGGTGCTGCGATCATCCACAAGGATGCTGTTGTGGCATGTAAGTAGTCATGCTATTTCCGTTCATAGTGTGCTTTCATTCGAGTGCAAAAAATGTACTGGTAGCTAGCGCTACCAGCATCCTTTGGCTTATCTTTGATGATGTGCATGAATTCATATCGTTATCATTGCTGACTCGTTGGTTTTGTCACATTTTACCTAGTTTTGCAGCTCTGTGTATGTTCCTCTGCTGTGAGGAATGCTGTTGTTGCTAAAAAAATTGTATATCTTGCATTGTACATAAAGCGTTTTCTCGTGTTAGAATAAAAAGAAAATTTAGGATTGTACTTTTAGCAGTAAAAAGGTTATACATCATTTGTCACTGTCGAGTATCTAGAGCTACTTTTTGAAATCATCACAATTGCATGTGAGTAGTATCTTTGTTTCTTATAGAAACTTACCTACATACCTAGTCACTTCTCGTCTGCTTTATGCATACAGTATTACCATCATCGGTGATTGCCCTTGACACATCTTTCCGCTCCCTCCTTATTATACATCACGTAAAGCTTCGCTGCCTTTCTATATGTTTTGTCGCTGAGGGATAGCTTTTTGGTGATCCTCCCAATGCTGGAAACCGGAGATTGAAAATCAGTATGTATTTTTGCTTTTCACTGGTGCAGCTGCTGCAGAGTTCTTTTTTCCAACTCTTTATCCTTTGTTTCTATTTTCATGGCTACCCTTTCAAGGTAAAATGAGATAAAATGATTAGTGTTTTTGGTGAGATTATCTTAACCGCTTTCACGTAAATTGTGTAGTTTATTACCCAAACCTCGACATTCGGTGCCATCAACACCATCCTCATCAACCCCTCAGTATGAAAAAAAAGTAAATCAGCTCGTTTCTACTCGGAGCGCCGACCGCATTCCTCCGTACGGTCAACGTAAAAGTTATCGTCCACGCACACCTGAAGATTTCGGCAATGGTGGTGCATTTCCAGAAATTCACATTGCACAATACCCACTTGAAATGGGCCGCAAAAAGGACACTCGAAAGACCGAACGTAGCGGCGGCGCCTTGACGCTCCAAGTGGATTCAGAAGGCAATGTGAAATACGATCAAATCGCTCGACAAGGCCACAGCGATGATCGCATCGTCCATTCTTCACTCAAAGATCTGGTACCGCTTAAAGAACGGAAAGATGTCGACGTTGAAAAGATTGCCATGGACCGTCCTGGTGAAGAAGAAGTCATGACTGTCGCCGAAAAGACCAAAGCAGCGCTTGAACGCATTGTCAATACCAAGATTGCAGCGGCACAGCCAAAGAACGTGGTGGCCACAAGCGGCGGCACCAACAAGGACCCAACCTATATTCGTTACACACCTGCATCAAACCTGGCCAACGACAACTTTAACGGTGGTGCCAAGCAGCGTATCATTCGAATGGTCGATGCGCCTAGCGACCCTATGGAGCCACCGAGCTTCAAGCACAAAAAGATCCCTCGCGGACCACCATCACCACCCCCACCCGTTATGCACTCACCGCCTCGAAAGTTGACAGCCAAGGAACAGGCAGAATGGGTCATTCCGCCCTGTATCTCAAACTGGAAGAACACCAAAGGTTATACCATTCCGTTGGACAAGCGATTAGCTGCTGACGGCCGTGGATTGCAGGAAATCACCATAAACGACAACTTTGCAAAGTTCTCAGAAGCTCTCTATGCAGCCGATCGTCATGCTCGAGAGGAAGTGCGACAAAGAAATTTGATGCAACAGAAGCTTGCACAGAAACAAAAGGACGCAGAAGAAGAGAAGCTGCGGGATCTGGCACAAAAAGCACGCGAAGAGAGGTTGGTATTCCTTTTTTTTCCTTGCGCTTTTTAGTGGTTATCATATTGACCAAAATTATTTTCTCATCTATTAGAGCTGGTCTCAAGCCATCTTCTGCCGCCGGTGCTTCTGGCTCTGGCTCTGGCGTTGCTCCTCCGACAAACCGACCCACAGCAGCCTCATTGATGCCTAACTATGATTCCACAGACGAGTCTGGTTCTGGCTCTGGCAGTGAGAGTGAAGAAGAAAGCGATCGCGAAGTATCACGGCGAAGAGATGACAGTGGCGGTGATGATAAGAGTGCCCGTGAGCGCGATCGATTGCGACGAGAACGACAAAAGCAAAGAGAGCGTGAATTGCGTATGAGCAAAATGGGCACTGAAGCTAAGGCTAAGCATGTCGCACGGTAAGCATCCTGAACGGGATCTATTGTGTTGCTTTAGGTTTCAGCCTTATATTGACAAATTCATCGTTTGTGTGTTTTGTAGTGAACAAGGTCGTGATATCTCTGAAAAGATTGCATTGGGATTGGCTAAGCCTTCTATGAGCAAGGACAGCATGTTTGATGCACGGTTATTCAATCAGTCTCAGGGCATCGGCTCTGGTTTCAAGGACGACGAATGTAAGTTATCTGTCTCTGTGTGATTTCTTTCTAGTATCTTTGATATTTCTCTATGGTTTACTAATCAAATCATGACAAAACATACACAAAAATTAGCCTACAGTCTGTACGACAAGCCCTTGTTCAACGAAACATCATCGTCGATCTATCGATTCCGCGGAAATCAAGATTCTGATGTTTTGGGCGACGCCGAAGCTGCCGATTTGGAGAGTAGCATTAAGCAAGACAAGTTTGGCATACGCAAGGGTTTTTCAGGAGCCGATGGCAGTGGTGAAGGTGGCTCGAGTGGACCTGTCGAGTTTGAAAAAGAAACTGTGGGAGGCCGTTCAGCACCCAAGGAAGATGTCTTTGGCTTGGATACTTTCCTAAACAAAGCCAAGAAGGGCAAGAGACGGGCAGATGACGACGAGCTCGATGAAGAAGACCGCAAGGGCAAGAGACGAGCTTAAATTTCAATGGGTTGGAGTTGCATATATTACGTTTGTACGGCACTTTTTTCTTCTTCTATATTTACAATAATAAAAAGTTTATCATAAGAACGTCGATCACATTGCTTAGACAATGAGTAATTAATAAGGGAGCCGGAATTGTGCAAGTGCTGTTTATGGTATAAGTCTGTATAGAGGATGATGTATATATGCTGCTACTGTATAATGTATTATTTGTGGGGAATACGTATAGTAGACTAATAGTAATAGTAGGGCGTAAGAATTATGAAAATGCAAGGTTTTAACATTAAAATGATGAGTTTTGAAGGGAGTAAGGAGAATCAGCAAAGATAATATACAAAGCATATAAACAAGAAAAACGATTAAATTATAAAAACATTCAAGGTAATAATGGTGATGAAGAAGTGTGTTCGTCTAAAACCAGTCGACCAGTGCCCTTCTCGTCCCTTCGGCCCAATGTCCAGATTTGAGCAAAGCGAACAAACTTTAGAGACTTGGGGTCCTTTAGTATATAGAACTCGCCATCGCACATGATACAGATCACATTGTCGCGTTCGTAGCGGTTGACTCTTCTCCACAGAGAACGTCTTTTGTTGCTTCGTTCAGACGGTGGGCGAAATGCGATTTCAAAGGGAGTGCCGAATTGGCCGATGCGTGACACATGCTGTCGGATATTCGCCAGTTTCTTGAGATAACTGAACAGGGAATGGATGACCATGACTTCCATTCTACCGTCGTTGGCTCGCTGAGGATTCCACGTCGCTGGATCAGTGGGACCTGCACGATTCTCCACGGATTCCAGACCGGATTTAGCCTCACCCCACAGGTCCACCTCGCGTCCCCAGATGTGTGGAATATTTTGAATCACAAAGTCGATTGGATGTCCCGTCACGTGTGCTAAGGTCGCAGAAGCGTCACCGTCGTTGCTGTCGCTGCTGCTGTTGTTGTCACCATGATGCTTTTCAACCTGCTGCTTCCGCGGATCTGGAAACTGCAGCACAGCTTGGTCATTCTGCAGCATTTTATCGATAAAGGCGGTCAACGGAGGGAACCTGCGCCAGAACACCCATTTGGCGCTCTCAATAGTATACACCATAATGTTGGCTAACCTGTTGCCTGCTCGGTGCTTTTCGAACCCGCTGCCAACGTAGCCTTGCACACCGATAGACATGTAATTGGACATCTTTCGGGTAATCGATTGCTGGTGTTCTTTGAGCCCAGTTGGTTTAACCTCTGAGACGTCGTGTCCGTCCTCACGATCAGGTCCGGCCACCTTGACATAACCCGATGGATGGGCCGACATCTCGACCTCCCATAGATCGAGCCGTGCGGCGTCGGAATGCTCGAGACGCTCTGTAACCAGCTCTTCGAGATGCCGGAGGCCATAGCCAAGAATATCGCGACGAGGAACCGTACGGCCCCATCCCAGCACCTGGCTAAAATCATTACCGGTCCCGAACGGTATACCTATAAATTGATGTGTTTGGTTTAGTACAGCTTTGCAAGGAGTCGATGCCCTAGTGTGGAGACAGGACAGACTAGGCTAGAGTGCAACTAAAAAAAAAAAGACACGGGAAAAAGAAAGACCAGACGTACATGAGAAAAATATCTGGTCGAAATCCACGTCGCGTAGCATTTCCACGACGCTCATGACAGTGCCATCGCCTCCAGCACTCCAGACTTGGATATGCCGTCCGCTTACGGCGGGTGCCAAGTTTCCCTGCGGTATGGGTGGAAGCTGGCCAAGTTTGACCATGGATTGGACTAGTTTGATTCGGCTTATACCGGCTTCACGATCTTCTGCATCCAAAATATTGTGGATTTCAACTTGCACTTGGGGCAGTCGTCGCAAGCGGAAATGTTGGATGGGAAGATGCACGAGATCGATGCCCTTTTGATCACCCGATAGAGGGTTGACGAATATAAACAAGTAAATGCTTGGCTTGCCTTCGTAATCGGTGTCTTCAAAGCGTACAGAAGTGTTGATGCGCAGCAGTGCATCAGGCCGCATAGGTTGCTGTGGCGATGGTGGTGCCCATAGCGAATCGGCTGTCGTTGACATCGAGTCACTAGTGATAGGCGATGCGTCACCTACAGGATTCGTATCGTGGACGTCTTCGCTAGCGTTGTCGCCTTCTTGACGATTGCTGGGCAACACGAGGTCTGATTGAGAAGAGAGTATGGCGTGTGGAATGGTTAGAAGAGAAAGAAGCAGCGTGGTTAATCGGGAATAACCCTTCGAGTTTCGGTGTCTTCTCATACACACGCAATGAGAACTACCTACCGGGTGGTGGTGGTGGTGCCTTTTTCAGGAGAGGCGCTGGCGGTCGTTTTACGGAGGTAATCAAATCGTCACCGGAGATCGCTACTGGGTCGATTTCCAATGAGGGAGTTGTTGTTGGATAAACAAGCGATGATGGCATTGTTTTTTAGGCAGTGCGTGGATGTTACGGGGGTTGTTAATATTTGAGCAATGGGGATGTAAGAAAAGAAGAGAGGAAAAGTCAACAAGCCAGAGGAATAAGAAATGCCAATTCACTTTTTGTTTATATCGTAATTACATCATGCCCAGTACTTATTTCCTAATCGAGGCCACGGGAGTTCGCGTGTCTGTGAGCTTCGATGCCTTTCTGTGGTTTTGTTATGGTCTTCTTACAAATCACATGTCGCCGACTGCTTTTTTTACATTCCTGCCCTGTCAAAAGACAAAAGTAGCGCTCGGCGATTACGCCGGCATACTGTACACACAAACTGCCCCTTCTTAGACAGTACTACAGTACACCTTGCAGCAAACAATAGCACCACTGTTAATGACGCAGGAATCGGCGACGACGACGACAATTGGTATAGCAACTGGAGTGTGTAATGCATTCCCTTTTGACACTCTGCCTTCTCATTATCGCATATCGTCTATCTATTGATTCTGCTGCAGCATCTTTTGTCCAAACGTATGATCATCATCATGCAGCAATGTTTACGGATGCGCTGTTCGTTTTTTCTGTGCAACCATCCTCTAATTCAGCTCGGAGGTACATTTTATCCGCCATAAATGATAGCTTCGTCCAGAACGTTGCTTGTCCTGTTTGCTCATGTCATAAGTCATGAGTTTCAACAAATATCAGCCACAGAGCCCTAGAAGGTTTCCTTTCTTGGTTGTTTCCGGCTCTTTACGGCCCGTACGTATGATAAGCCGCATGCCAAAACGACCAAAACTGGCCAGAATTTGCCGACACTCCGGCCCGAAACAGGGACAAACAGCTAAACACACCATTGTTAGCCATCTCCTCCTTATCCGGATGACAGAAGGTATGGATTATGCCGTGACTATATGTAGCTCACCTCAAACAACATGACATGGCGTAGGAGCTAGTAGATGATACATGGCCGTAGAACCAACGGGAGAAGCTGTTTGCGAGGACGATAAAGAAGCACGACCTCATGCATATATGAATGTGTAATGAATTCGCAAACACCCCCTTATTTAACTTTATGCTATTGACAGACATATAAACACTTTCGGTTTGATCATATCTTTTCTCCTGGATATCTTTTCAGCTTCCTGTATATCTGCGACGCCCAATTCATGGCAGTAATTAAGAGCGACACAAATCACTGCTATCATACAGAAGATGATGACACCTTGAGCCGCGATATAGCAGCTGATATCCAAGAAGATGATCTTGGTAAGCCAGCAACAGTCGAAGAATTCTCAGCGGCAGATCGTCGATATGCATGGCTGATCGTAGCAGGTAAATACAAGTATCATTGGCACATACCAGCATTACCCGAAACATAGACGCAAACCACATCTTATACAAAGTGCGACTACGTGGTCGGACATCGCGTGATATCAGCTTATTAACAATCAAGCCATTATTATGAAACTATGTATCGAAAAGCCGCATTCCTGTGTACCTTTGCAATCAACGGATTGATACTTGGATGGTAAAATCAACACTATTTAATCTACAGGAGAAGTATAAATTACTGCCTTCTTTGTTTTTCCTAATGAGAAATAAATTCATATTATTTAGGGGTTCGTAGACCGCCATATTGTGTATATGACTATAATGCGCAGCTAGTTGTATCCTATGCGTGGACGCCGAGCAGCAGTGGTAGACGTGTCTAACAAACAGAAAACTTACAATAGGAGTCATGCAAGATCATTTTGAGCGTTATGTTTTTGGGAGTTCCGACGAAACCATCATCCAGCTCAGTTTTGTGGGAACTTTGGGCGTCCTACTCTCCAACGGACTGGGCTTCTTTAGCCAATCACTTGAATTCCTCATTGGAGTAAAGAAAAGCACTTTTATTGGAACGATATTAGTCACGACAGGTCTTGTGGCAGCAGGTTCAGCTACTGAGGTTCGTGAATGACTCCGCCATTTTTTTAATGATTTACGTGATTGCTCGCATGACTTTTTTTTTTCTTTAATGAATTTGGCTTCTGAAAGTCTCACTCCTTCTTGCTACTGCTCGCCCCTGTACATTACTAATCCGGTTTTTCTTTTTGGAAATTAAAAAAAGATATGGCAGTTATACTTATCGATTGGTGTTTGTTATGGACTCGGCGACACATTACTTTACTCTGTACGTAAGTAAGATAGTGCTTGGATAGGGTAGTAGTGGTACATACAGTATTAATGTCTTTTGCAAAATCTGTAACATATATGTACGTCCACTACCAATCGTGCAATCATGCACAATAAAACTCGTTTAGCCGTCGATGAGGATGGTTGCAGAATGGGTTGATGATAAGCACCGCAGCACAGCCATGAGCATTGTGGCGAGCAGTACCGGTGCCACAGGACTGGTCACTCCTATCATCATGAGTACGATCAACAGAAATTTAGGCGAGCACTGGTAAAGATGAATTGTTCTTTGTTGACAATGGTGGCGCGTGTGCGTAACACATACAAATGATATGTAATTTAGAAAATATTCTCAGGACGTTTCGAATTCTCGGAATAACTTATTTAGCATGCAACATGGTCGCGTGCGCCGTATTCAAGAAAAGACGCCGCAGTGATGGTGGTGGCGAATTAAAGAAACCAACAGACTCACTCAAGTTGAGTATCCTGAAAGACGCGAACCTGATCATATGGTGTTTCTCTGCGCTCTTACAGTCCATGGCTTTGTATATTCCATATCTTTTTCTTCCATGTATGTATGCACAGCATATTCAGATTTGACGCTACGCGATCCCAATGCTGATATTGGCAAAAATTTTATAGCCTACGCCACTTACTTGGGACTTTCAGAAACACAGGGATCGCTCCTCCTCTCTGTAGCATCAGGAGCGAGCTTTGTGGGACGCATAATTACAGGGTAATGCAAATATGTGTCGAACACATGATGCTGCTGCCGGTGCATCACACAACATGACGCTTACGTTTGCAGCATTATTAGAGTCATCGCGGACCGGATCGGGTGTGTAAATGTCAACATAGTTTGTACTACGATTGCGGGCATTGCCACTTTTACAGTATGGACCTTTGCCTATAGTTTTGAAAGCTTGGTCGGCTATGCTATTTTAATCGGATCTTTTGGAGGAACCTTTTATGCCCTATGTAAGTAACTTGGCCATGTCAAAAAAAGAATAAAAAGAGTCAATCATAGCATGTAATGCCTTCTTTTTGCTCGGCCATTATCATTCCTTCCTAAATATGCATTAATAATCTGTCTTGATGCGTTTGCTGCTAAACGATCATAAATGTAGTTGGACCAATCACGGTCGCTATTCTTGGTATGGAACAATATGCACTCGGGTTCTCATGGGTGCTGCTGGCAACGTGTCCAGGTGTCTTGGGAAGCACTATTGCTAGTGCAATCGAAAGTAGAAGCAAGATTGAACCGTTTTTATCGTATAAATTATTCTGTGGTGCATTGTATATTGGCAGCGCTATTACTACATCTGTCGTTCGATGGCGAGTCAGTAAAACGATTTTTGGCAAAGTTTAAATGTACATTCCAACAAGGTGTCCAAGTAATAATCTGATATCATGATACTGTAAAATACAAAGTATGCGGTTATTATGCACTCAGTGCAACGTAGGTACAAATGGCAGATACAGCCTTTTCGATCAACATTTCCCTTCTCACTATCATCATTATCATCCTTCTTTATCATATGTATATTTTTCGAATTTACACTGCACTTGACGGAATTGATACTATTACTGCTATGTACTATATCTCAATACAGTAGTGCCCGTGTCGTTTAGTAACTGTAAGACTGATCGCGACATCACGGGTTGCGCTCTTCATAATAGGGACTTGATGTAAACGATTTTGGAGAGCGACAATATGGATCGTACATTCAATAGTTGCACCATGATAAATCTGGGAAAGTGAGTATTTGTGCTTAATGTGTTGTTTCGATCCCAGTATGTAGTATAAGTAAAAATTGTCTATATGGGGTTTAAGACAAAATAAGATACTATTGACGTATATGTTGGCGATATTATAAGCTTGGGATTACCGTTTTGGTTCTTTACAGTCATTATTGTTTTCGGTCAGATACGGTTATTAAAGCACAAGATAAGCTTTTCTCTTAGTTCGGTCGTATGTTTCTTCAATATAAAGCGTCGTGCAAAAACTAGAGACAAATATATAGTGATGAGGTAGTTTTCGATACCATGTAGTACTCGCTGAGTCTACATTGTATCGCTCTTCTCTTTCTTTCTCGCTATATTAAATTGAACTTTCTCAGAATCCCTTTATAGCGATGAAGAGTGGATGCATAATAAAAGTACAACGACAGAAGATGTTTGCGTTTGAAAATACTGCTTTGTCTGTGGACGCTATCTCAAACCAACAGCAGCAGCAGGTGGTGGAATGAGTTTAATTCTGCAAAATCTTGAGATAAGGCATGATGAAAATTGTCTACTAAAATGTATCACTTTTGAACTGTCGTTTGATACGACAGGCTTAACACCAATCTCATTTTCAAAGGCAGGAGGGAGTGCCATTACTATTCGAAGCCAGGCTTATCTTTATTATAGCTTTTGGCGTATGGGGGAAGCCTTTCATTCTCCATCTTGTAATAAATGACATACTCGGGCCCTATATTTCTTGTACCCAAAGTATCTCCATGACTCATCCAAGTTGATTTTGGGCTGGACCCAAGAAGGTCCGCCCTCACCCCCATATTGGGTGTGCACAGTGGAGAGAGAACAATCAAGACTGGACTGAGGGGTGGGGCGGAGAAACCCACTCACCCAGCAAAAAGATACTTTTGATCGAAACAGTTTCGTTTGCTGAAAACCAAACAGTCTCTTAACAAGCAATGCCCAAAGGGCAGTCTTTTTCCTAACAAAACGCTATCATTCCAAAAAAAGAGCCATGAATAACGACGGGCAAACCCCTAAGCCTCGACGGAAAAAGGCCACTCGTGCTTGTTCACATTGCCAAAAGGTACCCCACTGCTTTTATTTGATTGTCAGCGTACATGGTCTTTTCTCTATTTCTAAGACTCACGTTTCGATATACATATCTAGGCTCACTTAACTTGTGATGATTGTAAGTTTTCTGTGAGTGTGCTCTTATGTAGGATTTAGCATTTTAATTTCTTGATTTTAGCGCGACCATGTCAGCGATGCATCAAGCGAGGTTTGGAAAGTACTTGTACCGATGGAACTCGAAAACGAGCAAAGTACCTTCAGGATGATGAGTATGGTATGTTATTTACCCTTTTGTTTGCTTGCTACACAAGGAAAAGTTATAATTAATGATATTTGAGTTGTGTTTAAAAAAGAACAAGTATCCTCACCTGCATCTACTACACCTTCCGAGCATCCGTCACTTAATGCCTTTGACCAGCATCAACAACAGCCTACTGATATCGGTAAACTTATAGTTATAGATAAGCTTGGCAGACCGAGTGTGTGTATGCGGGCGAGAGATAATGAGCTCACTAACGGTACTACGTTGATGACTTTTATTCAGGCTTTGATCCTCAGTTGTTGAATATCGCTGGTAATTATGGGTTTGGATCAGAATCAGCAAATCTCGAGTATGGTATTTTGTCCAACATGCTTCAACTCAATAATGCTGGCGGCGGTGGTGTGGAACAATTCCTTGGCGCAGCACAAACGCCAGGACCAGGTCGTCAAGGAACGCAGCCATTCGATCCAAATACAGCTGAGTCTAGCATGCTGATGCGTGGCACAGTGTCATCTCCAAGTACATCTTCCGCTGTGGATACCCCATCGTCGTCCATGCTCACACCCACCATGTCTACTGCTCCATTGTTTCCACAGCAACAGCAACAGTCGCAGCAGCAGCAACCATTACAACACCAGTCGCTCATGTCTCAACCACTGCAACAACAGCAACAGCGCCAGATGCCCCCACAGATGCAAATGCACCAACAATCTTCGCCGATCGATGTGAAAGGCAAGATCGTCAAGCGGCGGAAAGGGGTTGGTAATACACCAGAAGAAGCCTACACCATTATCAAAGGGCCCTTTAACTATGCCGAAGGATACCATTACTTGTTTCAGCATGTCCGGCAAAGGTAAATCAAGGATAACGAAAGGAGGAATGGACAACGACACATGGTGTATCACAAAGTTTTGTGCTTGCTAATTGGATGGGATACATGAAAATTTAGAATGGGTCGCGAGGATTTGATGCGGATATCTCGAGCACTTGCGATATTTCGACCTTCGTTTATCTCAGCCATGATCCATCTCACTGAGGAGGATTTGATATACATGGAAAAATGTGTTCAACGAACATTGCTGGTAAGACAAAACAAGAAAAACGGAAATAAAGATGCATAATAAAGAAGGAGTTTACACATTGAGAGAGAAATTAACTGATCCAAAATGATTATATAATTACTAGGAATACGAAAAGTTGATTACTTTCTCGGGTACTCCAACAGCTGTGTGGCGACGTACAGGCGAAATTGTGCTGGTGGGCAAAGAGTTTTCTTTGCTAACACAGTGGAGCAAGGAAACGTTGCTTGGGAAAAAGACGTTCATATATGAACTAATGGATAATGGATCTGCTGTCGAGTACTGGGAAAAATATGCCCAGCACGCATTTAGCGACACAGAGTCGTCAGCGTACATGTCAGTAATATTAATGAGCCCGACCTATCGACCCGTGCCTTGCAGCATCTGTTTTACGATTAAGCGAGACTTCTTCGATCTGCCTAGCGTTGTTGTTGGCAACGTAAGTTGAGTTTGTGTGTATAATCAATGTATCATTCTGGATGAACTATGCTAATCAAACTGCTAATTTCCATCACATGTAGTTCCTTCCAATGCTAAATGGAAACACATTATAGCATGTACTATTGCATTTTCACCTTCCTTTCTTGCATAAACATTCACCCAAGCATTTCTCGTTACTTTATACTTCGTTTAGTTATTTGTTCACAACCATTTTTTTCTTTCGTATTATATATTTATATATAAAAAAATATACATTTTCGTGTTTTCGAGTTTCTTTTAATAACGTTTTTGGGGCGATGCCAACTTTTTGTGAGTAAGGTGCTTGTGTCAGGTGTGTATGTAAAGGTGGATTTGGGTGTGCGTGTATTGTGTTTATGCTTCGATCTTGAACTTGAAATAATCGGGATCAAAATGATGGACACGGACGTAACCGTCTTCACCACCGCTCGAATAGCTCTTGCCGTCAGGATGAATAGCAATTGTATTGATAGGACCGAAATGACCACGTACACGTCCGATCTCTTCCTCAAGAATCTTGTGATAGAATCGACATTCGAATTTACCAGCACGAGCCGATGTGGTCGTGACGCTCATGGCATCCTGACCACCACCCAAAATGACAAATTCCTGGAACTTGGGAGTGATGGATGCCGAGTTGAGGGGTGCATCGGTTTGGTATGACTTCAAATGGGACAACGAGTCCGCGTCAAAGACCATTGCTGTCTTATCCTTTGATGTGGTGATGAAATAGGTGCGGTCGGTGCTCATCTGCATATCCGAGATGACATCTTCGTGTGGTTTGATTGAGTTGAGTTTTTCGTTGGCCTTCCAATCCCACTGGCAGATCGAGCCGTCGACGTGGCCGCTGACAATGCACTTGTTCAAGTAGCCCCAGCAGGCAACCACAGCCTTGGGTCCTTCGTTGATGATGGTAGCCAAAGGTTCATCCGATTCTATGCACATGATACATTTACACCAGTTATTCGATTTCGTTCTCTTAAATGTCATTATTACTGCGGCAACCCAAATCGTGTGTATTAAAACTTACGCTTGCCGTTGATATCGCCATTGATTGGGAGAACAGTAACAGAGCCCGAGTAGCCCATTCGCTCTTCGGTAACACACAGTACCATGGTATCATCCTCGCTGAATTCGACACGCTTTACGGCCGTCTTAAATTCCCAAGTCTTCAAGCACTTGCCCGTCTGGACCTCCCAGAGTTTGGCTGTGTTGTCGGCAGATCCGGTAATGAGCAACGTTGTTGTAGCTATCCATATAAACAAATCGAGTTTCACCGATAATTAACACATTAATTTGTAATCAAAATTGGGCTATAATCCGTTCGGAAAATCTAACGATTCTTAATTCAAAAGCGAAAAGAGACTGCTTACAGTTGACATCGACGGTCCACACACTACCAAGATGGCCAGTGTAGGTGCCCAATCGTTCACCATTGTGCGAGTACCATACATTGACAATCTTATCTTTCGATACGGAGAAGAGAAGGTCGCCCTCGCGATTGTATTTAATTTGTGTTAACGAACGCGTGTGTCCTTGAAGCAAAATGGGGCGCATGTCGAATCTTTTGGCTAGAGGAAACGGGAGCTGGTTCAGAAAAAAAGTTTTTGTTTTTTTATATGTATTCCGAAAAAGGCAACTCGTCGCCGCAGACACAGGTCCGATTTGATCAATGTAAAATAGCCCACGAACTGTGTCCATTGCATTATGCGTAGGTTCACTAAAAACAACCGATACAATAAAAAGCGCTCATAAAGTATAAAAAGTGGCCGCTATGTTATTTGTAATTATTGCTTTTGGCACTTATCTTTAACGCAGCTTATATGGACATTGTTATCGATGTAAAATAATCAGCCTTTTGGCCAGGAACGAGCGAGAATTTAAACTACTTCACAAGTGTGACGATCACAAGAGCTGATTCCAGTATTGCCACATTCCGACCTAGCGGACCAGATATATTACCAAAGTAGACAGAGAGCTAGCAGAGTCGATAATTAGTACGCATGTAGCAACATAGACGGTTTACCCAAGCAGCTGCGCGCTGAAGCATGGAACACAGGAAATTTTCCTTCTGACTCAGGCCTCAAATTTCAACACATCAGTGATCCAAATTTCTGGTTTAAATTCGAAACAGTCCGCTCTCCACGCCTTTGTACAGTAGATCTCAAATGTGCATAGCCACTGTAGCAAGCCATGTCTCCTTTCTGGACAAGTACTCCACCCGGGCAAAATATCGTCAATTAGAGCTGGTTTATGATTTGTTAGCGCCGGTGGATAAGGGCGAAAGAACTATTCTACCATATATATCATTTTCTGTTAATGACGATACTATATAACTCAATCGTAGTAGTAGCATCGGTCTAGCACCATCTATACAATAAAGAGCATACGCATATCCTTGATAGCCTAAAATTGCAGTTCAGAAGGCATATCCTCTATGTCTGACCAGAAATGTTCAATCTTGGTAAGCAATGCCTCTACAGTCCACGACAAGGCATATGCAGTAGTATCTCTACCGGCAACAACTACTGAGGGGAGCATGTCACGCAGCACACGTTCACTGAAGGATTGTCCAATTTCGTTCGTGTTAACCATATAAGTCTTCGCAACTTTTTTCGCTTTCAGCCATCTTTTCGGCGCTCTCTGGTGTTTTCATGCGCAAAATAATTGAGTGCACCATAGTCATACCGTATGTAATAGTTTGTATATGCATTATACGATTAGGCACGTCGAAGATGGGAGTGGTGGGTTCGAAAATAGGACATAATATTGCCGTTGGCAGACACCAAAAAATTGGTAATGGCCACTCTCACTGCCCCAAATTGCTATGCTTTGTGCGTTAATTTTTCGTTGAAATTTCTTTTGCTTTGCTACGTTCGATTCAAAGTTGATTTACATTACATGGTTTTACTCAGGTGAAACCAAGCACCAGTTGCCGTGATGACACAGTACAGACAGATTCTATACTTCCGGATTAGTTAATCAACAGGCTAGGTACTGTTGCCACCAAGGGCTATATCTAGCCGAGAAAGCAGAAAAGCCATTATCGATGTATTATCCGAAGATGATAACCGCGTTACTTTTACCAACCAAGGTGTATACATTGCAACTACGAAGGGAACATTGGTAAATTTGCATCTAATTATGCACCTAAAAAGCATAGTTTCTACTTTGTCTTATTAACTTGAGCCAACAACAGGTTACAGTCGACCCCCGTTAACGTCAACCCTCAGCGTACCAACAAAAGTGTTGACCATATCGAGGGTTGACGGGTAGAGAATAGGCAAAATCTTTAACTGCTAAATTTGAAAGGGTACCAACGAATCGGTTGACGTTGTCGGGGTTGACGTTATCGGGTTGACGTTAACGGGAGTTGACTGTAGCACATTACTGTCTACTTATCGACAGAGAAGGTTTCGCTATTTTGGAAATTAATAATGGATGACAGCTATATATGTCGAAAAGCTTCAATAACTTTTTAATGAAAAGTAAACAGGTAGAAGTTGTTGAAAATCCATCTCTATATGCATGGACCGGAGAAAAGAAGGAGAAAAAGTAGGTAAAATTTTATAATGTTACATTCAATGGACTTGTGTAATATCGTGAATGCAGCCCTCGTAATGTCTTCATGATCATATGCTTTCCAAAGCCGATTACTGCTTCTACACGAGTACTACATCTCTATCCATTGTATCTTTATTAAAGCTGGTCTTGCTAGTTTAAAAACAACATATGGCGTCTTAAGAAGTTGAGAACATACAAAAAAAACGCAGAATGCGCACTTTGATTATTGCACTGCTCATTCTATCTAGACTACATTTCTTGAGCACCCCTACAGAAACAATGCAAAGTCTCCTAAGTAAGGGTAAACGTCATTATAATTAAATTCCATTTAAATAATGATTTGACAAATGGCTATACCCCATCACGTTTATGCTATTTCTTTCCTCCATAAATCGACAGGACGGCAATAGAGCATCATCCCTTACAACGTGATACTGGTCACGGTACATTCATTCAAATGTTTGAAGCGAAATTGATCGAATGTAAAGATTCTACTTCCATTCTGAAGGGAATTTGTAATTTGGTTTTCCAAGCGGAGGGGCTAAATGATGTAGGTGTGCAGGCGACAAAGGAGTTACAATGCATATTGCTGGAAATCTGTATACATTTACTTTCCTTTCTTCTCTTAGTTCACGTCAGCACACGAGATTATCAGGCGCTGGTGCAAGGCAAAGGGGCTATCTTGCATTATCTAAAAAACGCCACTATGCACATAATTTCAGTAATTACGAGAAACGGTAGAGTAGGCAGGAACCCTTGGCATTGGGTGGCGAAAAAATCTTTTGTTTCTTTAATACCTCATGATATGACAACTTACTTGTTTGTTATTGAACTGAGTATTAGTATCCTCTCTTCAAGTGTTCCTTTACTCGGGCTTTATTTTTGACTATCATATGTTATATAAAAAATCAGAATATCTGTCAATCAAACTTCTCAACAAGAGAGACAGCGAGGAGAATGCTTAACAACGAACTCTTCCATTTTTCTACAATAAATAATGTATCGCCTAATTTATTTTGCTTTTGGGGACTTGAACTCTATCTCTTATACGAGTACACAGCAGTCGGACTGTCCATCCAAGACAAACCAAGATCGCGAAAAGGCACAGATACAGGTCATAATCATTCGCTTTCAAAAAGGAAATGTTGTTGGCAACATCACGACGGTGTGGCAATTGGCCATCGCCTACACTGGTAAAAAGGACTTCTTCGACCAAATCGGCTCCTCGGTCAACGCCACGCTGGGCATGGATTTGAAACAAAGCTTGGTATCGATCCACGTTTTTCTGAATGACGTTATCTGTGTCTTCGATAACCCGTCGGAACGTTTCCAAAGCACCGTTGTGATCGTCCATATTCAGGTATCCGCCAAGCTGCGTATGCTCAAAGTGAAAGGCGTTTGCAGGTTGGTCGTAAAAAAACGGTCGGATAATCGTACGTTTGCCCGCATGAAGTGCCTCGAATAAGGACATGCCCCCACCGTGTGTCAAGAACGTAATAACCGAAGGATGCTTCAATATCGCAAATTGAGGGGCCCAATGCAACAGACGGACATTAGGGTGCTGCTGTCCCAATAGATGAGTTACGTTATATATGTTCCCAGAAGGAGTAGAGACTATTTTTGGCAGATGTGATAATCCGGAGCCCCAAATGAATCCATCAATTAAATGGGTTTCTTGCATATGTAATAGCATTGCAAGAAGTTGTTTTGTCTCGTGCTCTTTAGCCGATGTATGTTGCCCGAATGCCACAAATAGGACACGCTGGTGCTGATCTAGAAAGTGCTCGATGTGAAGCGGTAACGGGTCGTATACAGCATTGAATATCGGTCCAACCATTTCTACAAGAGGTCCTAACGGGCGTGCTTGTTCAGTACCGAATAAATTATTGGAAATTTTGAGCGAATTGCGGATTTTGGTGTTTGGTGTTGTTTCCCAGATAGACAAGTTTCGTTTGTGTCGGAACTCATTGAGTTGTGATCCGGCCTTCCAAAGAAGCTCGACAGGAAAGAGGAACTTCATGTAAAATCTATATTTGAGGGACATGCGCTCTGTTGTAGCTGGGACGTGATCCATGATGTATATATTATCTTTGTTGATATAAGGTGGTAACCCATCTATTGCGCCAAACAAACCATAACAAATTTTAGTTCCATGTAGTGGTGAGCATGTAGTAATGATTACTATACTGATAGTTAGCTACCTTATTATATATATATATATATATATCAAATTACCTTCATGAACGCTGATTATAGTAGTGAGAATAAGTGGAAGTTTGGCTTTGTGCGCAGCATCAATGCATTCAAAAAAGAGAGCGTCACATATCATTGCGTCGAGTGGTCGATCTGTCAGAACTTCTTGGATTCGATTAAACACTACAGAAGAGGTGTTTTCTATTTTAATGTTGTCTCCATAATCACAGTATCCAAAGAGCACAGCTCATCACTTATGTCATCTATGATGAAAAGCTGTCACGACACTTACTTGGGCTGTAGCTTTCAACAAACTTCTTTAAATCTTCATTGACCTGACTCCACTGCCTTGGAGAAGTATAGTTATCAAGAGTGCGATCGTCATGTAAAGATCTACCAAGCGATACAGCATCAATATGCAGGTATGGTCTTATAAATTTTAAGTGGGTATCCTAGATTGTATAGTTATACATAAATATACTATATGAAGTAGTTGCATAGCACCATTGTCAGTTGTAGCAACCTACCGTTGAAGCATATGTGACATGATGGCCGCGCAGTGACAGCTCGTTTAGTATGCGGGTGACCCAACTAGCATGTGAACTGCCTTCAAGTACAGAAAAGGTTGCTCAGCCAAGAAAAAAAGCACACCGTACTCAAAGACTTGTCTTGTTGTGTTTCTCCTACCTCCTTGAGAGACACCAAATAGTATGTTCTTCGGTGGCCTGAAATTAATTGTTTCAAACCTGTAAGGCTCAGTTGCGTTGCTGGCTAATGTATTGGTGAGAAAAATAGCCATAAACGTGATCGTTAATATGGATAAAGAAACCATGCTGTTTGTTCTCGAGATTAGAAAGAAAGCGTCGAATTACTCCTCGCGGGCTGCACAAATGATCCCTTTTAACCCTTTTTCCTAGTGGTGAGATTATTTAACGTAGCTCCCCCTTTCCCTGCTCCCAGGCCACCTCCTTGATTCCTTCACCAATGATAAACACGATGGCCTAGGATTTCTAATACAGGGGTTTTGGCGTCTTCAGTATATCAAGTTGGAGTCGTTTAAAGTACGAAATATCATAAGAGTGAAATCGCCAAGGTTGAAAAGCACTCTCGGCAATGGTTTTCCTTGTAAGACGAATAAAGAACGGGGTAAACAAATGCTAACGTTTTTTAACCTGTCAGCAGTTATATGGACAAATCGTGTGTACCGTGAAACGAACTAACTTTGGCTGTCAAAATGATATGCGGCAGTGATCGACAGAAGATCAATAATCAAAGCCTTGTATTATATGTAAGAGTAATTCACTAGCGATCTCGACTATATTCGTACTTACTGTATTTCGCTGCTCGTTTTATTTTCCGGCAAGTCATTTACAGAAGGGGGTTTACCATAAACCGCACACTTGTATTCTGCTTTTGTAGAGGTTTTCTATCCTTTATAACGTTCTTCATATGCCACATTGACAACATCAACGACGATAGCGAAAATGAAGTTAGCGACAAAAGCATGTTAAGCAAACGGCGTCTCCGGATCAGTCCCGCTCGATGCTATGTATATGTTGCTTACTGTGAGGAAGCGAAGAAAATGCCTACCCTCAGAAACGCTCAGCATTACACGACGGGGCTAAGGTAAAGGCGATAATAAATTCGTTTAAATATATCTACAGACTTGGTTGAAGGTAAACCCGTTGTCTGCAACGTGTAGACCCTTTTAGCAAAGATCCAACCTCCAGACGCCGAGGGCCAAAACTCTTCATTAGTGATTTTACTACAAGTTCTTTCCAATGGATGAGGTATAAAGTTTCACTATTCTGATAACTTCCTTTTTTTCCACTCTACATATGTGCAAGACTACAGCCACGGTGGAAGATGGATTTTCAGCAGCGAATTTATTCGTGTTAAGCCATTTCGGTTTGAAAGATTCTACTTTATACGGATATAAAGTATATCAGTACAGTACGCTAGTAGAGGACAACAGGAAGTTGGATTTCACACTGCTGGATTTATGTGGAAAAACGGTGCTGTCAGGGTATTCGTCAACTATTCTCTCGTGCTTGAATCTTTAATGATACCCATGAAAATCTTTGCTGCGCTTACTTGATGAGTAGAGTTAAAACTTGCTGTTGCAGGTGTAAATTTAGCAGCTGCAGTAGTGTGAGCGCATATAATACTCATTCAATCAAAAAGAAAGATCGTCTTTTTCATTTGTGTGCATAATAGTAAAAGTAAAATAGCGTGGTTTCGCTGGTATGATGAAAGCATACCGCGGTGATAGCTACGCGCGATAATTATGCATCCGCGAAGCTGTTTGGCAACGGTGACTATAATGTACTAAAAGCTGAAAACTGTTGATTGCTTCCCCGAAGCCTGTTGCAATGGTTTCGTAGAAACCTAGACTTGTCGGCTACGCAGGATGAACTGCCGGACCTCCCATCCGCCGTTTTGTTCACCACGGAAGCTAAAATGTTACACGATGAAGGAGAAGAATATGCACGACAATTAGCCAAAGTCGTTGTCTCTATTGTAAATGTTCAAATAAGCGAGTACGTGTGACCTTTCATATTGCAGATACACGAGTCCCTTATTGTTATAACAATGCATGACGATTAGTTTATGAGGTACGAGGGACCCGCGTGTTTCTTTGAAATGCCATATTTATAGCTCACGGTTTCGTCACCAACTCATAAGTACGTATAACACAAAATAACGTCATCGATGTTTTTTTTATGTGCGAAGGATATAAAAAATGGTTGGTGCAGAAAATAAATCGGGGATGTTACAATGTAGTTCGATAGCACTTTGATTAAATATATAATATATAAAACCACCTTCTCTTTCCTGCAGCTAACCTGACGCTAAGGCCGTTTGTGGATTATCGCAGACGCTTTATTAGACCGTTTCGGTCATGTACACTCCATATTCCATCGCTTGATATCTTCAAGTATCGCTTACATCCTACTATATCACTATAAATAACATTTGAGGCAAAGTTGGGTCCGAGCTTGTCGAGGATAAACATAATCGTATCCGGAGTTGCCACTCGGAATTCCATAAACAGACCGAGGTAATCCATTTTGTTTTCTGACAAAGAAGAAGCGAAACGGCGCAGACCAAGATCGGTCAACAGACCAACACCACCACCATGATTTGTCCCTTGTCGTTGTTGTTGTAGTTGCCATTGTCGTCGACCTGAGACGCGCAAAACAAGGCTCAAACACGTCATTCGGTCGCTCCAATCGGGTATGGCATCCAGTATTCGGTCCGTAAGCACATTCACAGCGTTTAGCTGCAATTTTTGTAGACTCTGTCTACATTTCCCTCTCAGCAAGCACAGCAACCCTTCTTCGGTGTCTTGGAACACTTCGTCTTCTTCTCGTAGCTCCCCAGTGTAATAGCGCTGATTATCAATGAAGAGTGCTTTTAAATGCTCGAGACCCGCAATTGCAGTGTATAGCTCATTAGTAGAAGGGATGTTGGAGATGAAATGGATAGATTCCAACAGCGGCATGTTGAGGATTGCTTTAGATAGATTGGAAAGTAGTTCAGGCGTCCATAGGATTCCCATCAATTGCAAAAACCGTAGTTGAGGCCAGCCTTGATCCCGTATGTATTCGAGATTGTTGTTATACGGGCAAAAGATGTTGAGATATCGAAGATTGGGAATATCAATGTCATTATTCAGTAATTGATGAATAGGTGCAACGCCGTTGATAGTGATCGATTCTAGACATGAAAATAGTGGTCGCTGTTGGTCTTGTTGTTGTTGATCAAGTAAGTTTTCACTAAAGGCGCATTTATCATGGAATGGTTGCTGGGCCTCCTGTGATAGTTGTCGTTGCTGATACTTGATGATTTTGAGCTTTGGGCAACGGATCAAGAGTTTTTCGAGTAAATGGACGTCGCCGGGCTGAACTTTGACATCAATATGCGTGATAGACTGGCCATTGCAATTCAGTAGTTTGGTAAAAGTACTGTCCATGTCATGGCGGTAGCTAAAGAATACTTTTTTTTTTGGGTGCGCGAGCAAAAAAGAAAAGAAATATGCAGATCATGGTTAGTATTTCGCCTTTTTCATGTGGAATCCAAAGTTAGCAACGGATAGTTCTTATCAGTGCTTACGTGATTGCAGGGCACGACACCGCAATCGTACTAAGAAGGTTATAGCACGCGTCTGTTGGTCGACATTAAGCTGTCTAATATTCACATGCCGTATTGAATGGCGTTTAATGTTTCGTTTGTAAGGAAGCAAGTCTTTGCCGAGGTCACAGTCTGGATCGTCTAGTGTGCTCCACATTAACGACCCATCGAGTAACCATTGTCGCCAAGACTTGCACACAACCATACACTGGATACGATTTCGAAAAGGAAGAGACAGAAATATGGTATTGATGACCTCACGTGGAAGATGCTGAGTGAAATCTCGTGTGGCTTTCATTGGATGCGTCATTACAATACGTGGTGCGTCGTGGAGTCCAAAAGAGCGTTTAAGGTAAGGGGAAGCGTTTGGCTGAGTATTACGACATCTGACTTGCATGTGGGGTTTCTGCCTAAGCGCTGAGATTATTCAGTTTTCCATGAACTTGATGAGGTAAACTCGCAAGTAGCGCATTTTCTCCTACCTACTGTTTGTTGCTCTCTTTACTGACTTTTGATGCTATTACGGCGATGATGACACGGTCGATGGATATGGCAATTCTTTCCTATTTTAAGCATGCTTTAGTAGATGACCGATGCATAACTGTGCTACCAAAATTAAATAATGCATGAAAAAGACAACCTTTTCTGTGCTATTATAGATGCTGTTATCTCGACATTATCTTTTCAAGTAGCCAGTATATATCATGGGAAAGGCCCTGGCCGGCCTAATTTTTTTTTTTTTTCGGTACCTGAAAAAAAGCCACTCCCCATGTACGTCGCGCCTTATCAGTGGTGATGGTTCCTTCAAAAAAAAAAAAGCTCAGCTGAAACCAGAAGTTTTGAAAAAAAGTTCTTTTATTTTTTTTAACCCATTCAGTATAACCATGCCCAACCACGACATTGAACGTCTCAAGAACCTTCTCGGCACTCACCCTGATTTTCCCAAGAAGGTTAGTGATAAGCATACGGAATGACATAGACATACTTTTTGTTATCTATTAAAGATTGCTTCATTTTGTTAATTCTTTCTTCGAAAACCTTTTCTACTTGCTATCACCAGGGCATCGTCTTTAAGGATTTGTTCCCCATCTTCCAAGATCCCACGGCCGTCGAGTCCTTGATTAGCAATATTGTGCACCACATTAGCTCGACCTACGAAGAGAAAATTGACGCTGTTGTTGGTAAATATAGATGGAAGGAAAAAAAAAAGAAGGGAGGAGGAAGGGGGTTTCCTTTAAAATCATCAATGGCAAGCTGTGGGGGGGAAAGACGTGTATACAGGGCTTTAGAGACTTATCTTGACTGAGAAATATAGGTTTGGATGCTCGTGGTTTCTTGTTGGGTCCTTTGGTTGCCCTTCGATTGGGTGCTGCTTTTGTTCCTGTCCGCAAGGAGGGCAAGCTTCCTGGCGAATGCGCGAGCGCGGTCTATGAAAAGGAATACGGCCAGGATGTGTTTGAGATGCAGAAGGATGCTGTCAAGCCCAATGCTCGGGTCATTGTCATTGATGACTTGATTGCCACCGGCGGCTCTGCTGGTGCTGCTGGCGAATTGGTCCGGAAGTGTGGTGCCAAGACCGTTGAGTACGTCTTTGTCATGGAATTGGAGTTCTTGAACGGTACCCAAAAGTTGGATGCTCCTACCTACTCGCTTATTAAACTGTAAATAAGAAAACATTTCCCTCTTTTCTCTCGCTCTCTCTTCTTCTTATTTCCCTTGCCTTCTCTCTCTCTCTCTCTCTCTCTTCATTTGTAAAATGTGATTCAACCGAGATATCTGTTTTCCCCCCCTATTATTTTCAACAATCATTTATAGTATATATATTACATTGCATTTTAAAAATAAATCATACCCATCTTTTTGTTGATGATGGCAAATGATTTTTTCGTTGGGGTTTTCCAGTACGGTTATTACAAATGAGCCAATTCGTCCATCTATTCTGTAACAAATGTCATGAAGAAAAGGAGCAGGGCTGATGGTTTGGATAAGAGGGTGTGAGGGGAGAGGACTAGAAGGAGGAAAGGCAATCTAAATGGTATCTACTGCTGCTGCTGCTGCTGCTGCTATTTGAATAAAAGATGTCTATACAGTTCTATTGGATGATCGACCACATCGTTCGTGCAATTCGTTCTCTAACATGTATGCAGGAAGATATCCGCCAGAGTCACGAGCCAAATCTGGATTTGGATGTGTATTTTCCATGCTTCCCAACGACGTGTATCTATAGCACACCAGTACGTAAGCACATAACCGTATAAACCAGGATCTCGCTTTCCTTTTATTCCAGTACAAAGTGACTTACCCATCATCATAAAGCGAGCAATACGGTATCCGTAACCGAATCAAGAAATCCCAGATGTTCTTATATGTCCAATCCACAATTGGGTGTACACGCATAAACTCGGGCCAGCCCTTATCTGTCAAGTCAAAATGCGTCAAATTTTCTAAATAACAACAAACATCCCAATGAGTACTAGGAACCTTGTTTACTCCTCTTCTAAACATATACACACACACACACTCTCTCTCTCTCTCTCTCTTGAATTCCCTTGTCGTTCACGTAATAAACTTACCAGCATAAGGATCGTTTCGTCGAATACCAACAAAGATCGCCTTGGGTTTCGGTTGCGTACAATTCAAAAACTTTTCCAATCCTTCACGCATAGGTCCCGGAACCGAAACGGTGTCCAGTCGATACCGCGCTGAGCATACTTTTACAAATTCATCCACGTGTGGGAAAGGGTTCTGACAAGTGACATAAACCGTGCGAATGACAGCTGTTGAGTGACCAAGACGACTTAATGCTGCGACAACGAGATGGAGGAGAACAGTGCAATCTTTGCCACCATTAAATGATAAAGACGTCGCTTCAAGCCTAGAATGAGTAAAGAAAAAAATGTAAATATTATATATAGACAGAGGCAACTTGGAGTGGTCATTCAACTGCAATTCGCCCATGGTGTGTTCCCCTCGTTCTTCTCTCCTTTACCAGCTCATAGTCCCTTCTTTATTTTTGCCGGTTGTCGTGGTAATGTATAAAAGCACTTACCCGTATTCTTTGTATGCTTCTTCAATGACTTGCAGAGCTTCTGTTACAGGTTTTGCCAGGATATCGTCTGACTCAGCTAGATTGTATACAGTTTGCTCAATATGTTTGACATTGTAACGATCCGTGGTTGCCAGGGCAGGATCGACTGAGTTTAATGTACAACCATGGGTTTCAGAGTGTGGCATGGTAAGAAAAGGGTAAGGAGGTTTGAGGAGGTGTATATACACTTGTTAAAAAATAAAGGGGAAAGGAAGCAAAGAGAACAAGAAGTAAAAAGAGTACTCTGGAAACTTCCCCACACTATAAACCGAATACATAATCCACTTTCCGCATGCGGACAATATTTCTTTTTCTCAGTTGGCTTCAACAACATCACATCTGCTTATACAATCCAAGAGCCATCGGGCATCTCTCACTTGATACAGCTCTAAAGGTTTTGCACTCTTCTTCTTGAGCTGTCTCTGGTCCGTGACAATGATGATGGGCACGTTTCGATGGACGCTCCGTCGTTGGACGTTGTCGTTATCACGCCATGGGCCAGCCTTGTCCGCAGGTGGCCGTCGACTCAACACCTCCCCTCCGCCTACTTGTTGGCACAGCTTCATCAGTTTGTCACGCTTTGGATGCGTCTTGTCAAAAAAGTTGAATCGCATCGCATGAAACAAAGGACACTCCTGTATTACACTCAATATATTAGTTCAAAAAGAACAAAAGAGAGAGAGAGAGAGGGAGACTTTTGACCATGGATTACGTACTTGCTTTTCCAGTCGTCGACGTCCTTTTCGCGGTCCATGTGTGAGACCCATTACTGTGTCCCCCACAATCTCGTACGGTGCTTCGGGAAGCCAACGCCCTTCATTGCAACTATCAATCAACCCTAGATGATTTCCCAAATGTTTGAATTTCTCGATTTCCATGGTTTTTGGAAATTTTGCCATTTCGGGATGATATAAGCTTATTACTTACATGTTACATCTACAACCCATTTGCCTGCTAGAATGCCCCACAGGTATTTGACTGTCCTGCCACTCAGTCCTTGCTCATTTCCCTTTGTCACAATGTGCGTCACATCGTCAACATGTCTTGGTATATCATCGACGTCATCATTGACCGGCGATAGGGTCAATTCACTCTCACCAAACTTGTCCAGAACCGCTTGTGCTTCATCCTTTTATTGTTATCAATTAATGACCCCCCCTCCTTTAATTCTTCTCACTACATCCTAATTTCAAAACAAAGAGACAAAGAAAGATAAAAGAAACTTACTGTTTTGATACCCGTGAACATAACACGTACCGCATCGAAAGTTCTCATACGAGTAGCAGCAAGGTAGTCTTGTTCCTCTTGTGATGTAGGAATAACACTGGCCGTCACTGTCATGGGCGTACTTGATATACTTTGCGAAATCGTTACTGCTGGTGCACTACCGCGCATTTTCCGACACAGACCGCAGGTTTCCACGGTGACTGGATTCATGTACTGACAGTGTAAACATTGCCATGGTTCTTTTGCTGCTGTTATCGACGGCCCTTGCTGTTGTTCTTGTTGATCTGCTGCAGTTGCTGCTGCTGCTGATGGCTGTGCAGGATGATTATTATTACGAGCGATTCTACTGCCACTGTGATCGTTAGGGTCTGACAACCGTAATCGCTTTGAATAAGGATGAGGTACATCAATCGAGAAAATGTCTGTTTCCGCTAATGCCTCAGGTGCTACTGCTTCTTCTGTTGTCGCCGGAGAAGGCAATGATATCGGTGCTTTGCTGCTAGCATTCGACCTGTCGATGCTTTTTCTTTTTTCCGATTGCTTTCTTTTCCCTTTTTCGCTGGTACTTGGTATTTCGTCGTCTGGAAGTCCATCATCCTTGAGTAATTCTTGTAACAATAATGACATGTTGTCGTCGTTGTTGTTGTCGTCCTCCTCGTGGGTGATGGGTTGTACAGCAACAGGAACTTGGGCAATGGTTCGGTTGGATGGTGGCGGCAATCTCTCGTCTTCAGGAAAAGAAAGTTCGTCATCAGGGAGTGAGCTTTGATCGAGCTCTTTGAGAAGTGCCTCAGCGCTATAACGCTCGTTATCATCGGTCTCGTTGTTGTCGTTCTCAACGACTGCGGTAGTAGCAGTAGGTGGTTGTTGTTGTTGTTCATGTTGATGTTGGATGCCGATATAATTATTACAATGGTTGATGCTATGCTGAGTCGGAGTAGTAGTAGTAGTGTTGATGCCGTTATTATTTACAAAATGAGAATGAGGGTGGTATTGTTGTTGTTGCTGTTGTTCGTCGTGTTTGGAGGAACTCGGTATCGTAGAGGGTGTTTTTATTTTGTTGCTGACATGGTCGTGGCTATCAGCAGTGTTTGTCGTATTTTGTACATTGTTTGGAGTAGGGTCTTCTTTAGGTTGTTCCTGCATGATAGTATCTTCTTCTTCATCGTAATCAAATGGTGCGGCCAAATAATCTCGTAACAGTGATGGTGTTTGCTGTCCTGTTGCAACGCTCGATCCTATTTCTGATCCATTCGTTACTTGCTCATCACATGACATTGTGTCATCGACGTCGTCGTCATTGCCATGCGGGGACAAATCACCCTCGTCTATTTGTAGCGGTGAAGGTGTCCGAGTCACTGAGGCGATGATCCCCTTTGCTGGGCGGTGGAATCGAACTAAATCACTGCTGTCGCTGCGACGGAGCCAATCGCGTAGCAACGGGACTGTTTCCGATTCGGATCCTACGCTGTCGAGAGAGGGTCTAGACATAGCATCGTCCTCATTGAGTGGTGGTACGCTGTTTCTGAGCTGATCGCGTAGCCAAGAGGGGAGCATAGCATCAGTCGTAGAAACACTTGATACTGAAGAGGAAAAGACGTCGTGACCCACTGTCAAGTCTTTCACTTTTTCTTCAGCCCCCCTTTGCTGTTCCACCGCTGAGAGTGTCTTGGTTTCCATCAAGGTGTCTGCTACTGCTGAATGTGTCGGTACGTGTTTCTCATCCGACATCGTCTGGTCTTCCATTTCACTTGGTGTCTGTGGCATGTGTGGTGACATGGATGGAAACTCTTGTACTGGCTGCAGAAGAGATATCGGGGATGTTTCGTACATCTTTGTGCCTGAAAGTGATCGATCCGTATCATTCTGCGGCTGACTATCCATCCATTCTGACCGCGTCGTGCCCTTGTCATTACTCGTATCCCGTGCCATTTGCAACAATCCGCTACTCTCTTGAAGGCGATGACGATGCATAGGGTCGCCAGCTTGTTCCATGCTATTATTTTCAGATAGCAAGCCATGTGTATCGACAGAAGGTGTACCGCCTACCAACAAAGTCCCAAGTTTGCGTACACACGCAACCAACGTGTCGTGCATGGGATCAGGTCGAAGATTTTTGACAATGGCAGGTAAATGACACGTAGGACACGTTCGTTCAACACCGATCCTGTCATATACACATCCTCTAGCAAAATAGGATACATTGTGGTGTCAACTGCTTTGTTATTGTCATTTCAGTAGTTTTTTTAAGACAAGTGGTGGGGTAACTGTTTTACCGACAAAACCGATGTCCGCATTCATTCAATGTACGTGCGTCGTTCACCAAGTTATGACTATATACATAATTTCTCGAATTTAACAATGTTGAACCGAAAAAAATAAAAAAGTTCATGTATTTTACCAAAGATCGCATTGAAGCTGTGATTCAAGTTTTAATAATGAACCGATCAGTGACGAGGACATTAAGGGAAAAAGAGAGAGAAGGGGAAAGAGCGGGGCGACAAAGAGATTAAGGAAAAAAAGTTTAATATGCGCAGCAAAGGGATGATATGATTTCGAGCTAGGAAAAAAAAAAGTGTGTGTTTCTATTATGTTGATGATGGCAGCATACAATCTTGATCAGGTTTTAACATGGCTGCCTGGCTGTTTCCAGTAAGCACTAGTTCATTGACTACAGTAGACGTTTGTCGATAGATGCGTTCCAAGGCAGGTGTTGGATGTTGGCCTTGGTTTACTACAATGATGAAGTTTAATTATTGCTTTCTTTCTTGACAATCCACACATATGGCTCCCAAAAAAAAAAAACCCCTTACCAAGGATAGCCGAGTTTAAATCAGAAGCTAGATTTTCTGCATGGTGTGCTTCGAATAGATAGGATACTGCACAATCGTCCAGATCGGTATATGCCAGCACCGAAAACGCAGCCTGGCAAAAATGTCGATAATGAATAATGTCTTCATGAGTCGCCCACTCCCCCCCACCCCACTTTACTCTTTTTTTTAACGCTTCATCCTCTGATTCCCTTCATCCTACCATCAACTCTGATTTTATATCCGGTCGCTGTTCAGCCATGACACCATATTCTCGTTGTAACTTTTGCCCATAGTTCATGATTTCTTGGAATGCATTGTCTTCAAATGATGCATCCTCATCGTCGTCGTCTTGATAGGCTGATCCACGATCATCATCATCATCCATCTCTTTCTGTTGTAGTAGTTGCTGCTGTTGAATGTGATCCGATACGACATGATGATGATTGCTGCTACTACTACTGCTATCGCGTCGTCGTCGCTTGGTACCCGCATGTTGCCTCACTGCTGGATTGTTATTGATGTCGTCCACCTCCATTGGATCCTCCTCTGTTGCGTTTTGTTGATGTGCCTTGCGTACCATGTCGATAAATTGACGACACCGTAATCGAAACAATAGATCTGGATTCTTATCTAGAACACCTGGGTGTTTTTCATGACACAAGCTGATGGCTACTTGTACATCTTCCCGCATGATCGCCATTCGTATGTCTATTTTTTTTTCCACAAAATTGTATAGATAGATCAGCATACATGTATTTTGTATCACGTATATTGCTTTTTGCCGCCCCTTCCACCCATTCTTATATTTTGGTACCTCGTCTTGATTTCGCCTCACTCTCCTCATCTTGCTCACATTGCCTTCGTTGGTGATGTTGTTCTTGAGACACAGAATCAGCACTGGATATACCCGATAGTGTTGTTGACGGTGCAATCAAGTGTCGCAGAACCGTAGCTGATTGTGTATATCCGTGGTGTAACAAATAATCCAACACGACCTGATCATGCATCTGTTTTTCACCATGAGACTCTTGTCGTTTTTTTCGTTTTAAAAGTTGTTGTTGGCGATTGTGATGATGATGCAACAGTGATTGCTGTTTCTCCAACACCTTATTCAAAGTATACCTCCGCTCATCCTTGTAATACTGAGCAATATCAAAGGTAAAGTCCTGTTGGCCGAAATTAGCACGCAACCGTTCGCCCGGGGTCTTGAAACCAACGAACGGAAAGATGGATCGACCGGTGACATTCCGAAAGGCGGTGCCGAGATAGACGCCATTCTTGGTATAAAAAGCAGACATGGTACGGAAATCAAAGCCGCATCCGATCACATCGCCGGTGCCAAACTTGGGGCCATAGGCCTTGCTTGTGCCCGGACCAGAGAACAGATGGCCATCGTCGCCATGGTAGCCCCACGAATGCTCTTCCCATCCAGGCAGTCGGTCTAGACTGTTGGATGCCCAGCAAAAGCCAATGCCAATGTGTCCGTCCAACCCCTTGGATATGATCTCTACTTCGTAATAAAAGATGCCGCATTGTGGACGGAACGGGTAATTGGCTCGCACGGCCGAGATATCTGCGTCTTCTTTCCCGGCGCCTGTGTGATTATTATGTGTGTGTTAGTGTTAATACGAGATAGATGAGTTTTTTTTTCTCTCTCCCCTTTTTACTCTCTGTAGTAGGTAATCGAGTAGACAAGAAACCTTTATAAGTGAGTTCCAAACAATCTTCGCTAATGTCCACAAACTCGCCCTTGTCGTCCGGATTCCAAGCCGTAGGGAGTCGTAAGTCATGGGATATCAGTGCGGCGGTTAATGAATCGGGAGGAATCTGCTTATCACTACTACTACTACTACTACTAGTAGCAGTGGCCGGGGTGGACAATTGTTTTGTACAATAGAGGGTATATTGTTCCTGCACCATACATGCATAGACACTGCTCTTGAGGTAAGCTGGGTATTGAGGAGGGCCATGGGAATGCCGTTCGGCAAAGGCGGTGAGTTCGTCCTTGATGGTTCTGCGTTTGCGTGGAATGTGGCCAGAGCGCGAGGACAGGCCGGCAGCAGCGGCAGCAGCACGGTGGTGTTGTTGAAATGCAAGAATGGCCGAGGCATGGGGGCGAGTACGAAAGTTTGTGTGGCGTGGTGCAAAGTCAAACAGGGTAGTGTAAGAAGGGGAAGACATTGCTTTCCTTTTCTCTTTCTCTCTTTTTCTCTCTCTCTCTCTGTGTGTGTGTTTCTTTTGGTATATTTGGACGACCTGTACAGGTGGAAAGAGAAATCTCGTTCCCAATAGGAAAAAGCAGTAAAACGGAAAAAAGTAAAGAAAGGCGAGAGAGAGAGAGAGAGAGAGAGAGAGAGAGAAAGTGTGATCCAAAGGGGGGTGTGGTGACTGTTTCCCGCTTTTTTGCTTGCTGCTGCTGCTGCTGCTGCTGCTTATTCTTTTTGTCTTTGTTCGAGAACAAAAAAATAGAGACAGGGTTTTGATAGAAAACGGGGTTCATATAATGCAGATGTTTTATATCAGAAAAGTTGTAGTTGTACTGGGCGGACTGGTAATGGAAGAATGATTGATGGTGGTGGTGATGACGATGATGATGATGATAGTAGTAGTAGGGCATCGGAGACAGGGCAAACGGGCGTGAGCTTATCCATATATGAGACATATGCGATGAAAGGGGGATGTGTGTGTGTGTGTGTGTGTGTGTGTGGCACTGTTTGTGTGATGATACACACATCCGTTGAAAGAAATGCATTTGTTCACTTGGATGCGATGCTATGTGTGTGTGTGAAGAAGGTTGCACCTTCACCGTCTGCTATTACCCCCAAGGCAGTCTTCTATTGTTTTACAGCCTCAGCAGCCAATTGATGGTGATAGCGATCAGCATTCCCGATCAGCCCATTCCATGAGTACTCACACACACGATTCTTTTAAAGAACAGGAAAGACTCTTGAGGCACATTCATCCATGTACGGTCATCAGATTCGTACCGACCAATATACAGGTTTGCCTTGTTGTTGTTGTTGTTGTTGTTGTTGTTTGGTGCGATGTGTTATGGGATGGCCCTAGTATTGTATTTTGGGTATGAAACGCAAAAAGAGCCAAGAAAGAGCCTTTTTTTTTTTTTTCGCCTGATAGTGTACGCGCAATCACCTTGATAGGATAGCACTCCGCACTCTCTTTGTCTTTTTTTTTTTTAGTTCTCTCTCTCGTTTGCATCTCTTCTGCACAGCAAGGTCTCGTCTACAGTGTGGCCATCCTCTCTCTCTCAAGCTTAAAACAGAAAACGCGCTCTGTGGGTGGCGGGTTCCATAGCATGCACCCATGTGGGCTGTGGGATGGATACAAATAATAATAGAGTATGTATTAGTCTATATAGGAGCATAGCAGCAGACGCCCATTGATTGGCCGGATTAGGTTACTTTCTAATCCCAGCTGTGTCATATACATATATTCAATAATAATAATACAGCTCATCATTATAATATATCCCCGCAGCGCGTTGGACCGCGAACACTTATAGAGGCAGCCCATAAGTTTTTTTTTTCTTTTTTGCTTTTTTTTCTTTTGTTCTTCACTCTTTTCACATATACCAAACTCTTTGGTGCCGCTTTCTCACTCTACTACATCCATCCGACCCACTGTTCTCTATAACTTTTCATAATGGCCAAGGAAAAGACTGCCAAGAAGACCCAAAGTTTGTATAGGACCTACCTTCTCTCTCTCTCTCTCTGATGATGTCGAGCGCTGACCTCTTTTTCTTTCTTTTGATACACTAGCCAAGAAGGTCTCTCCCTACAACAAGTTCATGAAGGTAACACTTTCTCCCTCTCTTTCTTTTCTCTGTATCACTGCCTACTGTCAGAGTACTGACCGTATTGTCTCTTTTTTTGGTCTTTCATTAGGAGGAGCTTGGTAAGGTCAAGGCTGCCAACCCCGGTATTGCCCACAAGGAGGTAAATGTCTTTCTCTCGCTCTTTCTTTTTTTGGGGGATGGGGGAGGACCACAATCCGCCCGCGCTGGAATTTTTTTTTTTTTTACTTTATTTTTCGCGTCAATCAAAAGTGAAAAAAAAAAAAAAGAAAAAAGAAAAAAAAAACGCGCGTCTTCTTGACTCATTGTCCGGAAGCATGGGGTGCAAAGCGCGTTTTTCTTCTATTTTTTTTTTAAAAAAAAAATTTGCAAACTGCTTTTTTTACTAATCAAATTTTCGCGTTTTCTTTATACGTAATCGCGCCCAATCCAGGCTTTCAAGAAGGCTGTAAGTGTTTTTTTACTATTTTTTTTTTCACACACAGAAAGGGAATAGGCAGAGGGAGGGGTGATTATTGTGACTTGAAGTTTTTCCATGGTGTGCTAATTTTTTTTTTTTTCTTCCAATCTTTTTTAGGCTCAAAACTGGGCTACCTCTCCCGATAACCCAAAGAGAAAGAACGCTGAAGCCAAATAAGCTTCTCTCGTCTTATTAGTTTGTGCTTCACACACACACACACACACACACACAACAACCCTTTCTCACATAACGACAATAACAACATCAACAATAGCAACAACAGCAACACAAAACACTATTTGTACATCTTCTCTCTCTCTCTCTCTCTCACTTTCACAGCTTAGCCCCTTCCACACTTTTTTCTTTTAAAAAAAAAAAGGGCAAGCAAAGCTTTCTTGTGTTTTGGGATGTTTTAAATACTTTTTAGTTGATTTGAGTTGACTTGGTTGGGTTCAAGGTGTGTGTGTATGTGTGTGTGTATACAGAAAGAAAAAAGAAAGAGTGTGTGAGTGGAAGGAGAAGGGGCGTTCTTTGTGTTATGTGCAAGCTGCAAGTATTAAAAAAAAAAGTTCATTAGTATATGTGATGAAACAGGGTTTGGGTGTACAGTGGATGGGTGACAATGACGATAACGATGATGAAGATGAGGATGATGAGGATGAGGATGATGACGGGCACCCCGGATGGGGTTTAGGCCCGTTATGGCAAAAGAAGGGGATATATGAATGGCAGTGTCTATAAGGAAATATGCAAGGGACATCAAAAAGGTCTAGGAAGTTCTTCTTTTTTAGGTCGTCGTCGTGGTTTGCTCTTTCTTGTCGTCGCCACCAAAGGTGTGCAGGATGGCCTCGTAGCAAAAGAACATGATGGCCGCGTTGGGCACCACACGCATCAAGTGGGCTGTCATGCCACCATACAGAGCAGACACGCCCTCCTCCTTGGCCACCAGTCGCAAGCACTGCATCAGTCCCGTATATTTCCGAATCCCGTTCGCCTCTGCAGGCTGTCGCAGTCGTGTGCGTATCACCTCGTGAGGATATGTGATACATGCTGCCACAAGCTTCGCCACCGCCGCTGCCCCAATGTTGCCGATCCACCCTTCGATACTCTTGCCTCCAATGCCGTGCTTGCTGTGGTGGTGCGGCGCAATCCACTTTTTTTTCAAGTGCTCGTACGTCATCCACTGGATCGTGCCTTCCGCCACCCCCAGATACGACGCGCTCATCCCCTTGTACAGCCCGCGGATGCCCTCCTCTTTCAATATATGCAAGGTACAGTCTAAACTGTTGGTATATCGACGCACTGCTGCTGTACTGTTCGTAGGCTGCAGTTGCAGACGGGTCTTGACGACCCAGATAGGATTGGTTGCCGTGGACGTGACAATGCCTGCCGTTGCTGCTGAAACAAGGTGCACGCCTGGCGTTTCTTTGCCATTGTTCAGCTCGGTAAAGAACTTTTTGCCGTTGCCGTATGTGTAAAAGTTGATGGATCTATATATTCAAGCAGGGTTAATTTATCAGGGGGGGAAGGTGGCCCTCTGAGTATGCCCTTTTCATTGTTGCCTGTTGTTCTCCTAATCGAGTAGTATACATGCCTTGCAGGAATGACGCCAACCAGATTGGGCCCTAGGCCTTTAAAGTAGCCACGCATGCCTTCCACCTGTTTGATGCGTCTATTTGACATTCCCTTTGTGCGTTAACTCGACTGCTCAAACATAGGTTATTCCTACACACAAGAGATGCTTACACAAGCAGACGGCCAGTCTCCACAAAATGACCCAGTATATAATGCGACGAAGTTGTTTTGGACGGCGATCGTATGGCTTGTTGATAGAATGTAGACTAGGTCGTGAAAACAAAACATACATGGCAAAAAGTTAGCATAAACACATCCATTCTCTTTGCTTATGTATATATGTATATATATATTTTATACCTGTAATCTCGTTTTCACAACATCGAGTGGTGAAGTGCACACGGCACCAACTAGTCCACCCACACTAGAGAGCATACAGAAGGTCTTTTTAGAATACATATTTGAAATGGACAATAAACAAACGAAAGAGAAAAAGGCCCTCATTTACCCTCCTGCAACAAAGTGGACGTAGGATCGTGAATCTTTGGACGTCACTGTCAGCTTTTTTGGCTTTGATTCCAACTGTGGGGTGAATTGTGACAAGGTAGAAGTGGCGGTACTGCTTGTCGTTGTTGTCGTCGTTGACATGGTGGTATATATATATATATATATATATACAACTAAGAGAAAAAAAAAAGTTGACAAGTGCCCTAAAAAAAAAAGAGGCTGCTCCAGCTACAAGAAACTTCAAAATAAAAATCTTTTTCCGCTTTAAGAGGGAAGGCTAAACTATTGGACCGACTGCAAAGAATCCCATTGTTCCAGTCTCTTTTATCACCTTTATTCCCACAAAGGGGTTTCTAGTAAAGTGGTCATTGATCAAAGAGATACTTCCTTTCATAACATCTGCTATACACGTTGTATGTTTGAGTGTCGTGTGCACAAAGAAAAGAAGGCCACTCTTATGTCATGCTCGCTGTGGAGCCCCCGGTGGAGCACCAGTCGACTAACATTTCTTTTTGGGTAGTATATTACCAAATGGCACAAGCATTGTTGTTGATAGCATGGGATATCAGATAGTGGGACCTGTACCAAACAGCGTCATGAAGATGTAGGTAGGGGTCAAAGTGCGTCTCTCTCTCTCTCTCTTTTCTCTCTATGTGTGTGTGTGTGTGGGCAATTTAAACAGATTCATATCCGCCCGGGCTGTGACCGGCATCGTTCAACTTGAGAAAGTGTATTAGCCCCAACACGCTAGCCTCGTTTTCTTTTTCTTTTTTCTTTCCAACTTTTTTACTGGTCCACATCTTGAAAAAAAAGCATGCCAAAAATAAGAACACAACGCACCAAACGACCGCCAGAAGGTTTCGATGACATTGAACCAACGCTGGAAGAATTTGCCAGAAAGATGAAAGAGAGTGAGTTTTTTTGTTTTTTTTTTCTTTGTTCATGGAACACAATTGAATTCAATCGAGTTGAACTTTTTATTTCCCCTCTCCCCATCATCGATTGATCTTACTACGAAGCCTTACCATTAACCTTTTTTTTCTCTCTGTTTACACACAAACTAGTTGAGAATGAACCCCATGAAGGCAAACGGATAGTAGAAAGCGCTTGGCCAGTATTTCGCATTCATCACCAACGATCACGGTACATTTTCGACTTGTACTATAAACGTAAAGCCATTTCGCGCGAATTGTATGATTACTTGTTGAAAAACAAATATGCAGACGCCAATCTTATTGCAAAATGGAAAAAGGTGTGTGTGTGTGTGTGTTATTACATTTGTTGTTATAGAGGGACTGGGGGGGAAAAGGGGAAATAGATATTAAATTTCGTTTTTAATGTATGGAATACTCTGTATAGCCTGGATTCGAGAAACTGTGTTGTCTTCGTTGTATCCAACCGCGCGATACGAATTTCGGTACCACATGTATCTGCCGAGTACCCAAGACCAGGTTGGAAGAAGGCAAAGTGATCGAGTGCGTACATTGTGGTTGCCGTGGCTGTGCTAGTGGCGATTAAGAAAGAAAGAAGAAAAATAGAAAAACAACATGGGACGCCTCAACTTCTCCTATTACCACTACTACTACTACGACTGCCACCACCACCACAACGATTACTACTACCATCATTATCATCATCATCACAACAAACAGCATCATCATTGTCTCCTTCTTCTTTATCCGCAGCAGCAGCAGCAGCAGCAGTAGCCGTGACGAGTCGACATTTGAACGAAAGCCAAAATGTATCCAACGTCGTACTATTTTCATCCGGGTCCCTTCGACGCGGTTCTTTGCACAGCTGGATATCGACAAACTGATGTTTTTCCAATACATCTTTGAAATCCTGCACCGCAATAAACTGTTTGGTATTCCCTCTTCGTGTCATGGATGTTGTTGTGTCGGCTGCCACGTGGGTGCCTATAAAGATGCCGCCGGCTGGGTCGAGGAGATGTGTGGAAATATGGTGGATCAGGGTATGCAATTGGTCGAGTGACAAGAGATGGATCATGCTGCCGGTGTAGACCACGCCGGCTTTTTGGGTAAACTTGTTATTGATGGTGGATGATATACTAGTAGGTGTAGTAGTTGCAGTTGTGCTTAAAATATCGCCAGCAATGAATGTGATTGGACAAGTGGCACGGTCGCGAAACAGATCATAGCCACTCTCAATATAGTGCTTGTTCAGATCAATGCCGTAGAGCCTGTCACCGGGATAGCCGTCAAACATCAGCCGTCGTAGATCGGTGCCTGTTTGGTAATCATTCCAATCGAGATGGGCGAGAAAAGAGAGAGAGATTGAGAGGGTGTTTTTTTAAATTATTCCTTCTTTTTTGGGGGACTAGTACAATCGAATGTTCACTTTGGAAGCATTTGACAAGCAAAAACCCCTCAAAAAATGTCTCATCTTTTTTTTTCTTCTCTTATCCCCCACCTTTCAAACCTCTTTCTTTCTTTCTTTCTCTCTCCCAAATTTTCTACGCGCTAGGTGAATGGCTTTTTATTACCTGTGCAGCAACCGAGATCGAGGACAACAGGTGCTTGGCAACCTTGTTTTGTCATATCAACAAGTTCGCGGTAATAGAATCTGCTTGCCAGTCGAGACCCGACAAACTTGTAAAAGTTGATACACTTGTACCTGGGACCATACTTTATTTTTGGTGGGGGCGCAAAAAGTCGACAAAAGGAAGCAACACGAATTCATACAAACGTCAGCAAAAAAAGAACTTGAGGAAATAGGATGGACCTCACGAGTTTTTTTTTTCTTACCTCGCTTAAACGGGAACGAATGGCTTGCCAATGTCGAACAAGGTCCTTGTCATTGCTAATGCCAACATAGTTGGTGTAAAAACGACGAATAGCGGGATCTTGAAGCAAGTGTAGTGTTGCTTCTTGGTCCATAGAGTAAACCGGCAAAAGGTGTTGTAGGTTTAGGAGGTAAAAAGGGCAAGAAGATAAAAGAGACACTGGCTACTTTTAATAATCAGACAATAGAATGCTCTCCTTTTCCGTCTGTTCGGTAATATATATATATCAAAGTATCTGAACAAGTGACTGTCTCAAATGCCAAATCACCGAACTCTATCCACCATCACAGATCAAAAGAACGAATAAAGTAAAGCGCTATTCATGACAAATTGGAAATAATGGACTACACGGACACAAAGGAAGGCTTTTTGTTGCTACAAATATCTATCAAAGGGTTTGGACGGGAAAACGAAAGATAGACGAATGTAGAAACCATCCCGTTTGTGATTACCCAGTCGTCGATCTGTACAGCATAACGATCGGATGAACGGCTATCGGGTTTTTCGACGTGGAAGCATAACCGTGAGATTCGATAAAACGCGCTATACCCAGAGTACTGCTAGTGCTGCTGTTTTGGGCTCCTCGTAACCCAAACACATGTTTCTTCCCCCTACTATCTGTTGACATTGTATCTTGTCCATTACTGCTATTACTAACAACTACGACGACAACGACCGTTACATACAGAAACAAGCCTCCGCTAACCTAATTAAAACACATCACACACTCTTTTTATATCGGTATACAGGTACACAATTACACGGTCAGATGAAACAAAACTTTTTCCATGTACGCCACCACTATTGGCACCAGCAATAATGTAATACGTGGTTGATCATTCGTATCATCGTCTGCCCCGTCATCATTTGCTGACGACGACGATGACCAGTCGTCGTAATATCTTTGTTTCTTGGACAAAACGGTGCATCGTCTGGATCTCGACTAGTACTCCTAGTATCACTACTTGTCTATGTTGTCTTTATCAAATCATGAGAAGCCGACCCATTGTCTGATCTTCTTGCAGTTACGTTCGACCCACCACCTGCCAACTGTATCAAACAGCATTAGAGCACTCTTTAGAGAGACAGGATTCAGTGTATACGCGCCGTTTGAATCCGTGAAAAGACGACGCCGCCCATGACGAATCCGTCGGGTGCATTCGTGTACAATTGGATAACTGTACAAAGATGAACTAGGAAAAAACAAACGAGGGCACGTTTGCGGAATTTTGCTGTTAAGAGTGTTAGCATCAATAAAAGAGATGAATGGTTCTTATATATACGTTGTTGATATCCATGATTGCACCGTCGGTCCACTGTACATTCCGTAATCACTCATTGCATAGAGTAGATAGTACTAAATCGGTGGTACTAATGTTTAGCTGTTGGCTCTACAGGGTATCGTGTCCCACAATGGCTCGTCCGTATCCCACGACGCGTACAAGTCCGACGTGTCGCCCAGTGTTGCCCCTTGTGCTGTTGTCCACCGTAGCAACACAATGCACCAGAGACAAACGTGCGCAACCTATAGAGAGATGTATTAAAGATAAACTAGGAACTAGAAAAGAGGTGAAGGTATTGTTTGCTACAGAGCTGATATTTGTTGTGTGTGCTGCATGAATTTCGTGCTAAAGTCATACCGAAATTATATCGATTGCAACTGCAAGGATCGGTGTCTTCGTTTTTATCCAGACTATCACTATTACGCAAAAGTACCTCTCTCATCGAACTTTATATACTTATTGTGAGGTGGAAAGAGAGAACTTGAAGAATTAGCGAGATAAAGAGAAAGAGGAACAGTTACTGGTGCACGCGCGTGAGTTTCATTCTCTCGGTTGAATGTTGAATATTTTCACGAGCGTAAATGATAACTAATTGCACACGCGCATAAGCATACCACGGCACTGCACACACAACAGGGCTTTTCCGTCTCTCGCTCCTCGCAAGGAAAGAAGAGGAACGGCGAACCTTTTCATTTCGGCGCTTTTACAAATTCGTTCTATTCTCCACTTTCTTCTCTTTTCGCAGTTTAAGAGAGAGAGAGAGTGAGTGAGAGAGAGTATATGGGTTTTACCATGATGTAACGTGCTCAATATGAGTAAAATATAAATACACACTAGCAAAGCACGTTTTAAAGGAAGGATGACCGTAACTCGTTCAGTTTCTTCTCATCTGTATTCTTTACTATTGGGATTGATAGATAATGAGTTATTTGGTATGATAACAATATAAACCGATAGATGATGTAATACGGATCCTGTTTTCTTCTTTTGAAAATAGTGAATCTTCTTACAGGAGCCGTAAGCACCAACTTATTTTAAGCGGATCGTAATTTATACCAAAAGGAACTATATGTTAAGCTAAATGGGACGTAATGCACAGTAAGCGGTGCTCTTAACGTATATAAAAAACAACTGCAAAAGAGCAGGATTTTTCTCTCGGGCTTTATTTGAGCATCATTAATTCGGCAACGACAAGTAGTCTGCAAAGAGACGATCAGAGACACAATGTGTATTTGCTGTGGAAATAGTAGGCAACAATAAGGGAAAATTCGCTACATCTCTCTCTTTTTTATAACAAAACGAAGGCTATGAACGCGTATGCACAAACTCACACTAACGACAAGCATAACGGACGTAAATCAGCAGGACGCAAAAGTCTAGGAGTGAGGAGCGCAACACAGAATCTTTCTTTTTTGGATAGTGACAAAGTTACGCGTGTGTCAAACCTTGAACGTTCCAACAGCTTTTCCCTGAAACGAAAGCTATGCGCATTGCGACACAACGATTTGGCCAATTGACTTCGCACTCGAAATGCACAAAGGGATGGCGAGTGAAAAAGGTGATCAATGGAGCAACGAATTACGCGCAAAAGTGTCAAAAGCCAGAGGAAGTCATCGTTTGTAGTGTTATTCTTCTGATCGTCCCGATGGATCTTTAACGCTGCTTTGAGAGAACGTAGAAGCGCACAAAAACAAACGAACAGATTTACTATGTCAGCAGCAATGTAAAACACTGAAGGATGAGTCGATTTCACTAGCGGCAGCGGATACTTATTTATGAGCGGGCCAACTTATCTGCAGCAGCACATACTTGGGATGGAGGATAGAACGTTAGCAGTAGCATAAACTGGGATGGAGGATGGAGGGAGGAGGTTATACTGCGTGGTTCAGAGAACTGTTGGCGGATAGCGTAGATGGTAAAGCAACAGTTGACGAGCACGGTTGAATATAGAAGATACCGGGTCTTTATCATATAGTGCAGCGATGGGGGCATCTTTTTCCGCACACACATAACATTACGTACCACACACACAATCAAAAGACAATATTAAAGTACTGTGGATTTGTCTGTGAACTACGCTATATACACACGCTGTTTGTCTTGTTGGGTGAAGGACTGTAAACTGGCTGCTGGGTGGATGGTGTTCTCAATATTCACAGATGGTGAATTGTCTACCTTGTCAGTCACGCCTAATTCCGGCATTTACTGCTCAAAGAAAAATATTTCTTACGTGAATGTACATGCTCATTTGCATTCGTGTCTTTGTCTTTCGCTTGACACGGTGCCGTGCACGGACCCCTCACAACCAAGCGGCGACAGCATCGGAGGTACAGCAGCCCATGGTGAGAGACACGTACCACTACCGCCGAAGCACGCTTGTCTACTTGACCATCAGGTACCACTCCTCCTTTCATTTCCTTTGGTGCTGTATCTTTTGTTATGCCATAGTAGGCAACCCACAAGTTGATACGCAACCCGTTATCTGGGCCAATGAGAATTCACGGGGATTTGAAGTCCCGAACGAGAAAAATGTCTATATAAAGCGAGCAATTTCGCCTTTCTTTTTTCTCTTCTCTTCAGTTCGTTTTGGTACAGCTTTGGTCTGTAGTACAGATGCACTGTTTGGTGCCATGATCAGGTCATTGCTTGTGCTGGCTATTGTCATAATTCTACTGATGATCGGCAGATTCAGTGGTCCGCCCTGAAGAAAAAATTTGCAATATATACCAGTGGGAATGTGGTCATATACTCCGGCAGCCGATCGTGAACCTTCGGGTGCATGTGATGCCAACGGTATATGTTGGGATAATTGAAACGAACTTTTTTTTATTATTTATTACACACAAATAAGAAAATGATAAACAAAATAAAAATATATTTTTCTTTTTCGCACTTTCCGCATAAACGTTTTACCGCTTTTGCTTCGCCTTTTTTTTATGTGCACGACAAGTTCCTTATTTTTTTGCCCACCCACAGCTCCGTGCTAAACAATGCGGGGACAATGACAGTGGCTCAGTAACACGATCACAACGCGCTTTATCACGCTTTGGCACCGTTTTTCATTACTTTCTGTGCTCGCGTAGTTCTGTTCGCGAAAATAATGGAAAGGAAAAAAGCTGGTTCGGAGGATACAATCTGGTTTGCTTTTTTCACATGTATCATAAACGTTTGACTACTCGGGAAACAGCACGGATTGTTCTCTGTTAAACCATTTTCCCCGACTTATGCTCGCTACTAGCACTCAGCATCTAAATACTCATTTATTAGCTAGCGATAACATATTACCACATAAAACGTTGGATTTGGCCAGGCTCATGTGGCCATTCAAATGGTTTGTACAAGTACAGGTATATCGTGACAATATGTATCAAAAGATACATGATGATGACGAGCCATGTTCGCCATAAAAATGGTATTTGGGTAGCACCAGATGTTGTTGATGATGATGTTGGTCCGAGTTGAATGCAGTAGAAAAGAAAGGGGATGATAAAATATCGAAATTCGAGTAATGGCGATGGCACCAGCGTCAGGATTAGAGCCAGACCATATCCAAGACATACCAAAAAGCCTGTGTGACGCACTACAGGATGATGACGATGACGACGGGTTGATGATTTAATATACATACAAATACTTAAAGAACAATCCGGGTTTATGGATAAAAAGGAAAGAAAAGCTTAATTACCTAATGGTCGCAAATTGAACCAACCACTAACGACGTAGAACGGAATGGCCAAATAGCGTATGCTCCAATGCCGTCGGTATATCTTTTTCCATACGTAAAAAGTATAATGCCGATTATCACTGAGAAGGAAAGGATGTTCGTACCTAGAGATATTTTACATGGTCAAAAATTGTATATTCAAATGCAACCTTTCAATATTTTCCGTCTGCTCCTCCCTCCGATATATACACACGAATCCAAAAGTCCTTACGTATAATTGTGAACAAGGTAAAACATGCTTAATCCCACTAAAACAGATGCTAGGAGCCGTTTCAAGGTCGGATGGAAGAATGCGCGCAGATTGTCAGGCGTGAGTAGCCACGGCGCGGCAAAGAACGACAAAAACGACGAAAAGTAAAACAGTTGTGGGAAATGTAATCCAGCAATATGATTTGACCGATCACCCAGCACGATACCATTATTCCAGACAAGAAATGCAACAAAGGCCATGATGGTCAAGATAAACATAAAAAGTTTGCTGATCAGTAGCGGCAGTTTGCGTAATGCTTGCAATATCAGTTGTCGCCATTTCAGCACCATGATAGATGATGATGATGAGGGGGAAGAGATGGGCTGGTCGTGGAACGAGAGAAGATCCATGATAGAAATGGACATTATCACGCAGACCCATATCACATTGGTTTGTCGAAAAGTTAACGATACAAGACCGCTCTATATAAAAAAAAAAGTATCATAGTATTAGCCCACGTTTGCATTCGGACGTATCTATCTTTTTTGTAGCGAGTTCTCTATTCTCTTTCCGCCCACACCACACAGAGTCGCTAAAGCTTTACCAAACCAGCCAAAGTATAGCGCTTTTGTTTAGCCAAAAGCCAGGATAAAAGCACAAATAACGTGGATCCTGGATCGGTATAATACACAAAGTTGTAAAAGAAGCCAACGGGGAACCAAGTCAACGCCAACGTAAATACGTGTTGAGACCATCGACTTGTGTGAGGATGATGTAGAGCGACAAGACGACGTATCACTGGGTACAAGCATATAGCAAATACAATATTTATGGCGCGTAAACTGACTGTAGTATTACATATTGTAAGGATGCGACTAATCAGGTATCTATTGTTTCGTGTTAGTCATAGTGTCATTTAATCATTGCTATGAAAAAAAAAGGGAAAGACGAAGAAATAAATACATGCAAGCCAGGTGGTGTTGTCAGTTTTGGATCCCACGTGGCGAACTCGTTTGAGCAATAGCGTTGTGCCTGAGGAATGTGAAATATTTCGTCCTATTTGGAAACACCCAGATTATCAATAGCACATTGTGATGTTAATTACCTGGAACAAATGGAATGATGATGTTTTTATTTTCTGAATAAAAAAGGGGAGAAAGAAAACAAACCATGTAAGGATCAGGGACATGAAGATTAACAAGAGCTGCTGTGCATGCTAGTAACGCGCAATGCACGGGTAGCAGTGTCATTCTATTTTGAGGAAAGGAAGAGCAGTGCAAGAGGTGCAACAACAAATAAACACCGATTCCTCTTTTTGTGACACATGAAGACGCGTTAGGGCATGGCTGAGGTATTTATTGATGTAAGAGGTTATTTAAGAAATAGTACGGCTATGGATGGAATCATTGAGTCGCAAACCGATCATCTTCACTAGGACAGCGAACCGGGAACTTTGGGTCATATTGCAAATTGTCCAATTTCTCGCTTTTCGTCAAAAACATTTGATCCCATAGCACCTACATAACCATTGAGTTAAAAAGCAACCCATCTTTGCGTTCTCGTTAAAAAACAAAAACAAACCTTGGCGAAGAATTTATGCCCTTCTAAATTAGGATGATAACCATCCAGGTTACTGCAAAAAAAAAAAAATAGTGTTAATAGCAGCTTGTTATATAAAACGAGAGGAGGAGGGGATGTTCCGTCACTAAGGAAGCTGTTACTGCTACTAGTACAAACCTTATCATTCTATAGTCTACACTTTTCACATTAACGTCGGCAGACTGATAAATTACACCAAAAGTGGCATTGGGACCTTGTGGGCCAAACTGTTTTGCAAGTTCAGCTAGAGCAAAGTTGAATAGAGGAACGTTGACCGAAATAAATGCCTCCCCTACCCCAGATGGAAGGTCGTGACAGCAATAGCATTCTTTCGACTGTATGTCGAACGAGGAATCGTTGCAGAATCTTCTCATGTAGCCTTCCTTTGCCGGTGCGAGATTCTTCCATTGTTCAGCATGGGACAAGCCCACTTTTTTTTTTCAAGCAATACGGATTGTTGGTGTGGTATAGATTGACGGTGTAGTTGAGAAGCGTGTGAAAGTTCCGTGGATTTCAAACAAGTTAGAGAGAGCAAAAAAAGAACTTGTTAGCGACTGTAGTGATCGGTCCCACATATCCTAACCATTCTTTTGCAAATATCCTTCCATATCTGTGCACAGTCAAAAATGACAGTCAGAAGGGAAACAGGGGAGAAATAAAATAAAAGGATAATTACCAAGGTTAATAAGAACATAATCGACCTTATCTTGCAGTAATCGGAGACCTTCTATCATGCGAGCTGTATAATCTGCAATGGTAAACGTTGGGTGGCAGGATACCACCAAATCATTTTGCCCTAGCGAGATGGTGAGCACTTTCCATGCCCTGGCTAGAGGCGAATCTTTTCCAATCTTGGGGACCAGATATTCAATTTGGTCTTTAAACGAAATAGAGCCTCCAGCCAAAAGAGCAGCATTGAACTTGTCCATGGATTCGCTGATTTAATTAATCATGATAAACGGACATTGCAAATTAGTATACGAGCGTACCTTCTTCTTCTTTTCTGTTTCTCCTGTTTCGGTATCAACCTTACTCACTCATGACTCGAATGTAAACAAAAGAACGTATCTACAGCAACAGAATAAAAATATACTCGTGAAGGCAAGTCAGCCCTTTAAAACCAAGATAACAGCGTTAAAATTTATCAATCATTACCTGGGCAAACAGGCATTTGCCGTACACCAGATGACGGACCGATCACAGGCTCTTGCCGATAATAATTTATGAGATTAGGTAGCGTAGTAAAGCCTTTGTCCTAACAGAACACGTTAACGACGTAAAGAAAAATAACAGCAGCGGCATAATTCGTGTGAATTTTTTTTGGCAAATGTGTACTCTACAACTGCTGCTGCTGCTGCTGCAACAACGACTGTGGCTAATTACTAGTACTTGGTTTTGAAGCGCAATAATGGCAGCGCAGTATTCTGCGATCGATTCAGTTTGACTTACACCGCCGATAGAATAACTGACACCACGGTATTGTTTGAATGACTCTCCAGTAAGGCATTCGGTTTCGTCATTTTTTGCGGCGACGCCGGCGATAACACTAGCATTATCATGGTATTCCAAATAGTACTAAGTTAGAGAAATAGTGGATACAAAAAAAATGTAAAAGTAGTACCTGTCACCTATAGCAGCAATAGCCTTAATATCATCCGGACGCAAATCATGGATACTAGTGGGTCGTTCTTTGCGCGGCTGTAGCTTGGGACATTGGCTGATATCGGGAGCATACACAGGCGAGGGGGCTCTTTGACTGTCTTTTACTTCTCCTAAACCTCCTACTAATTCTGCGCTAGCATAGTGACAAAAGAGTGCCAACAAAACGAGTCGATTTGATACAAGCATTATCAATCGAAATGTCTTTTAGAACGGAAAGGAAAAAAGAAATGAGAGAAGGACGGATTAAACAAGATGTTTATCGGTGGAAATACTTTTGAAAACAGAGGTCATCGTCATTATCACCCTATCCGTAATAGTTTTCCTTGGGATTAAACATGTTACAGTAGACCTCCGTCTATTATCGCAGTGGCATTTTCTTATGAAAGGGGTGGGAAAGTTAGCGGGGATAGATAAATACGCTTGCTATAGTTCGTGTTAAACTAATTGATCGTCTAATATATGCATATATTCACATTTCTGCATATCTCACTATCTAACCTGCTCCAAACGAACTAGAAACTAATGAGAAGTATTGCATTTTACCAATGCTCAAGGTCGTTCATCTGTTGTTATCAACATGGTCAATACGAATCACCAGTTTCAGGAAGATGTTGTCACTATATAAATCACGTAATTCACAAACATGTCTTTCTATATCTTGCAGCTCTTATACTGTCTTTTTTCCTTCATTTCACATAGCTCAGATAACCCTTCCCATTGAGATCCGTCTATTTTACATATATTTTTCTTTGAATATGCTTTGTTTCGAATTAATACCGTATGACTGACCCACCCCCTTTATGCGTCCAACCCAGCCCCGTTCCATCCCTGGGAGCTATTGAGGGGTGAAAGTTAACGTATATGAAAGTAACGGGGATTCACGGTAAAGGTTCATTGGTAAGGAGGCGCAACATTATCGTCCCGACAATGTGCTGTTTGCTACTGGTTTTATAGTGTGTGTCAAAAAGGCTCCTTGCCGCTTATAAGGTTATCGTTGGAATGTATCATCATGGCATTATTGGTAGAAAGTGATCGTCGTCTCCTGACTTCTTTTTCTGTACTTCACTGGTTCCTTGCCCTCCATCTCTACTACTTCTTCTATATTACTACTTTCAAATTAGTAGGCCGTCGTTCTTCATCATCAGAAAAAGTACGTCTGTGTGACATGTTGGTCTATTGCTGTTGTTATGGTGGAAAAAGAATAAAGAAAATGAAAGGAATGCCTTTCAAAAGTATTTAAGCTTACACTTCTGAGTGCTAGCGAACAGTAATCCATACATAATAGTATATTCTCTTTCTCTTTGCTACTTACCTATATATACTGTTGAAATTGTATTCTCGCCTATGTCCGATATATCACTTACTGTGCCATCACTATACATTCTTATTATCTTGCGTTTCAAACCTTATCCGTATAAGCCCAACTTGAGTATAATCTTAATTTCATGCCTTATGTTCTGAGTCACGTCTTTCTCTCTTCCCAAATCATTCAATGAAATTGTCGCGACACTTTTTCGTTCACTGTTTTCAATTTGACAAAGCTACAATATATGTTATATTAAAATTTGATATTATAATATTTTGAATTGGGCGCCGCGAGAATACGAGCCATCTGCATGCTCAGCATCCTGCGATCGGCCCTCATGTTTAGCGACGGCATACGTGCAGGAGCCGTCTCTGCTATAGTGTTTCGCCAAAATTCGCAATTCGCTCAAAATATTCAACAATCTATTCGGTACTGGAGGAAGCACGCCCGTTAGGGTCCTCTTGTAGAAATGGTTGGACCGATATTCAATGCTGTATACGATCCGTTACCGCTTCACATCGAGCACTTTCTAGATCAGCACCAGCGTGTCCTATTTGTGGCATTCGGGCAACATACATTGGCTAAAGAGCACGAGACAAAACAACTTCTTGCAATGCTATTACATATGCAAGAGACCCATTTAATTGATGGATTCATTCGGGGCTCAGGAACATCACATCTGCCAAATGTAGTCCTTCTGGGAGCATATATAACGTAACGCATCTATTGGGACAGCAGCACCCTGACGTCCGTCTGTTACATTGGGCCCCTCAATTTGCGATATTGAAGCATCCTTCGGCTATTACGTTTTTGACACACGGTGGCGGGATGTCCTTATTCGAGGCACTTTATGCGGGCAAGCGCACGATTATCCGACCGTTTGTTCACGACCAACCTGCAAACGCCTTTCACTTTGAGCATACGCAGCTTGGCGGGTACCTGAATATGGACGATCACAACGGTGCTTTGGAAACGTTCCGATGAGTTATTGAAGGCATAGATAACGTCATTCAGAAAAACGTGGATCAATACCAAGCTATATTTCAAATCCATGCCCAGCGTGGCGTTGACCGAGGAGCCGATTTGGTCGAAGAAGTCCTTTTTATTAGTGTAGAAAGTGTCTGAATGTGTGCCTCTTTGAGATTTGCACGTCGCTTTACATATGGGTTATGGCCCGGTCCGTCGAGCCGTTGTTCCGGTACTTAGCAGAGCAAAAGGGGTGTCTTCCTTGCTTTATACATCGTGCGGGCCAAGTTTGTGGCGATACTGAGCATGGTATATGGAATGGTCAGGGAGGATATCCCGCTCATGGTCGTTGGTTGCAGGCATTGTGCCCGAGTACCATGCTGAACTGGAGGGGAAACTCGTTGTCTGTGCAGCAGAATGCATCGTGGAAAAGCATGCCCAGATAATTGGAGATAGTTACAGTAGTCGTAATTAGTCATACGGACAACATCATAGGCCAAGCAGCGAAATCCTTTTTAAAGTGAAACACTCATGCAAAGTGTCCTTTTTGTATGGAGCAAAAGTAGACATTCCATCCAGTAAGCCGCCGTAAACCCAAAGACTGGAAAGAGCTGCTCAAGCTAAATCACGGTTTACCTGGAAATGGAGCTGACCACGGATGAACATTAAAGCGCTTTCAGCGATGGAAAAGAATTCGAACAAAAAAGTGAGGGTTGAATCATCTTGGTTTGTCGTTGTTTATGTTTGGAAAGAAGGAAACTCAATTGGGTCTGAAAATAAGCGTCTGTGTGTGCCGTGTGAATCTGGTCCGTCCGCGGGTCTGCGCTTGTTTCAGCTACCTTTTAATTGGGCATATGTCCCCGCCCCGCCCGAGCGATGGTAGACAGCGAGAAAGGGGAGAAAAAGCCTTATTCCTTCTGATGTTGCGTAAACAGACCAAAGATGCTGTGTGTAACGAGTTGCACAGAAAGTCGACATGTTTGGCTAGTACACAGTGGGAGACGTGGGACTGACGCCACAGAGGCCATCTCTTGAGAGGAAACATACAAGCTTTGTTTGATCTGGGAAATATGGGTCATTTAGACGATTGGGGGAATAGCAAGAATGGACGCAATGGAAGATTAAATAAGCGTCGAAGTAAAGTCGAGAATAGCCATTTTTGGTAAGTCTCTCTCATTGTGTTGTCCCGATCGCTCGCGTGGGTCCGTGAAAAAAGAAAAATTTGGTGACGATCTTTTCTGCTCGGCCCGGTGAGACCATTGTTTTCGTTCAGATCGTTCGTCGAAATCTCCATTGAGCTATATGTCCTTGAAGGAACGACGACGGCTCTGTTGCTGATGCCCATGCACTCTTTAAGAGGGCCTCTCGATGGGACTGCTAGGCTGGAATGTTGGGCAACAGCAAAACAAAGAAAGCGCCATGCACAAGAAGCGTGGCATGGGCTAACGAACCCCAAAATGTTTCATACAAATAAAAATAATGGGTACCTGTCAATCATATACTCTGATAAGCACGCAAGGACGCCTTGTCGGAATATCCCATCTGTGCCATTCCGGGCTGTCAATGGTTAGGTCTCAGCAAGCTGAGGTGAACCAACTACGTAATGGCAATAAACGTGGCGAAAAGGTCCGCGCGCGCTCGTCCAGCAGGGTTTGTTGTCGGGGAGCGGGGACGATCAGATCGCCCCCAAAAACTATAAAAACCACCTCTGGCACTTTCGGCTTTATTTTTAAACTTTTTTCTCTCTCCACGCTATACTTTTAAGCTCTTTCCTTTCCTTTCCTTTACAACTTTTCGTTGTCCTCCAGATTGTCACACACACACACACACACACACACACACACTCGCTCTGCATCGACATTATTACGGATGGATATCAACGATCTACTGAACAATCAAAGTGACCCGAAGCAACACGACCAAGAAGAAGAACAACAGAACCAATCACAGCCACAACCACGACAGCTGCAGCCACGGGAGCCACAGCCACACCAGCAAGAACAAGACCATGTGCAAGAGCTGCCAAAACCCACAGGCGGTCCAAGCGCACAGGTGCATGTGTGTGAATGGCCCGGTTGTCCAAAACGGTTCACACGACGCTCGGATTTGGCAAGACATCAAAGAATTCATACCGGTGAGCGACCCTTCCAATGCGACTGGCCTGGCTGCAACAAGCAGTTTATCCAACGCAGCGCCTTGACCGTCCATACAAGAACTCATACCGGCGAGCGTCCTCATGTGTGTGAAGATCCAAGCTGTGGAAAATCATTTAGCGACGTAAGTTTTCTCATTTTATTAAAAATGACATTTTCGTAAAAAAAAAAAAAAAGCACTTCACTTGATCTCATGCTTCGATTCTTTTATTTTTTGACAGTCGTCCTCATTGGCCCGTCATCGTCGCACTCATACCGGAAACCGTCCATACGCCTGCCACTGCTCTAAATCATTCACCCGCAAAACCACCCTACTACGCCACCAACGCACTCATCACACTAATAATAACAGCGCGTAAGTGACAGGCATCTGATCATATGAGAAATTGGAAAATGACGACGCGTTGAAACTAAATATCCTTTCCTTTTTTCCACTCAGTACATCGGCTGGCTCGTTGTCGCCTGCTAGCACAAGCGCTGCTGCATCTCCTCCCTCGCCCCCACCTACACAGTACCCGTATCCAATAGCATATTCTATGGGTTATTACACTTACCCATACGCATATACAATACCAACACCACCAGCACCACCACCATCATCATCATCATCATCTTCATCTTCATCCTCTGTACGATTGCCACCTCTTGCCACAGCTTACCATCATCAAAGCACCCTGCGTTCCACATGTGAACTCCTGCCCTCCAATATACCATTGTAAATTTTAGTGTTTGCTTTCCATATATTCTTTATATACAACATCCAAGCTATAGCATGACAATATCAATAATAATATAAACAAAGATGAGAGAAACGAATTGATCGAAATTTTATCGCAGACTGTTGCTTCGCCGCATAAGTTTTCGTTCATTGCCCACCAACTTTCCATCGTGCTCAAAGATACGCCAGAACTTGAGGTTTTCATCAGCGGCAGCAGTGGCAACAACCTGCCCGTCCGGACTCAGTGCTGAGTGTAAGATCCTGGACTCGTGGCCGGGAATGTCAACAATTCTGTTCAATGCTGGATAACCCCACACCGTCAGCTGATTTTTGGGATAGCCATGGGTCGACACGATCTCGCGATGATGTTTCGACCACAACAGTGAAGTAACTTGCGAGCCGGTATATACACTTTTGACCTTGCCACCGTGGGTTGAGTTCCAAAAGTGGATAAGCGTGTCGTCTCTTCCACCACCGGTAGCAACCAAGTTCAAATCCCAAGGGCACCACGCAATAGCCTAACAAGAAAACAAAACAACAATAATTGTAAATGATCACAAAGACACCAAGGAACCCATTGTCCCGCCCCGCCACCCCCCCCCCTGACTGTAAAACTGAATACCTTGACAGCACCAGAATGGCTTGTCTTACTAAACTTGGGCTTGGTCAAGCGAGCATCCCACAGATGGACCGTGTTATCGTTGCCACCGCTTGCTAACATCATTCCATCCGACCGCCACTCCAAACCACACACTTCATCCACGTGGCCATGGAGCTCGGACACCTTGTGGTTAGCCGCACGCACGTCATGGTGCCAGATACTGCCATCACGGGCGCCTGAGGAAACCATGTATTTGTTCCACGAAAGAACGCCCACGCGGCCCATATGGCCACGCATGGATCGAAGTTTCTGGTTGGCTTCTACATCCCAGATCTGCGTATCGCCAGAGTCTGTGCCGACTGCTAGGAATTGTCCGCTTATTTCCCATGCTAGCGAGGTGATTGCGTCTTCACTGCTGTAGTCCAACGTCTTGATTGTACCGTAATCCGCATTCCAGAGATAGATTGCCTTGTCCAAAGCTACTGCAACAATGTTCTGGTTGGACCAGTCGAGCAGGTTGAGATAAAAGTCGTCAGTCATGTACGGTGCGTCTAGGATTTTTTCTGCTGCCGTCAGAATTCGCCGTGTTGGAAGTACTCGTGACGATCTGCTAGTGTCGGAGGCGGCGCTGCTGATACTACTACTACTACCAGCAGGGCCTGCTTTGTGCTTGTCGCCAGAAGCCCTTTTTGGTGTTTCTGCAGAATAATTAAGGATACGCTGTTTGGGATCGATGCCTACAGCTTCTGCAATGTGCTCGCGATATGCTTTTTCACTGTGTTCAAGGTATTGCGACGTGTCTTTGTTGTTTTTGGCAAAGTGGTAGTGAAGTGACGCCATGCCATTATGGTTGGGTATGAGCCGGTCATACTTGTTTACAATGGATGGGGGTGGGCCCGCGTTTTAGCATAATGTTCATACAGACTGGTTTCGGCAAATTTCCCCCCTCTATCCTCATGAACAAAAAATTAATTATACGTGTATACCTGCGACTTTTTGCGGGTCTTTGTAGTAGGTGCATTAAGCCAGTCTTGACATATTTGATCAGCCGTGGAATCCATAGAAATTGAGCGTCGAAGGTAACTGGTAAGATCCGATGACTTTTTTTTAGCGTTGAAAATGCTGCTTTTGCCTTTTGACGACGACGACGACGACGACGGCGACGGCGGCAACGGCGACGTAGACTGCGAAGCTCTTTTGCTGCTATCTTCTGCTCTAGGCTTTATAGTACGCAAGTTATTGAATAGGGTTTGCTGCTGTTGGGACGATGTGCTAGATTTCGGTTTTCTAATTATAACCCGTGATTGGGGCTTCAGTGAATTTCTTTGTTGCTGTTGTTGTTTGCTTGAGCATGGGGCCATTGAAGACACATTGGGGCGCGTCGGTTTTGGCAATGTCGCGTTGATCGGCTTGAATGGAAGACGGCCATCCACCAAGGCTGTTCGCGTCTTGGTAGACCTTTGCTCGTTTTCTTCCTCGAGTGGACTTTGCGGCATCGATCTATATGCTGACCTTGTGTGGAGAGCGAGGGAGCGAAAGAGAGAGAAAAGGCAGAGGATAAGAAAGGGAAAAAATTCGGCTGTGATTTGCCTATGCAAAAAAAAATATAAAGTCGTTTTACTTGAACAGCCGACACGGCTCGTGACTGAATAGGTAGGCCCTTTGTGAACTTGGTCGCCTCTTTTCTCTTTTTTCCACGTATACAAAGGAAAAGGGAAGAAAGTTGATCGCTGAATGAGCTTATTCTTGGGGCACGGCAAGTGTAGTTTTCTTTATTCCAATGGGCCCTTCGAAGTGGTACGTGTTGTTATTAAAAGTCAGGGTTTCTACTACATTTGGACTGCAATTAAACAAAACTTTTGGGTCGTACCCCGTATCTCAGAGTTGCATAAGGACAAGGGGTACATACAACTTAGCTTCTGTCGGTTTCACAACGTACACACGACATAACACCTTGAATGTGCTACTTTTACTTGGCAGTAAAACACCTTATGAGACCACTGCAGACTATTATAAAGCACGGCAGTGACAACAAAGTGATCCACAGGGACAAAGACGAGCAACAGCATCCATTAAAGTGCCTCGAATATTTCGTAGCACTAATGTCACATGAGACCCGCTTAGCACCTTCCCATAACGAGATGTTTCGTTACACCACACAGCCATTGTGTACTTTGATACACAAATGAAACCAGTGTCATTGCGTATATTTTATGTGCAGATGGGTGCTACAGATAGACTGGTGGTGAATGGTTAGAGTGTATGATCCGTCATGATCACAAAAGATAGATTAGCTGAAGGAGACAAACATATGCAATTATGTCTCAAAAGCCAATAACAGCCGATCGCCCAATTGGAGCAACAATGCTATGATAACAAATAACCCGATGGATACGTCAGGGAATGCGTCGAAAGTAACAAAGATGTATACGAGCTTTTCCTGTCGTTTTTATCAAAACTTTCAGGATATAATAATTACTGATGCAGTATATTGTTTAAGATTTTATTAGGCTGCGATACCCGCATAAAATTGACAGCAATAGCTGATAATTTAATAAACAACTAGGTCTTGTGGATATAATCAGCCAGTTGCTGCCATGTTCAACTGCTCGAAAATGGTGAGAGCGATAATACTAGTGTCTGGTATCGCATTGCGCGGCAATACTTGGTCGATTGATTTGTTGAACTGTGACCCAAAGAACGCAAGTAAAAATCCATGCGCCTCATGGCAATCGATAAAATCACAGTAATAGAGAGAAAATATTACAGCAGTGATATAATGGCGGTTATTTTAACTATGATGATGTCACATCAACAATGAGTAATTAAAAAGAACAGAAAAATCCTCTCCACTCACCAAATCATTCAGCTAGCCAGCGGGAGTACTTCTTTACAACGAATGTCATATGTTTAGTAGTGCGACACACCAGTCGCAATTACCAGCAAATATATCATAGCGCTCCTTTTTGCGGTATATAGAGTCGATTAACTTGTGTCTTAGAGCAGCTTATTTCAAAGCATATATTCTTTATCGTCCTTTGCTAATAGCTACGCACATGCAAATCTATCTTACGCTTTTTGACAACTAGGACCATGCTATCTCCAAAAGAATGTGCATACACTTACTTTAACGTTTCACTGCCCTCGTTTAATAAGGATTGCATCTCTATCCGATATCATTAGCGTAAGGCGTCCGTAGCAGCACAAGGAAGCATAAATTAAACAAATGGAAGCCTTTGTACTACAATATATGGATCATCGCGAGGCTCATTTTCAAATAACGGGGAAATATTACCTAATGAATTTATTACTTTCGACAATCATCAAGTAGTAGAACGCATACATCACATGGACTTCTTTGCTCTCTTGTTATGCTGTTGGTGTGGAACAACTTACAACTGAATCTTCAAGGTAAAACATATTATATTGCTAGAAAGAAACACGTACGGCTATTCCTTGGCTATCATGGCAGAAAAGAACGTTAACTGATACGTGTTTTTGCTTTGTGCTTTTTATATAACCAGTGTTGCAAAAGGGTGATTCTTGTTTTTAATAATTATGTTGATGATAGATGCAAGGGAGCGACAAATTACCCAACAAGTATCTGGGGTCAGACTTGCTGCTGGTACGACTGCCTCGCTGAAACGTTTTGAGAAGCCAAAGATAATGCACACTAATAGCTACAATGAAGAGGAGTCGTATAGCTAAAAATGTATATAATAATATTCTGTACTCCAAGTAAGTCTAAAAAGTGCGTATAAGCTAACCAAACAGAATACGAGCATGTATAAAAGCCGGTTTGAACCGGTAACTTTAGTAGTCAAAGGAGGAGTGTAGTATGAGGCGAACTGCGAGAGATAAAAATATAGTATGAATGTACAGCTACATGTTGTTTCTGTTGCTTCAAACCAAAGGAATGCTAATATATGTGTACGTATATATCTATTACAAGGTTACTTTCATCGGGTCGTTGCCATGTAGCGCACCACAGTTCAGGGATCAAACGCGTGTCTGTGTGATATAGTGCATATTTGGGCTAAAACCCAGGCCACCAGCAAAATTGGTGATCTGGTTGCTCAGTAATGTTCCTTAGCCCTTCGTATACGAAAAAGCCTTCTCTTTTTCAAATGGAACTTTTTTCTTCGCCCAATGAGCCTTAACAACTCGATTGATGCCTCTTTTTCAACGTTGCGCGCTCCAGCTGTTATTCCCAGTGACAATGTCTACCCTGTGCATGCTGCTGCATTAGCAGGATACAAAGCAAGAAATCCCGAGGTCGTGCAGCATGTCATTGCTTTGAAAGGAGAAGCTTCAAAAAAGAAAAAAAAATACTTGGTCTGCCTGCCAGCCAGAAAAGTTGTGGAAAAATTTAACTGGTAAGCTCAAGGTTGGCTTGATAGGTTTTTGCCGTAATGTTAGCTAATAATAATAACTTGAAATAGAAACGAATGGGTGTACAGAAGTTTATCGCTATAAAGTGCAACCTGGTGTTTTTGAGGTCGATGACTCTGTTACCGAGATGAAGTTGATCCGCTTTTTAAACGAGGCTATCGTGCCAAGAGGCAACCGCAAGCGCAAGCGCGATGACGGAGATGTCATGACAAACTGGGCTACGAAAGCTATCAGCAGTATATAAAAGCCAGTGTCGACCTTTACCGCGATCAAGTTGCAGCTGGACAGCATAATAACCCGCGTCCTCGTAGACAAAAACTCAACACTTGGGGAGAAAAGAGAAACAGGGCAATGATCGCCAGACACGTCGTGACAACTATGTTGACCGAGGTATCGGAACGCTGCAGGACGGCTATTCGTTCGAAAGAAATGGTCGATGTTCCGCTCTACTTTTTCGCCCGTTGTACCGAAGCAGAAATGCGAAACCGAGCAACATTTCTAATGCATCATAGGATGATAGATGTTCGAGTATGCGCATATGGTACCATTGCATTTTACTTCTTCCACCGCTTGCACCTTTCCAATGAGCCTTTCCCGGAGTTTAACAAGCATGAGGACTGGTATGGGATCAAACTGTTGAAAGGAAAGGATCGCAAAAAAAAAGACATGTCATATACGACACAGAATGAGGCGATCGGTCGAGCGTTCGAGGCTTGTAACATCACCAGCCTGTACACGATCCATTCCGGACACAAAACAAGCGCACGGGATGCGGAATTGCATGGCGCAACAGAAGACCAACTACGACGCCACGGTTGCTGGAACATGCAAAGCATGGAACGGCACTATCTGGGAAATCTGTCTAGAGGCTCAATCCGGGCAGTCAATGGCTTTCCTTCGGGTCAAGGAGCCTATTGGCTTCCTCGTGCTAAAGTTGAACCGTCTGAGGCACTACAATCTAAGATCTCCCCCAAGTGGATGATTGGTTGAGACGCGTTGAAAGTGGCATCGATGGGCAAGGATCAATTTCGGCCCAAGACTTTTTGCGCTTGCTAAAAGAGAATGCGAACTATCATCTTGCAAGACGCAGCAATATTGTGACAACAATATCCAAAGCATCGACTTTTCCAGCATCCAACTATTCCAGGGCGAAGATTTGAATTGTCGTTGGTGCATGCCGTTCGTACAACACGATCACCAACCGAACTGCGTCTACAAAACGCTATCCCCGATGTAAGCTGATCGTCTTGACGCAATCGATACTAAGGTGGAGATGAATCAGCGCGTTCAAGCAGAAACATCACGCCGCGAGAATGCAGAGCTTAAGCGATACATAACAGCAATGGATGGAAAGGCTTGATCGCTTCATTTCTGGTCACTTTCCGCTTTGTACCTGGAGCCATGCAACATGAGGCTGCAGCAACAACAGCAATTGCGGGGTCTGCTTGGATACCAAGTCCCACCATAAGACAACGGTCCAGCCGACGCATGAACATCGTTAAACCAGTCCAAGCTATTGCAGAACAGAAGACTGGACTTGACGGTGACGCGACTCGCGCAGCTGAACAGCTTGAAAATGTACGCGTAATCAGAAAACCTACGCTTAACCAACTCATTCTTGATTTTAGAAAAAAAAAGATGAGCCTGCAACTCTTGCTGCTCTTGACGTCGCCAAAACTTTCAGATAATGCTTTGATAGCAGACCATCATCATCACCCCTCCCGCTTACAGATATGTCCCCCCTTTTTAACCCTTCTTATATCCTAGCATAACTTTTATTCCCACTGGGGTTTTTTCTCAGTTATTGCATCTATTTCATACTATAATTTCATATCACATTCCATAGTACAGTTTCATTACCTTTTTTATCTAACGTTGGTCCCTTTGTAACGGTTTATGATCGGTTTTTCTATATGTGAGCATTTCTCATATTGAAGGTAGCGTGTTCGTCAGTTTGCACAAAGTGATATTTCGTATGAAACATGTGAGCACATACTTACGAAAAGAACAGGTTCTTCGGTGCAAGTCAAAAGTAAAAGCAACCACGCACAACGAGGAGAAGTAAAACGAATACTCTATCATAGTCAAATCATATCTTGGCTACATGTAATGATTGTTGCTATACTTTCATGCCAGCGCTTTACGTCTGTGACTTGGGTAAGCTAAATTGACAGCAATTGAAGTGTACAGGGACTATTGCTTCGAATCGAGCCATTCTCTGGAAATACAAACCATAATAATACTTTGTAAAGACCGTTGTATTGCGGGTCTGTACTGCCTTCTGCTGGAAACGTCCACATTATTGCAGAGGTTATTTAGACAGGTGAATGAATACAAGCGTGTATATGATTATCGAGGTACTTCATGTAACTGTCAAATGTAACTATGACCACGCTAGCTTCTGCTTTCTTATTAAAATTTATCACAACAATAGCTTCTATAGACTCTTTCTGATGCCAACCTTTGATAAAAATCAAATACAATATCAAAAGCATCTTGCTGTATACGTCTGATAGTAAGAAGAATCACTTTATCGTGAAGTAATGTTAATAAAATGCCTCTTTGTATGAAATTGATCTAAGAGTAAACGATAATCTCACGTATAATCGCTTAGCCAACGAAAAGGAAGAGAAATATTCATGCACATTTTGGGGCTCTACAGGTTGTTCGTTTGACTAAATAGTCAATGAAGGACGGCTGCTACTGTTGAGTGCCGGTGACTTGATTAATTGGAAAATGCTGGTGCCTATACCATCGCGCCAGCTTCTAATTTTAAGAGCTTCGAGAAGCCAAAAATATATTTTATATTAACATGCTCCAATAGTAATAGAGTCAAACAACTCAAAAATATGTGCATTAACCATATCATAAGGGTACTTTGAGATAACGCCGACATGTCAATTCAGCGGGAAATCTGATTGGGAGCTGGCGCTCATATGTCCTCTTGGGCACTGCAGCCGATCGTATTTCCCTTCCCAAACCAACATGGTATGTAATTAATATATTTGTGTGGATGGATGGGGAGTGCATGCATATATGAGATGATCATAATGAATCTGGATACGGATGGATGAAGGATGGATTGTATAGATGGATACTACCATTTATATGAGAAATATATATTTTGGCAACGGATCGGAAAACCTCTCGTGGAAGTGGATATCCAGTTGTGATGCATGTTAAAATGCACGGTGGACATTATGACTTACAACAAAATTTAAACAATTTATTTCACGTAACAGGCTGATCAGCAGCAGACTACTCAGAGAAAGAGAACTTTCCGCAAGTTCACCTACCGTGGTGTCGACCTTGACCAGCTCTTGGACTTGTCGTCTGAGCAATTCATGGAGCTCGTCCACGCCCGTGCCCGCAGACGTTTCCAGCGCGGTTTGAAGCGCAAGCCCATGGGTCTCATCAAGAAGCTTCGCAAGGCCAAGAAGGAGGCTGCTGCTGACGAGAAGCCCGCTACCGTCAAGACCCACCTTCGTGACATGATCATTGTTCCCGAAATGATTGGTTCCGTCGTCGGTATCTACAACGGCAAGGTCTTCAACCAGGTCGAAATCAGAGCTGAAATGGTTGGTCACTACTTGGGTGAATTCTCGTAAGTGCAGTTTTATCTGGATATCAAGCGGATTGTATATGCTTGTAATATGATGAGAGGGGAAAGGTCAAGGAAACAGAGATTAATTAATGCTCTTTTTTTATAAATTGAATAGCATCTCCTACAAGCCTGTTCGTCACGGTCGTCCCGGTATTGGTGCCACCCACTCTTCTCGTTTCGTTCCTCTCAAATAAACAAAAAGAAGCCTTGTGCAGTTGTGTTGTGCTTATATATATAATATATATAATATAAATTACAAATGCTGTTTATTACTTTATATTTCATGCGATGCTTTATTTCATTCATATCAGTCTAGTAACTCCAAATGACCCTTGATTGCACCACCAACACTGACGCGATCAATCAAAAACGTATCATGACCAAACATGGCATCTAGCTCATAGTATGTGACACGCTTGTTGCCTCCTGCCCTGAGGCATTCGGCAATCTCCTTTTGCTGCCACACGGGGAACAGGATATCAGACTGGGCACCAAGAATCAGGGTAGGCATTGTGATGTTTCTCATGCCGTCAATCAAGTCCTGGACAGCCGGATCCGTTTCCGTCAAAGTCGTCAGTGTAGGTCGCTTCTTTTCAGCGGCCGTCGTAGCACTTGGTGCAGCACCAGCATCATGCATCTCGAGAGCAGACTGATCGCCCACAACTTGGGCAAATGTTTGTTTCTCGTGCAGAAGCTTTTCGATCTTGTGTCCGTTCCTTCGTCGATTGTCCTTCAATGCGTCTATGGATGACTTGGACATGTCAAAGATATCCATGGCCTTGGAAATGTAAAGCAAGGAATTGGCGTCGTATTGCAGGCAGAAGCGTTCGCCTTGATGATCCAGATACGTCTCGATCAAAAAGTCGGGGCACAGTGCTGGAGTTTGGCTTTCTTGTGCGCGTTTACGACCAAACCGGAGTTCCCATTCAGGGCCTGATCGGTAGCTGATCGTAGCAATTTCTCGTGACAGTTTCATGCCCACATGTGGGGGCACTCCGTTATAATAAAAGCCCTTGTTCCAGTTAGGATCAGCCATCAGTACTAAAAATGTAGAACAGTAATGAGTGAGTCAACCGCCCCTCTCTGGTAACATAATTTTCTTTAACGACCCATTTACCTTGACGTTGAGTATGTCGTAAAGCAATCGAATAAGGATGTGACCGCGCGCATGCTGAAATACTGATCAAACGCTTGACGCGATCTGGGAACAGCGAGGCTGCAGCAATCGACTGCATACCGCCCATGCTGCTTCCAACACTTGCATGGAGCTTGTCAATGCCCATATGGTCTAACAATAAGAACTGTGCACGCACCATATCAAACACCGTGATAATCGGAAATCGGGTAGCATAGCGCTCCCCATCAGCTGGATCGATGGATGATGGGCCCGTCGATCCATAGCAACCGCCAATCACGTTGGTACAAATCACATAAAACTTGTTGGTATCCAAGTAGCGTCCTGGACCGATAAACTCCTCCCACCAACCCGGCTTTGTATTTTTGGCGTGCGACTTGGCGTGGGAAGAAGCAGACAGGCCAGTGTGAATCAAAATGGCATTGTCTCGCTTGGCATTCAACTCGCCCCACGATTCATAGGCAATGTCAAACTTGGGTAAAATGCCACCGTGATCGAGGAGGAATGGCTTGGGGTATTCAAAGGTTTCATAGCCGGTAACGACGCGATCGTAGCTAGGCTCGGGGCCGTTATCGTCAAGTTCAATCGTGCGTGAGGCAAGCTTGTCGACACAAGGGAATGACATTGGTGGATTGGTGGAGGAAGAAGAGGTTGAGTCGTTTGTCGCAGCTGCTGCTCCTGGAACGCACTGTGGAGCAGCAGCAGCCGAGGTGTGTTGGTAGGCTGCAGACATGGCGCGTGTTGCTACGGTCCAGCGTGTCCGTAATAAAGGCGAGCGAAGTCGTAGTAAATGTCGAGGAACGGCCATTTGTGTAAGGTTGTGTATGTGCAGAGTGAAGCAAAAGAAAACAAAACGATGACAAATTAATCTGTTATAGAAAATTCAGGCTGATCAAGCGAATTCGAGAAAATCAGTATGATACCATCGTTAAGCTACCCCATTCGATGGAGAAATTATTTCCCGATGATTACCCACGACAAGTCCATCTTCTTCTCCTCCACAAGGGAAAAAGGAATGCTTTGTTATTTTAAGGTTTGTTAAAGGATGTCTCTGTTGTTGTTTTTTAATATGTATCTAAGAACTTTGTGCATCTGCTTCTGCTTCTGCTGTTGCTGCTGCTGCTGCTTGCTGCTTCTGCTGCTTTTGTTGCTCCTGTTGCTTTTTGCGCTGTTCGTGTGCTGCTTCCCGCTCTTTCCGCTTATTCTGTTCGTCATTTTCATACTCGTACAGCTCCTGCAGCTCCTCCTTGGCTGATGATGCGTCCTTCTTACGTCCACGGATGGTGATGGTATTTTCATCGGACGGTGATGCCGTGCCGTTTGCGGATTTGGGGAACTTGACATAGACGTTGTACTTGTCTTCGAGTTTGCGGACGTAGCGGCCGTTGGGGCCAATGAGGTATCGGTGGAATTCGCGGGGAACATTCAGGTTGAGAGTGACCTGGTCGGCCAGTTCTTCTACCAATACAAGGATGCGTGCCTTGGCGGCTTCAACGTTGGTCTGGATGCCCTGGATAACGACGTTGACCTTTTGCTGCAAATGCTTGTTCTTTTTACTGCTGCTCGTCTTGAAGTCGGCCTCGCCGTTTGCTGAGGCGTCGGAAATGTCAATCTTGATGCCCAGCTCTTCCTTGAGCTTGTTGATATTGCCACCGGCCTTGCCGATGACATGTGCGGAGTAGGCAGCAGGGATAGTGAAGTCGGTCGTGTAAGAGCTGACGAATTCTTCGTGCTTGGCAGCTTCGTACACCTTGTTGATCTCGGCAATGGTCTTGTTTACTTCGTCAGCAGGACCGCGTACAATGACGGCGTTGGCATCAGATGCAGAGCCAAGACGCACGGTCACGGCAGAGTCTGCGCCGCCAGCAATGGCATTAAGAGTGGTGCCGTTGGGGCCAGAAATGTAGCGGTGGAATTCAGAAGGAATGGCAAGTGTCTTGCTGACAAAGTCCGACGAGTCGGCGGCGATCTTTTTGATTTCACTGATGGTCGCTTCAAGGGCTGCACTGGCACCTTCGGCTTCCTTGCCTTCGAACACAAGAGCGATTGTTGCGATTTCGCCGCCCTCCTCTTTTTCATCAGGAATGAAGATCTCGACCGAGTGGCGCGACTTGATGCGCTGCAACTGGCGTGCGTGGCGCACAGCAATGTGTCGGTGCAAGTGGGGTTCAATGTCCACAGTTGCAAACAGCTCGGGCGTTAAGGCACGGCACGCTTCATAACCGGCCTTGTACGCTTCAAATGCATCCTTCTCTTCCTTACTAACAAATTCCACAGGGACAGACTGGGACAGACCGACAAAGGTTGTGGGCAAGCCCACCTGCACATTGTACTCTGATTCGATCTTGCTGAACTTGCCGCGGCTACGCAGGTACTTGAGCATGGTCTTGCCGTGCTGCAATGGGTTGGCTGCATTCTTGTGCATATCGCCCAGATCGAGCATGTTGACGTGAACAGCACGTGCCTTGGTCATGGCCAGCGTCAGACCTTCGATCAGTCGCTCATCAGGACCACGAATCGTAATGTTTCCGGAGGGATCGTCAAGTGCAGGCAATTCAATCGTGCATCCTACAAGCATGCAACGTTCGCGTGTGTAAGTTGCACGTACTTCCCCCAAAAAAAAAAAAGACCAGAAAGTTTTTCAAAATTACCTGACTCCTCCAAGATCTCCATGAGAGTTACACCGTCCTTGCCAGCCAAGTACTTGTGCTGACGCTTGGGGACATCAATAGCAGCTGTTCGGCACTCGTTCTGGAGCTGTGCATAGCGGTCCGCCAAGGCCTGCTTGGCCGCTTGGGCCTTCTCCTTGTCGCCCGACACGACGATAGGTGCACCTGCTTCCTCACCCACAAGAGGGGGCATCTGGATCTTGACATCGTATTCTTGCTCCAAGGCATTGACAGCGTTGTTGCGGGGACCAGCCAGAAGCAGGTAGTACTTGCTATCAATGTCATCGATCTTGATTGTTTGCTTGGCAGTCTACAAGTTTATTGTCCTAAATTAGCTGTGTTTCTTTTTTGCTGTCATTTTTGGGCCCCAGCCCCTCTCCCTCCTCACATCACCTTCTCCCGCGCGCTCAACCACCACCCCAGAGTACGCTCTTACCTTTTCGCCGACAATCTTGTCAATCTCTGCCTTTGCAATGGCAATACCAGCAGCATCACCCACGAGGGTCACGTTGACCTTTTCATCCTCGTCCAGCTCAACGTCCTCTTCTTCCTTGGAGCGAGGAGGAAAGTTGATGCGAACACCTGACTTGCTTTCAATCTGCTGCAGGTTTTTGCCCTTGGTGCCAATGATGAACCGACGGGTGGCAGCGGGAACCGCGATTTCCACTGTACGCTATTCAACACAACCAATTGCTCGAATCAACAAATCTTCTTCTGCTTTCTCCATAGTGTGCTTCCCTCTCACATAGTGAACAAAAAGTTACCTTGACTACAAGACCAGCAACCAATTCACGCTTTGCTTTGGCAACATCTGTAGGTAAGCCTTGAATCAAAAATGTGGTCGTACCAGATCGGTTGGTCGAGGCAATGATGTTCGTGCCAGTCTTGAACATCACTTGTTGGATCACATCCGCACTGCTCTTGAAACCCAACGGCTTGCTGGGCATATTAGCAATCTGCTGGCTTGCTGGCAGCTCAAGCATGTCTGTAATAGGCGTTGCTGTGCTGTTGCTGCTGTGGTTGTGGTTGGCTTTGGGACTAGCGCGTGGGGAAGACCCGGTGCGGTTCATGGGCTGTGACGCCTTGACACGCGATGCGCCTGATGATGAGGACCAGGCAGACAAGGCTGGAGGTCGATTATTAGAGCCGGAGGATGACAGTGAAGGGAAGGCCGATTCAGAAGCCAAGTCGAGCTTCCCGTTATTTCTCTTTGAATCCTTCTTTTTCTGTTGTGATTGATGGCCAATGGGCATGGGAACGTCACCGGCAATGATGGGCTCGGCAAAGGCGGCATTGTCAACAACTACGGGATCCTCGGCACTGGGCACAGCAGGCTCGCTCGCGTCGGGCGCGTTATCGTTGGCTTGCTGAGCGTGCAAAAGTGCAAGCTTGGCGGATGGCGGGAGAGTGTCTAAGGCAGGCTGTGCCTGCTGCTGTTGTTGTTGCTGTTGTTGTGATGCGTCGGTCGCTTCCATTATGACTTGAAGGAAAGGTGGAAGAACAATATATGAAAAGAAACAATTATTAAAGTTAACCCAAAAAAGCGCGCGCGGCTATTGTTTGCGGGTTTGAGGGAGAAGAGGAAGGTGGTATGTGTGTGGGGGGGCCCAGAAGAAGCGATGAAGGGGAAAAAGAGAAAGAAGGAAGGCGGGTAAGAACACAGAATACAGGCCGGAAGTAGAATCGGTGTCCGCCGTTTCGCCAATGAAATCAAAGCGAGAACCTTATTTTCCATTGCCCGTTCCGGGGGAGACATTAGACCACGTTTCCATCCTTTCTCTCCTTTCTCCGTCAGTTCATACAACCATCGAGCAAAGACGAGAACCTCGTTTCGAGCAGGGCATCACCTCTTCGCTGTTTTGCGTGCAGTAAAATAAAAATGAGGCACTCTTTACAACGAATCATGACAGACACTTCCTTGACGCGAAAAGCAAAGTGAGGCACACTGGTGCAACCATGGAGTACGATCCAGCCATTGATATGATACGTGGCAGTGGGGCAGCCGTCAACTCTGTGCTCTTCCCAGTTTGGGTAAGCGTGCACTCCCACATTAAGCTTGGCATTACGGACTTGCTTGCTTACTTGCCTATGCTCGCCTCTTTTTCCTTCTCTTTCACCTTGTTTTCATATCTTCACATCATGCTTTTTCTATACGTCATCACACTATGATTTATTTATCATGGTAGAAATTACGCTGCTGCAGTACACAACCAGTAGAAACTAATAACTGTACTGATATATCAACTGTAGGTAAACGGAAGGGTACAAAAGCCGATTGACATGGCTGTTATAACTGCTATAGCATATATCAATTCTCTCTAAAGCAAGGCAACCCGAGTTTGCACACAGATAGTGCCTTGACTCGTCGGGACCATAATCAAACAGCGCAACTTCTTTAATAATTTGCTACGAATGGCACCGAGAGTAGTGGTGCAACTTAAATGGATAGAAAACTCGTCGATGTCTCCAACTTTTCTAGGCTGCCGTTTGCTATACCAAATCTGGTTCTTCTACTGCTGATTAATGTGTAGCAGGTAAAGTGCCTGAATGTTCCTGTATTTCCTTGCTTCCGTTCTCAGAGTTTTGATGTGCTTATTTGTGTACGCTTTTCTTTTTCGCTATGGTTGATTCGCTCAGTCAAAGGATGCGTATCATTCGTGGTACCTGCATAATGCAAAATCGGGTGTATTTTTTATGTAAATGTGGGCTACCATTTTGTTACCCAGTTATTTGACGTGAGTGCTGCCGTTTCCGCTCCTAATCACTGAGGGAGTACTTTTGCTGCCATCAATCATGTTATTCATTTATTGACGGTCGGCCGCTAGTAACGTCTTTACGCAACATAGAGATTACGTCCCGTTCAACCACAGAATCATCAACAACAACGAACAAGAAAAAACGCAAGCATCGTGATGTAATAAAATGACCAGTAGACGGGGGAAAAAAGGGAACTTTTTAATGACGCGGTAGTGATAGTATTTACTTTTGCAATTCTTGAATACTGTACAATCTTGCCAGACTAGGTCCAGCAAACTGGTTCAGCTGCTTGGTGAAGTTATGCATTTGAGCAGTCAAAATCATGTTATCCAAGCGACTTGGCTCCGGGGGCAGCTTGAACAAGGTATTGACTTCATCCTCGGGCAATGGTTCTTGGCCCTTGTCGGCACGGATTTGGTTTTCCTGTCGTCGCTTGGTGAGCCAGGACTGGATCTTGGCCTGTTCACGAGCGACGCTTCGCTGCCAGTATTGATAGTTATTTAATTCTTGTTGCTGCACATCCGAGCAATCCAAAAGGTACTCCAAGTTCTTTTGCATGAACGGATCCAATTCCAAATCCAAAACGTCAAAGTTGGGTGATAAGGGCTTGGCCTCATCCAATTCGGTGTTGTTGTGCACAAACGTGGCGGGCGATCGCAGACGGCTGGCATCCAGCTTGGGCATTTCAATGTTGTGAAGCATCATCGTGACAAGGTGGGAGTTGTGGACTTTGATGGGAAGTTCTTCAAAGATCGTGGAGAAGGACAATTTGGCCTTGGCAAGGCTATATTTTTAAAGAGAGAATATACATTTCACAAAACTTAGCTTCGGCCATATTCATATTCTCGATTACTTTCTTGCATTGCCTTCTTCCCCGTTATTTTACCTCTCGGTGGTGAACTTTTTGGATTCATATTGCTTCATGAAGGCCTCGGTCAATCGGAAAGCGCGCAAGCTGAGGTTGCCCTGAGCCGAGCTCTTTGAAACATCGTGAATAATGACTGCCGAATTAGCGCTCAAAGATTTTTGATAGCTGTACTGGGTGTCGATCAAGTTGGAATCCACAAAGTTGCCCAAATGTGCGGATCGATACCAACCGACGGTGTTGTTGTCCACGTTCACTGCACGCAAGCATCGCATCATGTCGAGTTGATATTGAGCTAAAATCGTAGATGCCAATAATTAGTATACTGATTATCTTTTTATTGACACGACAAAGCTCTCTCTCTCTCTCTCTCTCTCTCTCTCTCTCTCTCTCGTTTTCCAAATTATTATCCATCAATATATAATTACCACTGGCATTTTCATCGCAATCAGTTGGGAAAGGGAAGCAGTTGGTAACATCAAGAACTTCCTTCTCGTCCAAACCAAGAAGCTGACCGGTGACGTCGTTAGGGTACGATTCGCGGCAGTGCTTAATGATCTTGAGTACAACCTATACGAGTAAGTATGACAATCAAAAATTCAGTGAGTATATATATACTTGAGAGTTGCTTTTCAAATTCTCATCCATTCATATCACCAAGCGCAAATCCTACCAGGCCATCAAGTTGCACCGAGTGCAATGGTTCAGATGTAGGCAAACTGGTAGCCATTTTGAGAATTTGAGAAAACACGAATTTTTTTTTTCCTCCTCCCTTTTCTCCTCTGTCTTCTCATTAAGGAAGGCTTACTGTGACTTGGTAATTTCCATTTTGGGAGTACACTTGTTAGGCACCCATTAATGAAAATGCAGACATGGTTGAATCCATCATCGCATATTTCCTTTTTTTCTTTGCTTCTTTTCCCTTCTTGTTGTATTTTCTTTCTCTCTCTCTCTCTCTCTCTCAAGTCATGTCTTCATCACTTGCTCAATACGGCAAAAAGCATATTGCCAGAGGTATCAGCCGCAGCACAGAGCTAGTTATCAAAAAGGCCAAAGGTGCCTATGTCTATACAGCAGAAGGCGACAAGTACTTTGATTTGACAACCGGCATCGGCGTCGTCAACACAGGTATTTTGAGAAAGCGAGCTTTTTATATGAGCTATAGCGTGAATTGCACGTATGCACAGATGCAGATAACCATGGCATCGATAAAAAGGACACGCTCACCCGACGGTGGTCAAGGCCGTGCAAGAACAAGCAGCAGAAGTATCGCATGTCCAAGTCAATATTGCTTTCCATGAGCCTATGATTAAGCTGATTGAGAAGCTAAAGCCCCGTATGCCATCCTCATCTCTTGATACATTTTTCTTTTGGAACTCGGGCTCAGAAGCTGTAGAGGTATGGATACATATGCGCATAACTAAGGAGAGTGGGAAAGTATATAAACACCGTTGTAATAAAGCCCAATTTGTTGTTGTTCAATGAACGGGTGTACTGAAATATGAAATTTTGACGCGTCTTGTGTATCTTAGGCGGCAATAAAGCTAGCGCGTCATGCGACCGAACGCCAGAACGTAATCGTGTTTCAAGGCTCGTACCACGGAAGAACATTTGGCACCATGGCCATGACTACGTCCAAGACAATTTACGGTGCTGGGTATGGACCCTTGATGCCCGGTGTGTTCATGGCACCGTTTCCGTACTGTAAGCAATGGTCGGCTCACAAAGCCGACCCTGTCCAATTTGACGAGAACTGGTGTGCAGAAGAAGCATTACGCGGACTTGAGCTTGTGCTGAAGCAGCAAACAGCGCCCAAGGATACAGCAGCGATGATTCTTGAACCTGTACAAGGTGAAGGCGGTTATGTCGTTCCACCGAAAGGTAAACGTAGTTTTCAATCTTTTGCTTTAGGCTCCGCGCGTGCATTAGACAGCAAGTGTACATACTCACAAGTGCGCTCTATTACACCACTTTTAGCATTCATCCAAGGCCTGCGGGAAATTTGCGACAAGCACGATATTCTGTTTATTGCCGACGAAGTCCAAAGCGGGTATGGTCGCACCGGCAAAATGTTTGCCATTGAGCACTTTGGTGTCACTCCTGATATCATGGTGATGGCCAAGGGCATTGCTTCCGGTTATCCATTATCCGCCATCGTGTCGCGCAAGGAACTGATGGACCTTCAGCCACCTGGATCGATGGGCGGCACTTATGCTGGCAATGCTGTTGCTTGTGCAGCGGCACTTGGCACACTTGATGTGTTTGACCAAGAGAATGTACTGGACAACTGCAACGCGCGATCTGAGCAGTTCTTTAGCCGATTGCGCGCCGAATTGAAACGCGTCTTGCCAACCAGTGTCGATGTCGATGTGCGTGGCCTAGGACTAATGATTGGCATTGAGTTTTTCAATGTTCCACCAGGATTTGCTGCCAGTGTGGCTCAGGAAGCATTCAACTTAAAGACATTGATATTGACAACGTCTATCTATGAGACCTTGCGACTGATCCCGCCCCTGACCATCACAAAGGAGGAAACGGATTTGGCGGTAGACAGAGTGGTTGCCAGTATTGAGGCAGCAGCCAAGCGATTGTAGTAATAGTAGGGGTGTTATTGCTGATGATTGTAGTCAAGCTGTTGGGCAGTAAAGCATAGAATAAGAAGATGTAAGCTATGCAAGGATGTGTCACGCCAACAGGACTTGCATGATCAACAACATTTATTACAAGTAAACAAACGAAACCACTTTATTAGGCCACACGAAGCAGTGATTTATAAAAGCTGCTTCTACCTAATAATCAGTTGTGCTTACCGGTGAAGTGTATATACTTAGAGGAATGCTTGCTAGTATCTGTCGTAGCCATTTAGAGTCTGCATTTGCTGCTGTAGTATGGCTTTCTGTAGTAGAGCCTTTGTTACAAATACTAGATGACAGTAGAGTTTCTGGGATGGTAGTGACAGCGATGAATTGCTCTCTTCATTATTTCTTGAGAACTTTTAATTTGTAATCTTTTAGATACCTTGTTCGATCGCCGAGTTGGTTCTTCTGATATTTTTGATTCGCTTCACGGTAATGCATGCCCCTGCAGTATCTTTGCAGCAGTGCCTCCATTCATAAAGCTATTTCCCACATTTAGAGTTCTTTTTGCGATTATCATCTTCTCTAGTCTCTTCTTATCTCTCAAATTTCTCAAGTATATTTCTTTTGATACAAACCCGGCCGTCCTTGCTGTTACAATGCTGCTCAATGTTTAAATTTTTATATCCGTTCATACGTTACATAGTGAATTAAATTGTATGCTCCCTAATGATACTTTGGCAAAGGGCTATGTACGCTGCACGCCGACGACTGGGTCGCTTCTGAATGACGACATTTCGCCGCCTGATTTGATCCATTTTTGCAGCACATGCAGTAATCGTCCCTTGTAGGTTTTTTCAATTCATTTATTATATCAATCCTCATTTACCGATATCCCTCTTCCACATTTGTATTTTGAGCAAGTGCCCATATGCCCATAGGCGCGGGTCTTCTTCCCTATACCTCAACATATCTCGATCACATCTGGCCAAGCTTATTAGAGGGTGGTGGGCAATTTTAATACCCATAACTTTTTTTAGGTCAGATAGCAAAACAAAACTAATTATGCAGAAACACACCAAATATTATAATTGTAGTTTAGCCATTGCTTTCTCACACGTGCATAAAACGCAATGCCTTTGAGGCCGAGTACCAAGTTTGTCGCTTCTAAATTTTCTGTGGCGTATGTAATTTTGTTCAACGCATAGAAAGTTTGGAGGAACTCGAATAATAGTGCTGCCTCACTTTAGGATTTCCGACGCTCATTTGGGATCAACTGCATAAAGAGAGAGAGAGAGAGAGAGAAACAGCATGTCTAGTAATATATTCAACACCCCTTGCTCTTGCTTTTTTTCATAATTTAGCACAAGGCGCAAGTAAACAGGATGCAACTGACGATACCAGGCTCTCTTGACCAATTTATCGACTCTGTCACAGATATCAATTTGTCTTCCCGACCACAACAAACCATCGAATTGATAACCGCAGCTACTGTCGTAGCTAGCTATACATTCTACAAACTTCTGTTTAGGGTAAACAACAGCAAAAATATAAAATACAAGAGCAAGAACAAGCCAGACATAATTTTCATCATCACAATATCTTTATGTTTGCCTGAATAGGGAGCGAGTGATGATGGCTGTCCAACTGTGCCTTACCGTGATCCATTCAACGGTTCATCAGTTGAATACCGCAAAGATCCTCGAGCTTTTGTTGAAAAGTGGACGAAAGCTCTCGGTCCTGTGTACCGTGTCCATTTATATGGTAGATTAAGTCTGCTATTTTCTCTTGATGCAAGAGATGAGACGGAATCGAAACAATACAGTGTCTTACTTGCATCTTTTTTTCATAGATGAATACCGTTGTATCTGGTAGATATGTCCGAGAAGTTTTGGTGAACGACAGTTTTGATTTTCATACTGGCATGAAAAAGGTAATAATGGCGTCATAAAAACAACAAAGTATTCAGTTGATGACTCTCTATTATGCTGAAGCGTAAGTATCATAACTCTTTTACAGAGATTTGATATGAAGACAATGGCAAATATAAGTCAAACGGAAGTTCCGGAATCCAACACAAGAACTTGGGTTGTGCAATATTTAAACCCACGCATAAAATATTTCACTCCGCGCACTGTTGAAAACGTAAGAGATTGGGGCAAAACGAATCAGTATGAAGACACCCGTAACTTCGTACTAATCTTTTGTCCTGATGGTCTTTAACAGCTACATTTGGGTCTCAAAGATGTCCTCGGAAACAATAAAGGTAAGAGCTCATTTGATGAATATTACTATGCTCCTTCACCCTACACTCTTCTTGTTTGCATATGTATAGATGGATCTGCGGAGCTTCAGCACATGTATCCGTTAGTTCAGCGCATGGCTGCCCGCACTAATGCATCCGTTTTTGTTGGAGAGAGACTTTGCCAGGATCTTGATTTGGTTGCAACTTTCCAAAACATCACTAGAGACTTGATATCCTTGATGCATTTTGAAAATTATTGGCTGGAAACATTTCCTGTTTTGCTGAAATTACAAATGTTGTATGTGCCCTTGAGGACAGCTGACGATCTGCACACAGCAAGTATTGATATTATAAGAATGCTATTTAGGGGAATTGGTAAATTCTCTCCAAAAGTCAAAAAGCACAGAGCCACAATGCTTCGATCCTTGACTCCAGAAATCGATTTGCGATTGAGCCGTGCAAAGGACGATCCCAATTGGCAAAAGCCGTAAGCTCTGAGTATCTGTTTTTCTCTCGTCGTCGTCCTTTATTTTCAAATGTGCAATTAAATGAGTGCGTCGTATCTCAACACTCAATAGATTGATATCCTTCAAGAGCTTATCGACCATGCTAAAGTTCCTCGTGGCCGTGATATTTATAATCATATTGTAAATGAGATCATGGTCTTAATCTTTGCTTCCATTCATACCACGTCTGAGAATGGTACCATTGTTCTGTATCGTATTCTCATCCCGAACTCATCGATGAGCTTTTGAAGGAACAGCAAGAAACTATCGAAAACGCTGGATTAGACCCCAACGGAAAGAGTAACGAGGTGTTTACATACGATACTATCAAAGACATGGTTAAGCTGGATAGTGTCTGCCGTGAAACAATGCGCCTCAGAAACAGGTTTTATGATCTTCTTCATACCAACATCAGTGAAAAGAAGGTCGTATTGAGTAATGGTACCATTATTCCACCAGGTAAAGGCTACATGTCAAATGCGCACGAACGTGCGATGCGTAACTGTTTTTTCTTCATTCTTTATTTGATATACTAAGCAAAATGTTCATTTTATATAGGTGGTGACGTTTTTATCAACTCTTGGTACAACCAACGGAGCAATATCTGGGAAGAGATGCATATAGATGGTGAAGATCGCGCAGAGTTCAAGCCTTTCCGTTACCTCAACACTGGTTATTCATCGAGTAAGATTAGTGATGACTATCTAGTCTTTGGCGAAGGAAAGCATGCTTGCCCGTAAGAGTTCTTTATTGCTTTCTTCAAAGTCTATGCAAATTCTTTTTACTAATACTTCGTATAATTGTAGTGCGCGCTGGTTTGGCACCCAATCAAAGCGATCATTTCCATTCTCATCCGTGACTACAAAGTTCGCCGCACTAGTGACATCATTTTTCCAACAGCAGTGGACACTGACATGCCTTTCGGCACCGCTTCTTTTGAGAAACTCAAATAAACAAACCCTTTCCTCCATCGAGGAAAAGGTATATATGCGAAATAGAATATTCTGACAAAAAGATAGGTCACATTATGGTCCAAAGAAGCTTTTACCTAAATGCTATAGGGATTCAATGTTTGGAAGAGTCGAGTCATGGCAACCATGACCGCGTTTATATATCTAGCCTATTTCCAATTCGTTTTGGTCGACAGAATTTTCTACGTATAACATTAGTAGGAAAGGTAAAGCGGAAATTGGGAGAGACTGTCGATGCCGTCGTGATTTCGTCCGCTTCTTCATTTACTCTTTGACGCAGTGCAGTAAAAAGAATAACGTCTATTGTTTCTGTGATGTACTACATTAACTGTATCGATTATTGGTGGGGGTGAAAGGATGTCTGTTTTTTGTGCTCATAAATCCGATAACACCAAGTACTAATACTATATACATCCACCATTAAGGTGTTCGTCTTTTACCATTCGTTTACCTTTTGTTCTCGGGGCTCTTTCGGCACCGACTGCTTCAACGCTAACACTCACCTCAACTGGAATTGCTGGCTTTAATAGCGACAATTACAATCAAGTTGGCCCTTTACAATGTTTAATTCTTTGTCTTTGATGGCTAACGTTATTGGCAGTCAACGACACAGCAACGGTAAACTTGCGGTTAGTAAATTCAGCGATAATGTTCTGCGCGATATTGCTATATGTGCTTTCACCAACACCATATCATACGCCAGTTCCTTCTCGATACAGGCGGGGTAGAGGTATCTTACGACAAGAAAGTATGGGGCCCTTTTTCAGCGGCGAGACACGTATTGTTTTTTAACGCTTAAACACATCTCACACGTGGGTAATCTACAAATTGGAGCGTCCCTTAATGCGTTTCGTAGCCTTGTTGCACAAAAGATAGAGAACTTACAAGATCTTTGCTAATAACAGCGATAATACAACAGTGAATTTGATGCCATTCTACTCTGGTGGATATTGGTGAAATCTGGTTAAATCTGGTGACAACGAGTAGTGGGATTGTTAAATATGGTTAAATATGGTTATTTCTAGTTTTATTACAGATACAAAAAAACTACAAGACAACCAGATCGGTCACCCTGGTTATTTCTGGTTATTTCTGGTATTTTCTTGTTAAGTATACTCAACTTAAGCGAGTTTGTCAGCATGCATTTTCGTAGCATGCTCTTGGAACATTAATCCTTTGCATGAGATGCCAAAGGCGCATGTTACGTATGACATTTTCAGGTATGGATGTCGAATTCGAAACATCATAGAAGATGGTATTGTCATTGATATCCTCTGATTCGTTATTGCTAGAGTTGTTGTCTTAATATTCTATCATCACTACTATCGTTGTCATCGCATGTTTTGCATCGCACGGCGACGTTAGAGTAGAAGGCTGAGACAAAACAACGTTGTTCCTGTACGACATCCATGGTCCAAGTAAGAGTATGAAAAAGGAAGTCTTCTTTTGCTTTTATTCTACTAGGAAATATCGCACTACTGCCTATATATGTGTTGATATGCTGCGAGACCCCTGGAACACAACGATGCGAATAAATTATCTTTGCAGAAGCATGAGGCGTGTCTTTTACTCTGTCGCCTATGCACAGAAATAGGGCTGTGGTAACATACAATGATATGATCATGCACATGTCCATGTCCATACATTTTACTGTGATATTGCCTCTTCTGCTGCTGCTGCAGGGATCGACAAGAAGAACCAGCGATAGTTTCTTTCTCAGAAGCATTGAGCTATTCATGTCTATATAATCCATCCTATGAGGCGCATAAAAGTGCTGCGAAACAGGAAGAAACAGAGAAAGAATGAGGCTTTTTGAGTTCACGTTAGTCACAGTTCGCAGCAGCAACAAGGAACGCAAAGAACTGCATAAATAACCAATCGAACCTTTGCTTACCCTAACACAGAAACTCCGCTCGCCTGCTTGAGTTTGTCCCCTTCTGAAGTGACCGTCTGTCCCCCCGTTCGGTATAATAGAGGGCAAAGCTCTGTTCTTTCTTGTTCTCTTCTCCGAGCCGCAAGTTCTCAACAAACCTCCCCCTTTTTCTTTCTTCTTTATATACAGTCCGCATTAACTTACTTAAAGCCTCCGATACAACAACACTTTACTCAATAATGGCCTCTGACAGTGATTTCGACGATGCATTCATGGTAATTATCACTATCCTCCATCTTTCTAGCTTTGTATGCATTTGCTTACTAAGAATATTGCATTCTCTCCATTCCATACAACAGCTCGATCCTGAGGACACCATGGATGAAGACAGCGAATTAGACATTGCAGAGTCTGCCAGCTCCGTGGGTGATTCAGGTAAAGATAACTGGATACTGTGGGTTTTCTAGAGCTGAGAAGAGGTGGGGCTGAGAAGGCTTAGTGAGTGCTGTGCGTCCTATAACAAACTTATAGACATTGAAGACTATGTAGAGAATGACATGGCATTCGATGGAGCGTTTTCCGAGAAACCCCATTTGAAAGCATACGAGGTGGATTTCAGCGTCCAGAGTACGAATAATCTGATGCGTATGCAGGACAAGGAAATTGACCAAGTATCAACAATTCTAGGTAAATTCCATTTAGGGGCAGGGTATTTTCATATATATCGTATTTTGTAAATCCAACTTGTGCTGATGATCTATCCCCTTTTTTTTCGTATCGTATAGGCCTCTCCAATGAAGACTCTGCTACACTGCTACGATATTTTCGATGGAACAAAGAAAAACTGTTTGAACGATACATGGATTTACCAGAAAAGATCCTGCGAGATGCCGGTGTATCGATTAACGACGGAAGAAACAAGGTCACTGTGCTTGCGAAAGACTTGAAGAACTTGAGCGAACCATTCATGTGCGAGATCTGCTGCGACGATGATCCAGACATGGAAACGGTGTGTGTGGCATGTGGCCATCGGTTCTGCAAAGGCTGCTATGAGCATTATCTCCGCCAAAAAATCCGAGAGGAAGGCGAGTCAAGGCGGATTGAGTGTCCTCAAGACAAGTGCAATGTCATTGTGGATGAAAAGACGGTTGAACAGCTGGTGGATCCAGAGACAAATAAAAGATACCGCACCTTGCTGAATCGCACGTTCGTCGATGACAACGACTATCTGCGGTGGTGCCCTGCACCGGACTGTGAATATGCAATCGAGTGTCATATACCAAGTACCTCGCTCGCCTCGATTGTCCCCACGGTCCAGTGCAATTGCAGTTTTAAATTTTGCTTTGGCTGCGGGGTAGCTGATCATCAGGTATGTGCCCTTCAGTGATAGTGGTAGTAGTAGCAGTATACAAGTTGTCCTCCCTCCCTCTTGCTTGTAGCAGCTGCTTCCCAATTTTGGGCTCTTTTTAACCATTTTTGTACAAAATTCCACAGCCTGCAATTTGCGCTATTGTCAAAAAGTGGCTCAAAAAGTGCGAGGATGATTCCGAAACGGCAAATTGGATTTCGGCCCACACCAAGGAATGTCCCCGCTGTCAGTCGACCATTGAAAAGAACGGTGGATGCAACCACATGACTTGCCGCAAGTGTCGCCATGAGTTCTGCTGGGTGTGTATGGGTCCGTGGTCAGAACATGGCACATCGTGGTACAACTGCAACCGGTTTGATGAAAAGAGCAGCACCGAAGCACGCGAGAGCCAGACGCAATCGCGCGTCAGTTTGGAACGATACCTTCATGTAAGCCTCATCGCGAGCTAACCCTCTTTTTTCTTTCCTTATCTCTTTTAGCTAATCTGTAAGCTCTATTCAGTACTATAACCGCTACGCAAACCATGAACAATCCGCCAGATTAGACCAAGACCTATACACCAAGACTGAGAAAAAGATGGAAGAAATGCAAAAGACCAGCGACTTGTCGTGGATCGAGGTGCAGTTCCTGAAAAAGGCTGTCGACGTCACTGTCCAGTGCCGTATGACGTTAAAATGGACCTATGCCTTTGCATTCTATCTGGCCAAGAGCAACGAGACCGCCATCTTTGAAGACAACCAGCGCGATTTAGAAATGGCTACCGAACAGCTTTCCGAACTACTAGAGAAGCCGTTGGAGCGTGAAAAGATTGCCCAACTGCGTCAAGCTGTTTTGGACAAGTCGGTCTATGTCAAACAGCGACGAGAGATACTTCTTGAGGACACAGCAAAGGGTTTATTGGATGGTCGATGGAGCTTTATGTAATTATTTCCCTCTTTCTTTTTCCTCCCACCTCTTCCTCCTTTTTTCCCTGGTAAATCTTCAAGAACATCCCTCCCCCTTCTCCCTCCTCTCACCCTCTCCCCGAACACAACATATAAACCACATCACAATCACTCTTTTTCATTGCAACCTTCTTTTTTCCTTGCACGCACACTTTGCACAAACACACACCGCACACTTTCTTTTTTTCAACCCATGGTAAATAAAAACCAACTGCATCTCCAGAAAATTTAAGAAAGAAGGTTTTTTTGTGTCTAGAACACAAACACCGCTTCTCTCTCTCTCTCTCTCTCTTTTTCCGTTCCTGGAAAATGACACTTGGAGACACATCCATCGTATTGATGGCTGCTGCCCTGGCAACCACCGGGGGAATCGGCAAAGGCCAGGATTTACCCTGGACGATTCCTGTCGACACTCAATACTTACATGAAATCACGACCAAAGCCTATAATGCTTCCACGACCACAACGGCAACAACGTCTTCAGTAACCGATCGCCAGTGGCACAATGTGGTTGTGCACGGGCGGTTATCGTGGGAATCCATACCAATGAAGTCAATCCCCATGCCACAGCGATTCAACATTGTCATTTCTCGTAATCCTTCATACAAGTAAATTCGTCTTGAAGCTTCTGTTCTTCCCAAAAGTTACCTTTGTAGATTGAGCAAAAGACACAACGAAGGTTTTTACGAAAATACTAATAATTGGATATGTAGGATTGCATCATACCCTAACGCAAGTTTAGTTACATCCATTCATGACGCTGTTGATCAAGCCAAGCAATTAGTGCAAAATACCCAGGGCCGCGTGTTTGTATTGGGTGGTGGACAGATCTATGGTCAAGCCATGAAGTTGTGCACACATATCTTATTGACCCGTGTCCATGATGCGAAACAAAGTATTGTATGCGATGCATTCATGCCGCCTGTTGATACGTCTTTGTTTGTCCAAGCAAGTCATTCGGAACTGGAGGGGTTCGTACAACAGCCAGTGCCTCAAGGACGACAAGTATGTGGTGATTTGGAGTATGAATTTTTACTGTATGTACGTAGTACGTCGTTGTCGCCGTGATCTGGTGGGAACAAAGGAAGAGATATAGATGACGAAAACACAAGCAGTAGAAAAGATAGATGCTGCTGCCAGCACTATCACCTGCGTTGCGCTAGCATAGAAATCTGTATATGTATGTAAATAGTAACAAGAATATATAGCAATAAAAACGTGTACAAGGAAAAAATTTACAATTGCGGTATAGAAGGAAATTGTCTCGTTGCCAAGGAGACGTTGATTAAGGGTAACTACTACAAAACTAACGCCATTATTCTCGCCGCTGCTGTTTCTCATGTGGCGTTTGTTGTTGCTGCTGCTGGAAATGCATACGGTAGTATTCGGTGAAATCGACTGAAGGAGGTGGTTGCGTGCTGCTGCTGCTGCTGCTGGTAGCGATGTTAATGGGCTCATCTGTGTGCTCGAGAAGACTCTCCTGTTGTGCGTGATAACGGTGGCTACTGTGATGTGGCGGAACTGGCGGTGGAAGTTGCGCTGAAGAATGTGGATCGTAATACTGACGATGCGGCTGGTGAGGGTGATTTGCAACACTCCTTACGGTGGTAGATGATGTTTTGGATGGTTTACGGTATAATGCCCAATTGACTGGAGCAAAAAGAGTATTAACAAGTCCATGCTGCTTTATTTCAAAAAAAATTATCATTACTAACCATGAGGCTTTAAACCGTTGCCAAAGTTTCGCTGACATCGAACGGCCATATAGAGTGTAAACTACAAGGCTATTTAATACATCTTTTGATTCAGGTTGGCATGAAGTAGTTTGGATGCAACTTACCACAACAATCACTATAGAGGCACAAGCTAAATGTTTTTCGAGTATAAGTACATTGGCATGCATTGAGCACTTAAAGGATAGAACTATTTACCATAAATCGACAAGGTATACCAGACATCAGATGGGTCGGTTATCATGACCATGACAGCCAAGTTGACAAATATGATGGCCCCTTGGAATAGAGAGAACAAGGACATCATCCAGTGCCTTTCATCTGCAATCTAAGTATTCACAATCCATTCATCAATACCCCTTTGATGTATTGATTTTAAATTAAAAAAAAGTACACTACCGCTTTCCTCCCCAAAAAAAGAGCCAGTAAGCAAAGAATTGCCAAAGCAGTTGCAGCAGCCCAAAGATCAGTGCTCATGTTGGCACAGACAGCGTAGAATGCTAGCAGCAGCACTTCGAAGAATATATCAATCTTGATCATCAGAGTGAAGCATTGCACAGTATAGTACATATCTAGCAGTTTTTTTTACAAGTTTAGTGACAGCCTTATCTTTTAGCATACATGCTCATTGAAGGGACTTTTTACTTTGTAAGCGCAAGTCAGGACCAATTCTTTCAACTAAATTCCATCCATATTCCTTGACCAGCATGAGCGCCACAAAGATCGTAGGCACAGCGATAGTCCAGACTACGACTGTCATGGCGATTTGTAGATACAAGTTGACAGCTAGCGACAGTGTCCATTGTAGCGATTCAACGATTTGCTATGTAGGAACAGATAGGTTAGCATCATGCCCCCGCCCCGGCAGCAAGTTCTAGAGCTGCTATATTACCATGATACCCAGTGCCCCTGAGAAACATGTAAACGCAGCCGAGGCAATCACAGTAAGCGAATTAGCTTGCAAGATCTATAAGAAAGAATACAAGAGAAAGTAAATGTGTTTAGGTACGATGAGTTTCTTTCGTCAGCGCATTGATCAGCATCATTATCATCATCATCAGCGCCACCACCTCACGTGAGTAAAGGTTACCCCATCAATCACAAGCCAGAGCTTCCAGAGCTCATAGACGATAAACCAGATATTCTCAATTCGAACGCGGACTACTTTGTCCTTTAGATAATCTTTGAGGTCCGTTGTCGGAGGGTTCATGTTGTAACTGGTTTCCACTTTGACGAGTGTCACTATAAGAATCGGGATGGTGACAATGACCTGCATTAGCGCCAGAGCCAGGAACCATTTCGACCATCTCGTTTCAAATATTCGCTGTCGCTGAGCAAAAGAGTTAAACTTGCTTTTAAAATCCTAATTTTTTCTGTGGTTGGTATTGGACAACATACCACTGGACTACATAGGGACATGTTGTTTGTTTAGTGTATATGTATGAGCGTGCTCGTATGTGTACGAGTCGGCTACTAGCTAGAAGCGTGTGCAAGTTAAGAAAAGAACAAGAGAAAAAAGAACAGCCCAAAGCTCAAAAGATATCAGCAGCACTATCTATGACGAACAGTGTGTGTGTCTTGTCTAACCATGTTTTGCCCTCTTTGATTGTGTTCACGCTTCTTGGCTTTTCTGATGGATGAAAGAGAAAAAGGGAAAAAGATATTGGATCTGCTACGCATTTCTTTACGAGTGCTTGATCTCTTCCTCCCGCTCCTTCCTCCTGAGGAATGAATTTTATGCAAAGCTCATCTGTAAGCAACGCGAAACTGACTAAACATAAGAAAACCATGTTGTTTGCTTGGACCGTCGTGCCTTGTACACAAACTAGATTCTGTAAGAGCATAGCATGCTCCAAACGCCCCCACACACACAAACACACATCACACATCACGCACAACAGTGCTTAGTGCCAAAGCGAATGGGTGTAACCTTAAATAGACATCTTGTTCAGAACAGCCGCACAGCCTTACTATAAACTGGCGATGCGCGTGTGCCACAAAGAAATAAAAGCCTTTTTCCCTTTAAGAGCAAAAGAGCGAAAGAGCAGGAGCTGGTTGTACACACTTCTTGCATACCGGAGCGACATGTCAAACTACAAAGTGCTGCGACAACAGCATGTCTCGCAGCAGCAATAGCAGCGGCATGAAAAGAGCATATGATACAAAATGGACACATCAACGCAAAAGGCAAGATCCAACCGCAGTACGGAGCCGCAGTATTTTTTATTTCTAAAGCCCGCGCGTGGATTCTTGTATGCACAGTTAAATAGCCTGCAGAAATCACTTTACTTCTTAAACGTTCTTCTCCCTTTTCACTGCGGAAAAACACTGTCACTGGTACCGTCATGTCTTTCCTCACGTTCAACTCTTCTTTGCCGTACTTTGCTTCGCTGCACGATGCTTCAGCCCTCGAGGCCGATATTGCTGGCCTGTCCGAACCCTTGTCGCTTGAAGGTCTCAAGATCGCGTCGCCGTCTGAAAAGAGCGAAAACGAGAACAAGTTCATGAACGCCTTGCAGCGCACTGGCAACGTACAACGCACTGTCAACGGTGCTGTGGCGCTCAAGTCAACCGAAGACGACTGCTTGGATCTGTACTATCAGCTTGGTGTATCGCTTGATACGGATCTCATCCGTTCGTTGCTCGAAAAGGCGTGGCGTCAAGACCCCGAAGTGGCCCTGCACATCATATGGCATACGCGCTCCATCCACCGCGGCAAGAGTGCCAACGACAAGTTCTACACGGCCTTTGGTTGGCTCTTGCAGAACCATCCTCAGACGGCTATTCGTAACCTGCACTTGTTGACAGCCGACGTTATTCCTGTGAACCAGAAGAGCAAGAAAAAGGAATCCAGTGACTGGGACATGGCCGACGTTGACCAGGACAAGCAGACTCGATTCAAGTGTCATGGCTATTGGAAGGATCTCATCAACATTTGCCAGATCTACACCTGCAATGAGCTTGGCGGACCCAAGCACACAGGTGACAACAAGGGAAAGTTTAAGGCGCTCAACTGCCCTCGGCAAGAGCGACGTCCCTGGAACGGCTATGAAGACCACCGACACTTGTCAAAGCAGTTTTATGACAGTATCAAGACGTTGCCAAAGGAGGAGCAAGAGAAGAAGCGGGCCGAGCGCAAGGCGGCGACAGAGAAGAAGCAAAAGGAGCAGCATGAGAAGCATCAGGCCAACAAGAAACAACAGCGGGAGGAACGCCATGCCCGTATCACCAGATTGTTGAATGACGATCCCTGCTATCGTGCCCTCCATTTCTCGGTCGCCCGCTTATTCGCCTCCCAGTTGCAAGCTGACCTTCGACAACTCGAAGCAAATCGCAAGGCTGACAAAAAGTCAAAGTACGCACTTGCGGAAGGCATCAGTTTGGCTGCCAAATGGGCTCCCACGCTCGGCCACTCGCATGACAAGAACACTCTGATGGCCACGTCCATCGCCGAGTTGCTGTTTCCGCCGACAGCTTTCCAGGAAAAGGACGAGACCCGCGAACACTACCTCAACAAGGTCCGGGAGATGTACCGCAAGTCATACACTTCGCCCCTTCGTCAAGCGCTGGACGTGACGGAACGCAAGATGGCGTCCGGTCAGTGGACCAAGATTGACTTTTCGCACGTGCCGTCCAAGTGCATGCAGACCAACAGTGCCCTCTTCTACAAGCATGCCAAGGACGAGTTTGTCAACTTTCTGAAGGACGTTGCGCTGGGTAAAAAGTCGGTGAGTGGTGCCACACTGCAGCCACATGAACTGGTTATCCGTGTCAGCAAGACATTGCAGAACGTGTATACCAATGAGAAAGACAAACTGGCAAAGACGTTGAGCCCGGAAGCCTTGCAGGAAGTGTATGCCATGGATGCCGAGCTGGCCAATGCTCAGTGGAAGACCTTGGTTGAATCCATCAAGCAGGATGCTGGTCCGAACAACGAAACGCTTGGGAGTTCGATTGCCGTCTGCGACATGTCCGGATCCATGTATTCCCCCTATGGTGGAACCCCAGTGCCTGTCTGGCCCGCCGTTGGTTTGTCCTTGGTTCTTGCCGAGCTCGCTGCGCCGCCCTTCAATGGATCTGTGATTACGTTTGCTGACAATCCTGTGGTGGTGAACATCGACGTGGGTGGCAAGCTGAGCGACAATGTGAAAAAGGCGTTTGCTGCACCGGTGGGCTACTCGACCGACTTTTTAGCCGTGTTCCTCGACTTGTTGTTGCCTATTGCCAAGAAGCACAACCTCAAGCAAGAAGACATGGTCAAGCGTCTGTTTGTGTTTTCGGATATGGAGTTCAACGTAGGCTTTGGCATTGACAAGTGGGAGACTATTTACGAGCAGATCAAGCGGGAGTACGAACAGGCTGGATACAAGATGCCACAGTTGGTGTGGTGGAACTTGGCCCAGGAGCGTCCGACCGATGAGTATATGGATCCGGAGGCCCCTATCCCGGTCACCAAGGATACTCCAGGCTGTGCCATGATTGGTGGTTTCTCGGCTTCCTTGATGAAGAGCTTCTTTGAAGGCAGTGTGGCGGGTGAAGACGATGATACGGTGTTGGTCGACGAGCATGGTGAAGCTAAGGACAGCGAAAAAAAGGAGCGAGATGAAGAGACTCCAACGACAGAGATGGTCAAGACGCTTTATCATGAGAGCTTTGACAAATTGGTTGTACATGATTAAACGCCTTTACCCCTCTAATGTACATAATATCATAGCATTTCATACCTTCCTTTATCCATTTCATATAGCATATCCTACAAAACTTACCAATCAGTTGCACATACATCCATAAAGAAAAGTAGCAAAAGCACCTCCCCATCGCGCTATCTTCCTCATTAAAAAAGAATGAAAAAAAAAATCTTATCGCTTCAAGTAGTACATATATCGAGACTTTGTGATGATTTTATCAATAAAAGAAATGTGTCTTGAACTTGATTAAGTGCCACATATTAGTTAACCAATATTATAAAAGTGAACATTCTTAAACATTGCACTGACGTTCTCCTCCTAGCTTTAACTAATACTGCGGTTATCTTATCACTTATTTATAAAGTACTCTCAACGCTGCTTGACTCTGTTGTCCTGTACCTAAACATAATGGTTCCCGTGTTAGTGGCGATCACCAATATGACGGCCACAGCTCACATTTTCTGCCTCACAAACTTTTACTCAAAGAATATTGGTTGCTTGTTCGCTTTACCCGTTACCGTCACACAATGTCCGTTTGAAGCTTCAATACATACCATTAGTACGACAGTTCCAACGTACAGTTATCGCTATGGATGGTAGCATTACTACGGCTCAGATTCGCCATATTTGACGTCGGCACCGCGAAGTTGGCTTACACAGTTGATCCTATACCACAATCTAGTTTAAAATTCTCCAGTATTCACAGTGGAAAGCAATGGACAAAAGTGCGTTTATTTTCTCTTGAAGTGATATTTGAGATAAATAAAATTCATATATACATAACCTTATACTTGCTATGTTATTACTTGAAGCATATATAGCTCTAGACTTATGGCTCTAATCCAAAACTACGCATGACTGGGAACAAGAGCATATTCATTGAAATGACCGTCAAGTGAGAAGTATCTCTGATATGATTTTGTTTAGTAACGAACAACGACAGCATCAGCGGAAACAGAGATTTTTTGGCTGGCATTGTTCCCTGGTGAGACGGAGCAAGTCGAGCTCTATGATTTCACCTACGGTGGGAAAAGCGGCCGCTGCCAACAATGAAATACTGAAAACAAGAACTTTTTTGTGAGGAAAGGCCGACAAATCTACAGGATACATTGCCCCTGGAGGCGTGACCTTCGAGCGGTCCTATACCTTACGAAAATCCATCAGTTTCAGCTCGTTTTCTAAGTTAATTAAAACTCTCTTCAAATAAAAAATGGTTTGAGTTTTTTCTCATCAAGAATACATTGTAGTATGCGCATCAAATATATCCTTAAATGCTTTTGCGAAAGCTAGGGTCGCAATGTACGGAGCGACGGGCACTTATTATAAAGAAACACTGATCGAATAATTTTTTTACTTTAGGATCCATGGCCTTGACTATTCGGTAGCATAACAGGTACTATAAGTAACAGCAGTAACTGATATGACAGATACAGCATAGAATTATTGTCTTTACTTTAAAAGTATTGATGGCATGAGTTGAAGTTGAATTGACTAATTGCTTGCTGTCAGATCATACTTTATATTGAGGACCGTCTTCAACAATGAAATATTACTGTTCCCTCTACTGCATTGAAGTACTAGTTACAATGAATGAGACTGGCTTTTTTGGGTTGAGCTTTTATAATAATGCATGATAAGGTATGGCGGATAAAACTTTTATTATCACTATCACCACCAGATAAAAGTTTGTTGCCATTGCACTACTGTTGTTGTCTATTTACTGTACTCTACAACAGGTTAACCTACTACACTACTCCAGTACTACTATAAATCATCCTTCTTTATTAACCCGACTACTGCAGAAGAATCCGCCACCATGCATCTAACCAGTTTGAAATTTGAACACCTTTGTCCAAAATCAAATCAGTTTAATCACGTCTTAAATCTGAATTTGAATCTATTGGAATCTGACTAGATTACAATCGGATTCTGTTTTATTTCGGTTTAGAACAAAGCAGAACAACTTTCTTTCTAGATTTTATGAGTATCCCTACTATTAGCTATACATTTATTAAATAAAGTTAATAGTTGATACTTTTTTTAAACGCTGTCCTTATTTGATGATCCATGGTGCTCTATATAAGGTATATTTTCAAAGACAGAAAATCATTATAAAAACTAATTTTTTATTGTTTTTTATAATAGAAATAATCAAATAAATACTTCCATATGTCTTTTAAAGATGTCACACTTCTATACAAGAAAGATACAGATTTTATTTACCTAAATCAAACGCTTTTTTACTACTTCATTTTTATGGAAATCTCGCATTAATACTTTTTTTTACATTTATATGCGTTTATATAATTTTGTAGTGTTGTACATTCAACAATCGGGCATGTGGCGCAATGGATAACGCACCTGACTACGAATCAGGAGATCGTAGGTTCGACCCCTACCTTGCTCACAGTCGTCGATCACTACTAAATAGTAGTGACTAACTTTTTTATTCTTTGACGTGACGTTTTTTTGGCGTGTGGATTCGTAGCCAATGATAAACGATAGGAACAAAACTAATAACAAGATAGAGAGGGTTGTTGAAAGATGCTTTTTATTGCTTGTGCTGGAGTGCGAGCGTTTTTCTCTAATAAAGTACAGCGCCGTTTACCGTGTGATATAACGATATAATAAGATACAACTAGGGCTATCTTCTATTCGCTACTACTGTGAACGCTTCTATGGTGTCTGCGGGTAGTAGCGCGGCGGTATTCTTGATAGTGGTGTACTTACTTGCTGCGTGACAATAGAGTTGAACCGCCAAAATGGGAATAATTAAAGACCGGTTATTTATTTCTACTACGACATGTTTACTGCTGAGTATCAGGTCGGGAGGTGCGTGCGTTCGTGTCATTTTATTATTATTCCCTTGTTTTTAAAAAAAGCTAGTGCACTAGATACAACAACAGCAGTTTCCTTAGAAACAGAAAATCATTGCACCAATTTCTTCATCCTTTTTAATCCTTCGTAATAGCTCACATGTATATATGACCTTGTTATTTTTGGAAAGTAATCGATATAGAATCGTCTACCTTCTCTTTCCGTTCCTACTCTCTTACTGAGTACAATTTTTCGGGCAAAATGATTTGTATTTTATTTAAAAGTAGGACTGGATGCACACTAGCAGTTTAGTACTAACCATTATAGCTGTACCCGATGGTAGCCAGGAGCTTACTTTTGCCCAATATCAAAGGTGAGCAGTAGGAAGTTTATCTGTTCTATCTAGTGTTAAATAAACGGTCGATGTGATCACTGTGGTACATTTATGTGAAAGACGTACCTCAGTATAAGCGGTTTTTTTTTGGGCACAATAGGATGATTATGACTTTCCAATGCTTGCGTTGACAGCATGTAGCTCGTAGGTTAGTAGTTGGAAAATATAATATCTTTAACAGTTGCCGTTGGATCAAACTGAAGAGTTTGGGCACAGACGTAGTGTTGTCTATTGTGCATTATATGTGATGCACTTAATCAGGCGGCAGTAATATAACGCCAGCCTCAGCAATAGCAATGGAAAACTTCGCTGTTTTCTGACCGCATTACACACATAATATTATCTGCCAAATTGACGACAGTAGCCCAAGATCACACATTGTATGTTGAAGGTCCTCAGTTTAGAATGGAAGCATCGCATCATCATCATCAATCAGCGTCACAGTAGATAAGTATGGTTGATCAGGAAGACGGAAGGGTTATTCCAGCCAGACGCATACATAAGCAGCAGTATTACGATGCTTACAGATTTCACAGCTTTCAACGAGCATCCAAAGATGGCGTATTGGACAGACACCATCAACACAGCAGCTAAATACGTCATTTGTCACTTAGTTGTAGAATGATGTCATGTTTCTTTGGTCGCGAACTGCGTCTTTATCTTCTTGGATGAGAACGTCCTTACAGTAAATCAAACCGAGCCAATAGATGTAGTGTATCGTATGCTTTTTATTTTTACAAGTGTAGGTATTTTGAAGGAAGGGAAAGGAGAAATGGAAGAGAGAAAGTGCTTATATAATTATTTTGTCTGTTGCTTTTACTCGGCAGTCTTGGGGAACACGTATACCTTCTCATCACCCTTGAAAGGCACTCCCAGCTCAATAAGCTTCTTAAAAGCCTTTGCAAAGTCCTCAAAGAACTTGTTTTCATCCTTGGCATACAAGTCGAAATATTTCTTGAAATGCTTGTCCGCGTACATGTCGAGTTCGATGGGCAACATCATGACATCAGGGTTGCTCTTGTCGACGTATTGCCATCCACCGTTAGCCAAGGTCTTCTTGACCCACTTTCGCTCAGCAAGAGCCTTGAAGTATTCGTTGGTAAACATAGTAGGGGCTTCTTGCCATGGACCATCAAAGCCACTGCGATCAGGGTGGCAGCGACCCAATGCGTGACCACCGAGCAATGCGACAATTTCTTGATCATCAAAGCCCTGTGCAGCGGGGACGGAAAAAAAGGAAAAGCATCAATAATTTGTTACAAATCCGGGAAATGGTACGAGGTTGTGTAACGTTCTTGATGAGCGTAGCACTTACCATTCGGTAAAAGATATCGCGAGCATGGTTTTCCTTCTTGGTAGCATCAGGAAGACGGCCATCGGGTGTGCATGTCTCGGCGGTAAGAGCATCTTGTCGACCAGGTCTCCATGGGATGGTAGGACCGCCCTATTTGGTCATTTATACATTGACAGTGACAGTGTAAGCATATTTGTCTTGTGTGTGAGAAAAAAAGAAGGACCAACAAGCGCGTGTTCGTTACCCTTTATGTTACTTACCAGTTCTTGAATTGCGCAGATACCAGCCAAGGTCCACAAGTCGCCATAGCTAATCTCAGGGTATTTTTTGTGAATCTTTTCGAGGATGTTGCGTGCTATGTGCAAGCCGTTGTTGGCACCATGAGTTGCTTCGGGCTCAAAGCCTAATTTTATGAAACGTAATCATGTCAATTAAACGAGAAAAATGTATTTCAAAAAAAAACCTTTTCGCTCTTCCGCACTGCCCCAAAAATAACCTTCCTGAAAACTAATACATACGCATTGTGGCGCCATTGCTACCGCCAGTCTTGGTATCCTTGTCATAAGTACCAGAAGCGTGCCATGCGAGACGAACAAAGACTGGACCATAAGAGCCGTCATCATATCTAAGACGGGTCAGTGAATAAAAAAAAAGAATTAGCCCATACGTTTTACATACACAAACAGAAATATTCCCATGAAGGGGTGGGAAGAGGCGTGCAATCGCGTGCATCACATGAAACATACTCGGAATCCTCATCCAAAAGCTCGGCAATATCCTTGTATACTTGATTGTAGTCGACGCTCTTGGTCTTTGCTTGCGTGGCTTCAGGCGAAGCGGTCTTGACGGACTGGTTTGAGGTGTGATAGTAATATCCACCAGCACCGCCCAGAGTGGCCAAACCTAGTCGAACAATAAAGGTGGGTTAGAAACAGGTTTTTTATTCATCTTGGTGGTTTGATCACTTCTTTTCACTAGACCTACCTAGGAACAACAAGGTGTTGTTGCCCGATTTGTTGCCACCGTTGCTGGTAGAATATCCACGATACATGGTATTGGTGGCCATGGGAATTCGAGAAGTAACACGAGGGGCAGCCATGCTGATAGCTGCGCGTGCGCCTAAGCGCGGCAAGAGAGGACGGAAAGCAGCAGATGACATTACGATATTCAGTGAGAAGAAAAAAGAAGTGTACGTGAGAGAAAAAAGAAGGGAAAAGACGAAAGAGGAACGGTTGTGCAAGGTGCTTTTATATATGGGAAATTACGCAACAACAGCACAGCAGCGTTATCATGCAGGCCGGTTTCATCGAGAATGAATAAGCAACTGGCCACTGGCCACGATGAGCTCGGCCGTTAAATCCCGAATTATACAAACGCAGTGATAGCCAATCAATGACCTCGCCTGCTTACTAACGCTTGTGTACACATACACCACGGGAAAGAGTCAAAGCACCCCACACACCCCGATCACACACATTGGTCCGACCAAACTTTTTCCATGCAGTTCCACCGTTTACGAATAAGAAATATAGTTGACAGCAGACAGTATCTAAATATTTCAAACGACATGCTGTAATGCACTTCAAGCGTACATGCATCATCTTCAACATGATAGCATTTCAATCCATTATTATCAGTGCCAATACACGTCACACTACCGGTGGTGATGTGCGATTGTGTCAAATAGCTTCAAGCTTAAAAGCAATCACTTGGTGTTTTAAATTAAGGCCAAACATCTTTCTTCAGCAGTACCTGAAACATAATCGATCGACACAGTATCTGTCGAATCAGTGTATTATTAAGGATCATTAGGAACCATTGTGATTCGCTGTCCGCCATAAACCGCAGATAATACTGTGTTGCCCAATAATTACTTTGTTAGCTTAAGCCAATCAATGCGTACTGTATATGTCTGGGCAGCACAACCCAATCAAAGTTTGCTGTAAACAGCTGCATGACGCTAATCTTTCCCTCCTGTTCGTTTTGACACGGTCATCTCCGCTATACTACACATTTTTATTTCAATAGCTCTATCGCTAAGACATTAAGTATATAAGCTTATACACATTAACCCCAAAGATGCGTCAGCAAGCTGTGAATCGTTCATGTGTAGCCGAAGGACTCGAGGTAATATGAGTTCTTCATAGACGGTTTCCCATTTTTTATCCAATAAGAAGTCAGCTCAAACACCTGGACCATATTGATTCGCAAATCGTCAAATGCACCTACTACGGCAGCGTAAATTTTCTATCCATCTGATTATACATGTAAAAGTTCTTAGAGCATTTCTGGGTGTGCAGCAGCGAGTTATTGAACAGAACGCTAGAAAATTCTTTAAGGCGTGCGTTAATGACTAGGGAACCAATTCCTCCAAAGCTGGCCAAACCGCACAAGTCTACGAGAAGGTTGTATATATAAGGGAAAAACGCATCAGTATATCTTAGCACAAGTGCAACAGCACATAATCGTCTTCATCAACTACCTGTATATATCTCGAATTGCTCTGACAAAAGGCAGCACACGCGCTTAATATAATCACATAGTCATTTGCATGTCATCGGGCAAGAGAAAGAGATACTTAACAGCGACTGTGTTGTATATATTCTTCACTTTATTATATATTCTCTTAACTAATGTCTATTTGTCGTTAAGCATCAGCAGTCGCGCCACACCAGTGCAACGCCGAGAAGCAAAAGAAAAGGGTATCCTTCAAGAGAGCCATTCGAGCGAGATTCGCAGCATAACACAGCCATGCGGTTATGATTGTTAATCCGTCGATAACATCGCCAATAGATGGATGTACCGGCTAAAAGCCACATGCAGAAACGTCAACAGCAACTTGACAAGCAAAACTTATTTTGAATTCTTGAGATGAACACGGATTCGGTTGGTAGTTCGATGAGGTTTGGGTAAATAAAGCATTGATAGGGGGTTCTAGTCATTCAGCTACTATTGATAGTGATTTGATGTTCAATAGCTTACCTTATCATGTACACTGCAGTATGCAAACCATGCACGCAATGTTCCGCTCTTTGCGTCGATATACGAGGAGATAGTAGGTTTATGGTATCCGCTAGACCATGTACTTGAGGTTCGAAATTTGCATCTTGTGATTTTGGTATAGGATTTGCATGACTTTTGCTTATTTTCTTGTAGAACGTCGCAATACATTCAAACAGGGGATGTGCGTCAGAGTTCTTTTTTTTTTTTGAAGTTTGAAGGGACTTTGTCTTTCATCTTCGACTCCTGTATCCAAAAAAATAAAAAAATAAGAAGAACTTTTGTTGATCACATGAGTCTGTTTCCGAATTTTCCATGATTGTTAGAGTAGCCTACAAAGAAAATTAAAATGTCGGCATAAGTAATAATCTGCGAACTGTCTTTCTAAATGACGATCGAAATTCAAAGGTTTTCATGAAAACTTTTCTTTGCCGTAAGTACTATTCCAAGATGCTAAATGTTTTTTTGCGAAAATTGTTGCTATCAAGATTATAAGAGCAGAGACGAGAGGAATATCGTATGCTTTCATGATATTAGTTTTTGAAGATGTACTTACTTGAAGTCATCTCGTTTTTATCATACCTTTGAAGAACGTGTACTTACATCAGCGATGATTTCAATTGAATATATGTTTATAAAAAGCAACTCTTCTTTGCGAAGGAGGTGTTGTACACACACACTTTAACTTACTATATAGCCGATATGTTTTGTCTAGTGTCGACTAAGACAAGCTTACTGCAGGTTTTAGTTACATACTACTCAACGATCTCAGCTTTTTCGATGAGCGTTTTCGTAGTGTAATATATAGGTAATGGAATTTACCAGTCTATAATCGTGGAACTAGCAGAGCTCGAATTGTAGTAGTGTATTGTGCAGACCGTAGACATACTTATATGCAGCCGGGAAATGTATGCAAACAGTGGGAGTGAGAAATGCTTCAATGCAGGTTTACATAACAACAACAACAACAATAGAGGTAGTGCTACGTGGCTCGTTTTTGTTCGGAAAGTTTTCCTATTAGCTTGTGCTACGTCAACAAGAAGCATCATTCATGGCACAACCTGATGTAGGGAATATGAGCTCCGCAACCTTCGCAAGCGCTTTTACTTTTAGCTTTCTCCTTAATGTGAAATCTTGTTTTTCTTCTTTTTCTTTTAATTTTCCATAAGTACAAGTAATCTTACAATGGCACGCTCGACGAGACAGCAGCAAAAGCGAAAGCGGGACGATTTAGCAACGCTGGATAAAAGTTTTATTGTGAACGAAGAACAGGATGATGCCGCTGCTGATGAGCTTCCGCCAACTAAAAAAGCGAAAGGTATGTATTGTCAAGATGTCCGGATGTGTTCCTGGAAAACGGCTAAATATGCCCAATCAATTCTCTCTTTCTATATAACAGAATCCATGAAAAAGCTCGAACACAAAGCAGATTATGCGCTGAACGGAAAAAAGGATGAGGTATCGGGTGTACTTTCTATTAAGTAAGAGCAAGAAGAAAAAGGTTAATAATGATATGTAACCGTGGTTTTACAGAAAATGGAGGTGGACGTGTCAGTTGAAAAGATAGACGTGTGGATCGGTGCTACGAATGCAAACAAGGTTGGCCTTTATTACGGAACAGCTGCCGATGAACGCAACTGGACAGGCGTGCCTGAACTGGAGCCTGAATCAAGAAGCTTAGAGGATGCTTGCGTTTGGGTAAGGAGATATACTCTTCATTTATATAAAAGATCACACCACATGGATATTTACTTACTGCAACTTCCACCGCCGTTTATACATCAGGCTGCTATCCAGGCAATCGATAGATGCGGTAGCGAGGTCAAGCCTGTATTTATCTATACGGACTGTGGTGCTTTATGCACATCTGGTAAGACACCTTTTCTGTTTCCGGTATCGGTTCAAAAGAAAAAAACCAAAGAAAGAACGGCCCTTAAACGAGATGAGCTTTCTGCAGATGAAAATCGCAATCCATTACGAGAGAAACTCAATGAGAAGATTAAGCAGCGAAGCGGAACAACAGTCATTGTAAGCATCACGAGGGGCATACCACCTTATTGATATGACTTCACTCATATACATATTTCAAAGTACTAACTTGGTTATATTACCAAATAATAGCTACACACTTTAGCAACGACCAGCAGCCAGCTTCAAGAAGCTCAAGAGCTCGTTGTAGTCAAGGTATGACCAACAAAATGCATGGGGTTCGAAGGGGGTTTGGGGGAATTGGTGTTACCAAACAAACGGAGTCTGACAGAAACAATGATAATAGCAGCTGCAACGAAATGAGACAACAACGGTAGATGATAAAGAAGAACGGAAGAATGAAAAACAGATTGCTAAAATGGCCGTCAGTAACAACGATGCATCAGTACCAGTGCAAGAGTCAAACGAAAGACTTGAAAAGGATACAGTATTGCTTAAAGTAAGCGAAGCAAAAGTAGCCCATACCCAGGAGACGATGGTGCAGCAGTCCAATGACGCTGCTGCTGCTGCTGATGGTGACGATGGAAAAGATGCATCTGCAGATGGACCTACGCCTGCTGCTGCTGCTGCATGGAAGCCGACAGGTGGACTTGCGAGAAATCTCCTTGATATACTCATGTCGCCCTTTGTCCGTAAAACCCGCACCCGTTAGTTAAGCAATCCTCCTCCCCAGTCCCTTTCTTGTCTGTTCTCGTCCCGTCACCCCGTTTTTGGTCTTGTTCATCCCATCAATATCTCTTAATCCTTTCTCTATATATCCACATATACTTTTTCCTCGGCATGTTGGTACTATTATTTCTCTACAGTAAATATATATAATATTTTCCTAAAAAAGAGCGAGTCGTCACTGTAGAGAGACTTTGAACTGATGAAGGTTGAAGTACCGCATATGTTGTTTCTGTTGCATTTCATTTAACTAAATTCAAAAGATGTAACTCTTCTTTCCGACAAATCGAAAAACCTTTTAATTAAGTCTATATATGTCACCATTTATACGAAATGTTTAATAAAAAGAGTGAATTATGACGGCTGCTATGCTTGTATCACCATAGCAACGTCGCTCCCGGCTGTTATGTAATATGGCGGGAAAACCATGGTAACCAGCCAACCCCGACGGGATGGTGAAAAAAGCAGTCCAAACGAAAAATTCTTCGCATTTAAGTTTCGGTCGCGTTGACGGGAAAGATTCTTTACTGCTTCTTCTTGTCAAGGTAAACTTTTTTTTCTGTACTATTTAGGTTTTGGGACAACCATGTGAGATGGTTGTGTGTGCCCCAAGGTGGTTGTGGAAGATACCATGATGAGATTGTTATTACATAGAGTCAAGCACTGTAAAAGTATATTGATGATACAAGTTTACGCTGAAAAATAATCTTCCAACCAACCATGGGGGAGGGGCAAAACCTGAAAAAGATCAAAAACAGAAGCATGGAGACTAATGTTTTTATTGTTTCTGTTGAATAGAGTTTTATCAAACCACTGGCTGGAATAAGAAATGAGGGGAGATACTAGTGTAGTAGTAGCAAAAAAAAGATTTTTTTTTCGTTGAAAATAAACAAGTGTACTTTTAAACTTAACAAAAAGTTTCTCTAATATGGGACGACAGATCCCAAGTTGGCATCAGCAGCACGCTTGGCCATCAATCCAGCAATGGCGCTGTCTTGGACACTGATACCCACACTTTTGAACAGCGTGCGCTTGGCACTGTCTGCCTTAGCGTCTTGATTCTCAATCACAATCTTGCCCAGTTCTGTCCACTTTTCGGGGGTTGAGGACGCGACGAGTTCTCCCGACTCGGCCGTACAAGCCTCCACCGAATCGACAAGGATTTTATCCGTCTGCTTTACACATTGAGCATCGATCTCGTGCATATCCAGTCGGTATGAGCCCACGCAGTTCAAATGAACATCCTCCTTGAGCCATTCGCCTCGCAAAATGGGCTGGGTGGCGTTGGTGCAAGTGCACACAATATCGGCATCACGAGCTGCTGGTTCCAATTCAGCGTCATTGCCAGCTCCCTTGACAGTCAGGTTCGGGTAAGCCGCCTGGATTTCCCGAACAAGTTGGTCCCGACGTTCTTGTCCGCGGTTCCAAATCGTTACGTTTTGGATGCTTGGGCGAACGGCAACAACCATGTCAATATGAGCACGACCCTGTGCGCCGGCGCCAAGGACCACCAGGGATTTGGCGTCTTCCTTTGCATAATATTGCGTAGCCAATGCCGATCCTGAAAATAAGAACCATATCCATCCAACCACCCAAACATAATTGTGCTAATGAGTATCGTTTCTTTTGCTAACTTCGTTTCCCCAATCCCTCATATGCTCGCGCAGATTAAGATAAAGACTTCACCAGCAGCAGTGCGAACAGCGGTCAACGCAGCAGCGTTCATCACAGTTTGAAGACCACCCGTAGCTTCATCCAACACAAGCGTTGTGCCTGGCAAACCGCCCTTGCTGTCGCCAAGTGGCACGCTGACAACCTTGATGGAGGTCGTGGTGTTGAGTCTCGAAGGCATGAACAGGACCTTGTGCATATCGGTAGTGACGGCGATACGTTGCGGTGCTTGAGCACATTTTTGCTTTTCAGCGTCGCCGTGTGCAGCAGTGTAGGCAGCAAACGTGCTACCCATCAAATCCACCATCTCCAAAGCGGCCTTGGAATCGCCCAATGCGAGCAACTTGTAAATATCTGCTTCAGACAAGACGCGAATAGTGGTAGACGACATTATGTAAACGTGCGAAAAATGAAACAAGATGGAAAAGAAAAAAATGCGTTTTAAGAGTGCGCGATCGTTTCAAACCTTGTTTTTGATACAGGCTCAGGATCGCTGTATGATTGGGTGCCTTGTCCCAGATCAGTAGCGGAATATCTTCTACACTGGTTCTTCTATATTTCTTAGTGATTAGCGAGGCTTTTATCTTATCTGCTTCTTTTCTTCCCTTTTTTTTCACCTTTTCGTCTCTCTCTCTCTCCTTCCACCCCACTAATTCGCTTTCATGTCCGCTGAAGCAGTTGCAGCAACGACGACGACGATTACCGAACAGCTTATAGGCGGCATTGCATACCTGACGAGTCTTGAGTACCAGGAGATCCCAGTGCTCGATGTGCTACACGCGTTTTTAATTGCCTACGCATATCGGTCCGCTGTTGGAGCGGGACACAACCAAATTGGATGGGGTCAAGGCTTGTTAGCCGTGATTATAATGTGTGCAGGGGGAGGCTCTACTGTAGCGATATTACGAGGCGAGCCATTGGGTATCTTGAAGAGTAATGCATTCTGGGGCATTTACGGGTAGGATACAACAACTATTCAAGTCTTACTCATGCGACGATAAAAAAAGTACCCTGGACTAACGGTTATTGAAAAAAAAAATAGACTTGCTTATTGGTCCATGTTTTCGAATTCATTCGTCTATCCACTCTTTAACCTTATCTTCTCATTACCGTTCGTTGAAGAAGCGTTCACTGTGGCCGACGCAATCTTGCGTAACGCAGCCATTGTCAATTTTGGGGTGCTGGGTGTCAATTCCACGTTGGGCGAGGACAAGTATATTGCCAAAATCTTATGCGGCACCCTGGCTGGCTCCGGAGGCGGATTTTGGATCGACACGTTCAACTTGACACATCATAACTGGTCCTTTTCGACACCACGGTGGTTGCATGCGGCGACTATGGATGTCAAGGCATCGTTCGCCACGGCTTTGTTCTACATATTGGCCACAAACCCAACCTTTGCGGAATTGACGGGTGGATGGAAAGTGTTTACGGCCACAGAGGCTGAAGCATGGAGTGCGGTTGTGCTTTCGGTCGGCTTGATCTACGGTGGCGTGTCTGCTCGCTGGCAGAGAAAGCGCAGTAATGATGCAACGAAAGAGAGAAAGACACAGTAGTAGTAAACGCACTTGGTAGTAGGAAGAATTGCAGTATGGACTTGTAAAGTTTCCGAACATGCTAGAGTAGTGGAGAAAATTCCTCATCCATTCACATCATCATCTACATCCACTTTCCTCATCCTCCCTGATTTATACACTAAGCTCTGTATAATAAACATCATTTGTCCAATTGGCTGCTAGATATATCTCCTTTCTCTCTCTTCTCTCTCTCTCTCTCTCTTTTCCTTTTCTCCTTTTGTGCGTGGACAAGTGGTGTACATTATAGTTAAATATCCATGGGCAACAGTGTATCAAAAATAAGCTGCACTCATCGCAGAAGAAAAAAGACGGCGGTGGACAAGACTTGCATCAGCACCCCCACCGACTTTAGGGTAAAATGAAGAAAAAAGTCTTACTTGTTATTTAAAAAGAAGAGTACACTGACGATTCCTCTGGCTATGCTACTTCTGTTTTAGCACATGTATCATATTGGTAAGCCATAATACAATCCAAACTTTCGACACACGCGTGACAGTGGATCGAGCATTATGAATGTCTGATTAGCCTGAGCTTTATGTTGTAGGCCTTGATCAATCGCCCCAAAGAGTATGCGTTTTGCGTGTGTTCATCCCCTCACCCTTTTGTCGTCGAGTGAGGACAACATGTAATTTTCCGGTCCCGTTAACGATAATTATAATAAACTAGGATCAACGACGCCTATCGGGCATACCACCTGCTGAACAGCTACGACAGCAACTAGCCGAAATCACCCAAAAGTTACAAGAAATCACACCCATTGATCATCAACACTTGAACAGAAATCGCGGTGTACGTCGATCCATGACAGCCACCACGCCCATGGTGAATCGGAAACCACCACAAACAGTCCCTACCTCTTGCTCACAATATCCAGCAACAAATAGTAATCGTCATCCGTCATTACCTCGTCAACGTGTTGGGTACTGGTTTGATCGTGTAGGTAGCGACGAAGTTCTATCGTCTACGAGTAAAAGCAATTTCAGTGGTAGCGAGGGTGCGTTGTTGCAGGTAAATTAAACAGGAGCTACGCTTGTAACACAGCCAATGTGGCCTGCTTGCATGAAATACATTAACAAAGGAGGAAAAAGGATGTATGTAAAGAAACACCACAGCATAACATGTCGATGATGAAATGCTATGTTGAAAGTAAAATCGATGCACAAATCCAAAAGGTGAGTTGAAACACAAAAACATACACTGTTTTGTTGTTGTGGCAATGGTAAACAAACTGATGGGGTGTTCTTTCTATTGTATTTAGCATGCATATGCACGTCAACGATCCAAAAGTTGCACAGATCCAAATACAGCAGGTGGTAAGTGACGTACATCCCACACATAAGCAGAGCATTAATAACTCACCTCATACATTAGACTATGTTGATGGAAAAAAACAGCGGCAGATAAAGAGCAACGATCGACATCATATTCTTCCACTGTTGTAGAACGATGATACATTTTCCCTCCTTTTTCTCCTGCTTGCATACTAGTATTATATATTTACAGACATAGGACTATAACGTCACGCACCACACATAGCTATATACATACATACATACATCTTACATACAAATATATTCGTTTCTTTTGATATCACGCGAACTATACATGTCAATATAAACATCCTTCACATTCAACCCATGACGATAGCTCTTGATAGCGTAATTGATGATAGCTATAATGTTTTTATGTCCAGTTGGTCACCAAACACCTCAAATTATCATGCTTTGGAGCTGTAGTCTGTGCAACATACTACGAACAATACTGTATGTTACGAGCTTGAGGACAAACATAAAAGAAAAGGTATTACTTCCTTTTCTTTGCTTATGTATTCTTTTCTGTATGTAGTAAACGAAAAAAAGACAGTGTGTGTGTATCTGTTGTGTGAAATAGAGAAGGGTATAGTGACAAGAAAATGGGGGTGTTATAGAAAGAAAAAACTTGGAAAACTCTGACGAAGGTATTTAAATTGATTTGGGGTGAAATCTACTTTTTTCTTCTCAGCGAAGAAGTGGGCGTTTTAGTTGCACTACCAGCACCACGCGCTGTACTTCTAGGTGCATCTGCTTTAGCTGGTTTGCTTGCAGGTGCTGCTGAAGCAGCAGCCTTGATTCGTCGGACCTGTCGTGGATTCTTGGGACAACCGTCACCGTTCAACAAGTGAGCCTTCCATTGACTGTCCGTGACAGGATCAATTGATCCCATACACAACGGGCACCGAGTTTCACCGTCAGTGACAGCTAGTAAAAGGAGGCATTAGTTAAGAAAAGTTGTTTGTTTTTCTTCTTCCCCTTAAGCCATCCTATGGAAACTGTACCTGAGCATGTTTGCTTCAATGTATGTTGAAGCCATTGTTCAACTGGTACAGCTTGCTTACAACGCGTGCACTGTTTGACCAGATGCCGTTTTGCACAATCCTTAAACGTATGATCACTTAATGTTGAAATTTCCAATATCTAAATGATACGTTTTCGAAAAAAAATTTACGATGTGTCAGCGCATCAATACAGTAGTTGATATTTATATCAAACTTACAATTTGACATCTGGGACAGCTTGTTAGTACAGGGCATTCATCGTAGTAGTGAGAGATGAGTGTATCTTCATTAAAGTCAGGATTGCTTTCTTCACAGAATATACAGATGCTAGTATAGAACAATGATTTTTGTTGTTTTCAGTGAATTGTCTATCTCGACTTCCTTTCGTTAATAGATCTACTTACTTTTTGTCATCCAAAAGAGGATCTTCCTGGCGAGAAGCTGATGTTGTCGTAGTAGTAGTGGTGGTATTTTTGGAGGAGGCTTTGCTAGTAGTATTGGTGTTTGCACCACGAGTGTTGCTACGAGCAGCTGACGTACGTGTGCCGTTTGCGGTACTGGTTGTCGTGGTCTAATAAGTTCAATGCAGCGTGAGTCTACGAGGGAGGTAGGAGGATGGGGAGGAAGCTCATAAATCCCTTAATATATGTAAGACCCTACCTTTTTCGACGCTGTGCTCGTCGTTCGACTATCAGCCTTGCCACGTTTATCAGCAGCACCTGTAACTGTAGTAGTACCAGCAGTGCGTCGCTTGGTATTGTCGCCAGTCTTCTTGGTAGCCTGACTAGATTTCTTTTCGCTTGGGGAGCTTGCTTTGGCAGCAAATGCACGAAGCTCAGCTACGGTGCCATTCGAGCCAAACGAACTAGGCTTGGAAGAAGATGTATCTTGTGCTGGCTCACGAGATTCAGCAACCTTCTTTACGGTCTAATTATTGATGGAGAAGGAAAAAACAGGGTTAGGTGAGTGAAGTACCGCAGAGTTAAAATGTAATAAAGAGTAGAAAAAAAGAGCTACTACATACCTCTGCCAACGAGAGTCGAAGATCCTTATCTATATACTTGCTCACTGAAGGGAAACCAACTTGCTCGGAAATATCAATAACAAGTTCGACAGCAGCCTGACGCACATCATCGTGCGAATGGTTCAAATAAGTGACGACGAAAGCCATCAAATCATTCAAGGGAATAATGCCAATATCTGCTACTGCATCCCCATTACGCTTCTTGGCGCTTTGCTGCTGCTGGATGATACGTAAATAGTCCACGGCCGAGGATACCAGCTCGATCCGTGCACGTGCATCCTTGTGGTTGTGAATAATACGATCTGGCTTGGCGATATAAAGCGAGAGCAATGAATAAGGTCGCTCATAGAACTTTTCTGACAAATCAAGGACAAGCTGTGAGGCAGGTTGACGGATTCGCGTGTTGGTGTCGTTAGTACGCATCAAAAGACCAGAAAATGCGCGTTCGATTAATCCAAAGACAAGTGTATGAGGCACCACTTCACAGATGGCTATAGTTTAAAAGAAACAGTAAATATGTCAGGGAACGGCGCGCTTTTGTACTAAAAATTCCTGCAGATCATTTCGGGATCAAACTTACCATTCACGTCTTTCCAAATGTCGATCGTCATACTAATAATGGACTCTCTTGAATCCATTACGGCCTCCTGAACCATCATCAATGCTGCTTTAGTAAACATAGCAGTACGACGGATATCTTCTTCATAATCTTCGCCAATGCTGGTTTCGCTGCTACTGTCATCCGACAAGCTTGTATGGTGCGGGTCGTCAACGAGTTCGTCCAAACGATGTAATTCGTTATTTTCGACAAATGCACAAGCCAGTTTGACACTTTCTGCTATTTGTTTTAAACCGTACTCGCGACACTTGACCTTGACACTGAGAACGCAAGTAACAATGTCTTCGCCAAATACACGGATAGGCACACGGCAATTGGCACGTTCAGCATCGATTAATGGTTCAGGGACACATTCTGGATCCAATGGCTCCTTTTTCGGTACTTGCTGCAGTTTTTGCTGGATGCGTGCTTCGTCAACTTGGTGCTCAAAAAATTGCTGTTGCTCTTCTGTTGTCATGCCACGCAACGAATGTTTTCGAGCAACGGAAGCTGAAAGTGAAGGTGCCATCAGATCTGACATGGACACACGTTGTAAATCGATCGGTTTTTCCAGACCACCATCGGTATTGTCATCTTCAACCACCATTTCACGTCCAATAAGAGAATTGCTGTTATGGCCGCCATAGGATGTCAAATGAGGCGGAAGCAGCATCTCGGCGGCGTCTGTCGACAGCGATGATGTGGGCGAGCTTTGATGCGTGGTAGAATCGTTCTGACTGATGCCTTCGTTGTGGGGTGGGGTGATATAAGCGTCAAAGTTTGTCCATTTTTCAATTGCTTCATCATAGAGACGATCTTGCTGCGTTGTTTCTGGATTGCTATGGTGATGGCGGTGGTAATCATTATCATCATCATTGATGTTGTCATGGTGACTAATCAATGTAGTATCATTCTCATTGTCATGGTGATGCTTGGATACGGCTTCTGGATGTCGAATCATATCATCGCTTTCGTTGCTAGGATATGATGGTCCTCGCAGAGACTCGGGGATAATGTCAATTTCATCGTCGTCTTCGTACTATATCATTGAGATAGATACAAAGAAAATTGTGGGTCAGTACTCCCATTCTTTTTTCCTGTGTACTATATCATGAGATTTCATCTTCTTTTGAAAAATCATACCTCGGCACCAACGATGACACCATTGCTGTTCCCGGCAGGAACCACGCGGCCATCACGCGTAATGTGGATATTAGCTTGCTCCAACAATTGCTCGGCAGATCGTTTGATTTCGCAAATATCGGCCTACATACATTATAGCCGTAGCAATTAATAAGCACTGGCAAGACAGAATAGAGTAGTGAAAAAGTCTTTCCCTTAAAAATACCTTGATTTTCTCGGCTTCGTCATAATCCTTAGATTCTACGGCTTGCTTTTTGCCCAGCTCCAAGTCAATGACAATCTTGCCAAACCTAGAAAGCTTGTCACTGATATCCTTGTACACTTTTGCAGCCTGGTATGATTCATCTAAATGAAGCGGGTAAAACCTGGTTAGCGTACAAGGAGAGAGGTAGTAGGTGATGGTGATGATGAGGAAGCAAGGGTGGGGTGGGGGGAGAATGAGAGTATATGATTGTTACCTCTGGCTGCTTCCTCTTCGGCATGCATCAATGCCGAAATCCATTGCTGGAGCTCAATGTCGAGCACGCCAGAAGCAGAAAGTCTGTTGCTAAGACTTTGGCTACTGGAAACACTTGTTCTTCTCGTGGACGAGCTGAGCATGCTTGACTCATCCAAAGGGTGGTGAAGGTACCGGGCCATGTGGCTCTAAATGTATAATGATACATAAACTATACTGCTGCTAGACAGACATGTAGATAATGCCTCATACACAAGAAAGACACAACACTTACAGGGATAGCTGTTACACCTGCAGCCTCATGACGCAGTGGTTGACCCAATACGTTAAGAGCGAGTAGTCCCACCTAAACAATATATGACATGTGTTAAAGATCGACGAAAGTGTGGTAGCAGGGCTCGCATAATTTGCAAGGTGGTAGGACGAGAGGCGTAAATTCAAACCGCATGTTTGAAAGGGTTGTTGATCAGCAAGCACACGCACAGGTGCCTGCCAAATCTGATGGAAAAGAGCTCTTTGGTGCGCAGTGCCTCAAACTAATACAGCCTTTTTGCCCCTGAACAAGCTTCATTATCCACCAGCCCAAGGCCAACCCAAGCCAGCCACAGACCCGCTTCTTTTCTACTTTTTGCCCTACAATAGAATTCATTCCTTTTCGTCACCACACACACACTTTTCCCCCAAACCCCTTTTTTATAGCTTACTCATGGCCTACCAGCGCAACAACAACCACCATTTCCATCATGATCACTCACAGGAATACTCCCAACCCAGCCCTTACCCCCCGGAAAAAAGAAAGAGTGAGGTATTAAAGAGAAAATTACGAAGGTATGTTTACCTGGTTGTAGGTGTTTAATCGATTTCGATGACAGCTGCGGACAACGAGTCTGACGTATTCACCATCGGCATTGACCTTGATTGATTTCAATTCACGAGCACGATATTGGGCGCGCGTGTTATTGTCAAGACTAACATAGCTGAGTAAAAAAAAAAGAGAAATAAGGAAAGTGCAGATGCATATATATTAGTATTTACATATTAGTGCCATAAGCGGAGGATGGTGATGAGTAGGATGAGGAGTAAATGTTGGTTGCTTAGTGGGATGGATCGAGATTCAATGATGTTGCTTGCTGCGGGAAAGTCCGAAGGATAATTTACCCTAGCCGTGTAAACTCAATGACCATATCGTCTTCGTCTTCTTCATCGTCTTCTGGCGAGACATGCTCGTCGAGGTCGTCTTGGATGCTGGATGGGTCTTTAAGGATGCCGATATATACGTCTATTTTGGTGGCAATCTTGTAATGATGCGATAAAACTTGGACTTTGGAGATGCGTGCAGGGCCACAAAGCAGTCGAATAATTAAATCTTGTGGATACGTAGGACATCTATTATTATGACCATATCGTTTGTTGTTGTTGTTGTTATTATTGTTTTATGTTAATGGAAGTCAAGTCAAGCTCCTTTTTGTTTAATATGCTTGAGTGTGTATATATTTACTTTGGCGTTTGCCAGCCTTTGACTTTGTTATTGCTCGGCAATGCGTCGGGTTCGCCAATGTCAGCATCATCGTCAATCTTGTCTGATCGTTTGATTCGATTGCCCGGACTCGAAGCTACAAGTTGCTCTGGCTCATGATCATCGTCCCACGATGAACAGTGCGCTATTTCGTAAGGAAGTGGCACAACGGTCATGAGCGGCGTTGAGGGAGTATTATGGTGTGCTTGTGTGGTAGGAAGAAAGAGAAAAGAGAAGGAGAAAGTGAAAGAGAAAAAAAACAGACAGGACCAGGACCAGGACGTATTAATGTGGATTGTCGAAAAGGACAAGAGTTCGGGGGAGGGGAGGGGAGAAGGGGGGATGAGTGTGTGTGTTGGATCCTTTTTTTGGCTAACTGTAAGTGCTGCATGTGGTGAATGACCGATTTTTGTTGCACGCACATGTTTGAAGAAGCGAGGAGCAGTGCCTTGTGCCACCCAAACCGCACACACATTTTTATACTTTAAACAACACTCTTAATACCTTGCACCACTGTAGTTGTAGTAGTACCACAAACAAAAAACAATAACAGAGCCAAAGGAGCTCTTCTTTTTATTGTTTGTTCAACAGCTGTACGATGACTTGCTTGGGCGTTTGCTTAGTGTGTTTCATTTCTTTTGTCGACCATAGTTCATGAAAGAAGGCGCAGTTCGATGACATGGTGCTAGTCAGAAATGTGTCTTCCATGACTTAGCAGGGGGAGAAACTTGCTGTAACACCCGACAATAAAATGTGTCCAGAAGCAGCAAGCGGAAATGCATGCTTCTGAAACTCTGGCAAGATCACGCTTGCAGATTGCAGAACGAGGAGAAGGATAAAGAAGTCTCCCCGGTGCTATACATAACACGGAGTAAGAGATAGAAGGGTGAAATACTTGAAAAATAGGCAAAATCATTTAGTTCTTTGTAAAGTGCTGCTATCATAAACAGCTTGTTGTTGTTTGTATTACGAGCCCTGCCGGGGTATTACTTGTGGATAAATAATAGAACCCGCCGCGTTCTTCGATCGATATTCCTCATACGAAGGTTCTTTCGGAGAGTACTCTCGGCAAATGTCTACTTTAGGGATACGTGTAACGAGATACTTGCCGTATCTGTCATTGAACAGCACAGTATAAGCTAGTAATACAAGCGTACAACTCAGGCTATTGGCTTAAAAGTGTCAAAAATGGGTAAAGTTTTGGGACCACTCGTCAACAATTCCATGCCTTGATGGTTGCTGCTGCACACAATCATCAGCACAGAAAACAGATTACTCCTACTTTACCACTGCATATATATCACACATATTTTAATTAAAGTTTGCCTATTGGCGTTCTTCTATCGCTGTTTTTTTTCTCACAGAAAATAAAAGGTGATAATAGGTAATGTGATAAAAGTTGTGGCGGCGGCACTTTGACGGTACTATGAAGGTTACCCAGCATCTCATTTCTAAATCTTTTGTTTTAGCTTCTTCTGTTACTCTTTTTTTTATATACCAGCTGATGATCTAAAGTTTACGGTAAGCCCGGGTTTACCTTTCGTTGTCGCTCCCCTGGCTGCGCGAAATTAGCTTAAAAAAGACACATATGATGTGTTCACATTTTACTTTGCTTTGGTGTACAGTTATACAGGCTCATTTGCAAGCCAACCGTGATTATCCGAGTAGCAAACTCGTACAATTAATAAGAAGTAAATGGTCAAAATCTACTGTTTCCAGGTATACGCATAGCAGCGCATCATTTTTGAACAGTTGATAGCTACTACAGCATAGATACTGGTACACATTAAAATGACTATGCTTATTTTCTTTGCCCGTACACCAAATTTAAATCTGCCTATGACATTATTTTAGTAACGACTTAACTGTTCAACGTATCACAGTGAACTTGCATTAAGACCAATGATGAGACTTATCAACATTTAAGCGTGACCCCACGTATTTACATTGCCACAGCGATACACACTACTGTCGATGCTTCCAGACCAGCTGTGTGCTATCATCACATGAGCGACAAAATATACTAGCTGTGGACTTTTATAACGCTGTCATTACCCACCTGTTCATTGCAAGTTGCACCCGCCGTCCTTTTCATCCTCACATACGACAGAAAGCTGGGAATTTGCTACCCGCGCCACTATCGTTACAGTGCTTATAATCTTTCTCCTCATACTGGCATTGCTTTTATGATTATTCTGTCGAGCATTATTGGACAGATCAATGTTCCAGACGAGCCATTATAATACCGATCATGCTAATGATGCGTAGCGCCGTATAATTGTATTGGCACCTTCAACGTTGAACTGAAGTTCAGTCACTCATGTGACAAACTCATTCCCTTATCTTTACCACTTTCCTGTTATCCACATATTGTTACCCTTCTTCTTTAGTATTTGTTTCATTCACATATCTATAAGTTTGACCAGTTTGTAGCACTGTTGAGTATATTTCAACCATATCAACCACTTTGAACCATCACTCTATATGAATTAAAGGTCAATTTCTGTGAGTCAATTTTATTACGGGTCGCTATGTAGAGGTATTCTGCTCGTAAATGAAGACAGTAGATGTTGCTTAAGGTCTTTTGTTTTTATTCAGCTTCTCAAATTAAAAGTGGGAAAACCTTACGTGCCATATATATAGCTGATGAACTTGGTGTGGCATCTGTTCAACAAATTTGAAAAAGACGAACAAAACTGGGCAATAGCACCAACAATGTTTAGAAATATTTTGATGGATAAGTCGTATCATTAAGGAAAAGAGGAAAAAAAGGCTTTTTATCTAGCAATGAAATAACAACAATCGAGAGCTTTGAGAAAGAATCCAGTTCCTTCTTAAGCACTTGCGTACGGCGCTCATCATTAGCTCTTTTAAAACACGGCCAGACAAGATGCTTGATGAGCAGCGATATGTATTAGCAGCGATCGATAATGTACACATGTACACCCAAGAAAGGAAAGAACAGAGCCCCGTTATCAACATTAATTCGCATCAACACCATCACATTCTCGATTCTAGAGTTCTATCAACATGTACCTTTTTTTAAGGGTAATATCAAAACTATAATACAGCGCACTATGTATATACCTCAGTAGATGGTTTGACCACAAAAGCCGTGATAGAAGAGAATCTATGACTATCTTAAAAAACAATACTATAAAATTTCTTCACCACGCGCCACTTCCGATTACCTGTAATTTGACAAGTATAAAGCTGTACCAGCCATAGTGCCCCCACAACAACTGTTACTGTCATGTACAATCTGCGCTGCTTGTGCCGCGAGCGACAACGCAAAGTTTTAGCAAGGAGTCGTTTTTGCCTGCATTTTATATTCTCCCCCCTTTTAGTGGCCAAGTTGGCTGATAATAACGTGCTTTACATTACTTTCCTTTTTGATGTGTGGAAAGAGGAGCAAGAAAAAGGAAGAGACAAAAAGAAAGGTGAGAAAGAAGTAACAGGGAATGTCTCGGGAAGATATAATTCATTTCAAATAAAAGGAAGCAGTCTTGTTTTGTTGTTTCTTTGGATATAGAAGCCTATGATTGCTATTATTAGTACCTTATTGCCGCTACATTTTTGACACTTGATGTATATACACTCGTGACAGCAATGTCGCCCATCGTACTTTGGTATATTAATGCTTGGACCTATAGTCTGGTACAGAAATACGCAATATCTAAAACATGGCTTGCTCCACACGGTTCTTATGGACTTTGAATGAGGTCCTTGATTGATGATTCGGGATAATATAAGATCTCGTGAAAGAGCTGATGTGTCCTTCATAATAGCAATCACTACAGATAAAGGATGTCTAGACTTTCAGGCACAACTTTCAGTGGCAACAGCTCTAATTAAACAGCTTGTATCGTCATATCACGTATTAATATACTTAAAAGGCTTTTGTACTATAAATGTTACTGTTTACATTTACTGATACAAAATAACTGATTGTTTCTTTTCTTTGCTGTTTGCCAATGTTTTTAGATGATAATGCAAGTATGTTTGCACCTTTTGTCAATAAAGCCTTTATTCGATACTGGGGCTTAACATATATGCTGTGCTACATCATCCGACTACTCTAGAAGTTAGAGCTAGCGCAAGGTGCATAAACCTTCTTTTCCTTTTGTCAACAGTGGGCGCATTGGTACTTGGACGCAGGGGAGAATTTATAGTAGTAATAAAGCTTGGCATCCGATGGGGAGTAACTTGAATTTTTCTCCCTTCTATGATACTTACCTCCAAGCTCTTCACTCTCACCCTCTTGCACTTTTTATTATTTATTATATGAGCTCAAAAACAAGGATAGCGCGAAAAGATTTCTCCCAAACTAGCAAGAAAGTATTGTACACTTCTTTTGCAATAAAAATGAAAAGTGTTGTGTACCTGGGTTAAAGAGAGGTAATAGCTCATTGGTAATGGATGCGCACGGCTGCATGCCATGCAAGTCATAACACTAGTTTTTTATCTTCACTTCTAATGTGCTACACAGTAACTCTCTATGGTAATGCAGGCTGCATACTATAGATGATTGGATCATTGTACATACTGTACATTCACATAATGCTACCCATTGCTTCGTACCATCACTCCCCCCTCTTTCACAACGCACTCATATCTATTAGTGGCGTGTGCTCTGGGGCGCAAATATAAGTCTCCTTCAATGGTGTTAGAGCAGGCATCATTAATATCTCGGTCACTACAACGACTATGGTAAGCACTCGTGCAAAAAAAAACAAAAAAAAGAAAGCGTGCAAACTTGCATTCTCCCCATAGCTGAGAAGAAAACGACTGTCTTGTTATCATGTCCGCGCGCGCCACGACAACTCCAAGCTGTGGTGTAAACGTGGCGCTGTGCCACACAGTAGCAGAAACCCATATTGCTGGTTCTTTTGATCTACGACAATCACTTAGTTTATATCTGAGTTTTTAGAGGAAGCATGAACAGACAATGGAGAGGCAGACGCATCTCTAGAGCAGAGGATAAAAGTCATTCAGTGTTTGTACGTTTTATGGAAATGGCAACAGAGAATCTTTGACAAGCCACGGGGTAAAATAAATGCTAATAGGAACATACAAAGGAAATCAAAAAAAAATTCAGGGATGAACATGCTTTGGGTTCAATGATATTGATGAAGTTATGTTGCTGGTTGCTTACGCTGCTGCCCATTATCAACAATGCTCAACATTGAGAGTGTGTCATCTATGTCAACTCTGTAATTAAGATACATCTGCATCTGCGTGTATCGTCGTATACCAAATTCGGTCAGCTTCAGCCACGAACAGCAAGCGAATATATAAACACACTGATTTACCGCTCTCTTTTCTTGATCTCATTCGCTCTTTTAGCTTTTCTATTGAACTTTTCCTCTTTGTTTTGCTCCAAATCAAAGCAGCACTTTTCTTAATTCAACTTTCTTTCGCACGGTCAATCAAAAGCGGGTAAGCGTATACTGGGAGCCCAATAAACATTTAAACTCGGGTTCCTAATCTATATTTATGACTGCCATTCTCTGTCGCTGCCATCGCCATCATTCTTATCTATTGCTCTTGTTAATATATAAGGCTACTACAATCATTCAAGTTGTCAGCAATACTACATCCACACCACTACTATTACTGCGCTATTATGACCGGTCCCCCGTTTGATCAAGGGAAAAGACCTATTTTACAAACTGCTCAGCAACAACAACAACAACATCAGGGCGAAAATTTCCACGCAGACTCCCTCAACGATCTTTCTTCTGACAGTGATAGATTCAAATTCGAATATCCTGCTCATCCCTATGCCAGAGCTACCGACGCAACCCCTAATACTGACTCTACAACAGTTTCCCCTGACTACCAGAATCTAACACTAACTCAAGGAGCAAGTGAACATCAATCTTTCTCTGGTAACTATGGTAACTAGTGGTCCTTTTTCATGTAGAAATCGTGTCCAATTTTTGAGTTCTATTCATGATGCTCATAATGATTGGGGCTTTCTCCTTCACGTTGTAGGCTATAATGGGCTCTCTCAGCAGCCATACTATGCAATCTCTTCGCCAAATGCGTCAATGCCAATGACTCAACAACAACATCCACAGCTTCAACAGCACCAACACAGCCAGTGTACGCAATTAGCACCAACATCACTCTCGACATTACAAGAGCAGCAACCGTCGACAACGGCATCCATGATGCTTCTTCCTAGCAATCCTCTTCCTGGCATCGATCAGAACCCATCGCCGCGCGACGAATCGTACCCGTCGTCGCAGCAGCAGTTTGAGTTAGTGACCGAGTCTCCAGAATATCTTAATGCTTTTTATAATGGGTCTGCTCGACAAGATGTCTTGTCTTCACCACACAGGCCAATTGAATCTCAGGAACGAATGGTGAATATATTTCACAAGGACTTTCGGAACATAATGATCCAAAAGCCGCTGCACGCGCGAAAACAATATCCCCATATGATGGGCGGTTGCGATAATGCTACTGGATCTCATGAGTCACTACGTCCTGTTTTCCCTGGATCTTCGCTATCGTCCTCAACCACTAGTAGTACTATCACCACCACCGCTACTGCCACAGATACGGAACGAGCGCTCAAACCATCGTCCGCTACTTCGACTAGAGCAACAAAACGTGGTGTATTAGCTGAGCGACGTCATGGGTGTCCAAATTGCAGTCGCTCATTTACCAAACATCATGACCTCGTACGCCATTACGCGACACATATCCCTGAAAGCAAACGGATCATGTATCCATGCCCTGACTGCGGTAACGTCTTCTTTCGCAAGGACTCCATCACTCGCCATCGTGGTACAGCTGCTTGTCAGAAATGCAAAGACAGGGACATGGACTACGAAAATGACACCAGTGGTAAGGAGCCCTCGTAAAGGTTGATGGTACTGATCGACATTACTTTTATATACAATTATTCCAAAGCGTACACATGACAGATAAGGATATATATATATATATATATATATATATATATATATTATCTCCACATATAGCACAGCTGATTATCTTTCCTTTCTTAACATATTGACAGACTTATTTTGCATGTATGCACCTCTTTCTAATCTTACATTTAAATTTATGATTCTTCTTTTCTTCTCCACACGGTGATGCTCTTTTTCTTCCTCTCCCTCTCTCTCTCGCTCTTCAATCCTAAATCCTATCTACTTATGCTCTTTCACTTACTCGTATCAGTTTTTTCAAACTTTTTTCGGCCTGTAATTCTTTTTTATATCTTTACACTTTCATTTTTCTTCCTTGTGCCTCCTTGGTTATCATACAAGTTTTTCCTTTTCTACTACTATGTACAATGTGCGTTCTCCGCAAAGAGCTATTCGTACTTCTCATTAAAACTGTTTCTTCTTCTCTATGCATGTTGTAACATGTTCACATATCCTTTCTGAACTAAAAAAGAAAAAGAAATAAAACCTTACAGTATTATATATGCGGAAAACCATTTCTTCCCTATTTTGATGTGTCAAACTATAGATGCACATTGATACTTTCTACACCAGATAATACGTTCTATTTTGCTTGAATCACTAATATATTTGTGAAATTAGTCATATTTATACACTTGCCCATGTATATACATCCTTCATCTGTATGACTTTTCAAGTCGATATCCCATAAACGAGCCACCGACACTGTTTTACGAATTGGCTCCTTTGGCTTCCGTACCGTGATCAATATATGCAGCAGATAATGATCATACACCTCATTTGTCTGGTATTGTACAGGACTATGTGCATAAAGCATATCTGTTATCTTTTTCAGATACAAGTCCACGCGCTAACCTCGTTATCTTCTTGTAAAAATTATCAAATGCGTATCCCGGTCTTAGACTTTGCCAATCGATCAGCAACTCATTCTAGAACATGTTCCCTAACCTTATTGTTCTGTGTCACAACTACATAGTTTTTGTAATATTTCGTGATCGCCTTAAATATTTTGCACTCAATTGACTGGTCCCTATTTGGGGCTCACTAACTTTGCCTACAAATAGATGATTACATATCAATCACAATAATACGCAGAATATATTGACTATGCCCAAGAAAAACTAAAGAGAGGAAGAGAGGGGATATCTTAGAAAAAGATAAATTATAGTCGATAACCAATGATGATGCTGTAGAGTCTTTCTTAATTACTGTTGCTGCTATGATCTGATACGAGCCTTTGGCGCCTTCGCACTTTAGTCTCGAGCCGCTCCGGTCCTCTCCGCGTCAAACCATAAAGTAAAGTTGCCAGAGAATAAACATCTTTGAATTATACAAAAGGTGGAAAATATACATCATTATCAACCTAGTATCTTATGCTCGTCCCTGGAGTCAGTTAACAGGAAGATGCACCTCTGGATGATTGGATCTATACATCGACACCTTCCATCTTGATGCGCGTGATGCGCGGCCAAAGCAGGAATTATATATCTGAGGTCTCCGGGCTCAGATACTTTCTTCCAGCATGGATCATCAACGTCCAAAATGGAGCCATGTCCACTGTAGTTCTCTTAGACACTATCGTATTATGGTGCATTGATTATTCAAAACAACAAATGTATAGCACTTGGTATTCGTGATTACAGCCGCAGCAATACTCAAGCATTTCGTTTTCCGGTACAACAGCAGAAGGCAAGGTTCATTAATTTGCGGGTTCTTTCATTTCCTGGGAAGAGGATTTTGAGCCGGATGATGTGTATGGCACTGGGAGGCTGGTAGTGACTTCATAGCAATCTGGACTGCCTGCGATTAAACCGCTGAGAGGCACAGGGAAAAGTTGATTCTGATAAAATACTTAAAGTTCACTTACATTCGCCATCACCAGTGGCACCCAGATTTCCTCCGTCCTTCTTCCCACAAACAAAGATGCTGTCGCATTCTTCATTTCTTTTCCAAGTGCATTCACGAATGATGCACTTTATTTGAGATGACAATACGCCAATAAATTAAATAAGTTGGAAAGGAGACAAAATAAAGGTGAGAAAGGGCGGTGAAGGAGTTTAAGTATGAGAGAGATGCGTACGTGTGTATGTGTGTGTGGAGAAAAGGTACAGCACAAGAGGAAAGAGAGCAAAAAACGTATATCTTTCTTAAGGGAACAATTCCTTGAGAATCTTCATCGTGTCTTCAGGGCATTTGACGGAGTGGCCGGTAACTTCTGGATGGGTATAGATTTCATAGTCGTTGCCTCCCTCGAAGGTCTTGTCACCAAAGAAGTGGATGTTCTTGAAACCCTCCTTCTGGACATGGCGAAGGCAGTAAGTCTTGTCCCAACCAGTGGGGAAAACGTCAAAAGAGATTTGACCGCCAATGGAGTAAGTTAATTCCAAGTGTGGGAAAGCAGCCTTGAGGTCTGCGACAAACTTGCGACGAATGCCACGCTCCAAGTCATACTTTTCGAATTCGCAACGCTCAGCGTGCGAGCAGTTACGGCCAATAGGCGATACGTTGATCATACCGTTACGGAACTCAACAAAGGTACCACTAATTTGTATGACTTTCCTGATCAGCTACACATGCTCGCTGTATACAACGGACGCCAACATTCCAAACACCTCCCCTTCTTCCATGAAATAAAGTTACATACCGCTTCTTGGGGATATCCAGATCCGCAATATAGTGTAAAATGAACTTCACAAGCTTGTTGTATTCTTCATCACCAATCCATTCAATAAAGCTCTTTTAAATCGAAAGTCATTGAATTAGAAACGGTTGACAGGTTGATCATCACCATCATACAGATACACAAGAAGCCGCCTATAGATTCAGAATGGTGAATCTTACCTGGGAAGCCATCTTTTGACCAAGACGGTATGCAGTGAGACCGTTTTCAGCAAAACAATAGTCAAAGTCGTTCAAGACTAGTAACACGTCTTGTAAGTACCTCCACTAACCTCATCATCAACCTCAAATGTCGTGCTCTCCATTTCTATAGCCCTCCTTAAATTTACTCAATTCCAACTGTACCTGTGGCGCCCAATTGCTCCACCTGCTTGCTAAGATCAGAGCCCCCAACAAAACCAATGACTACTTTCTTGCGGAGCTCGACCAAGGTCTCAAGCATCTCTTGCGAAACACCCTACATGAGAGGAGAGTATTGTGCCTAGATCAGTACTTTTGACAGATCTCCAACTGTTCCCACGGAGGATATATACGGCACTGACGCCAACAGATACTTTACCAAGCGAGCAGGAGTCAAAGTGCCATCGACGTCAAAAAGCACAATGGTTTCGGGAATAGGACGTTCAGAAAATTCAGAGATTGGAGACATTGTGATGAAGAGAGATGGAAGTTTGGGAAAGAAAAAGCTGCCAAGCTTGGAGCACCCTAAATTTGTAGCTAAATTTAAAATGCCTTGGTGCGAAACCGTTGTAACTAAAAATGGTCACGACGATCGCCGTTGTCGTCAGTTCGTTTGTCGCCATAGCAAACTCCGGTTGCGATTTGAGGGGCGGTTAACATACGTGGCATGCTAATTAACCGCCAAAAGTGCTTGAAACGTGTCCAATTTTTGTGGAGAGACTTGTCTGATGAACATTTCGTTCGAGCTATATTTAACAACAATACAAACGGCATGAATATGTGTATAATTTATCAATAGATGTATCAAGGGGTAATTTATACATATGGCACTTGCATAGCAACAGCAGCAGCTTCGGCTTCCGCGGCTTACGTGATCATACCCGGGATTAGAATCTGTAAATCGGCAGAAAGAGAAAACTTTGGTTGAGATCACCATTCTTTCTTCCGCTGTTGCTTCTATTCAACGTACCTGCGACAGCAACAACGAGCATACTTTACTTATCAAGAATCGTGGGGTCAATAACGAAGAGGTACCACATATGATATATTCTTCTCCTTGTGTTGCTCTTTCCCACAGAAATCAGGTTTGTGTATCTGTCGGCTTAGCCTTTCGATTTCATAAACCCAGACGAGAAACAAAAGGGTCTTGTTTCTCAATTTTCCTTTTCAACCCTTCTCTTTTCTCCAACTTTGGCCTCCATTGTATTGATATTCTTATTCCTATTATAAAACAAGGTTTCCGTATGATGCAGAAGTCATATGTGGCCTGACGAATCTCTGAAGTATCATATATATACCAGTACTTTGAAAAGTGATTATGACGCGGCATTTATGGATAAAGAAAATCTGGATACGGTCGATATCAGTTTGAACATCTGAAAGTGTTTACTACTGCTGATGTATTGAAAGACATGGCGTAGCTAATGACCCAAATACACAGTTACTTGAACTCTTGACGGTCTTCAGCAAAGTACAGCAATGAAAGGATCGGTTCAGGGTCTTTTTGAAAACGGGTAGAAACTGATAGCGCAGTTCTTCTTGTATCATGTCTAAACCAAACGTACAATACCTCTTCTTTTCGTACCTTTGACTCATCCAATGTTGTTCCGCTGTGTCCACGGCTTTCCATGAGCTAAAGTTGAAGGAGTATAATACATTGTTTTGACGAAGCTTTTGTGACACCGCAAAAAGAAGCCATCTAGCAAATTATGGAGAAGAGTTCATATCGATGGCTGTTTTTGCTTCTGAGCCGATTTTGAGGATAAATGTTTGCTTGATTACGAAAAAAAACCACAAATATTAGCCAAAGAAGGTATTACACTAAAAACATCGCATAAACGTGTAATACTTCGATGTGCATACGTTAAAAGATGTAGCCCTTTCGACTTCTATGCATGTTTTCAAATAAACATCCACAGTTATACATACTCAATTTTAATGGTTTCCGAAATTTACTCGATGTAGATGGAAATGTAAGTATACCTCAGTGAATAGTCTAGTGGTGGTCATGGTACCATCTACGCATGTTTATTGGATAGTGTGTACACGTATCTGCTTGCGGCGCCCGCGGCGCACCGCTCTCTCTTCCATCTTCGCGCAGCCTTCATTAGAAAGCGCTCATGTTATGGGATGATAAAATAGTGTAAGGTTATTCAAACAAGCTTTTTCAAACGCGCAGTGGGTAGAGTGGAGGTCATGCACCTATATTCATCTACCCCATTGCAAGCAAAGGGAGAGTATATCGATCCGTTCAGCATATTCAGAGCCATCTGATACTTCTAGTGCCTTAGCTTAAGCTAGCTGCTTAAATCTTGGAGCTGTGGTGTACACAACATCTTATTTTGTTCATTTGCTGATCATTGCGCAAGTGAAAGAATAAAGCTACGTACATAGGGGATAAAGCAAAGAATAAGGCAGCACCGCGAATCGTGATCTCATTGTTATCGGCTGTATCGGAACGCTTCCTTTGACATTTCACATGGCAAAAAAACAAAAAAGCAAGAGTACAGGTTACAAATGACTGATCGGTGCTTTCCGTCCCTTCCACCCCCACCGACTTCACTCTTTGATCAATCCCCCAGATCGGCAAACATGTTGTTTTCAGCTCAAGCTAGAGGTGGCGCATTCCTTTTTAATCCACTGGAAGGTGCCAAGTGACCTATGGATGACAGTAAATAAAATACTTCAAATTATAAAGCGGGAGTGTCTGTGTCTGTGTATGCATGTTGATGTGCAACCTCTTCTTTCACCAGTTCCATAACATCGGTCCTTCTATCTTTTTCTATCCCACCCCTTTTAATTATAGTTATCTTTATGGTATCTGACATTATTGCATTTGCATTGACCCCTTGACATAATTCATTTCTACAAACCAAGTACAGTACCATTCTAGTCTCCTCCTACCATCTTCTATTGTCCTCTACTTGTATACAAAAATGCACAAGCAAACTTTATCTTCGAACGGTCGACTCCACCTTCATGCAGAGATAATTGATGCGCAAAATCGTGCCAGAGAACGAAGCTTTCAACGCTTTCTTGGATTGGCAGGACCAATCGATTGGCAAAAACTCGATGATTTGTTTTGGAAAGAGTTTCTCAAAGAGCTCAGAGAGCTCGAGAAGGATCTTGCGGCGGCAAAAGAACTAGTATCGTCGTTGGAATCATCATCATCATCCAAACGGCGTTTGGAACAACAAACAGTCTTAGCAACGGGCAAATTCCCCAGAAATCGTCCGTCACTCACCACGGCAGAAGCATACCCATATCCGCGAAATGCTGCTGCGGCAGAACCGGTGTCCCTTCCTGATGGAATACAGTCTACACGGCCTGCAGCGCAAAGCATGGAGTTTTCACTAGCAGTGTTGGACGACAATCTCTCCGAATCACTGTGTTCTTCTACTTCACCAGCGGAAAAAGTGAATAACGCTCATAGCAATCCAAAGTTACCAGATAACACATATTCAAGGTAATATTGGTGTATTGTGTAATGACATAGCAGCAGCAGCTGAATTTTACATTTACATGGTGTAGTCAAGGTAACCATTACTTGACAACTATGTCTCCCATGGAAGCTATATCATCGTCTGAAGAGCAACCGACATTTGGAGACCGCGTTCTCGAACAGCTGCCACCGTCGTTACATTTGCAACAAGTGGCACACGAGGAGATCCCTCAATACACTGCTTCAACTTTGAACCGGTATAAACAAGACGATGGTGATCCCGCAAGTATCCCTGATTTGGCATTGGTATCTAATGGAAGCAATGGCATGCGCCATGTTGACATTCTGGACCTGCAAAAGATTGGCAGTAGTAGTAGCGACGGCGAAGGAGAAAGCGTAGATTTACAAGCAGTTATGGCTCGTCACGAGATTCATGCAGCTGATAACGAGGAGATTACGACAACCTCCGCCGCACTGATTGAAGAGCGTGACCCTTCAGTCCAATGTCGCGAATGGGTATCAACAAGCAATCAAGGACTGCCACTGCCACCACCAAAGAAGTACCCAACAGATTCAGCAATCGATAGTTCTTCCTCCTACTTCTCGCTCTTGGCTGGTGCCAGCGACAATAGTAGTACTGCCGACAATACAACAGCAGCGGTCCACCAAAGAAGTGGATATTGCTTCCTTTGCCAAAAGCAATACGGAAGACATCGCGACTTTCTTCGTCATCAACTTGCAAAGCATTCCGGGAAAAAGCTTATATGCAAGTTTTGTCATAAAGAAATGGCATATCGCAAGGATTCTTTGAAACGTCATCTGGAAAAAGCTTGCAAGGGAGATCCACTACCATAAGCACTAGAAGAAATTACCGCAGCTGGCAACTGCGTCATTGGTAGTAGCAATAGTGACACCAGCAATAGCCTCATTAGTACTATCCCCTTTACAATCAATGATCGTAGCGCGCATAGACGTTCCGCGACTACAAGTCAGATCCCTTATATCAACTAAACCTTCCTTATTTGTCTTTCCCTGATTTATTCTCTTTTACCTGCACCCCTTCCTTTTTGTTTGTACCGTATATCTATAATCAACATCCATCAACAAATGACACGTGAGTGCTCTATTTTCCTAGTAGTGGTGTTTCTCTTCATATCTCCCCGCATTCACCGATGATTAAACATAAGCTTATCAAACCCATCTCTTTTCATCCCAACGTCATTGGCCAGTCAATAAGCCAAAACCGAATATATTGTTTCGTTTTATCAATTTGATGCTGGTGCAGTTACTGCACCTCGGTCTCATTTCCTACATCATCCACTCTATTTTTTAAGCTGGCACCAGCGTGACTTTAGGGATAAACGTCAATCTGTGCTGGGTGCGCTATGTGTGTGTATGTGTCCATGTGCATTCACTGATGGAGAAAGATGAGTAGCGGAGGTGGGCTAGCTTGGACCACGGTGATATTGATAAATAGGGCGATTCTAGTGATCATTTATGATCAACACTGAGAATACGCTGTATGTGTGTGTGCACCTGCTGACATTTCTATGATGGTTGTGCTAGCAATTTACCATACGTAATTCCCGGTCTGGTAGTGATGGTGTGAAATGTTTCAAGACGGCGTAGAAATGCGCGATACCAAGGGATAATACAACCGCTACGCGCGCCTCTTGAACAAGACATGGTGATTGGCCGCCGCCCTGCTCTCTGTGAGACCTGGTGATCAGCCCTGTCTGCAAAGAGCGATTTCGACACGTGAATCAGGGACAAAAGTGAACGGTGTTCGCCTTATGCATTTGACGGTCTATTTCTAGAAAGAGCACAGACTGAAATAATGCATATATCGTTCCAACGGCCCGCTTAGCGTCATACGGCAAGGTTTTTTTATATAAAAGTAAATATCCTACAGAGCATTTGTTTCAAAAGCTACTGTAGCCCGAGTAAATAAATCACTCGTAAAAGGCAAACAATGATTTGGTGACCTTTATTTCCCAGAACAAATCTTACTATTGTTTTGATATCAAATGGTTTGGTCTCTTCTGAGCGTGTCTAATCACTTGCACTAGTTTAGCTTAAATAAGAAAATATTGTCGTGATAGAATGGCTCAAATGATGCTGCGGTAACATTAAGAAATATAGGACTATGAACTATTACTGTGAACAAAGACTTAAAGGTCCTTATTATTAGAATGCCGGAAGAAAAATTCTGTAGCTGGCCTGTATGAGGAGATGTCTAAAATGAGGCAAAGTAGCAAGCTGATAGAAAATGGAGCTTTGGCTGAGTGGCGCGCTCACACATATATAGAGCTTAGGCAAAAGAGAGTATAACAAGCCGTGTTTCAAGTTCTGCTGCTGGTTCTACTGATAGTATGTCATACATGTGTATAAGTCAACCAACCAAAGTCGTTGCTCGGTAGCTTCCGACCCGGAAAGCACCTTTGTGGATATACGTGTTACTAGCAACAGCAAAGTTTATTCTTCCTATTCAATAAATGACGTATTATTGTACGATATACAATTACCTTACGCGTGTATGATTCTAATATGCGAATACGCCACCATTATTTTGCATATGCTAGAAAAAATAGCTGGCTAATATTGATCAAAGTCTGTACTGCGTAAGCCTGAATTTTGACATGGACTATGAAATGCTTGTTACACAATATGACGATTAAATGAGGGGAGAAGTGGGGGAGTGAAGAAGTATAATAATAGTACAGACTATGTTTTCTTATCTTCGTGCTCAGCTCAATAAGGTTTTCTTTCTCACTTATATAAAAAGAGGCACTCAAAATCCAGACAGTCGGATCGAGGCAATCCTCTTTTGATTCGTTCATGCAAACAATGTCTTCCTCATTCCCCGCTACAGCTTCTTCAAACCGTTACTCTTCTTCTTATGTTCCTTGCAGCATCAAAGACGGTGCAACGTAAGCTTATCATATCTCCTTTCTTTGCTCACGTATTTGGGTATTTCGATGAAAACATTAACAGCTTTATGTAATTATATAGTAACTTGGACGGCAACAACCGAAATTACTACAACTCTTTTACAACGAGCACCACCACCACCACCACCACCACCACAACAACAACAACAACATCCACGTCTATGGAGCTTGTACCTCATTTGGGCGAAGAGGAAGGACTCACTACGATGACAAACCCGACGACAGCCTCAATCATTACAACAGAAGAACCGCGCGCTTTCATCAATAATAACAACGTTTCAGGTATGAGTGTCAATGTTTCACCAGCCTACAATACCTCGTCGAGCTCTTCCCAAAACAATGAGCTATCAATCCCGTCCTCCCCATCAGCAATTTTAAGCCCAAGCATACTGGATCAGCTTTTGCAAAGCGGTTATCATTCACTTACAGCAGCAGACACGGACCTCTATTACAGTGGCTCGCCATCGGCGCCGGTTGAACCCCAGATTTTAATGCCAAACGCACATTTTCCTCCTTTCGTAGCACAATACGATCAGGGGCAGCAGCAGCAGCAAAACGTTAATGACGCATTGTCACCGACCCAGCTCACTGCTACTACGGAAACTGGTCCTCAGGGATTAGCAACAACCACACCTGCTGGCAGCAACAATCCCACCCTTTCACAGCAACATACAGCCACACAAGGGAATAACAGCAATTGTATATACCCAACAACAAGCATACCACACAGCAACTCATTCGTATCATCATATTTAGCATCCTCTTCGCCGTCATCGCATTCCAGTAGCAGTAGGCTCTTTTCATATCACCACCAGTCTCCCATTGCACCAGCCATGGACATGGCAGCAGCAGGAACAACAAATCCGGAAACCTTGTTGTTGCTAAACAAAGAGTCCCACGAACTTGATCCAAAAAAGCTTTTGTCGTACAACTCTTTTTATCAACCTGTGTCACCTTCCGTACTGGCCCCTGAAACGCTCAAAAACCAGCAGCCAATAAACAGCAACAGCAACGCTTCCTCTACTACTATACCTACTCCCAGTACTAAAAGTAGCAACAGTAGTGGTGATGGTACATTTAAACATACCGACGATACTCAGCGAGACAGCGACGAGTCTGCTGTTCCAAGCCTACGCGTAGCACCCGATTCAGCTCAAAGCACGGTTGGGTCGCCCACAGGGTCACGGGAAGATGGTATCACCATGGCGAGCAGTTGGCAACACCAACAACAAGCAAATTATCCTCTTCGGTCTGTGTTATCCTCGTCTATTGTGATTGGCACACCAACAACAACAACACCAATTAGCTCGACTATTCAACTGCCCCAGCCTCGTGATCAAGAAGCCTTTACCACTACTACCGAAACAGGCATAATCATCAATGCAGAAGGTGGTACTGTTGGAAATACTACTGCGCATTTTCACCAACCCCTCCAGCAGCGGCACCAGCAGCGGCAAATGAACAACAACAGCAACAACGATAACAAAAGGCATCCAAGAGAAACAAGAACAGTCAGTCAAGAACTATCAGAATTTGTCCAATTTCAACATTTTCCTGACAGTACGATTGATGGAGCCCTTTATTATTTTAGTCGAGATCACCTCACCGAAATGCGCAAAAGACATATTCTAGCGCAAAACCACAGCTTCTCCGTAACTGTTCCAGGGCCTATCGATGTAAAACAGCTTTCTCAATGTGCCCAGCAGCGTATGACAGTAGGACTAGCAGCAGAAGCGAGTAACAATAGCATCGACAGCAATACTTTGTTCAAAATCCAATCTCAATCACCGTCAATGTCTTCGCCTACACTATCAACTACACAAGATTGGGAACAGCAACACCGTCAGCCATCGACCAGTAGTAGTGGCAGTAGTATTCCTGCTGCTAGCATTGTTTCTGCTGTCGCTCAAAGCGGAAATCGCCCTCTTCGTTGGTCTACAAGAGCAAAAAGCACAACAAATCCATCGGGTTGGAGCAACAAGAGACTCATAGGCAAAGACATCAAGTTATCATCAACTGCTCCTGCGCCTATACATGTTAGCCACTTTGCGCTTGAGCGAGAATTTGGGTCAAAAAATCACCATCATCCAGCCATCCAGCAGCAGCGGCAGCAGCGAACAGACAATAGTGTTGACGATGGTGACAGTAGTAGCAATAGCGGAGACGAGAAAAATGCAGCATGTCCAGAGTGCGGTCAGATCATGTCAAGGTCTAGGGATTTGGGACGCCATAGATTGACGCATGTGACTGATCCACCCGTGTACAACTGCTTCTGGTGCAACAAAACTTACAAGCGCAAGGACTCGGAGCGAAGGCATAGCAAGGGTTGTTACAAAAAACAGAAATGTCTATAAGATGGCAACTGCCTTCTCATTAACTACTATTACATCTCTCGTTATATACTACTATGCCCCGCTTTTGTCATTATATCTGTACATATGCCTCACATTTAGAACATACAAATCATAACCACTTTTGCTACATGATATCCTATGGTTATAAGTGTCTATTAAAGCCATGTAACTACAATTCGATAAACAGCGGCTTTACGACGATTTTTCAATACAACAGAATTGTCGTTATCTCCCTCGTCTGTTTTTTTCTGGATGAACGATGTGGCACAGTATATGAGACAGTATGCAAAATACAAGAAGTTTACTTCTCCATTACCAATATGATCACACACGCTGAAAATTTCTAAATTTAGAGCCCTGTGTACCTTATTTAATGCCACTCAATCATCTTTTTACGTTGGGCAATTAGCCCGTGCTCTAAGTTTAGAAAGGTACACTTGTTGTATATTTTAATCGCATTAGACAAAAGCCTTCTCCACTGCCCCACTGGGCGCGGTGTTACCTTCCACTGACTCTTCAATACACGAACCCAACTCTTTTTAAAGTGCTGTTCAAGCATGAATCTGCATTAAAAAACTGTCATTCTATAGCCATAAACTTTTTGATGGGGTATGAAAGAAAAGTTTAATCTAGTTATTTTTATCAAATCGGCTTGTAAGCTGCTGTCGCACACTGGGGCTTGTCTTTGTTGTTTATAGCATCAACACACAACGGATACTAAATGTACTGTACTATCCGTTAGGGATTGATGAGTCCTCGTGAAACGCACGGGAAGAAAATGTCAAAAGGAATTATGCGGTACAACTATACAGAGAAGGCGCATATCCAGCACAAAATTCACAAAGTGGCTCGCTGATAATGGTTGATCCTTAAACCTATCAGGGAACTGTCATCCAAGTCAAATGTGGTTTGATAGTACAGTCAATAATGGCCAACAGAGGATATTATGTTACCATTTTGATCTGAAGTATTCTCTACTTATGTAAACAATTTGAAGATCTAATACCAGAGTTTATTATCCTTATACATGTGATATATGTAATGAATATATACTTTGATAATGGTAAGTCCAGCTCAATCCCGTGCGGTATATTCCCTACTCGATTAGCGTTGAGAGATGAGGTATGTGAAAAGCTATATACACTACAAGGCACTTGATGGTGATGACAACAAGCAAGGAAGATAAAATACAACATGTACAAATGCTCCTAGGTAATGTCGAATAATACAAAATGGAGTGCCAAAACAATCAAGCTTACAAGAGATCCAACAAAAACAAAGTATCCAGAAACCAATAAAGAAAGAAAAGAGAGAGAGTGTGTGTGTGGAGAAGAGAAAAAGTACAAACAGGTGAAATAAAGTCCCCTTTTCCCTGGTTTTCTTCCCTCAAAACAAACCACATCATTCCTTCATATCGTTTGAGTATATAAGTGTGTGTATGTGCATGACAATGAAAGAGTGTATGTATGCGCCGTGCGCGCTTGTGTTTTGATATGCAGAAGTGTAGTATGAAGGGTCAACTCCGTTAAAAAAGCAACAATGTTTATTGCCAGTGTAACAAAAAGTTACGCATTATTTCCTGCACCTCCTTGTTGTTGTTGTTCGAAGAAGGCCGGATTGATGTACATCCCTGATAAACAACAACTCAAGCGTTAGTTTCAACATGCCAAATTTCGAGATTAACGTCAAGTTATTTGTCATATGCGTGAGCCTTTACCTCCGTTTCCAGACATGCCGCCACCCATCATTGCGCCTCCACGTCCGCCCATGCGGCCCATATATGGCGGTTGGCCACCACCGCCGCGCATGCCTCCTCGACCACCACGGTTACCTCCTCCACCAGGCATGCCCATCATGTTGTCGTAGAAACCGCCTCGTGCAGCAGCGGCTGCCATAGGATTAAATCCACCATACGGATTCATTCCCATGTTGGCCGCTCCCATATTGGCACCCATATTAGCACCCATATTAGCACCCATGTTGGCACCCATGTTGGCAAAGGCCGGGTTGAATCCACCTGCTGCCATCATTGGATTAAAGCCACCGCTCATCATTTGTGGTCCTGCATTGCTGGTGTTGGTATTGTTGTTCATTCGTGATTCACGTTGTGGTGCTCTTTGTGATTTTGGCACCGGCTCTGTGGAAACGAGATGCATCAGTTTTTATTTGCTTTTTCAATAATTTCTTGTCTTTGGGAAAAAGTATTTTTACCTTTTGGAATATGCTTAAACGGGTTTTGGGATGTAGTGAAACTCACATTCGGCGTTTTGCCATCAATCTCGCTAAATGTAAAAGAAAAGTTAGCCATCTATCTTTGTATCTCGATGACATATACTCTTGCTTACCAATTATCGTATATATCCTTGGCCTTTGCTGCAGCTTCCGCGGTATTAAATTCCAAAAAGCAGATACTAGAGTAATTACACTTAGTCTAAATGAAATCCTTTGCATACCCAGCTTCTAGGTCCGTTTGAGAATGATATTCAAGAGAAAAAACGCGGGCCTTACCCTCGAGATTTGCCATTCACTTTGTGTTCGAAAAATGTCATATCCTTTAGTTCTCCAGCGATACCTCCGTCTACAAGTGGTGCTTTGACATTTTCATCTGTAACATACTATATAATATATCACACGTTAGATGCGAATGTACAACAAAACATCTTTGAAATCTTTTAACTTACCCAAGCCAACTCGCCGATATAAATGCCAGTTGTTGGATGCCCCACCATACCACGAAGATTTGACATGGATACGGGTAATTCACGCCGTGATGCTGTTGACGAAACAGGCGAGTCACTCAAACTACGATTGTATGCTTGAACACTTGAAGGAATCTTTTGTGGTGTCTGTTGACGTTGGTTATGGTGATGATAATGTCCATAATCTGCTTTGAAGTTAAATTGAGCATGAGACCTTTTTTGTCTTATCCTCGACACATCACCATAATATTTTACCTGTATTTGTGTTTGTGATGTTAGAAGATGTGCTGGAGGAAGATGCTACTGCATTTTGTTTCGGAAGCGTCTGCGAGTTATTAGTAGTGGATGGTGATTGTGTTGAAGGCTTTTCGTTTCGATTATGGATGACGGAGCTAGCAGTAGTAGTCGTAGCTTTTGCCTCCTACATAACATTCAAAGTAAAATGGATCCAAGTAAATAACTCTGAAAATTGTGCGCGCTCAGACCCTTAAATTTCCCTACCCCCCTTCTTTCCCAGCGATAATGAACACTCCTTTTTTTTTCCTCTTACCTTATCAATTTCTCCAAAGTCTTCAAACAAGTCATCTTCCGGGTTTTGTGGGTTTGGTTTTCGTCGTTTAGCTTGTCTGCTAGGTGTCGATTCGCCAACAATTTCTCCCAAGATATCATCAGACTTTTTTTTAAAAGAAAGTGAAAGGGTTAGTCTTCATCAACTTTTTGAAACTCTTCTTTATTATGAGGTTTGTTATTTATATTAAATACACTTTTATATGTTTTCTTTTTACCTGGATCTCGGAACCATAAGTGTCGTCACCGTAAATATCGAATTCTTCAGACATGATTGAATATTTCAACAAGTGTAAAATTTGAGTACGAAAGTTATCTACAAAGAGGGAACTTTTCGGTAAGAAAAAATAACGTACAAAAGGAGGAGAAATAGCAGTAGTAGGGGAATGAGAAGAATATGTAAAGGTTACGTGTGAGAAAAACAACAGTAGTAGTAGTGGAAGGGAGGGTGAATTCAACATGAAGAAAACAAAAGGTGAAATCGTGTATGGTCGGTAAGAGCGTCGGTAACAGCAAACAGCAACTGCAGCAGCAGAAAAAGTTGTAGTAGCGATGGTAATAGGCCAAGAATTCAACCATTTGATCTGCTTCTTTACTACTGCTACCACCACCATTCAATCCTCTTTTTTTTTCCTGCCGACAGATGCTATCAAAAGAATGTGAATCCACATCTTCTTGACTGAAGTAGCAATCGCAGACCGAGAGAGCATATACACAATGAATATGCAAGAAAAAAAAGCGACTTTGATATCTTTTTTTTTTGCCATGGTTCAGTTGGACAACCTTCTTTTTTGCAGACGTTGGCGAAAAACAACAACGGAGCGTATACTGTCTGGATACATCGCTTTCATTGTACGAAAAAAGAATTGTAACATACAAGGAGGAAGAGAGAAGGACAAAAAGGGACAGGTGAACAATAGAGAAACTTGTGTTCTAGACTAACCTCGAAGAAATGTATGCGATGAGACAAAAGGGAAGAATAGAAGTTGAAGGAAAAAGGAAGAGAGAAAAGTGTCGGTGCGTGCGTAGTGTCGAAGCACCCAAGATAGCTTACCCTTAATTTCATACTCAGTTCTTGAATGCTCGCATTGCCAATCAAATGCTCACGGTCAGTGTTTTATTGTGTAGCTTGCTTGATGTTCATATACTCGACTCTTCGCTTCGCTACCTGCACATACTTCCTCCAAAAGCGAGTTTACTGGGACTGCTCCAAGTGTTTTTAAAACAGTGTCTTGATGTTAGTATTAGTGTAAAGCATAGCCGACTGAGTTCACCCCCGATCTTTGAATCTCACCTTTTACTCAGTAAAATCAACCAACTTTTGTGGATCTTTACACTAGGCACACAAAAAGTCTGAACAAGATGACCAAAAGCGTATTATATAGATAAGGATAGTGTTCTCAATGACATGCTCTGTAAAGGTTTAAATGCGTCGCTCAACCTACAAAAGAATCAGCTTTTCTATTTTATGGTAATATCCTCAAGCAATCAATCACAAAGATAGATTTCAATATAAAGCAATCAATAGTACACTGTGGCTATAGCCGATGGTGACCCATAAAGAATACATATAACTTTTGAGGTCGACCATTTTAACGTCAGCCTTCAATATGTGGCTCGATAGTCTACAATGGATTAGTAACGTATAAACAGATTAATCGCATAGTGGAAAAGATGTTTAGTAAGTATTAGCCAGAAATATGGACAAAATTTGTAAACAACCGGTCTGCTTCGTCGATGTCGTAATAGATGGTGGTTTTTCTGCAGAGGCGGCGGCATGCGTCGACAAAGAATATCCAATGGCTCAAATATATTGTAATGAACGTCCCTCAAAACGAACGGCGAACACACCAGTGTCCACGCCTTCCAGTCGTCGGCCGTCATGAAACCAAACTTGCGATCGATTTTTCGCTGTAATGATGACACACCAGGTGGTAGTACGAGTGCATCAGCCATCACTTGCACTCTGACTCCATCAGCATCCGTGAGTAAGCCATGACTCCTCCAGATACGCACCATGCGATCGGCTGTTCCAAGGAAAAGGTTGTGCATTGGATCGATTACAGTGCTTCGTGCGGGACTAAAGTAACGGAGTCGGTGGATGTGCGACCAGCGCGTGCTTCACGCTTTTGTGGAAGAAACCGGAAGCGCGACAACAACGACCACTGTCAGCAACCGTTATCAGCATCGGTCTACATTTCATCTGGCGGCAGCACTGGCGTTTTATTTTTGACGACGTACCATTTAATCCACAACATATCACAGAAGCAATCAAAAGGAAGAGCAGCGAGTGGCAAGAGAGGAGTATGGAGGTCGAGGCTAACGGGTCTCAAGGCTAGCTCAATTAACGATTTTTCATTATATTATAATCCCATTAACCCCCTATGTATCTCCAATATCAATTTTTCTCCCCCTACTAGGGCTATGTTATTTCATACCCCAATACAATAAAGCATACAAAAAAAAAAGACCAGCGCGTGCTCATGCCACGCTCGACCTCATAACGGCCTTGGTGTGTTGTTGCGTCTCGCCACCGTTGTGCATCTTGAGCATTGCCCTCCCGTGTTCTCAATCCATTTGCACGATCGATCTCATGGGCAGAGTAATCGAGCTTGGTGGTGCCTGGGAGAACGAGGAACTCTCTTGTGTACTTGTTGCAAGCACCGGTGCTACAGTGCGACGTGAACTCTCCTACTTTACGAGCAACCGGAAAGTCGCAAGCGATGTTGAATAGGGCGATGCGGACAAGAGCTCCATTAGGCTACTGGTAAGTTGTAATTGTGACGCCGTTGAACGTGTGAAGGAGTTCGTCGACAAGTGGTTCTAAGTAAAGGTTCATTTCGCATGTACTTGGCTCCTTAGGTCCAGGCATGAAACGCTCGGTGTGCGACAAATTGTTGATAGGTCTTTATTTTTTTCCCGGCCCAGAAACATGCACGCAACCTAATCGATGCATGGATGGTACTGCTTGCGGTACCCTATTGCTGAAGCCACCATCCAATACTCGTAACAGCCGTCGTACGCCTATCAAACAATACGCATACATACCGTTGCAGCACACCTTTAGACGATTCTTCTTACGGTATGGCTTCGAAAGCAAGATCGAGCAAGGGAGAAGGCGGATGCCTGTTGTAGGCCAGTTCAGTGATGTATACGACGGTGCGATGTGGCGACAGCTGCGTGATCCCCACAATAACAATATACGCTTCGCTGATACCCCTCGTTCGTTAATGTTGACCTTGAACGTTGACTATTTCGCCCCTTTTGACAGCAACTATTCGTGTGGTGCCATAAGTTTCACCGTGGCAGGTGGGACAAGAACTGTACGTTCGCATATCCTCAATTAGTCTATTGAAGCCGATCCAGTTCTTCAAACTGATGATAGTTTGTGAAATTCGTTGGCGTGCGGCATCACCAAAGGTTTCGATCAAGACCGAAATAAAGCTGAGGAGGAGGACTGCTGCTCGCTCTGATATGTAATGCAATTGGAACAAGACAAGAAATGCAAAAACATAAATCAACGGATGTGGAAGATGGTCCAATGGATCGTTGTTGACAGGTTTATTAATTTGTTCATCTACATATTCATTTTGTTATCATCTTTCTCCATGCTCCAGTATTAAAGTATCATTCTCTAATGAGCAGCATACCTTCTTGATCATTGATCACGCCATTGAAGTCTATGTCAACTGCAGGATTGACATCGTCCTCGCCTATGGTTCCTACAAGCGGTTCTTCTGGTACATCGAAAACTCGATTCGAGCAATTGCTGTATATTCACGTTTTGCTCTACTAGTTCCTGGGGGTTAACTGCATGGCCCTCCATTGCCGAGATCCAAAAACGCCTGCCAACAAAAAGGCCATCTAAAAAGAAATGGTGGCGTTTGGTTGCTCTGATATGGTTTTCCCTTGACTGCTGTCATGTCTACCTCAACCAGCAATGAACATATATCTCGCAGTAACGAAAAGACTGTCATGCTGTCGAAGCCCGTATTGTGACAAGTCCTATCAGTCGATACAGAAAGCCGTTAACCATATTATCGCAGTACATCATATACGACTTGAACGCCGTGAGTCGGGTTCTCGCAGTAATGCTGCATACAATCAAAGGAATGTGCGGAAATACGAAAAGCTTGGCTATACGATCTTAACTTACTATGGCTGTGTGTCCTGCAAGGAGGTGTTCGCTGAGAAGGAAGAATTACGTCGACATTGCGATGCCAACCATGTCATTACAACTCTGTATGGAAATGGGTAAATAGGAAAGGATTGTCAAACATTGTGTATGGATGGCGAAGCGGTGAGGCAGACAACTATGTGACTATTCTATATTGTGTAGGCTCATTACCTCACCCAAGGATGTAATCAGGTCTGGTATGGAAGTTTCATTGCCCTGATCAAGACCATCTTCTCTTCCAAGGCACTGATATCACAAGCGGATTTAATGAATTTCGTTCGACAAACAAACCTCTTGACGTATGAATCAAATGTTCAGCACGTCCTAGATTATCATCAATTCTATTGCTGAAGCCTTCACGCACCAACTGTGACCCTCATCAGTATATCGGCTGTGATACATGCGAGGGACTTATCGATCACTTGCTTGATACATATGGCGGATCAACATACGAATCTGACCCCGTGGTTCGGCTACACGTTGAAAAAGTTGTGAAGGTATGGAGGAGCAAAATATAAACATATCAACGGCATAATTCTCATTTAGTCTATTTAGGATTGTCCTTAAAATAATCGTTTGATTTACAGGACGCACAAAAAGTGATGAATCTTATGACGGTGGGAATGATGTCAAAAGCAAGATTCTTACTTCCTTTCGATACCTGTAAGACTGGGGATGTTGGAGCGTGGAACATGGCGGTCGTTTTTATTCATCATCCGTCTTTTCTTTTTTGGTTCCACTAGACTTGAACAGCTAACCATGGCTCTTTCCGCTAAAGATCCTGATCCACCCAAAGTGGTGGATCAAACCAAAACCACGGCTACCAACACCAAAACAAATACTTCTTCCGCATTTTCATCCGATTCCCCAACGTCGCCAAAGGGCAAAGGTTCTGCCCTTTCCTATCGTTCGTATGCGCAAGTCACTAAAGGTCAACGCATTACAACCCTTGAACAGCTAACCATTGGAACCTGTCAGTCAAATATCGAAGAATTAAAATTGGCCACGCGTTATATCAGTGCGGCAATCATCCCACTTGTGATGATAGAGCTTTAATAAAGATGATAAGGGACAAGATTAAATATCTTTGAGATGATGTTTTATTCCAACAAAAGATAAAGCTCTTTTATATTCTAGCTATTAAGACGGCGATATCAATTCATCCGACTAATGGATAAAGTATGTGATAGAAGATGGATCAAGGACGTATCAGAATTTCTCCTGAAGTCGTTATGTTAATCGGGCACATCTTTGAAACCGGCGTTAGCTGATCTAATGGCCGAGGTACCTGTTGATAGGTTTATTGTCCTGCTCACGTAAGGTGAATCATCCGAGTAAGAGGTTTTATTCAATAGTGTTTAGCCGGAATGCCGTAGTGTTCATACGTGTGCTATAATGTTTAACCGAATATCTTATTGTTGATATCTTAAGCAGTGTATTAATGTGGTTCACCACACCACTGTTAGAAAATCTGGTGGAGCATGTCATTTTTCGATGGTAACTGGTAAAGAGCAACAACATTCAATCAAACCATGGGTCTCATCTTGTCTTGGTTTGCTTTAGGACATCTGTTGTCAACGACGAATGTAAGATTAGCGACGCATCGTTATTAACGGCCCGATATGATGCGTTAATCAACATGCTGCAAGGAACAGGAATTAGCCATAGCGTGGGATATGGTGAAGTTAAGCCGGCAAGCCAAACATTGATAATTTGTAGTGGTAATAATAAATACGACGATAGTATCTAAAAGTCATAGTGAGCTTTTATAGGAAGGGAAGCAGAAGGGGCGTGAAAGGGCGAGTCAAAGAAGGTTGAGAGGGAGTACTATACCTAAGAAAGTTTGAAAGAGGTAGAAAGGAAGCAGTCAATGACTGGCAGAAAGACACTGCACAAACAAGAAGGCATAGAGGCACTGTTCAAACTGACCTTATTTGTGAGAACGTGAGAGAACATGGTTTCTAAAAAGAGGGAAGAAAACATCCGAAATATCCAGTCCCCAGCTAAGTCACTGGAGAGAATGGGTGGAAGTAACCAAGACATTGGCCTAATTGGAAGAGAAATAGAAGAAGAACATGAGTAAAGGGAAAAGGTAAAAAGACCAGTAGTAGGAAGAAAAAGAGTGAGCTGTACTAACGGACCTGGTTTCGCAGGAGATGTAAGCCAAAAAGCATACCCACATTAAATGCATCAAGAAAAAATCCATCCACAACCGAGCGAAGCGCCACCGCCCGACCCCAGGAAAAGAAATACGAAGAATCATTGGATCACATAGGCCATGCATAGTATTTGTGTGTGAAAAGAAAGCAATGACATGCAGGTGTGCTTCGAGTCCGTAAGCCATCATTCCGCAACAGCAGGGTAAGTAAGAGTTGTTTCCAAATTTTTCCAATCATTGTAATACAGGCATATATAGGTCGATGAGTTCTTTCGTGAGTTGGACTTCTTGGTCCAGAGTGGGAAGAAGAAGCAGGTGGAGAGAAAGGAGAGACGTCCTGACCCTGTTTGAGAGGTCCAGCCGCCCAGGAGGTGAAGGACAGCTTGCCTAATTGTGCCTGTCTCCATCTTGAATAATTTTTTTCATTGGTTGGACGGCTGTGTTCTTCTACTCTACTACTATTCTACGTGCCATTGGAATCACAACAATTTTAGCCGTGTTAACATCTGCCTTGTTATCATACGCTACTATTGATGCTTGCGAAAAGATGCGATGGACTGGCAAGACGGAGTGGCGGTCGCTTTGTTCAAAGCTGTTTCTCCATTCCTCGAGACCTTGGTTTGCAAATCGTTATTGTGCTGCTTCTGCGTGATACCACCGAAGTGGTGGATTATAGGGGTGCGATTGACGACAAGTAAATGGTAGGAGTAATACTGCACTTGTTCTATCCAGGCAACATTACGGCAGTCTTGTATAAAAAGGACTTGGATATGGAAACCGCGGATTGATCTGGCTGTTGCTGATCGATATGTTTGACTAAAGGTTTCAATGGTACGTAGTTTCTGTATTCGATTGAAACAGTGGATTCTCGCTTGTTCAATGCCGGTACCATCAGTGACTCCTGGATAATGGATGGTGTAATGTTTAAGCAACAGCGCGTTATGCTCGTCGATCAACGTTGTGCTTTGACTGTTTGCCATCATTGAGGTGTATGTATCCGCCGGTAAAGCTTCACATCCTATGATGTTCCTGCTTGTATCTGAGGACAACTCGCCACAAGTAACTGGATCGAATGATGCTACCTGTAGTTGTCGTTGTGGTGATTGTGGTTGACCAGCAGTTTTTTTCGCAAAATAGTTAGCTCGTTTACACGACCCACCAATCTACTGGCGATTGTTGTTGCAACATAGTCAAGAGCGCTCGTTTTTTCAATGAAGCGCATAAGTATCATTTCGTGTGTGAATTGGAGAGATCCAGGATACAGTACGCTAATTATCTTGCTTCAATTACCAACACGGGTCCAATCAATTGGTTAGGATGTACCTATAAATATTGAATGCTGCAAACTGACGGCGTTTTGCTCAACGTAACTCGATCACGATCGAAATATTAGCTGTATCCAGTCTTTGAGGAGCCTGGGCAAAGCCAAGTCAGGACAGACAGGAGTGCGCGCTCAAATGCCGGAGCGTTGATTGTTGCTTACATTGTTTCCTTTAAACTCTTCCTGACAAACCCGGTACTTGCCTGTACGCTCGAATCGCCCAGTTTGCTATCGCTAGTAGCTCATTTGTTCATCCTCCCCACAACAGTCTTTAATATCTTCTGTCATATGTTGTCGCGGCATATCTTGTTGGCCTGCCGTATGGATCGCACGATCAGTATGTTGTTATTTCATGTACTGCCTTCGCATTTAGCTTCTGTAGCCTCCTTCTCGGTAGAGCTTGTATGTATCCATGATATAGCCTTTTGAATAATGTAAGTCGTATCATCATTGAGTTACTATTGTGATACTAGCTTCTCCACTTCTACTACATACATTATACCTTATAATACATCCATTTGTTGTCTTCCATCGAAGATTGTCTTTATTGATTATGAATCATATCATCTCGATCCGCAAAGGATTCAGCAAAGCAAGGTTATATCAGCCAAAGTGTGTAGCTACTAGACATATATGTATGACGCAATATACTGTAGCGGGATACTTTTGTTGAGGTATAAGAATAATTCCAGTTAATTTTTTTCAATGTTGTTGTGAGAGAAAGGAAGAGAAGTGATATGATATAAGCCAACAACAAAAACAAAAAAGGGAGTGAGAGGAAATGATGTACGCAAAAATATACAAAAGGAGGAGGAAGAAGAGTAATTAAGCTGTTAGTATCAAATGAAAGAACAGATATAAGCGAGTATTATGAGAATGGCAGGCAGGCTTTGGATTGAGGGCTCGTATTTGGGGGAGGGGATGGAAGGGAATGGGATATATATTAATTTTTGGCCGGAGGTAATACTACTGTATGGACTAATATGAACGATGCTGATGATTATTATTGCTGTTTCTACTACTATTATTACTACTTGTCGATGCTAATCTTCTATCAACAACGCCCTGTATGTCGTTATTGTCTACTTGTTGCTCGTCTTCTTCGTCTTTTGCAGAATGATAGGATGGAGGTGGAGCGTTTTGCTGCGGAAGGTCCACAGCAGTATGATCGAACGACATGTGGTATGCTGGTGGTGGTAATGGATTATTAAGATCGGATGTACTGCTAGTGATGATACTACTTGTTCGAAATGATTGAGGTTGCCGCTGATTCTGTTGCTGCTGCTGTTGAAAGGCGAGTTCAGGAACGCGTAAGGTTGAAGGACTCGATGAACTGGTACGATGCGCGACCATGTATGAGCTGGGAGGGATACCGACCGTTGAGGGGTTGTAGATGGAAACTTCAGGAATTGCTTCGGTGTCTTCAAGCGGCTTATTTATATCTGGTTCATGATGAAACTGAGATCGACAACAAAGCCAGATCTATGATGGATGATAATTACAATAGTAGTAGTCAACATCTTAGTTTCCAAAGAAACCTACTTTTCTCATGTTTCTCCAAAAAAGAAAAGAAGATAGATTTAGCGTGTATTTATATACCCAGTATGAAATATAGAGCACAAAGAATGAACACAGCACTATGAGCAAGACCCAATAGGGAGGTTGCCGTGTCCGGATATATAGTATTGGTAGTAGCACCATCATCAGTAGAAAGCATAGCACAAGCGAATGATGAATAACAGGATGCCATCGTGGATAGTCTGCCGGTAGTCTTCTACCTCGCATGTTGAAATAGAAGAAGAGAGAAGCGGTTATGAAATAGTACAAATTATACGAGAAAGTAAGTATATAAAAAGAAAATTAAGGGAACAAAAAAAAAGTGGAAAGGAGTATGGCGGGCCTCTCAAAAGAAATCATTCTTTTGAATTAGAATGCATGATATAATGCGGGTTAGGCGTAGTATGATATGAGGTGTCTGCCTGTCTGGCTACAGGATGATTACATACAGGTGCTGCACGGTGGTGGTGGTGGTTTGCGCGCGGCTGCATCGAACCCTTTTTGTGTACCGCACTTTCCTCCTTTATCCCCTAGTATTTCCTTTTGGATTTGGAAAAAGAACAACAACATGACACGAAGGGAGTATATTAAAAATTTTATCGTCGTCATCGCACCGCTTGTTGCAGTCGCTGGTATTTTAATAATTAGTGAAATATAAAGACGATGCTTTGGCACATATATTGTACATATCCATGTAATATACATTTCCACGCGTGCGTGCACGAACACTTTGTGTCTATGTGCGAGATCCACACCCCTGGGGTTCTCTCTCTGTGTCTCACTCTGCTCTTGTGTGTGCATAGTATGTATGTTCAAGGGAATGAAGAGTTACTTTATGTATGGTGCTTTTTACTCCCTCCGAACGCTTGTATAATAAAAAAAGATTTGCTAGCGATACGAAATCACTTTTGATCTGGACCGAGCTGCGCATAAAAAACGGAGCAAAGGCCCAACCGAAAAAAGGGAGGGGTGGCGTAGGGAGGAGCAAAAGAGCCATCTTAATTTCAGATTTAAAAATCCCAAAAGTTATACAATTTATACATTTACACTTGCTTTTGCCTCTCGAATGTATGCCGGGTTCTATCGTAATCCTGCAGTGAATGAAGACGAGTTGTTGACATGGCCTTGATTATCATCGTCGTCGTCGTTGTTCCTTGATATCAAATCATCCAAAGAAGAACTATTCTCTCTTGCTCTCCTTCGTCTCTGCGTGGCGCTGCTGGCTGTGGATAGATCTACAGCCGCAGGCGATGAAGTCGACGGTGATGGTCGAGGTTGTCCAATCTGTTGCTGATGGTGGTACCAAAACGCTTGGAGTGGATCAGACCAATCGTTGTTGTGGTGCCAAAGAGAACCTGCATGATCTTGATGTTGATGTGGATTGCTGGACGACGAAGATGCAATGTTGTTGTTGTTATTGGAGGGTGATGAAGATGAAGATGACGATGCAGCAACAGCAGCAACAGCAGCAGCAGTTGCCCCAGCCATGTGCGGGGGAGGATGACGCCGTAAACGGCCGAAAGAATAAGCCGAGTGATTAGGGGTAAAATAAACAGGTAACCACAACGGCGGTGGCAAAGAGTTATGCCCTGCTTGTCGCTGTCCATCGTTGTCATCCCCACCGTCATTGTCGTCTATAAGTGCGTGTTGGCCCATCAGACCTCTGATTTGTGTCACGATGGCTTGTTCATATTTGGGCGGTGACGGATCTGGACTGTAGTACGAAGGCAATGGCTCTCCTCTATTTTGAGGTTGTTGGCTCGACTGTGAGCCGAGTGAGGAGGCGGAAGAGGATGCCACCCGGCGCTGCTGCATCTCTGGTTGTTGATTGGATCTGAACGAGGGAGGTGCTGTGCTGGGAACTGTCGTGTCGTTGGAAGCGAGAGACTGTACGCGTTTCTTTCTCCGTCCTCCGCACGACAAGCAGAATGCAATCCACGAAAAGGGTGGTCCGAGCGGTTGTCGGGTGCGTTTTGACTTCATCCACATTTGAATCATCCATATCATGCCGACAAGAAAGATAAACGAACAGGTTACCATCAAGGCAATCGCGGATGGACTATGTTCCGTGAATCCATGGCCCGCATGATGGCGGTGGCCTGCACCTGCACCAACACCGTCCCCATCCTGTCCGTCGCCGGCGCCGGATCCATCGCTTTCGGTGGGTAGTTGTCCAGGCGCTGGTGGCGGCTGACCTCGATCCGTCATCAACAAGCAGTTAGACGGCTCACAGGTAAGATTGTTCCATATGTGTGACACAGAGGACGTGGCATTTCTGCGGTACTGGTAACACTCAGAGCTTGTTGCGCAATAGTCTGTAAGAACAGTTTGCAAGGTTAAAAGCAAGGATAATACAGGGTGGCTGGAAGCTTAGGACAGGTGAAGAAGGCAGGGTTGTCGGGGCAGGAAAGGAGGTGTGAGCAGAAATGGGTTGCACAAACCCTTTCCCCCTGTTTCTCTTCTCCCTCCTTTTCATGCCGCGCGCGCAAAATGAAAAGGCGGATCTGCTTGGAATCTTAGGGTTGTTGAAGTTGACCTTACCTCCATCGCTGTCATTGCCACTGGATAAACAGTAGCCATACCAGTCGTATACGTCGGGAGTATCAAACTGGGTGGTGTTACAAACAAGGGCGGACGGTGATGCAATGGACGTGTTGTTGACAGAGGACGAGACCGATTTGCTCCAGATACATGAACTTTGAAGACACATGGCACAGTATTTGCATATTCCATTTGCATTGCAGGTATGGCCCGATATCAGTGAGCAGTCGTCGTTGCTGCCGTCGTCTGTTTCATCAGCACTGCCATCGTCTCCGTCGTCATAACCGTCATCATAATAATCGTCGTCTTGTTCGTAGCTGAATTGGCTTTGCAGTAAAATCGACGATACAAGCAATCCGCTATAGCGTCGAGCGTAGTAGGAGCTTTGTCGCTGTGATGGGAGCATTACAATTATTACTTTCTTCTTTATACCATAAGTTATAAAGGGAGATACGTAGTTGTTGGAGCGGTGATGGTAGTGATTAGGGCTCAAAAGGCGGAAAAAGAAAAAGAAAGAGAAAGAGAAAGAGAGAAAGGGAGAGAACGGAAAAGCTGCCGCTGGTGCTGTTGCAGCAGCTGTCACATCAGATGCGTAAGAAATATATAAGATGCAGAGTGAGGAGGATAGGTATGTGCAAGTAGAGGAAAAAGAGAGATCAAGAGAGAGAAACTGAGCGCTTGTACAAACATGCCAACTATTAAAATTACCCACGGCAACAATTCCGGGCTGGATCGTTTGGGGTTTGCCCGGAGATTGATAGAAGGGCAGGCTGCACTCACTAGGTCTGACCTCCTTTTTTTCAGTATTCAGCGTCGATCTTTTTAATCCAGGGCGCAGGTTATTTTGCACACATAGCCATAAATATAGATTACAATCTATAAACATAAACAAACATTGTTGTGTGCATGCAATGCAACATCCAATAGAACAATTTTTCTGGCAGCAGCAGCATCTGGCCAACCAACAGCAGCTATTCCTGGATTCAAAATACGTTTGGTGATTCGATTATCTGTCATTGTGCAAGGTTAAAGTTTTAATTTAAAGAGTTCTAAGTACAAGAATTCAGTTTAAAGTAAGAAAAGAAAACATAAAAAGAGAAATGGGGTAATAGGGTTTGGCAAAGAGGAAAGGTGTTCTTTTCGTTTCACCACGTATGTACTTTTACAAGAGTGCGTGTGTGCGTGAAAGAGAAAGAAAGATATTAGGGGAATCATATAGAATAATACGACTAAACATTGAACGCCATCGATAAATTATGGGCAAACAATAGAGAGCCATTATTAAGAGAGAATGTGTGAGTTGTAAGTAATAATAGCAACACTATTAGTAGGTAGTTGTGTGTGTGTGTGTGGTTGTCTTTTTGTTTTGTATACTAGAAATTAGACGGTATGTACGTATATAGTTATGGATGAGAGCCTGTTAAAAGCAAGAGGTACAGCAGCGGTTCAGGACTATTTAAAAAGTGTACATCTTTTCCATGGCTTGCCGTTGAAAGACATCGTGTTGGAATCTAATAGCACATGTAATTTATAAGCATTTCATCCTAGCTTTCCATTCTGCGCAACTAAGTTTCTACTTACTTTTTCAAGTTCTCATTTTCTTGCATGAGACGCTCGACTTCTTCCAACAGTTCAACTTGCATGGCTTTTAGATGCTGCATTTGCTGGACGGCTATAGAATGATGTTGTGGTCAATGATATCAGATTTATGTTATATATGTTCCACACGTCTTATGTTAAGATGAGGCAGCAACGTACTTCGATTCAACAATGCGGCCTTGCTCATCTTTTTGTTGTTGCAACCAGGAAGATGCTTCCGCAACTCATCAAAGCCATCTTTGATTTGCGCACGTCGCTTTTGTTCAGACTGAATGTGAATTTGGCGACGAAGTTCAGCACTGGTCAATTGCCTATAAATATACAACTTGGGTAAGCGGGTGATACTATAAAAAGAAACATCCATCTATATCTTGAGACAGGATGGGTTCATCTACACTCAAATAGATAGTGAGGGGCTTTCTTGCCCACTACTAAGCTCGAAAAGGGTTGGAGAATTCAACTTACTCTGGATCTGTTTCATCCTCTAAGCTGCCTCTGAGATTCTCGTCGTCTTTGATATCATCTTCGTCAAAATCATCTGCTGGTGCTACTGACACAAAAGCGTCCTCGGTAGTAGCAGTAGCAGTGGTAGTGGCATTAGCATTTACAAGGCTGCAAGAAGATTCCTCAAGCTTTTGCTTCTTGTTCGAAGCAGCTTCTTCGTTTTTCTGTTGTTGCTGTTGTTGTCGCTTACGCTTGTTACGCGATCCAATCTTTCTTTCGTACGTCTCTTTGGAGTACTCCAAAAACTCCGTGTGATAAAACTCCATTGGAACCGAGTTTGCACGAGCGATTGTTTCTTTGACACGATCGGTTGTAGGGTTCGAGTATCGTGGTGATGATGATGGAACAAGTGGTGTAACAAGTGCCTGATGCTGTTGAGAACCTGTCGCCACTGCCGCTGCTGCTGCTGCTGCTGCTACAGCTGCTGCATTGTTGGAAGCAGGGTCTACCGAGGTAGTCGTATTAGTATTAGGTGCGGCAGTAGTAGCCGACGGGGTTTGAGGCGACTTGGAGGACGAGGAAGCGGATTCCGAATCGGGGCTGCCAGGGTGATAGGAACGATGGTGAGGAGGGGAGGACATTTGGTCAGGACAATAGCCAAAACGCGTTGTTGCTGTCGGTGGCGGAGGCGGTACAGGGTAAGCCATTGGGACAGAAGGATAACCCAGGGAGATGGGTGTGGGGTAACCGTAGCCTATTGTTTTATGTTTTGTTTGTGTAGCAGAAAAGATTACAATAGAAAAGTTTAGACAACGTGCATACTTTAGAATGGAGTGCTACACCAGTGTATGTGCGTACAGTAGTGTTGTGTAGCCCAAAAGTTTTTTTTCTCTCTCAATAAAATTTTAATCGAAATATCCAGCCAGCCAATCATAGCAGTCAACTTTAATGAAAAAGATTGCTAGGTAGGTACGATATAGAGGAAAAAATAGGGGAAATACAATGTTCTTGTTCTTCTTACCTTGATAGGTGTGGAAGTCTGCCGGATGTGGTGGTGGTGGCGCTCCTCGATATACATTGGCACCGGGGCCAACAGCCGAGTATACGGATGCTGGAGACGCCCATGATGGCGGCGAAGCATCGTCTGGTCTGCGATGCGGCATTGCTGCTGCTACGGTTGATGGTGGTGGCACCATGGTATCCACAGGGTAATTAGAAGCACCGTGAACGGTTGTTGTTGCATTGCTAGCGAGAACGATTTGAGTCATGGCGTTGTTGTGGTTTAAGATGGATAAGGACAGTGAAGGTTATAAGTAATTAGTATTAAAGATAGTATGGACAAGGATAGACACAAGAGAGAGAGAGAGAGTAAGAGAGAGGACGGGGTAAAGCGAATAGTACGATAAGGAAAGGAAAGGAATATATAAACGAAGGAAAGGTATGTAAAAGTAGTTGCGGAAAAGAAGAAGAGATGATAAAAAAGAAACGAAGAAAAGAAAAAGCCAGTAGTATATAAACGAGAAGAACACAAACACACACAAAGTAAGTCCCTTGTGTTACGAGAAAGGCTCTCTCTCTTTTCCTTAACTCTCTCGTCTTTTAGATCCAAGCAGCTAATATCCATTGCATATATTGCTATCCACCCCTTCCCCCTTTTTCCTTCATCATTTACTGTTTCTTCGCTTTTTTTCTTATATAAATACTGTTTTATTGACTGGTGTGCAATTCTGCAGACAAACGCGTCTTTCTCGACTTCGTTGGCGGCGGGGCAGTTTTTTCATTTACAATAATTGACCGCATATGCCGTGTAAGCGATACTACTCGATCCTCGTCTTCACTCTCGTCGCTATCGTTACCGTCATTGTTGTTGTCCTCATTACTACTACTACTGATACTCGTCATGCTGTCACTGTCCGACTCTGTGAATTCAGACTCGAATGATCGTCGTAGCAGTCCGTTATTGTTGTTGTTGTCGTCAAGAGCAGCAGGTGTAGAGTCACCGACATAATATTCGGACCGCGACAATGATTCGGGAGAAATGGTGTGTAAGAGAGGCAGATTGTCATCCTCGTCTTCTACAACATGCTTTCTTTCTTGCATTTTCCCTTTTTCTTCTTGCAACGCAATGTAGGGAGGTGTTAATGGCGTGTTTCGATAAGACCGTGGCGATGGTGGCAATCTGTTGTTATATTGGTTGCTATGGGGATGGTAGTTTGCGTAACGTGGCGACGGTGGTGCAAGTCCTTGGTGATGATAGTGATGATTGTGGTGTTGAATGTTGTTGCTGGGTGACGGGATAGGGGCATAGCAACCGGTGGGCACTTGATGAATAGGTCGCCGGCTCGGTTTTCTTCGGAGAGTGTGTTGTCGATTAAGTGATGAAGAGCTACTGCTACTGCTGCTACTACTACTGTTATTATCACTTGCGTCGAGGAATAATGGTGGGTGGGGCGGATTTTGATGACGCGTGGGATGTTTTCGACGTAGTGGTGGCGGTGAAGATGGATATTGTTGCATGGGTGAGAGCGGTGGGGATGGCATACTGCTACTGTCACTCGCGGATGGAATGAAGGTTGTCGGTGTTTTGCCACAAAGTTTATCCAAGGCCGCTTGACGGGCGGCAATCGCATCTTCGTGTTGTTGAGCGCCTAAGAATTGTGGACTCACTCTCCGCGCTGATCGCCGCCCACTGTGTCCATGGCGAGGATATGTGTTGTAAAGACCATGATTATGATTATGATGGTTTTGATTTCTTGATGATTTAGAGCGCGGGAGAAGAGAAGAGTGGGGATCATGTTTTGACAGTTTGGTAGATGCGTGCCAGGATGGCGAGACAGTGGCAGAAGCATCCTTACTGTTGTTGACAGGTGCATCATTGCTGGCTGAGTTGTCTTTGTTGTTACTGCGATTATTTTTGCGTAGAACGCTAAATAGAGGTTTAGGTTTTGCAGAGCGCTTCTCGCCAAAGCTTGCAGTAGTGAACTTGAGCATGTTGACTCGATGAGTGAATATAACAGAGAAGAAGTAAAGAAAGAAAGAAAGAAAAAAGGAGAAGGTTTTTCTTTTCAAGACAATTGAAAATTAAAAATGACGACTGTAGCACAAATAGAACGGCCACAAGGAACTTCTGGACCCCAGGAAAAAAAGAGATTGACGTTATGAACCAAGCTAAAGTGGCACTTAACGTCATTTCTCCCCATGACGTTTGCTCCCTCTGCTACTAAGACCCCTTAATGCTCAAATCAACGCATGTCAACATTGTCCATACCACGCGAGTTAGAAAGTGTGATCATACGACGTACCACGCGTTGAAAATGTGTGCAGAATATTTTATACCAAAAAGACTACGAGTCTGTTTCAGATTACTACAGTGCCGCACCATCATCAGGACATATCGAACTGCCGACTCCGCTGTCTCTGACCGATCGTCGCGCTCTTTTGACTGTTTTCGTTCTGCAAATACAATGAGATATGGCAGCATGTAGTTGAGCACAACTCTTAATCCAAACTGACAAATTACCGTGCTTCGTTCTAAATGAATTAACAAATCTATGCCGTAATAGTTACAGTACGTCAAGAAACACAAACCGTATTCAATTGGATCTGTTTCAAAATTAATAAGAAGCTTTTGCCACGCGAGCACGTCGTTATATGAAAATACCACCGGGTCCGCGTGGCTAGACTCCCCCTCTTTCAAAACAGAAAATTTTTACATTCAACTAAGATCAATTGCCCCATTAATAGAACTAATAGACTAAAGGTATGGTACAGAAATCTTGGCGTAAGGGAGCACTCTAGCGATCTAGCGTGCTAAATAACTTTTTTTTATTAACTGCTGTATATGTGAGAACAAAAAAGCACAATTTGATAATTCGGCTTTCTGACGTAGGATTTTCCCAGTACGTGCTCCATCGGTTAACCGGAGAGAGGACAGAATAAGAGCGGAGAATCTATTCTTTTTCTGACACATCCACTTCACCGTTTTTAGTCGAAACGGCATGCTTTAAAGGGCTGAGCTAGTCGCCGCTTCTTTAAAACGTTTATATTAAAAAGTGATGTGCAACCCAACATGGGGCAATCGTTGTGCAACAGCACATTGGACACATAAGATGTCCGTTTTTTATCGTTGTGATGACATACCGAGAGAGATTGTACGGAGGTTAAGCTTTTCCTTAATTCATACGCTGTTATCAATGACCGTTCCTTTGCACTTAGTATGCCCACTTGTATCAATTGTTCATGTGTAAAAATGGATGAGCTAATAACTATATTACAGAAAAATGCATAAAATCAAAAATAGTACAAGTGTGAGAGAAAATATGTGAAAAACAATATTACAAGACAGTACTGCAAGTAGAGCAATAGAATAGTAGTAGAGCAACGGCAACAACAGAATGGCGTAAAAATGAAGGTGTCATTTAAATGTGAAAGAATTATAGTGGAAAAGAAAGGAAAGGGAGATGATAATGTGCGTACTACATGCGCCAAGATTAGTTCTTCTGGGTAATTGCTTCTTGCTGCTGCTGTTGCTCCTCATCGTAATACATGCGATGTGCACCGCCCATGGGTTTAGCTTCTGACTCTGCCGATGATGTTTGATCCGCACTCTCCTCTTCTTCATAAGGTAGAATCAAGTTAAGAAGGACAGCCATGATACCACCGATAATGTTGCTAGTAGAAACTACAGTTCGGATAGCGCTGTAAAAACCGTTCAAAGCAGCATTTTCCACAGTAGGTAGGACGAACTTGAACCAGTTAGGAACAAGCAAAACACCCAAACCGATGGCTAGCGAGGAAGCGATAATCACACGATCTCGACGCGTCCATTCCAAATATGCGAGGATTCTCAATCCAGATGTGGCGACTGAAGCAAACAAATACACCGTCATACCTACATGTATTCGAGATGCATAGCAAAATAATTTGGTGGCTGTCGATTTATCATAAACTACATGTATACAACTTACCACCAATAAGAGGCTCTGGAATCGCCAAAAATGTGGCTGAGAATTTGCCGAGAATACCGCACAATATGAGAATACCAGCGCATACAAAGCCAGCAATACGACTTGCACAGCGAGTTACCTATTGTATCATATAACAAAAACATTGTTCATCGTATGTTAATGTTGAAAGTATGGTATATGATGAAGTGATAGCAGCTTCGTAGCTATACTTACAGCAATGATACCGTTGTTTTGCGTAAACAAGACAGTGCTCATAGTGGTTCCCAAACCGGAGAAGATACCAAGAAGACCATCCGTCAACAAACCGCCCTGGATACGCGATTGGAATTCGTCACCCTCAATCGCCTTTTGGGAAACATCACATACAGCCGTGATCTCACCAATACTGTCGATAATGATAGCCAGCTGTGAGAACAGAACGGGGATGACACCGGGACCATAAATCGACAATTTGAATGTCTTGACCCACAAAAAGGTTCCTGCGGGAGCGGCATCAATAGAGGAACTATCAAACATGCCAATACCGGCAGCAATAATACAGCCGACAATCAAACCAATAACAACCGAGACGTTCTTTAAAAAGACCGATCCGAGCAATTCAATAAGAAGAATAGTGAAGAAGACGGAAGCACCAAGGGCAAAGTTCACCGGACCACCCCATGGCTGTGGGTTCGGCGCGTTAATGTTGGGACAGAGGGCAAATAAGCCGTCATCGGGCATTTGCATGCAGGGACCAGAGCCACCAGCCCAATTCTTCATACTGCTCGTAATCAATTTGGCGCCGATACAGAAAAGCACAATGCCGGTGACAATTTTGGGGAACAAACGCTTAAGAATACGAGGTGAGACGAAACTGAAAATGATAGAAAGGATAGAGCCGATGATCTGTGTGCCGAGAATGGCACCAAAACCGTCGGGGCATGGCAGGTAGTTGATCGTACCGTCGGAAAGGGTTTCGGTTTGACAGGTACCATCTGTAGGAAAAAAGGAAAGAGAATAAATCAGTGTGGTTAGTACTTTACATTGCTACTCTTTTATATACAGCTTCTTAAATCGAATAGCTTACCGATATACATGTTTTCAACCATAGCTTGAGCAGCAGGAAGAGCAGAAAAGGCAACACCAGCGACTTCTAATAAACTAAGCAAACGTAATTGATTTAATTTGTTTGTTGCTTGAGAGGGTTTACTATTGACCACCTGAAACTTACCCAACACCGACGTAATACCGGGTGCGTGGTACTCGGAATCGTGAGGTATAGACCAAACTATTATCATATATACATAAGGGTAATATGATTAAAACAATTATTCTCTTTTACTGTTCGTGAGCTTTTATTGTCGAAGGTAATTTACCTAGTGATACCGGATACAATAAAAGATGCAGCAATCATATATGAGCGGGTTTCTGCGTCCAGATTAAGCGCAGTGGCACCTGTGCCGGAAATCAAAAGCGTAGGCGTGATAAGGCCACCGACACAGCCCAAGAAATCTATTTTATCAAACTTTAACATCACTGTGGCATCCCTTTGTTACTCGATCATATAACAGAAAACGTACGTTGGACACCCATCAAGATAGCCACAAAGACGGGAATATCTTCATCGGGTCCATAGAATTCGGAACGGTTGGCGTGCTTCTTAAAAAACGGAATATAAGGCATACTATCATCACCATATACATTTTAGTTTGTATTGTTAGTGGTTAATATGTATGGTAACAAGATAAAGATCAGCTCTTTTGTAAATAATTGCAGTTTAATATTTACCAAAGAGCACGGTAATCATAGTCGCCGACCCAGCCATCCCTAGTTGTAAACTTATGCTTCAAGCGTTCCATGATGGGCGTCTTTTCTGGATTCAACACTAGAGCTGGCGGATAATACGATTCCTGTGTGCGTTCGGCGTCGACAACATCTACATACTCCTGCTTTTCGGACGACGAGACAAAACTTGTCGACGGAGAAGATCGTGTGTTATTAGGGTCGTTGTTGCTATTTTGCATTGTTATCAGCAGATGTTATAATTATAAAAGAGATGTAAGTGGAAGGAGGGGTGAGAGGGCGAGGTTGATATGCGCTTCCAGGCAAATATTACTATTGGAGAATATATGCTGGGCTGGCTGCAAAGAGAAAAGAGAGGATGTCCGAGTATGTGTGTATTTATATACTATCATGTACTGCCTGAAAATCCTTCTGATGAGAGATACAAAATAGATAAACCCGTAGCGCTGTATTGGTGGTTTGTGTGTTCGTGTGGATCGTTGGCATATGTGGTAATTAGATAGGCATATAACTTGTATTGATTGGAACAGATCCTCGGAAATATCGGGGGGCTACGAATGTGAAGTTTCTCTGCGTTCCTTTTGGTTTTTTATCAGTATTACACAAAGGTTTTGTTATCTTTTATCTAAAACGAACATGACGCTTTATCCACGCTTCTGACTTTCAAATACGTTATTTATCAACTGTGATAATGCGCGACTTGTTCTCCAATGGGACACGAATAGCCTGCAGACATGGTTTATGTTTTGTCGACAACACCATTGTTATTGTCATCAGTGACCCATATACTACGGTTGCCACTATATGTAGTAACTGCGTATGTAACAAAGTTTCAGATATCCGAATGAAAAAAGAGTTTTTCTATTTGGTAACAGCTAATAGCAACCTCTTCACTCTTCGTGAAGTGGGAGCAATCTGGTATGTTGCTTATTTGAGCGTATATACCAGTCATCCATCATCCATACTGAACAAAAAGTGCTTGTGTGGTGTGAGCGCTTTCGAACCCGACCTTTGCCTAATTGGGGTTATCGCATGGTTCGTTTAGAGCGCCGTTCATGGGTTATCGAAGTACGGCCAAAATATACCTGCGTTAGTGCCACCTTTTATGCCTCATAATAAGCATGCTCACGACTTTATTTTAAAGAGAGGAAAATTATCTGTTATCAGTATGCGAGCTTCTTGGACTTCTAAAAGATCATATCGGACTCCCTCCCTCCCCCACAGGAGATCGAGCAGGCTTGTGAGACTCCGCAGTTGTCATTGTGGGGAGTTTCTCCTGGTGATTTGACCAAGTAACTAGCCTAATCAGGTAAAAAGTACCTATCCGCATACTGCATTATTATGGAGCATTCCTACTTGCTCAGTGTGATCGAGCTGAGCAACAGCTATCAATCTACAGCATACTTACTGGTTGGTGGTGTTGACTATAAGCAAGAGGAAATAATACTGCGATAGACTTAATCATTATCTATTCAGCAAATCTAGATCCTAAAATTGGTAATATTGTGTCACACCGTTTCCATTATCTTCACCACTTACGCTGCTACATATCTGACGAGAGAGATATGAATGGGAAAAGGGATATTTGCTTTTACATAATGCTCACTACTGTAACATTCCTTGCCCAAAAAACAATAAAAAGCATCGTGACATATGCATATTTAGTAAGTCATGTCCACGCTTCCGTTAGTATAATACTCTTCAAGAAAAGTAGTAAGATGTACGATAGCTTCAGTAGTTATGTGGGACTTCCGATCGCCTTATAGTTCAGCATTTACCTTGCATAGTAACAGTTATTCACATGATGTTACCAAGATTGCCGTTGATTGCTTCTACCTAAATAGTGTATCGTCCCGGTTTTACTTACACAGAACCGGGCATCGGACTCTCTAGCAGTTCTTTTACGACGTAGGAATTGTAGGCACAATGTGTGCTACCACACTCCAAGAAATTGTTTACCCCAGACACTGTAAGCTTCAAGCCCTTTGATTTGTCGTAATGGATTAAGATTATATAACCAAAATACTGCATCTTGTATGGAACAGAAAATATGTCATTCAACAAACCTTTCTATCATTAATTTTAGGTACATGACCTCACCTCGCTACCTACTATTTGTTTAAAAGTGTACGTAGTCACTATAGTTTATATGTCCACCGATCAAGCATCATATCATTTTATCAGTTTCATGGATTAAAGAGGATGGTATCGCAGTAGAAAAGGTACTGTTTTCAGTACAAGTCTCTGTTGCGCACTATTAATTTGCCTTTGAGCCTCCTGTATCCTAACATCAGAGCCTTCTTTCAATCACTCGCGAATGTCCTCAAACCTCGCCGACTTCCTAATGCATACATCCGCACCGTGACAAGACAGGCACAACGGGTACTACCACGCCACGTTTTTTTTATTTCAAATGCGTTATCGCCATATGGCAACGCTTTTGTACTGTACTCGCGGCATCTTTGATATATACATGCAAGAATGTCACTGGTAACTTTGGCCCATTGCACCTCAGTAATAAAACATATAATGGGCAGTATGTATACAAAACCTTTTGTTTCTCCTTAAAAAACGAACGATGTTTAAACATTTCTTTTATATAGTTTAGTTTGAAAGTAGGGATAGGTGTATTTAAGTTATCAAGGCTTACACTATTTGCTTTGATCCTGGGAGAGCGATATTTTATTCTCTTAATCTGAGATAGTGAGAGATAATATATATAAAAAAATGTGTTTCTGTTAAAAGTAGATGAAATTTTCTATAGATTGGTAGAAGTCTAAGCTTATACTAGAGGAGATTTATGTACGTCTTGTATCTTCATATATATATATTGTAAATCATCGAGAACAATATGTGTTTTCTCTATCTTCATAAAGTAAACGTCATTTTGTATGCAGCTGGCGATAAGCGATTATTGTTCAATTCCATAAGCAAGTCATCATCAGTAGTGATCGTAAAGTAATATAGAAGGTAAATAAAGCACTGTACGGGGTTCTACTACTGTACAACATATACTAAAGGAACAGAGATCGCAGCTTACTTTTGCAATTGCGAGCTTGTAGAATATAAACGTACTATGCTTTATGAGACTGTCTGTTAACAAAACATCGACAATTTTATAAAAGTATATGCCGCCCCCATCTTGGGGTTATTCAGGCTCCAATAAAATATACAGAGGGACAAGTTAAAGACATCCCAGCAAGTTAAAAGATGGACCCACGCGTCAAATTTATCAAATTCATCGCGCACGCTTACTCTTTACGCTACCAAATGTGGCGTACGCCCGTCTGTAGGTTATACACCCGCCATTCTTATGCTCTTTTTTTTTGGCTACATGAACTTTACGTCCATGCGTGCTCCCTTTTCTTGGTCCAATAATTGTCATATAAGGAAAAAAACTCATTAAGGAAAACATATTCATAATAAGCAAGAAAAACAACAGTCAAGTGCTGTCCCCTTTGGAAGTAGTAGCTCTTCTTGACAATGCCATGAAAGATGTGCCTCGCTTGTACAACAAGCAAGCAGCAGTATATTGTGACACAAACAGATCATCCCATCAGGGACAACAGAGGGGATTTGTGTTATGAAAAGGTTAAAAACACACGCCAGACGATCAAGGGACCAGGAGGTGTGTATAAGAGGGAAGCAGGACGCTTTAACCAGTTCCTGCACGACAAATGGCTGCATGATGCATTGCGTCCTTATCAACTTAATATTTAATAATGAGAACAAGTGATTTTTATCATTTTATATTAATCAGAACTCGTTATGAGGCAATCACGGAAGCCCACATGAAAGTTAAGGCTTCCTTTTTCCCCCAAAAAAAGAATACATGGCAAAATACTGCTTCTCTTCCTGTTCTTTTTTGTTTTCCACTCCTTGTACACATATAATATTCCATGCTTCACCGACTGCTATCCCTTGATACGCATTCACGTCTCGAGCTTATTGAGGACGTTGTCCGAGCTACCGTGTTTGTTCTTCCCGGTAAAATGAAAGAAAAGCCAAAGTTTGCTCAGCACCTATTTCTGCTGACAAAAATGTAATTATATACCGCTTTTCTCTCTTTTGAATGAACCCACAGGTCGTTTTGAGGATGCCGAACTATGTGCTCAATCAAGTAATTTGGATTGGTACCAAAAGATTGAAAGCTTGTACCTGATCACTGACTGATCGCCGACAATTCTTTTTTCCAAACAGTATTGTCAGCTGTAAATCTTTTATGTTTGCGACATACTCATTGTCTTGTTCGTCAACAAAATGAATCGCTGACGGGATTCAACGCACATATCGAACAACAATATTTGAAGCACAAACTTTGTCGAGCAGCTGCGCTGGCGCTCAGTACGGTGTCATATACTGAAGTCGTGGTTGAAATGCTCGTGCATAAAACGACAAAAAGTGTATCCAGGCGTTGGCGCTGTATCGCCAGTTTGGAAGGGGCAAAGTAAGGAGCAGCTTGCTTTTATTCAATATCCTTGAGAGCATGATGATGATAGCATGTTCATGTAATAATACTGAACATGCAATGTATTCAGAGTGTTTCTACGACTCATCCTGTTTTATGCAACACGCAAACGAATGGTAATTCACCCAACTCATTTTGCTCGAGCCGACGAAGACGACAAAATCAGCCTCGCCACGCTGGATACTCGCATAGGCGTTCCTGCCTCATCGACACTATCTAGATCATTGCCGAGAGTCGGCTGGGCGCACTTGGCAGAATTGCTATGGATATTTCGGCCTCTCATCTATGGTAAAGAAGAACTCGGATACAGAAAGCACACTGAACAACAATTGCATGAATGCAGGGAGGAGTAAAAGGAAGAGGAACGAGAAACAGTGTTCCATGAACCCATATAATCTGTGTATCTGTTTTAGTGGGCTTGATGTGGAGAAGAAGCAAGCACAAAAAGACAAGCGAGAGTGAACAGACTAGCTGGAAACCGTGGCTCATTTCTCTGGGTATTGACCTAGCAGCACGGCTAGCTCGCGAATTGCAGCCACAGACCCAACTGGAACGCGAAGAATCAAAGCGACGAGATTACTTACTGTTGTTCTATCTCTTCCGACAACCATTCTACGATTTCTTTACAAAGTAAGTAGATCAGTTCGTTTTCTACTTTCGCATAAAGCAAGGACATGACTACAAAAAGTAATGATGATCTCTCGATCGTACTAATACGCAAATATAAACAGGCCAATTGTAGATTATTTTTGCGATGCAACAGAACATCGTCCAATGATTTCGATTTTTGCAGCAGCACTCAACGATTATCGACCATTTTGGGAGCACTATTACTTTTGTACTTCTGGATCATAAAGAGATAGTACACTTTGCGGACAGTATTAGCAGTAGTATTCGTCATTCAATATATCATTTTCATTCTAGAAGTAGTTAAATGGGAAGGGGGAAATAACAGTGTTGTGTGAGCGTGCTATAGATGAAGATTATTTAAGTGCGTATATGGATGTAATTGAATGAGGGGTGTGTGCAAAAGGTGTTTGTTTAAAAAAAAGAGAGAGTATATGTATCGTATATGCGTGGGCATGTGCAAAAGAGAGAGATAGAGATGGAGAAAAAGCAGAGTGTATAAAATACAAGGAACGAGCAAAAAAAGAAAAAGAACATTCTGGTAAAAGAAAATAAAAATCATGCATTGAATTCACCCAGTAATTCAGGAGCTTTCAACTCTCCTCTGGCAATTCGGTCGACAGTGTCAATCAAATCATACGTGATCTCTGGTGATACTACAGAATCCTGCTTGTACTGCGGATGGCTGGTTACGAGTTTTCGCAAATAGGAAGCGCCCGTCATCAGTTCTCCACTGGCACGTTTGCTGATCAAAGACAGGTATCGCGTAAGCTGGCACCTGGTCTCAATGTCGATATTGGTGCTGTTGAGATAGCTGTGGATCAAAGGAACAAAACCAGGGAATCCATGGTCCTTGCCATTAATGATTTCGTTCATGGTCATCAGCTCATATTCATCCTCCTCGGCAGCAGTATGGCCATTGCCATTTGTTGCGTTTTTGTTGCCGTCATCTTGAGTTAACGAAAACACGAGAATATTAAGCGTGAGAAAAACAATCAATCAAGGTTTGCTTTCATCAGCAGTTAAGATATACGAAGCACGTACTTGTAAACACATTCTTCCGGAAATAAAACTTGTCGTTGAGCACAGAGTCTCGCTTATGAGCAGTAGCCATATTTTCATCCACCTGAAAACAATCTTAGTAATCTCATTTTGTAAACTATGCCGTTCTATCTTTCTTTACCTTAGTAATCGGGATATACAGATTCAAACCGAAACTCAAAATGGTTCGTGTTAAAAGGACGATAAAGACGGAAAAGGCGGCATTTTCAAAATCGGTTATCTGAATTTCCATGCTACGGAACTCAACACGCCAGCCAATGTCGGAATTGGGTGGTGGCGGCTTGAAACGTACAGTTTGCCAGTTTGTTGATTGAATGTTCTAAAGAAATAAAGCCGACAAAGTTGAGCAATGTAGATCTTCTCGGCGCACACAGAAGCTGTCAATTCCCCATCCGTATCTTTTGCTTTTCCTTACCTCAAAATGGTCGACCGAGTTTTCATCGTCCTGATCCAAGAGCTCTTTGAAGATCACCAGAGGATCCCGAATGAATAGATGAGCCATGTGTCGTGCCAACAGATCATCAACATTGTTGTTTCGAAGCTTCTCGTAGATATCCTTATCATAGACCAAGTCCAGGTCATTGTATCTGTCCTTGTACATCGAATCATTCGAGATATATGTATCAATCGAGTCGTATCTGGACTTGTTGATTACAAATCTATCGTTTTTCAGAGGCTAAATGTATTATACCTGATTTAGTGCTTCCTTCTACGTATATTATATAATGAATGATCTTCGTCTCATGTACATGTATCGTACCTTGATGCCTCGCTCCTCCGGTGTTCTGTCATCCACACTAGCAGCAATAACATTCCAGCGTGCATCAGTGTCAGCGAGATAACCACGGAAGATTGGAGTAGCTGCAGTAAGCGCAAGCTGCCAAGTCAAAATAAAATAAAAGATTACAAATAATAGTCATTCTTGCATGTTAGAACAACATGCATCTAAATACAAATAAGCCTCCTTCTCTGCTCTTACCATAATAGGTGCCACAGGTGCCAAATGATCATAGAGATGCCGAGCCTCATCGATATTGCAGGCCTGGAAGGTAATCTGAAGACAGCAACAACCCATACCAAAAGCCATTGCATCCATATAGATGTGATCTGGCTTCGCAGCTCCATTCTTTGCCTCCCTGTCGTGATCAAAAACTTCTCGGTCGAACGGAATAGTCGGATCAATGAAGGGCCGAGGTGTGTTCTTGTCATGGAAAATAGGCATATTAATTTCGACCTTGGCACCACGACGACGGCGGATATTAGCGGCCAAGGTCCTATCAATGTATATCAATATATGTGCACAGAACAAGAGATATATATTCATAGTCCTGTCAAATCAACTTACGGGAATCTAGCATGTGGATTGGTCACTTCGTCGGGAACAAACATACTTTGAACCGCTTTACCATGTGGTTCAATATCAATGTCCAACTCATGCGGGCATCCTAGACGTGGATAATTCACCAACGTCACGGGTATTTCATCGGGCAGCATCGCTTCGTGTGCCAATTGGCGTCGCCTTTTCATGCTCGGCTCCACATTCATGAGGTCACGAAATGTTGATCCATACGGAGCACCTGGGGTACCTTCAATCATAAATCGACCATATTCCGGTCGCCATAATGCATCCGGAGGTTGCCTAGTTACGTTAAACACCATTTAGCAAAGGTCTTCCTAGCGACTCCACTATCACCATGACCGAAAGAGAGAAAAAGTCTAAGCAAGATCTCTTGCCCCATTACTGATCTTTAGAGAAGGAGACTTACTCTGTGTTGCCGTCATTGTATTCTTGTTCAGGTTTTTGTAGTTGGGCGAGTATATCAAAAGCGCGTAGCGATAGCTTGGTTCGACGGTTCTCCTTGTCGAGCTTCACAACTACGTACTCTACCTAGAAGAGCATGTGCGTTACGTTAATATCATGCCGATCCAAGCCAAGGCCAAGAGGAGTACAGGTTCACGTGGAGTGAACGCAAAATGGTCAAAACAACACGAACCTCATCGCCCCAGAGGAGACACTGTTTCTTCCTTGAGCGTTGCTTTCTGTAGACCGACAGAAACTGATCGATGCCGTGCGATCGGACGTGGTCCGCGTATTGCTTGGCTTCATTCCAATGAAGTGGGGTTCCCAGGGATAACAAACCCATAGTTGAAAAACAAGTTGATTCGCGAGAAGAGGAAAGGAAAAGAAGAGGTGTAGGAAGCCGAATAAAGTGCCGAAGTTTTGCTGGGGCTATGTATTTGTAATCAGAAGCGAAGTCCTTTTGACTCTTTTGCTGGCGGCGCCACAAAAAAAAAAAACCAGCACAAAAAACCCTCTTTGGGTTGTCAAAAGTCACTGCTACATGCACAATTTGATCATCAACTTGATCATTACGAACAACAGTAAACAGTAGAAACAGCAGTCATCATCATAATCATCTTCAGTGGTGCTCCCACTCACTCTCCTTTATCTATCATACGCCCTGGTGAGGTGATGATCACAAAAGCAGTTTGAACATATAAAAACAGCCCAAAGTAAGAACAGCGAGTTAGACCAGTTATTCTGGGCGTTAATACGATATCAAAAAGATAACATGCTCATCACGCAATGGATTGCGCTATTGTCGACATGGTATCACTTGACCTGTAGCAGTGTTGCCGTCGCTGAAGATGGAAGTGGCGGTGACGCGGCCTCCTTGATCAAAACACTCGTGGTGCTGATGATGGAGAATCACAGCTATGACCACTTTCTGGGCGAATACAAACGACTACGACCCGACGTCGATGGGTCGGATCCTTCAATGTGCAACACGTTTGATAGCGAAAGTTATTGTGTAACCTACGACGGACCCTTTCAGTATGTATAAAAGTAAAGTATTCGTCATTTTGCTACACACTGATTGGTCTATGAATCCTTGCGCAGCACGCAAGAGCCTGAGAACTTTATTGCAGATGTTGACATGCAGATATTCGACGTCAAGTATGGTGACATCCCGTCATCCACGTCCACACCAACCATGGGTGGATTTGTAGCAAATTATATGCGTTATCGGGAGGAGGAGCGGGCAGCCGAGGTGATGCAAGGCATGAACCATTCTTCGTTACCTGTGTTGTACAAGTTGGTTGAAGAATTCGGAAGCTCAGATGTAAGGAGAAGAAGTCCAGCAAAAGGATAAGTGGGGGCATCTGGTATATATTTCAAAGCGAGTATGCATTAACGTTAGTGTTCAGCGATGGTTTTCTTCTGTTCCAGGTAAAGAGTGAACAGTAATGCTAATAGCTACCTTTCTGTTCTCCGCTCACATCGCCCATCGATCTTACATACCAAAAGGTTCAACCTTCCCAAACCGGAATTTTTTACATGCGGCTACTGCTGGCGGTGTCGTCGATAACACGATTCCCAAGCTCGGTTATCCATTAAAGACAATCTTCGAAGCACTGGACGATACCAATGTTAGTTACGGGATTTACTCGGCTTCCCCCATGCCATCAACGTTGTTATTTCGTTATTTCCGCTCGCCATTCAGAAGCCCTGGGAAAGGTATGGATGAGTTTTACCAGGCTTGCAAAAGTGGTACTCTGCCATCCTATGTGTTCCTTGAGCCTGCCATGTATGGTATAGATGAGCGGCTACGCAACGACCAGCATCCGCATGCAGGCGCGTTCTACGATATACGACGAGGCGAACGGTTTTACAAAGAAGTTTATGAAGCGTTGCGAGCAAGTCCCCAATGGAACGATATGCTATTTTTACTTGTTTGGGTATATTTCTTATTGATTTTCCTTCTACAGAACTGGTTCCTGTTGTTTCGTCGTCGTGATGAGTAATAATAACCGAGTTACTGTCATTGTTTCACAGGATGAACATGGCGGATTTTATGATCATGTACCACCGTGAGTTGTATGCTGGTCTACCGGGTGGTGTATCGAAGTAGATAAAGAAGAGTACTTACCGACAATAACGTAGACCCAATAACGTGCCGAATCCTGATGGAATCACGCATCCCACATTTGACTTTACGCGTCTTGGTATACGTGTTCCTGCCGTTTTTATATCACCCAGGATTCCTCGTGGCATGCTAGCACCAAAATCCGATGTATTTGAACATTCGTCCGTCTCAAGTACCATCCATGAGCTGTTCAGAACGCCCTATTTGACAAAGCGTGATGCTGTTTCAAAGCCATTTCACGCCTATGCCAACTTGACCGAGCCGCGCACCGACTGTGTGGTCACTTTACCGGAACCAGCTTACTACATGTCGTGAGAAAGGAACAGTACAACAACAAGCCGCTGTTCAGCTTCTGCGTGGCTATTTAATTTCTCGATAATGATAGTGCTTTGATAATAAAGTATCCGGCTCATTGATGATACTATATGGTTACATTAATAGCACTGAAGAAAATTATTTGAAGTTACATAGTGCTTGTACATTTTTTAGTATGCAGTGCATACTTTATTGGATGACTATTCCCCCTGCGTGCTTGAAATTACTTTTACTGAGAATGCAACGATCAGTATCAAAATTCGGGAAAAAAAGCTGATCATAGTTGTGCATAGTGTAGGTACCAAGTATAGTTTTGTCATGGCTCAGAAAGCGAAATTATGCTCTGTCAAGGATAAGCTTTTTTGGGCGTGTACATTCATTGAGCAAGTTGAACACTTCTGTAGTACTGCTATCACTGTGTGCAAGGTATAGGTAGACAGTCATAATAGCATAGATAATCACGTCTCACAGACTACTGCTGATACAGTAGTAGATCGGCTGATGATGCACACCGATCCCAGTTTTCGGTCCTTCACCTACGCTCTCCTTAAGTATCATGTCATTTAATCTGCCATCAATGTTTGATATGTAGATCTATGACTTGATTGAGCTAAATTATTCTTGTCGCAGCGATGCAGTTGATCGATATACTACTATGCTACTAAATATCATGCGTGGTGCTTTTCTTCTTCAACTAACTGAGCATTTTATTTGTGCTCAGATAGCTGAATCCGAACTACCGCGCACCCAATAAGGTACGACTGCCTGCGTCCACAAACTGCCTCCCCCCCCCACCCCATGGGGACCGTCAGCGTCGCGGAAGAGTTGAACGAGCACTCGGGTAAAAATTTCTGTCCACCCAAAAGGTGACATTGTACGCTTTATGGTCATTGACAAACTTCTGCGGCAGAACCAAAGCAAGCAAAGAAAAAAATTGTGCCTTTGGTTATTTAAAAGAAAACTATGTGCTTACATACATTCTGGAAATAACCGGTACAATCAGCGGCCTATTACGTAGCCACTAGGATAAAAACACACTTATTTGCCACCCACCATACTCTAAACGTAATGTATGATACTGTCTATGCAAACTTAAAAAAAAGGCGTACATGACAAATATGTCATTGCATTTGCTTGTATCAGATAACGGACACTTGGACCTAGGGCAACAAGGAACACTTGTGCTCGTTTGATCAGATACTATACTTACACACAAACACAAAGTATGTAATGTGCACACGCTGTATACAACGTATTCCCGAACTCCCTCAAGTCAGCAGCGACGGTTGCAGCGGTTTTCTGTTTATAGGCAGATCCCCAAAACAGAGCTACTCCAAATAAAGCGAGGGGCACAGAATTGCGTCGTTTCTATTTCTTCTTCATAATTCTTACACCTCTTGTCTACTTCTTTGGCTTCTTGTATGCTTTCATAACATTCTCACACTCTCACACACGGACTGGCTCTTGTGTTTTATATTTATTTTACTATACATGCCTGATTCACAACAGTCTCCTGAAAATAATAACAACAATAATAATTATACCGTAATGCCATCGTGCTGTCTCCTGTCGACCACGACCACCACGACACCAATGACCAACAACGAGCAATATTCTCGGACCCCCGATTGTGACGAGTGTCGCCGTGAATCCGGCGAGAATAATGTGCAGTATTCAACTGAAAAATCGTATACACCCTCCACCACCTCAGATTGCGAGATTTGTACTTCTCAACAAGAACAACAGCACGAACAACAGCAACAAGCAGCGTCACAACAACCCGACCAAGATTGCTGCGCTGATTGCTGTCCACTCGCTGCAGCCGAATCGCAACAACAACAACAGCAGCAGCAGCAGCAGCAACAGCCCATTTCTGTGGAATCCGCGGTAGAAATGACGACTGTTGCTACTGCAAGTGTTGATCCTTCAACAGCAGTAGCTGCAACTACAACTTCAACGACACCTACGACACCTAGCACTAGCAGTACGGCACCTAACACTAGCAGTACAACACCTATCGCTAGCAGTACAAAACCTATCACTAGCAGTACAACGCCAATACCAACGACAGCAGGTAAAAAACGCAAAGCAAGCGAAACAGAAAATGACGAAAATCACGAAGACGAAAACTACAACGACCAAGACGAAAACGACGAAATACCTCGCACGTGTGAATGGGCAGCATGCGCAGAAAGCTTCCCCACGTTAGACGACCTAGCACCACATTTGTTCAAGAATCATCTCAACAGCCGATCGACGGTCGATTTCCATTGTCGGTGGGGGACGTGCACTGTCACCTTTGATGGATCGGATGCCCTGCTGAGTCATTTGACGAACCATTTAGGCCAGCGGTTTATTCACGGCTGTCGCTGGATAAACTGTGGTCAGCGGTTTACTACCTTTGATGACCTAACATGTCATTTGTCTGAAGACCACGTGGGCACTGGCCGAAGCGAATACATTTGCGGATGGGACAACTGCGATCGTGAAGGAAAGAGGTTTGCTCAGAGACAAAAGCTGATGCGCCATATCCAAACACATACCGGTGAGTTTTCGGTCTCTATATCAATATGGATGGCGCCATATTTCAAAATTATCGACAGATTTTAACCTCAAACTATATGCATGTGTGTCTGTCTGCTGGATAGGCGACAAACCGTATCAATGTATACTATGTAAAAAGCGCTTCTCTGAGTCAAGTATAATGACACAGCACATGCGTACACATACCGGCGAAAAACCTTACAAATGTCCTGAGAAGGGCTGTAGCCGGCAATTCTCCATTTCCGGCGCTCTGACGATCCATCGTCGTGTACATTCTGGCGAAAGGCCTTTTACCTGTAAATATCAAGGCTGCGACAAGAAGTTTGCTGAAAGCAGTAATTTAACTAAACATGTACGTGTGCGGCGTGGTTTCTGTGCTCTTTAAAGAAAGAACAATCATTTGCTACTGCTAGCAATAGATCTTGAGTTTCACTGACGTCTCTTCTGTATTTGGCATAATAGATGCGTGTACATACCGGCGAAAGACCGTTTCGCTGCTCTGTTTTCCCGTGTGCCAAGTCATTTTCTAGACCTGATCAAGTATCTCGTCATATCAAAACGCATGAACGGCAGTCTCAGAGACATAAGCGACAATAACAGTTTGTCAGCACACCCTCCCCTTTCCCCCCCACCTTCTCTCACATTTTGAGAAACACATTTAACCGTATATCCCTTCATAATCATTTTTTCTGTAAAGCTTTCACTGAATCCTACTCCTCCGTTTATAAACCTCCTCCTTCTTCCCTAATTCTTTCATTGAACATATTACAACCATACTTGCACACACACACTTAACACATACACCTTATCTGATTTTCCCTCTAGCTCTCTGTTTGAATTGGTAGTAGTAATAGATTAGTACAGATTGCTATTATCAATTTGAGCAATAACAAAATTAACATGTTATATAATATATTTACAAAACAATTTTTTGTTTTTTAATTTCCATCCTGTTGATCCACATCATGTAAAGGTATATTCTCGTATCGCTTTCCTTTGTTATTAGTTGTTGCTGATGATGATGCTGTACTCCTTGCGGCTCGTTGAGCTCCGTGTAATAGAACCTTTTTAGCTCTGCCAACTACACGAGTCAATGGCGCTTCTTCTTGCTCATCGTCTTCATTCATCGTCACAGGATCGTCTCCTCGAGGATCAGATACCTTGCGCTTTTGCTTTTTGCCAATATGAACCCAATCGACATTATTATCCGAATCTGCTTGTACTTCTTGAATCTCTGTCGATGATGAAGATGAAGCGGACGTTTCCTGTTGTTGTTCTTCTGCCGTTGATCGTTGTTGTTCCTTTTTAGGTACCATGATTGGCTCCATTTCGCGCCGCATACACGCCCACTCGCCACCCAACGTCATCAATATCGCATTCATGATTTGTAGAACCCACCATGGGCCGCAGGTAGGAAAATGGCCTGTATGGATCCATACAAACACAGTATGGATAAAATGGAGCGTAAGAACAAAATCAAGCACGAGCTTGGCTCGTTGCACAAGAAACACCAGGACGGATATATTAATGGCAGCATTGACAAGCCAGACGAGTGCCAGCGTCCAGCCGAACACAGTGTCGGTTCGAATTTCGGAATCGTCGAGAATGGCGTCAAGTGAAAGTTCGCCCCCGGTTAATGCAAGTGCAATGAGTAAAAGTAAGCTGATGAATATGTAATAGAGCGATTGTAATGAGACAATCTATTTGCCAATGCAAATAGAATAACAACGATTAAAGGTCTTGCTATTATACATGAGCAGGTTTGGATAAAAATGATAGTATGTACTTGAGCGATTATAAGTATGGGATCCCATCCTGTCGCCCGAAATGACGATTGTGCCATTGTGTGGTGAGAGAGAAAGAGAAAATGAAGGTGAGCCTTGAGAAGAATATGTACAGAGTGGAGAAATGGAGTTGTGTTACCCAGCACGTTTATTTCAGTCAAATTTACTCAATTGGAAAGCTGGCAACTTTCACGCTGGAAACTTTATAAATATTAAGTAGGATGGTAGGTTTACAAAGTCAACTAATGTTTAATAGGTAGGCTTAGTGAGCTACTAGGTATATATACATAGATCTGCCTTGTAATGTCGTCTTTAGCCGGGAATGCTATGGAAACGGCGACCCATGGATCGTGGAGTACTCTTTAATGCAAACGGGCCTTCTTCTGCTTGTTGATTCTGCTGGACGACTGTAGGCAACTGGCCACGCGCAGCCCAATTTGCGATCATGGGCATACCATATCGTGCCCACCAACCTACACTTTCTATGGCCTCAGCCGACTTGCCAAATGGGAATGCTTGGAAAACGTGAACCATATCCTACAAACAAATAAGAATTTTGCATGATGGATGACGTTTGTTGGAGGTTGCAGCAGCAACAGCAGCAGATTTAAAACTTTGCTTACCTCATATTCCTCATGGTGTACAAGGGTAGATTTCGATGCAGCAATCTTTTGTACAAGATCGTTGATTTCGTCGCGAAGCGACTCACAGCTTCCGGATTGCAGGACTAATGGTGGCAAATTCTCAAAACTCTCGCTAAAGATTGGAGACACGTAAGGGTGGCGGACCATGTGAGCAGCCTTATCGACACCTAGATAGAGATGTGCAGGATTCATTTCTTCCAGTCGGTCTGGGTTGTTTGGTAAATAGTCGTACAAGGACGCATTGTCCCAGCTAGGATATGAAAATGACAGGTCAACCCAAGGCTGGTACACACATAGAAAATGTAGATTAGCCTATTCAACACCGTCTATAAAAATATTGGCGTGTTTTCGTGTATGTATATCTTTCGAGTCTTTTCTTTTTTATGTACATATACTTACCGAAAGCAGCACAGCGCCTTCCGGTTGAGGTAAACCATGATCACGTAGATAGAGCATCATTGCAAGGGACAAGCCTCCACCAGCAGAGTCGCCCATGATAAGTATGTTCTTTGGCTCAAGACAATATCCATTTTCTGCGTCGATCAGATAGAGGAATGCCTGTACAGCATCGTACAGTCCACTAGGAAACTTGTGTTCAGGGGCCAATCGATAGTTGACAGCTAAAAAGACGCGTCCTTTAAATAAACAATAGGAAAAAAAATCGCGCGTCTTTTTTTTTTAATTTCTATTACCAAAAACGCGTCGCCCAGTTGCTTTACTGATCTTATGAGTGAGCGTGCGATGCGTCTGTGCACTCATGGCACAATAAGCGCCTCCATGAAGATAAAAGACAATTTTCTCGGGCGATCGTGTTCGCAACACCAATGCCGAGCTCTGCTGGGTATAGTTACTCGATGCTTCTTCTTCGCTGTCTTTTCGATCCGCACCTGGATGAATGACACTCTGGCAACGATCCCAAATCGTACCGGCCGACATCCATTCGACCTCGAGCATGCGTGAGCCATCCTCACTCTTGTCCATTTTTCTGAGGATACCACGCAAGTTGCGACGACGAACACGGAACGATCCGTCCTGCGTTTTCGACGTGAGTGGCGTCAGCCATGTGGGTGCGATCAACATAAAACGCCAAAACTCAAGACTGTGTGTCAGTGTCTGGTCCCTGAACGATTGCAAAAAGGCCATCACAACGGTCTGTTGGATGTTCCAATGCGGCTTTTTGCGCTGAACAAAGAAATGAGACCACACTTCGGTAGCCAGCCGGCCGAGGTTCGTTGGAATGTGCAGAGCTGTCTTGTAGAGTTCTTGTACAACGATGGGAAGCGTTTCCTTGGTGAGGCGAACGCTGTTCTTGACTGCTGTTGTTGTGGACGTGGTAGTCAGGGCATGTTGCGCTTCACTATAAGGTCGACAGCAACCTTCGGTTGTACAGGTCGTCGTCGTCCACATCATGGCTGTGGTGGTGGTGGTGGTTGTCGCAGTGGACAGCATCATTGTTGTACTAAACAGCAACAAAAAGAAGGGGTACGGGAAAGTAGCGGGAAAAGAAACAAACGAGCTAGGAACCCTGCAGTTTTTTGGATAAATATACGACATATGCAAGTTTCTCTTTCTCTTTGCCCCACACACAATCATATGAAAACAATACCACACGTGAGCAGGTGTATAGTACTAGGTATGCCATTTTCACTAGTAGTATCTGGCCAAACGCTGTTGTCCTCATCAGTTTCACCAACCCCAAGCTATGACGCCTTGTGTGCTACGCAATCAACCCTTTTCTTGCACTGTACTTTTTTTTATGCTACTACTTGCAAAATAATAACTCCATTGCTTTGTAGCGACTTTTTCATATATTACAAAAATATGATACATTGCTTGTTACAGACAGAAAAGGAGAGCAATGAAATTATACACGCTGTCATCATGTTACTACCAAGTAGTCGGCAATGTCATGATGGTTCCATATGCCAGCTAGGTGTTTTTTTTTACCCCACACAAAAAAGAAAATAGGTTATACAAATATTTCTTTTTCAGGAAATCTCACGATCTCTCTATTATAATTTAAATTATACGCAGACAAACCGTTGCTTACCGATGTCTTGTGCTGTCCGGCCTTGTTTATCCCGGCGATTCCGTCGTGCTAGTTCATGTTGCACCAGAAACGCAACGATGGGAAAATGTCCCTGACGGGCTGCATGCATTAATGGCGTCCACTCGTCCCATCTGTCAGGCACGTCCCAGCAATCGACGTTGACCGCAACGATCTGATGGCTGATATCTTTGGACTTTGCAGTTGTTTGATTTTGTTCGTCATCAAACAAGAGTTCAAGTACGTCCAGATGACCCACCATGGCAGCATGGTGTATCACGTTCCGACCGATCGAGTCGGTTTGGTTGGGGTCGGCTCCTTTATCCAAAAGAAACCGTACCAATGGCAGATTTTGTGACACAGCCGCGTCTTGCAAAAGGCCCCGTCCAGATTTATCCCTATGTGCCAAACTACTACCACTACCACTACTGCTATTGCTGCTGCTGCTGCTGCTGCTGTCATTCACGTGGTCAAAAAGAAAAGTGGTGATATCATACGAAACTTGGGGTCCGTAATCACATAAAGCTGCTGCTATCTGGATCGGTAGGCGCCCGGACTTGGTTGCTTTAGTGATTGATGTGGGTGACCGTTGTGCAATGTATTTGGAGGTTTCCACATGTCCTTGAGCAAATCTTTGTTTTAGCATATAATATGCACACAGAAGGAATGGAGTTTCCCCTCCATAATTGTTCTGCTCCGAAAAATTCTTGTTTACTTACCATGCTGAATTGCCAGATGAAGTGCCGTTCGTCCGTCCTTATTGCATAAATCGAGATTGGCACCTGCCTTTTCCAGGATTTTAACCACATCCAATCGACCCTTCAATGCTATTTCCATATATAATCAAAGAGGGAAAGGATGTTTATTGTTGTAAACCCGGGTCGCATATACCATCATGTGGAAAAATAAAAAAACCACCTTTCTTATTCCTTGCCTACCTGCAATCATTGCCGGTGTCCAGTCGCCACGTTTAAGCGCATTGACGTCGACGTTGCATTCATTGACAATGTAAGAAACACATTCTGCTGAATCGATCGCTTCATGGAGCGGCTGTCGACCTTTGGAAATAAAATTGAGTTGCTTAGGGGCCAATAATTTTTTTTTTTTTTGGAACATACCGTGTTCGTTGACTGCCGAAAAATCCGCACTGTGTTCTTCCAGAATACGCAAAACCTCTAACGAATGCGCTCGTGCTGCGAAATGAACCAGTGCATCACCATGACAGTCTACCGAGTGGATAGCACTGGATAGTTCGCCTTTGGATTTCAGCTCTTTTAAAATGGGGCGGATTTTTTCTGGCGAATGGACCCACTTGTGCATAGTTTTGTTTTTTGGTAGGGTGTGTTGTATATATGTCAAAACCTAAATGAATTCAAGCATAACCGCAACAGAAACACCCAACGGAGTTAGGCTGTAGGGTTAGGCTAAACCCACCCCCAAACCCCCCACCCCTCTCCTCCCCCTCCATCCTTCACCCGCGCACTCGTTTTTCTTTTCTAAAGCTGTGGTGTCTTTTTTTTTTTCCTTTAAAAAAAAGTGATACAAGATAATACTTTGCCAATGCAAGTCGCCTCATCAACAAACGCCACGTCATTTTGTGTAGAATGCCGAGATCAAGAGGTGAATTATAGCAAACAAACCATACTAAATTGTTTTGAGCTTTATCATTCTTTCCCTTCCTTTCTCCAATATAAACTCTCTCCCGATCGCGATCCGAACCCAACACGATTAACTTTTTATTTCTCTTTCTTGGATCCATATCGGTTTTTTAGGCATCTGTATTCTGTGAACAATGCGATGAGGACTTTTGTGAAGTATGCCACGGTAAGGGAGCGATTCATGGTGTAGTTTTTCTTTAACAAAAGTAGAGAACGTTTCTTGGCGGGGATCGTCAAACGTCCTTTTTTTGTTATATATTAAAACTGACAGTTGCTTGGATTATATGCTGGTTTCGCGGGTGTGTGGGCTGTTTTTTTTCATTATACAGCAATGCTGCATCGCACGGGCAACCGACGCAAACATACTGCAAAGAATCTAAGAGTACAAGCCGCGTCAGATACTAATGGAGTTAAGGGTGCTGCATCGAGTCATTCGACAGGTGGAGCTGGATCCATCAAGGTTTGTTGTTTTTTTTTATGAGGAATGGAGAGAGAGAGAGGCTTTGGGAAAGGTGAATTGAGAAAATAAAAAATGGGATATATGCTAACCCGGGGGTTGGGAAACTCGATGCCTCTTAAATTAGGGAGCTGATGATATGGATGAAAAGACATTAAGCGCAGCGATGGAACTTGATGGTACAGTAATAAATAACGGCGCAGGAGCAACGCTCGGACAGTGGATGGAAAAAAGGTAAACGCACATTGCAGAATCTAATGGTTATGAGCGGGGCGTATGAGAATACTAAATAGCAATGGTGTGCGCAATAGAGCAAAGTTTGTTCCATTACGACTTGATGCGCATGAGCGGAATTTATTACGACTGTAAGTTTTTGTGGTGCGTGCAATGGATGAATGGGGGGCTATGCATGAAAAATCAGAGGTAAAGATGGGTTGAGGGTCTTTATATGTATGGTAAAACTCTTCCTTTATTTAAATTTAGCTTAGAGGCAGCATTGAACGTATCAGAATACACTGGTAAGTGATTGGGAGTAGGTCTTGGTGGTGGGGGGTTGTAAGGATGGAACTAGTGCAAGGGGAGGGGGTGGGGGGAAAAAGAGAAAGAAGAGGAAAGACGGGAAATGTGTGATTTTTTTGACAAATGATGGTATAAGAGTAAACACCAAAGTTGACAATTCCATACATTTTTCCACAAAAAGACAAAATCGATATCCTTTCGTATGCCAACAAGGCCAGACGTATTGTGACTCAAATCCGCGATCTATGTGCTATCATCTCGGGTCTGTTAGTTGCTGGTGACTACAAACTGGGTGATCAGCTCTTTTCTGGAAACAGTGTCAAGCAGAACGAAGCGTTTTTCCAACAAGTCTTTGAAGTGGGAAGACGGTAAGATCTTGGGAGGATTCGAGGGGAAATCTGAAATTTTTATTTAATTTTGTGCATGAATGTTGTACTGGGAAACTAAAAAAAAATATCATCCATAGTCACAAGATCATGAATCCTGAAAAAATGCGATCGACCTATGGCAAGCTGATGTACATGTTGATGGTAAGTTTTCTACCTATTTCAAATGTATCTTGGAATGAATACTAAGTTTGCAAGACAATTGTACGTGGGGTGGGGGTACTTTTAGGATTCAGTGATACCAGAAGTAGAGGATAGCCTTGGGTTCTCATGTGTGATTCCTATCAAAACCGTGTTTGAATATCTCAAAGCAAACGATTGTTTGGAACTGTTGCATGACGACATGGTTGCCCTAGCAACGCGTGAAATTGCTCAAGAATTCAAGAGCAGAGCACAAATCAATGCTGAAGTCCAACGGAAAAAACGGGCGATTGAAGCATTGAGCGAGAAATATGCGAATGAACGGGTTTCCAAAGATGATATTGCACGCTGTCTCGCATCCTTATCTGATAATCACGCCTATCTCAAATCAAATCGGTGGGTTTACAAAAACAAGATAGGAAGAGAGAGAGAGAGAGAGAGGACGACGCATCTAACAATCTTTTCTTTTCTGATATTAAAGCGACCCTTGTGACAAAATGCTAAAATACCTATCAAAATACTTTAACCCATCCAAATCCGAGAGCGGATACTCATTAGCCATTATGGCCGGGCGCCACGGACATCGATTGACACACACTCACTCAACACAATATGCCTACGTTCACCAATCCTTATGTTTGTGGCGTGAAATAGTCCACGAGATGTACATGTTATGGAGCTTATCAGACGAAGACTTGTTGTCTTTTAATCCGTATCGCTTGACAAACACCGGTCAAGGGTTACAACGTATCCAGCAATGTCGTGGGATTGGTAGCGCTATGCACAAGATTCTCAACCGGGCACAAAAGAAGAGTGGATCATGGGTCGGTAGTAGCGTTGTCCATTTGGGCGATCGTAACGTACCCAATGCTTTCATGTTCATTGACAAGGTAAAGTGTTTGTTCTATAAACAAAAAGGGGAAACGAGGGTGGAATGCAACGAGGGTAGCAGTAATAAAAAAAAAAAGGAGGATAGAAAAAAAAAACTGACTTGAATGTAACACCAGTATAATCAAGTTTCCCGAATCCTGACACCGATCGTGAACACATTGGATCGGATAGACTCGTTGCTGGAAGACTCGGCCATAGCAGCATACCTCGATGAAACCTATGGTGGTGTGGATCAGTGTAAAAAAGACATTCTTTGTAAGTTTTTTAAATCTGACTACCTACCTAGCCCCCCTATCAGCCCTACAGCTTATAGTGTCGACCCTCCCAAATTTTAGATGATTTCTTCCGGTTCGGCTTTGATGGATCCGGTGCCGATAACTATTTCGATGCTGGTAGCTGTATCGATGGTCGACTCACATCTGCATGGAACTGTAAGCTTTCTTGATAGTCTGTTATTCCTCCCCTCCCCCCCGCGCAGGTTACACATTGAGTAGGGTTTTTAACGCTTTCTTTTAATTAACATTAGGGTGTTCACACATCGAAAAGAAGAAATTCTTTCCCATTTTCTTATTGACTGTGAGTAGATATAACTTTCATTGATTGAATCTGGACTAAATGCGACCCGAAATCTTTTTATAATTTGTAGAGTTTTATTGGTTTCGATGGTGGTGGATGGTAGTAGTAAGCTTTGATGATGTGTGACTCATGAAGCCCTGATGCAACAAAAACAAATCTTTTCGCTATCCCACCCCTCCCCTCTCCCACCATCCTCAATACTCTAATACAGTAGATTTCTCTCTTTTTCCAATGAGAAAAAAAAGTGCGTGTTTGCGTTAGATTAGATACATACATTAACACTCGCCTACAAAGAAAAAAACAAATAAACTTGCTTAATAAGAACTCATACACTTTTTTTTCTTTTTGTACTGCTTTCTATGTTGCAACTGCAGGAAAAGCATGTATGAGGAGAATGGGCCTGCGACATGTATTCATATTAACATAAGTATATATAATATGCGGGTGATCTGAACGCATAGGATGTAGTCATATCTCCTTCCCAAGGAGATAACGTAATACATATTGTAGAAAAATATAAAGTGGTTGTTTCTGTGGGGATATATAATGCTGGTATTATTAAGAGTTGTAGTGGTATTAATATCATTCTCTTGTCTAAAAATAAGCCAGAATCTGTGAATGCACATGCCTTGCAGCTTGTATCTACAAAAGAGAGTTAGCTAAAAATTCAGAATAGAACCGAGTGAAGTTTATCCTTGTTTTTGCATTTTCCTGTTGTCGAAGAATACTTTATTGTTGAGAATCATAAAAAAGTATGATCAGCCTGTAAATGAAAACACGGGGGGGGGTGGAAGGAGGAGGAAACAAGAGAGAAGAGAAGGAAAAGGGATGTGCTTTGAAAAAGATCGACGTTCAGGAGGAAAGGTGACAGCAGCAACGGTACTCTGCAGTATAGAGTTGGGTCTAGCAAATCAGTGAGTGTACTGTACATAGAAAGAGTGTGTGTGAGTTGAACAATTCGCAGGCCGTCGTGGAAAGTTTCCGTATATAGCACACTATATATATATAAAAAAGAAACAGTGTACAAGACATATTGGGGCGAAAAAGCAGGCTTACATGTTGTTGTTGTTGTTTCTTTTGTCGCTAAGCTTTTGCATAACTTATACTGCTTGTTGTGTGATACATACACAACGATTTTGTGTCACCTACTTGCAAAAGAAAGAAACAACTTTTTTAGAGTTTTCTTAAGGGTGGCTATCTAAAAATGTGATAGTGTGTGGGCTAAATTGAGGCATAAAGGCGACCGGTAAAGGTCGGTGCGACCGATTCCGACTTGAACTATGATGCCCAGCTGTTATGAGTAAGGAGTCTGTATTATTATTATTATTATTATTATATTATAGAGTTGATGTAACGCAAAAAGGAAAGTGCGTTCATGATGCCATTGCTGGGAGGGTCGTGCATCCCAAAAATGGTGTTCTATAAGCGCACAAAAACGTAATATGTATGGCTTTGAAAAGGAGTGGTCTTTGACTCAAAGAGCAGCAGCAGTAGTTGTGATAGTTAGAATATGCACTTAACACTATCATACTAGCTGTTGTGCGGTCACCTTTTCTTTGCTTGATTTTATGGAATAGTATTAGACAAGTTCGCGAGGAGCTATAATAAAGAGACAGGAGACGCGACTACTTGATGATGATGATGATGATGATGATGATGATGATAATGATGATGTGGTGGAGGTGGTCGTATCAAGAAACAGACAGGCAGGGTTAGAAAGTCTCAGTGCTGAATAAGTAGTGTATTATAGCTATCATCGGTACCAGAAAGGAGACTGTTCAACTCAGCAAGGAAATAGAAAAGCTACCATAGTAGTGGAACCAAAAGTATACCGCTGAGCCCTAATGAGTCCTCTTGCCTCATTCTATCATTTTTCACTATGCACCTATGGACGCCACCGACCATTGTCGGAGGATCACCGCAACCCCCTTCTCTCACATATTCTGGGCATTTGCATATTAGTTAGGCAAGAAGTGAGGTTAAAAGCTCCCTGTGCATAAATGTATAGCAAACACAATGTGTGTGTCGTTTCAACCCAACTTTTGCGAGAATTAAAGAGTTGGTGTGTGTCTCTCTCTCTCCTCGTTTATCTTTTGGTGTTTGATTCTTCTCCCCCCTCTAATTCTGTCTTGTACGCATGCTCCCTGAAGAGGAAGAAGAAAAGAAACGATTGTTTATATTTTATGACGTAAAGTATCATTTAGAGATAAATAGACCGTGCTCGAGACTATCGGCTCCCTTTTGCTGGGACTGTTTTGAGTATAGCTTTAATGAGGACAGAGTTGGTTCAAGCTTTGCTATCATATACCCCACCCTCCTCTTGTTGGACGGGCGATCGGATGGGTCGCCAAACACAATACAGCATATAGCATATAGCAGCAATAGGTGTGGTGGTACAACAAGTTATTATTACATACACTGCTTGTTATAAGGCATTGTGTATGTATGGGGAAGCAAGGACAGCAGCACCTCCTTAATATATATTTCTGTGGGTTCGAGTGGCTACGGGTTGGCTCCTTTATCTTTTTTTTTTCTTTTGAAAGAAAAGAACCCCAATGCAATTTTTCCTTTCGAACAGATATCCGACTCCCGTAAAACATGCACTTATTCAGCATCAGCAGTAAGCAGCCAAGAGCACCGTCTTCTTCTTCTTCTTCTTCTTCTTCGTCTTGCTAGAAACACGCAATTTTTAGCAGCAGAACTTTTTCCAAAACCCCCCCCCCCCCAAAAACACAGCCCACAAAAACCCCCTTCCCTCCTTACACTCTGGCCCCCCCCCCACCCACCCCAATTAACACATATGCCAATAGAGCACACCCCCTCCCTCCCTTGGTAGATACCACCTCCATCGCGTCAATTGCGTGAACAAGAGTCAAAAGGACTTGTTTGCATAAACTGTTTTCACCCCACTGGCCATCATGCAAAAGAGGGACAAAAACGCAAATATTTATATTTGGCCATGATAGACAATGACACATACACACACACACATAGCTTGCAATTGAGCTATAAAAGTGGATGTAGGTCCAGGCTTATCTCTACCACTGCGCTTTCGTATGCCAAAGATTGCGATTGAGTGTCTTGACAGATCAATGATCGCCTCTCCCCCCCCCTCCCTCTTTTTATCGCTCTCTCGTTCATACTTAGCCAGCCCTCCTTCCGTCCTGTCTTGATAAACCCCCCCAACCCCAACCCCCTCTTATTTCATACAGTTTGATGGCACGATTGATGTCCATTGTCCATATATATCCGACCGGCTTGATTCTGCCTTCCTGATCGGTTCTGCGTTGTGTTGGGCTCGCCGTTGACGGCCGACGATGTGGTGGATGATGGAAAAGAACGCCTCCTTAGCCCTCATGCTTTTTGTGTAAGAAGAAGGACGACCCCACCAACTTGGATTCTATCTCTCTCTCTATCTCTCTGTTGAGTTGAAGAGCGTTTACTGCTATTAACCTCAGGTGAATACACACCCACTGTCATTAACATCTTTATAATTATTATTATAATTATTATTATTATTATTATTATTATTTTCGTCAACTCATGTGCTTTTTATTTTTTATACTCACTCCGCTCTATGCTTTCTTACACGTCCTTTCCCTTTTCCATCTTCCCCTTTTCTCTCTCCAGATCACACGCGCACGTACACACACACACACACACACACACCTCATACGCACCTCTCATTGAATTACGTTCTTTGAAAAAGGGCATCTTTACTCGATTAGCCTATTGGAAACTACTTGAGACAACGGGAAAGTCTCTCTCTCTCTCTCTTTCTCTTTTTCACTTACAACTCCTTGTGACGTTATATTTGTCAATCGTACATCATTCGCATAATTTTATATAAAAACCTGCCTCTTTAAGCATCAATCAATTTCACACCTCCACTTTTTTTCCCTTTCCCTTTCCACTTTCTTTACTCACTTTCTCTCTCTCTCACACACACACACACACACACACATTCTCTTTGCGTACACACTCGCATACGACACTAAAGAAAGAAAAAAGTAGTCTACTGTTTTATTTTTAGCATATCTCATCGGCATCATCCATCCTTCAGCACACAAAAAGGGTAAATGATTGTTTATATTATGTTGTCCCTGTCCAAACATTGGGCTGCATTCCTTCATCAGATATATACTCACTCACTTCTTTCCGTCTGGTTCTAGTTCCCCACCTCCCCCCCATTCTATCATCGTAATCAGCATCACTACTACTACTACTACTACTACCACTCTACTCATCGCAGCTAATCATCCTCTCACTGCTACAAATCAACCACAATAACAGCCAAATTTACCACCTATCTTAAATGATGATCCAGCCCCAACAAGACGCCTCACAGCAACAACAACAACAGCAGCAACAGAAGCTTTATCACAATCGAGCCGTGTCACTCAACTATCCTCTCTCTGCCAACGGCATGGATCGACCGTGGCGACACGCAGCCACACCTCCGATGCTTCCTGCTATGGCCTACGGCTGCATGTTCAATGACGGATGGAGCAGTCCCCAAGAATACCTATCAAGCTCAAGCAGTGGTAGCAGCAGCAGTAGCAGCAGCAGCAGCAGCAGCAATAACGGAAGCGCCTCCGCCACTGCCACCATGACACCCTCACCTGTCGATATGGTGCTAGTACACCCTGTCAAAACGGAAGTAGATACGACGGTGACGCCAACAACCACGATGATGTCTTCCGTTGAAATGTAAGTCTCTTTTGTGCAAGCATAGCATAGCATAGCATCTACACATGCAAAATTCTAACTTTAAACGCAAATGTATCAGCCCTGATAGTTTAAGGATCACCGGTATACTTGCTGGTAAGTATTTTCTTCTCTCCCCCTTCTTCTCTATCGCTTTGTCGCCCCCCCCCTCTCTCTCTCTCTCTCTTCAGCCCTCCCCCCAATATGGGTATGCTGCTCCTTGTATACAGCTGTACTCAAATATACGCATTACACTTGGATAGCCCCTACTGCCATTTCACCGAAAACCGACGATGCTCTGATCACCTACTTGAATCGAGGACAACTGTACGCGATCGACCTTAAAGATACACGACCAGAAACTGACGGAAACACAATGATCACTACAACAATCTCAATCACATTCCATGAAAAATCGCACCGACAAGTAGCCAGCAATTATTGGAAGTTTTGGTTAAGTCAGCAACGATCGACAGACGCACGAGCCATTAGTATTGGTAAGTAAATAAGATGATCCTCTTTTTTCCAAAGGGCGAATAGAGAGAGAGAGAGAGAGAGGAGATTTGACCCTTAACGTGTCTCTTTCATCATCATAGATGACACCCATTGCGCGGGTGCTGTTAACCTGCGATTTGCATCGTTTGACCGTATCACATTCGACTGGGATACGCGTCAAGGATCCAGAATCCATGTCCGTTTCCATTGCTTATCTACTGATTTCTCGCGTATCAAGGGCGTCAAGGGCATCCCGCTTCGCATCCATATGGAGCACCGTATCGCACCTCTGTCGGCGTCAACATCATCAGCATCATCATCAGCATCGCCACCAGGAGCAGATGCACTGTCGTCATGCAAGTACGTTGAAGAATCATTCTGCAAAATCAAATTGTTCCGCGATAAAGGCGCTGAGCGCAAGAACAAGGACAATTCCAAGCAATACATGAGACATTGCCAGAAAATGCAAGGTATCTTATCTATAGACATCTATATATATACATACACATGATGACTCAACGTTCTTCTTATGTCATCTAGAAAACGCAAAGGGCGAGCACCAAAAGAATTTGATGGAGCTGATGTACGATCTCCAAAAGCCATTCAGCGTATTCAGTACCATCCCACAGTCACCCCCACTCAAGCACCTCGAACACCTGTCAGGTTGCACGAGTGCCGAGTTTGACGGCTTGTCCCACAGCTATTTCGCTAGCAGTACTGATGTCGGTTTTGGTGGCAACACGACTGGACATATCATCAACACCAACAACGGCAGCACAAGCAGCAGTACTGGTAACAACAATAAGCGCAACAGAGTCATGACAGCCCCATCGGCTTTGTTCCACGGACAGCAGCAGCAGCATCATCCTTCATCGGCGTTTTGCTCGCCATTCCCAGCAGCCTTTGCCACCCCGTCGCCGTGGTCACCCTTTCAATCGCCTGCTGTGACAACGACAGTCGCAACTCCGGGCCCTGGCAGCAGCTACTTTTACATCGAGTCACCCACAAGCATGTACAACTCATCCGTAACCACGCCATTCGACGGCTATGCCACTCACGAACATAAGGATATGATGATGCCACCACCACCACCACCACCGCTGCCTCCATCGAGCCGTCTTTATGGCACCCTTACATCATCGACCACCATGCCTCCACCACCACCTCCTCCTTTACTACTATCCTCTTCGGTTCCTGCTTCTGATGCTGCTGCTGCTGCTGCTGCTGCTGCTGCCAGTACTACTCCACTTGCTCACAATCCAAAGAAACGCACACGCGAAGCTACAAGCGATGCAGCAAGCGGTGAGCTGATGAATAAACGCATGTCGATCCGGACAGGCGAGGACCTAGAGCCGCGGTGGATCGAGCTCCAAGAATTCACAGCACAAGAACTCAAAGCGAAGCTTTGCACGGTACTGTCGCTCCACCCAGACCAAGTCAGCCATATCGTGTGGCGACCCAAGGACAAGTGCGCACTTTCAACAACAACAACAACAACAGCATCGCCACGTAAAAAGTCGAGCAGCCAAGAGATCTTTATCACCATGGATGACGACTTTATTACGCAAGACGTGTTGAACTGGCAACAGCCAACGGCTTCCTGGGAGATCAAGGCTGATGGGACTGTCCGTATTGTGCTGGAAAACTGACTTTAACTCATCTACATTTTTTCTTCTTTTTTTTTTTTTTTATCTTTACAGCGACTGTTACTTTCCTCATCTTCATCTACGCGTGTCATATGCTTTCTATTTCCTCTTCTTCTTCTTCTTCTTCTACACACAATTTCATTCTATATTTTATGCAATCATCCACACCATCTTTTTACTCTCAACAGCATCATCATCATCATCATCAACAACAACAACAACTCCCTCACCCAAAAAGTTTCATCCTTCTTCCCCCCTCCTCCCACATCATGCATATAGTAGCAGTAGTAGTTAAGAATTTCTTACACTCTTTGTTTTTTCTTATGTTGCTCAAAATTCCTTATTTGGTATAAAAAGTTTTCTTCATTCAAATGTGTCCAAAAAGAGAACTGAGAGGGTGATGCAAGCCCGAATTTGAATTTTTTTTTTTTTTTAGGTGTGGGGTAACAAGTGTAATGTGGGCAAGTACTTCACACACCCATTTAGCACTGCTAAACTGTCATCAAATCAGCACTGAGAGGAGCTATTACACTCGACGTCAACCTCATCCATGTGAAAGTGGGGGAACCCCCATCCATTATTTTTTTTTTTTGGAGGGCAGTGATGAGTGTGATGTGATCTCCGTTGTGTAACCCCTCCCTCCATTATTTAAAAAAAACGCGGATCCATCCTTCTTTCCCATTTCTTCTTCCCCTTACCTCTACACTACTTGCATACACACGCTATACCATTGAGACTGTCATGTCGTCGACTGTTCAACAACGTTCCAGCCCTGTCTCTCGCTATGTCGGTGGCGCTGCTCTGGCAGGTATCACCCTTCTTGCCGCATACTATCACGACCGCGCTATCTTTGATGAGAACCGTGAAGGCATCACAACTCAAGCCGGCTGGCCTCTTGTCGGCAATCTTCCCATTCTCTTGCGATACAAGGACCAGATCCACGATTTTCTATTCGAGTCTTTCCAATTACTCGAGGAACAGACCTTGTAAGTCCCCCCTCTATACTTGCTTAGTCGTCGTAATACTAGCTCTCGATGTGTTTTCATTTTTAACTACTGTGAAGCACAACAACTTTTTAATATTGCCCTTTGCTCTGTGTTCACGTTGCCTAGGACAATGAGTGCTCTAGGCATTCCACGCCATATTGCAACGGTGAATCCTCAAAACGTTGAACATGTCTTGAAAGGTAGATCATTTATCAGCGTGTGCGGGTGTGCCAACCATTTTAGGGCTTTGACAACTGACCTTGAAATATATTAATTTTCAAAAGGCAACTTTGAAAACTACATCAAGGGTCCCGAGTTCCACGGTGCCATGAACGATCTCTTTGGTAACGGCATCTTTAATGCAAACGGTGCCGACTGGAAATACCAGCGCAAGACAGCCAGCCACATCTTCAACATCAAGAACTTCCAAAACCAATTCACCGATGTTTTCCTCGAGGAGATCGAGTACATGTCCGAAAAGATCTGGAACCCGGCCGTCGAAAAGAACGAGGTTGTCGATTTCCACGATATCATGTTCAAGTTCACCTTGGACTCCTTCATCTTGTAAGAATTTCTTGTCAGTCCGTTTTAAATTAAAAAAAACTTTCAACCCCAGCCCAAAATAACTAAAAACCCCATCCAAAAAAAAATTAATTTAGGCTTGGTTTTGGTGTCCAACTCAACGCGCTCGGTTCCAAAGAAAAAGTGCCATTCGCTGCAGCATTTGACGAGGCACAAAAGAACACGTTCCAACGCTTCGTCAACCCCATCTGGCCTGTCACTGAAAAGATCCAGAAGCTTTTGATGCCATGGAAGCCCAGCATGAACGAACATCTCAACGTAGTCGATACTTTTGCACGTGAAGTTACTGAAAAGCGCCGCGAAGAAATTGCCCGAGGCGAAGAAAAGAAAGATTTGTTGTCACGTTTCATGCATGCACGCAATGCTCAGGGCGAGCTCCTTAGCAACACCGAGTTGCGCGATATTGTATTGAACTTTGTCATTGCCGGTCGTGACACGACCGCCCAAGCATTGAGCTGGACATTCTATTTACTCATGAACCATCCTCGCGTCGAAGAGAAGCTCTGTCAGGAAATCAACGAGCATATGACTGACCAAGTCATGAACGATGCACCTGCTCTTTACGACGTTATCAAAAACATGAAATACGCCCATGCTGTGTACGTTACATAATGACACTTTACTTAAAACCAAGCTTTTCTTAACCGGGCATTTTCCTATCCTTAGCTTCTACGAAACACTCCGTCTGTACCCCTCCGTACCACTCAACCAAAAGTATGCCCTGAACGATGACATCTGGCCCGACGGTACCCATATCCGCAAGGGCGACTACATTCTGTGGAGTCCCTACAGTCAAGGACGCATCGAACAAAACTGGGGTCCTACTGCTGGACAGTTCCGACCTGAACGTTGGCTTACACCCGACGGCGACCTTCGCCGTGAATCTCAAGGCCAATGGCCCGCGTTTCACGCCGGTCCGCGTGTGTGCTTGGGTAACGTCATCTTCGTATGGGCTATCAAAATGAACTTTTCTGGATTGCTAACCCCCCTATTCCGTTTCAACAAAAAAAAACAGGCCAGCACTTGGCAACCTTGGAAGCAATCGTTGCAATTACTTTCTTGCTCAAACGTTACAAGTTCAAGATGGTTCCGGGACAGACTATTGGCTATCAGGTTTCTTTAACATTACCTATGAAGGATGGTATGATGGTCACTGTTGAAAAGCGTTCCTAAGTTCCCTTCTTCTGCACTCATTCCCTCAACTCTGTCCATTCTTCTCAATTTATCTACCATGCCATCCTCTCCGATAATTTCCAAGCATACCAAAATCACATTTGAAATGTACATGTAGTATCCTCCCTTCTTCCTTTCCACTTTACGCATAATATACATATTTTATACATAAAAAAATTATTTTTTGTTATCTGAAAAAGTAGTTGTTACAACATGCGAATAAAATAGCTCGTTACTAGACCAAGTAGCATGTATATATATACTCATCAATAGGACAACCGTTGAAGAAAATTTTACAAGTCTTTTTTGACAGCCAGCTAACACAGATAGAGCACTTGTACTAGATAGCATGGTTACACAGAAATAATGCTATCTTTTTGTACAAGAAATGTGGCAATATAAACAGAAGGGTTACGGTACATTCAGTACATTGCAGCGCTGTTGATTTCCTCAACTCTGCTAGCACATGCAAGAATCTCTCTTTGGTGCGTTACAAGCTCGAGTTACGGCATGATGTTTTTATGCATGATTTATCTCTTTAACCCTGCTGGCTATCTCCTTACAGAGAACAGAAAAAAGGTGTGGGTATCACTAGCATCATCTCAAACACACCGTCACTAAGAATGACTGACTAATTCATACGTAGCCGCTTACTGATAGTCGAGGAAACAGTTCAAATATGCCTATTAAATGCGTTTCAGTGTTTCGGAAGTTAAAATAGTGATACATTCAATCATGCAATGCCAGCTGCAAACAGGTAAGAACAAAAAGATGTAGAAAGGGATAATATCGTTATTTTGAACGCAAACCGGCAACTCTTTCATACGGCCCTGTCTTTTTTTTCTTCTCACACAATGTCCAACAAGGTTGTACAAGGCATTGACTCTTGTCGTATGTATCTAGGTCACAATCTTCAAAGTTTATTTATTTCTCGTTGCTTTCAAAATCAATGAATGACATGGAAAATACGATTCGCATGAAAAAGTAATACATATTACGATACCGTCATTGCAAAAATAATTTTCTTTCAAGCGCAAACGTATCTATAGAAAAAATACTTGCAAAAGCTCACGTTAAAAAAAGACCAAAAACTTTTGTATGTACATACCGGTTCCTTTGTCTCGCCCGCTTCATCTCGAAACGGTTCCCAACACGTATATAGGTTGTAAATATAGCAAGTGCTTCGAACAGTGTGGCAAAAAATAGGATGGCTGGTCTATATTCGTATCTCAGATACGAAATCCACGATCTATCATTTGCATATTCTGTGTTGGCCAAGACATGCAAAACAAGCTTACAGAGTGGCGTAAACGGGCGGGTAAAGTAAGAGACCGTCAACTTGTGTCGTTTAATTACATATCGGGTCACTTTTTCTTGTGCAAATAGTATAGTCAACATTCATTCCAACCTCTTTGCTTTTTCATCAACTGCAAAATCTTACTACAGGTGCTGCGTGCATGTACGAAGAGAAATGCACTAGTCATGCCGAATGTGTCGCGTGATTGTGGTCAAGGCAACGATCCTAGTGATCCCTAGTAAAAGCAAGCATACCATCCAACCCCATATATGCCAGTTTTGACTATCATGTTGTTTAATTTTTCTGCCCTTTTCGTTGCTCCTTTTATATTTCTTAGCATATGTCGTTTCCGTACCTAGTATAATCCACCAGATCATACCATTTGAAGCCTGGGTTGCTGTGTGAAGAAAAAAGTACGTTTTTTAGATAATTCATCTAAAAGTCAATCGAAACTCGATGGACGTCTCCAGCAAGCTTTCTCTTTCAACCACGTATGCCCATACATACACCAGTACAGTAGTCACAACAGCAGCTCCCGGCCTACTATCTCTGACACTTATCACTATGAGCCAGCGTGATCTCTTGACCCTGATTTGAATCGCATTCTTTGCGACGATCCTACCAAGATTCATTGTATTTTGCAGACGACGAAGCTGGCTTGGTACCCATTCAATCCAGGCGATCATACATCACTGACCTTATAGCTACAGTTGAACCTTCCACGACTCTTACAAGATTTAGAACCGAAGATATGACTAAAATAAAAGGTTCGAATGTCAAGAGTTTGCGTAATCACTATCAACAGCATGCTTATCGCTTCGACACGTTAAAATAAGGGGTGGATACTTTTGGGACGATCATGTATGATACAGTATTTCAGGTTCTGGAAAAGTGTAGACAATCTGATGGGTTGTCCATTAACGTAACGTCAGTTTTAAAAACAAAGAGAGGGGCGGGTTCCTTGACGCCATTAACAAAAGAGGAAAATTGTCAACCTGCGGAATGCAAGACACGTGCAGTGTAGTGCAGTATTGAAGGAATGGCGCTCTATCTGTGATATTTAATAGGCAAGACATGTCGCATGTTTTGTTAAGAGATTATTAAACATTTGTACACGAACCCATCATCCATCAAGGAAATGGTGTATTGTAGTTTGATGTATATAAATCGCCAAATCGATACTGGCCTGTAGTAGCCGATGGATTTTTCTGATTCGAAAGCGCAAATACAAAAGGTGACGATAAGATGTTGTACAAACTTACTTTAGTTTAATACAGCTGTGCTATTCAAATCAATATCAGTATATGCACTACATAGCCTTGTACGGCAAACCATCGGAAGGCGGTCCGTAGCTTAATTAGGTATTTTCGCGGGCCACTGGTCACAGCGACTCTGTTCCATGTCATATGTGGGTGACAAGTGAAAAGTACGACACGGCAGCTATTTTTATCGTAACTGTATGGATAAGCAGGATCACGGAGAAAGAATAGTAAAGAAAAGCGTTGCAGTGCATGTGTCGAACTGCCTCCACCTGAAAACATATCCGGCGCTCCAAAGGCAGCTCGATCTCAGGTGATCTCCCAAACAGATGAGCACATCCACATGGATTCAGGCTTTGATAGAAAGCCATTTGAAACGCTTGTAAAACAATTCTATTAATGAGTACGAGCATTACAGTATTCGGTATCAAAAAATTTGATCTTGGCTGTAGAGTGCATGTCGTGCAGATTTTATGAGAAACGACCAGTTTAAGCACACAAAGCTCGATCAACGTGTTCCAGGTCCAAAAGAGTTTCTGCTGTTGCAAGAAACTTTATGATGTGCCCAGTACTGATATTGCTACGCAACGGGTTTCACAACAATTTGACATTGTATTACATGGTATGTGGCTGTATAATGCTTGCATCAAATAGTTGTCTAGATATTGTGCTTAGAATCGATCAAGTCATTGCAAAGTAAAAGTAATTACGAATCTAATGTATGACATTGTCAGCATTGTATAAGAACAGGGACATAGCACGCCAAACCATGAGTTCTTTCCTAATTGTCAAATAAAGCGGCGAAGACGATTGAACACAGTCAGAAAGAAAATGGCTATTGCAAGGTCAAGCGACACGTAAATACCTTCACAAGGAAAGAAATTGTAAATGAGTTTAAGCAGGACATAAACTAAAAGAGCAGGGTTTTAATTCATTGTAAAAATAGAGTAAAGAAACATTTTTCAAAAGACAAAAGTTATCGTTATGAATATCAATAGTCGAAGAGTACAAATTTTATTAAAAGAACACAATCAGTGGACAATAAAGACAAATAATAAGAACGCGATTTTACAAAGTGACCTCAACAAGCAGTCCGCACAACCCGTAGGCTATACAAAAAGCATGAAGAAAGCAAGAAGAAACAGAAGAAGTGTGTAAAAGGGGGAGGAAAAGAAAGCCACCAATGCCTCGGCCTGGGAGTCCCAGTCTCCCAATCATTTGGCTGAGTCAATCAACCACAAACCCAGCCATCATGGTACAAACGAGTGGGAACCATGACGTACGCTACGTTTCGAGAGTCAAGTGCAAGCAATCGGTTGTGGATTGCCTGTGAGTGGGGAAGGGGGAAGGGAAGGACGGAAGGAAGATGGAAGGGTAGACGGAAGGGAAGGACGGGAAGGACGGGAAGAAGAGGAAAGGGAAGAGGAAAGGGAAGAGGAAAGGGAAGAGGAAAGGGAAGAGGAAAGGGAAGGGGTGGGGGTAGGGGAAGGAATTGACTCTCGAAACACCCAAAAGGACGGCCATTTGCTGCTGTTGTCGAATGCTGGAGGAGCTGAATGCTGAGCGTCGATTGCCGAGAGTCGAATGCCATAGAGTTGATTGCCGAGAGTTGATTGCCGAGAGTCGAATGCTGAGAGTCGAATGCCAGACAGTTGATTGCCGAGAGTCAAGTCCTAGAAGTCGAACGCGATCTACAGTGGCACCTGGCTCCTCATTGCGAACCCCACCATGGCAGACCAGACCAGACCAGCAGACAAGGCATCCAACAGAAAGGACACTACCATACTTCTATGGCGAAAAACCGAAAAGGATTTCTCCGTCCTCTGATCTCGCCTGAAGACCGGTTGTGGCCAACACCGTTGAACGCCAGACTGGACAGCCCAAAGCAGGGACCGGTTGTAGGCAGCCAGGGAGACCACGGGAAAAAGGCTGAGACCAGGACCGACAGAGGCAAAACCAGAACCAAGGGAAGAGCCAGAGCCTAGGGAAGAGCCAAGAGAAAGACCAGGAGGATCCAAGGGAGTGAAGGAAAAAGAAAAATGAAGGAAAGAAAGAGTGAAGAGAAAAACGAAATGGCCTGAAAAATATGGGCGTTTTTATGCTTTTTGGATTGACCCGCCGCTTGAAAAAAACACGTCACGTGACTTGTGATTCGTCATTCAAAAATATGTGAGAAAGCAAAGGGTAGGGAAGAAAAAAACATGTGCAGAAGAGACATGGTCAAGCGGTCAAGCGGTCAAGAAGAAGGCGTATGTGGTCCGCGTGTTTTGATTGTCCTACGAAATATGTTTCACCGGTATCATGCAGGGCATGCCCCGACGGTGTCGCCGCCTGTTTCTAAATAGGAAGATACGTGCACCCGTCAGGCCACAAGGCGCACAGACACGGTTTACAGGGTTTCAGCAACAAGATCCCAGAGAAAAAGTAAATGGCAGGTCCCGGGAATGGTTGACATTGTAGAAAATAAAAAATTACTGATATTTTAACAAGAAGCTCACATAAATAGAAGCCATATACACCAAGAAATAATGGCGCAAAAGTTGATGACCGTGAAGTACGCGTGATGCAAAGCAAAGTGTATACCAAGGACAAGTGGTGAAGCTCGGTAACGGTAGAATGAGGAATGACGTCGAGTGTCTTTGAAGCCCTTCTATTTGCTAATAGCCTTTAATAAATAAACCTGGGTGAGTGCTGGCTGCCTCCCATAGAGCGTTTGCCAACGCTCTATAGAGAGTTGGCAAACGCTCAATGGAGAGATGGCAAACGCTCTATGGGAGAAATGGCAAACGCTCCCAGTTCTCCCATTGAGCGTTTGCCGTCTCTGGCCATAGAGCGTTCTAAATGTCGACTCCACTGTTCCCGAATCTCAACACTGTTCAAGACAAAATCAACATCACTTTGTCGACGATCTCATGGCAACTATATTGCTCGTTACAAAAGTCTCCACTGTGCAATCAGGAGCGAGAATGACGAGTCTCGCTCGCATATGAAGAAGTCTTACAACAATATAAAACACGCACAAACAAGTTCAACGGACGGGAAGAGAAAAAAAACATTCTTATTTGATACATTATACTACTAATCAATAATAGGGTATCGATGTCTTTACTTCCCTGCTATTAGGCAGGTACTGACAGGAGCAACCACAGGAAGGTACATCGACATCTGCTCCCGTAACCCTCTATCACAAAGCCAGGGTCTTGTCTTGGTCGCTTTGTGGATCATGGAAGGTCGATTGGTATTGAGATGCCCAGTCCCGTCTCACCAATCGCGAACTACAATAAAAAAGCGTTAGAAAAATCGATGCCCTTTGACTACCTAACTTACCTCAAGATCGCCGCGTGTTTTCGTTCGTTTGCGTTCGTAGCTGTTTCTATGGTCTTCTTTATGTCTCTTCGATCGTTTCGTATAGTTCGTTTACGTTCGTCTCCTAAACTAACCTTTGGAGAGAAGCCATTTGTGTTAGAAACCGATGCGACTTGACTACGTACCAGAAGATAGTGAGTGTTTTCGTTCGTGTCAAAGAAACAAAAAGGAAAAAGGAAAAAGCGAGGAACAACACGCTGCGGAAATTGGGTGTCTTTTTATGTGCACAAGTTCAGGGCCCGCTTCCTTTTTTTTTAAAAAAAAAATCCCGCCATCCGTGCTAACAATACGGGGAGCAATGTCAGATCCTTCTGTATCGTAGCGACAGTATGATGATACAAATGATTGCCAATGTGCGCAAAATGCTGATCTGAATGTGGTCTTTATACAAGTCTATATAGCATAGCAATCAACATCGCCATGTTTCCTTGCAAATAAAAAGCTCTATTACTTGCTTTATTTGCTTAGCAAACGACCTTGTGTCTTTTTCGTCAAATGAAATGATTGATGCATATAACATTACGCAAAGAAGAGACATCGAAAAGTTGTTAACTATGTGATACGTGAAGATGTTGGGGCAAATTATCATAGTTTCTAATATGCACACACGCAGTAAATCGTCGTTAAAATATATAGAGGCAGTACCAGGATAACGATCGACATTTTCTTTTCATTAAAATCACACCTCTTAGTACGAAGTTCCACGGGTAATCAAAATTCCTACCTGTGCTTGTCAAATTTGGAGATATAACATCATATCAATTTTATTAACCCTTACCATTTGCCTAAAGTATTGTTTATCTGAAGTGTCCTTTTATTGATTATCTTTGTGTTACTGTAACTGCAGTACCGTTGACATCCTTGATAGGATGAACTGTCCACACAATGATGGAATGGTTACATTTCTTTGAGATCCCTTCCTCCGACGTATGGTAGCTCGAACGTATGTTTTATTGAAGAAAAAAAAGTTTACAAAGCTTATTCGCGTAAATATAAGGGGAACAAAAGCAAAAGACGAGTTAAAGCAATATACTAAGAATGCGGTATGTACAACTCTTGGAAATTCTAGGTGTGTGTGTGTGTGTATCTGGATAAAAAAAGAAGAATTTACTGTCCTAGTTCCTTTGTCATCATTTCATTGAACTGGTCTGGGTTGTCCAAATACATATGATGACCTCCATATTTGACGCGCAATATTTTAACAGGAACCTTCATGTGCACTTTTGCCTGTTCAGCGGCCTTATAATCCATCCAATCTGAATATATACATGGAATATATAACATTATCAACAACAGTTTCCTACGTCTTTGCTGCCACTTTGTACTTTTATCCATAAACATATTGCTTACCCCATTCACCGTAAACGAAAACTGTAGGCATCTTCAACTGGGCCAATCTGTCAAACAGCGGGCGTCGAGCGAATGCGCCAGGCTTCAAGACTGCTGCCAAAGCATACTCGCCTGATCCAGTAGATGCAGTGATATTGTATCTAATAAGCACGGTCGAAATTAGCAAATTATAGCAGAGCATAATTTGAAATAACATCACGACTACCAACAAAAAAAATCTATTTACATATAATCATAAAGATCATATCGTTCAGGTGTATCCAAATGTGCGAATCTTCGTGAAGTGTAAGAATTGACCAAGCTATCAGAATCGAACATTAGTATTGTAATTAATAACGAAGCAACATTTTTTAGTTTTACCTTGCACCGAAAGGACCAACGGTGCGGACAATGCTCATCGGCGTAACGTTTTTATCCCACAGATACTTGGCCCAAGCAGGAAGTTTTCGTCGAGGTTGCGGCGGCTCCGAATCAGAGTCATCGTCGGTTTTGGTGGCAGCATCGTCCAATGTTTCTGCACCAGCTTGCAGTTTTGCATTGAGTTCAGCCGCGTCTTTGTCAATGACCTGCTGTGGAGTCGCATTCTGGTCGGCAGCAGGCTCTTGTTGTTCTGGAGGTGCTTTTGCGATACCAGCTGTCGGATGCATAAGAGCCACATTAGCACTAAGCTACAAGCGCAAACTCCTTACACAACCTTTTAATATTCGTACCGCTACATACCTGGAGAAATAAGAACGAGCTTTTCGACGCGTTTGGGGTATTTGAGAGCGTAACATGTTGCAAAGTAACCACCAAGTGAATGTCCCATCAATGTCATGGTCTCTAGCCCGATCCGTTTACGCCAGTCCTCTAATGATTCAACAAAGTGCTCCTCAACTTCATCGATGACCTCGTCCCACGTTTGGTTTCTTTTTGGATTGATTGTCCACTTTGGTCTTGAGCTTCTGCCCATACCCAACCAATCTATCAATAGGCGCATCCATTAGCCATAAAAACCACATTGTTCATAACTCTCCCTCTTTTCCCTTTTCTCCGTTTCTCCTTTCCAAACTTACCAATGGCAAAAAGCTGTGAATCGGGTATTTGACCTAATGCTTGAAAATTTCTGTACAATCGGATATAAATTTTCGCATATTGTTGTTTGCATGAATGATGATATCAAATTTACCTATAAAAGAAGCCCAAACCTACAATGTAATTCCAGAATATTCGTTTAAATCAATATGGACTTGGAGTGCACAGTGTGTGATGAATAATGACATACCTGCGCCGTAACCATGACATAAGACCAAGTTTTGGGTTCCACCTCTCTGTATGCCTTGCGTGAAAGTTTTCATATCCGCTTGAGTATCGAGTTTAAAATCCTCCTTATCGCTGGCCCGCAGGTGGAGCGTATTAACAAGCCGTGCGCCTTTTTCACCTAGGTCTGCTGAGCGATCGTCCAGAGGAACTCTAACTGCCCGACCGATAAGTGGTAGTTGCGCGGCATAAAGTGGAATTCGATGCAGCAAACGGGCTTCGGCAATGGATGAGGTGTGATCCGATCGTTGCCACCAATTGCGGAGAAAGTTGATACGGCTTGTGGGAGGGATTGTGGCCGGCAATGTGGATAGGATCGAAGATAGATGTTGCTGCTGATCTGCTACTGAAGTGTCCATTTAATATCTTTTTTTCGATAAGAGAAAGAATTATAGAAGAAAGGTTGTCAAAAAAGCGCGCTTCGCTTTTAATTTCTGAGCGGTGGGGCTGTTCGGCTACATATGGCCAATTAAATCGAACGGCTTACGTGTCCTAACCTATTTTGGGTAATAATGCATAGTTGAGATACATTTGAGTCATACAGCAGGCGATAAAACAAAAGATTCGGTGGAAAATGTATGTGTGTGTATTGTCTTGATGATGATTGCTATTGTATGACTTGTACTATAAGCTGTTGATGGTTTCGTTGTATGAAGCATATGTGAGTTTGGCGATTTCATGATATAGGAGTCTATTCCAATCGTCCACAGGACCTATAAAAACGAAAGGATACAAGGAGGAGGGAGAAAGGAAGTAAGTGAGTTAGCAGATGTATCATGACAACGTCAGCTTTCCATTAAAGGCCGTTTTTCTTTTAAAAAACACTTGCCTGGTAAACAAAAGTGTAAGCAATCCTTATCCGGGCGGGAGTGTGCGTCACCACGGTAATCCGTAAACGATACATCAAGTAGCTGGAAGCGTTCATCGTCCTGCGCAGTAATCCAGTTCTATTTTCGATTTTTTTCTTAGCTATGCTTAATCGCCACTTTATTTTGGTGCTTCTACTTACTCTGTAAATTTCATTGAATTGCTCAAACATATTCCATTCATACGGCTTAACTGATGGCTTCACAATGGTATCAAGAGGGTCGGAGTATTGTGAGCATTCGGTGTGTCCAAAAGGGGTAGTGCGTAACCACACCCGCTGATGCGGCTCCACATCCTGCTTCAGAGCTTGAAACACAGAATTCATAGCTGCCGTGTATCCTTCTAAAAGTTCTTCTTGAGAACGACTAGGTCCAAATTTGAGATCCGAGCGCCAATGCGGGCCCTATTTCATGTGTAACAGCATACACACAATAACAGCACAGTCAGACAAGTCGGGAAAAAGGCATGTGAGTTATTTTTCCATTAGATAACACAGACAAGCCAGTACAGTCATACAGCAGAAGTTGAAGAAAACCAAGAAGAAAGAACGCGGAACAACTTACAGTGTTAATTACGATGTAGTCAAAGTAGGGTAACAAGTGACGCCTAACATACCCAATTGAGAGTTATGCACACGCACATAATTAGTAACAACTCTATAATTGCAGTATAACAACATACTATAGCATACTTCTTCTTACCAAGGAAAGTTGCTGCCTTTGCTTAATAGGCTGCCTTGGTCCTCCTCAGGTTCCAGTACTTTGTAATCTCCCAAACGCACCAGATTATCTGACCGGAGAAACGCCACAGCAAGTGCCTTATCACCCTGTTCGTTTTTGTAAACCAACTGGTTCACTTTAATGTCAGGATTGCCACCTGTAAGCACCTTTTCGGTTTTCTTGGGAAGACGAAGGTGCTCGCCTAGGAGACATCCTAAACTTTCATACTGGAGCTGCGTAATTGAGTCGCCGATCAAGAGGAGTGGATGTTCGGATAAGTGCTCAGCGAGTGCATGTGGATCCATTCGAAGCACACTGCATTCTGAGGGCTTCCAAGTATAATCGACACTATATTGATATTTAGATTGAATGTTAAAATTACTGTAATATCCTTTTTCCAGTTATTGCGACATTACGAACGAAGCTCCAGTTAGTAGCATTTGTTGACATTGATGTTGCTACTAGCTGGCAATGATGCACAGAGTAAGCGATAGCAATAGGAGGATATCAAGGGGCGGCCAGAATATGAAGGGGATTAGGCACTTACATATGCTTATTACGATCCAATTCGTGCTTGTTACGCTTATAACACTGATGGGCAAACTTGGCGTGGCAATGATAGTTCGTTCCTTTCTCGAAAGATTTTTCATCTTTGGCTTTGATGGGCTGATGCTCCCATTTTCCTTTGTTGAATGCTTCAATAGTACAGACATCTTCGGTGATATCATGGTTTAAAGGCTGCCCTCGGTAATACACCAGGTTTTTGTGCAATGTCGTGGTCGATGGCAACATGAGCACTGTGTCGTTTCGAAATGACCATGCCAGCATTGCAAGTACAATGAGGCCTGGGATCGCGACCAGGAATACTAGGGGTCGATATCGTTCTGCTGGTGGCGACTGCTGCCGTAATAAGGGATTCATGTTATGTTGATGATTGTGTGTAAGAGAGATAGAGGGATTGGTGAAAGGAAGGAATGGTTCGTCTCAAGTTTCTACACGCACGTTCGCTTCTTCTATTAAGTGGAATGGTATTTTTCCCGTATTGGATGTTTCTCAAGAAAAAAGAACTGTAAAAGGAAAAAAGGTACGGTCATTGGGGCATTTGTGAGGGGAAGGGGGGGGGGAGAGAGGACAGATAGAAACACAGAAAGAGGGCGGAGAGCGTAAGCGTGCACAGTAAAATAGCGCATCATTGACAGGGAAGAGGGAGAGGAATCTTGATCTGGCAAGTTGCAGCGTGGTTTTTAATGACATCTTGGAAACTCGAGAAGCGTTACAGAAAAGTAGGTCCGTGTTCGTCTTTCCGGAGCGTCTTCCCTTTCCTTCCGCCCTTTCTTGCTGTCGAATATTGCATCGTGTACTTTTAAAGGTGGTACAACACGCTGTTCTTTTTTCATTTTCATTTAAAGATATGCTTTTTTCCTTTGCTTCTTTAAAAAAAAGTGCAGAAGGAAACAACGTGTCTGCGTTGTCGCTGCCACTTAATTAAGCTCAAACTTGTGCAACCATGATACTATCCCCGGTACAGGATTTCTAGAATTTCCATTATAATTGAGAATTATGATGTATACTTTAGATCTATTGCCGTGTATTATTAGATAATAATTGTGAGATGATTTATTTTTGAGGGTCATAGACCATACAAGAGGTATGGTCTGTGAGTGTAAATAAAGGCATTATTCCGTGTTTTGATACAGTAGTATACATGCGCCTTGTTTTTCATAGTATAAAAAGACGATGTCTACAAGTGAAAAATGTAGTTTAATTGAGGATTCAAACTCCTACATCACACTACTCGGCTTGCTCGTTTTGTGTAAAGCGCACACAAGCAAGTGTTTTTTAACAAGTTGTGTCGGAAGAAACATGATGGGCATATCAATTATTAATTGTACGTACACGAATTGATATATTGTTTGCTTATGATCACTCCAAGTAGATGGACAGGTTGTCATATTCGCTTGCAATAACTGGTCAGCTTTAGCTTTTTGTGCCTTGAAACAACACCGATTATGATAAGCATTTGTCCACGTTCTACAGCAGTCCTATTAGCAACCCTCATGGCCATTCGCCATACAATAGTAGCGGTATGTAATTGCAGCCACTTTAGCATCCATCCACATCAAATCATTGTGAGTGACCCAGTTATTACTGCATACTTTTTACTCATATGATAAAGCTGTTTTTTGATTACTTTGTACATCTAGAAAGGTGTAAAAAGCACAAGGTTTCTTTGTATGACACTTTTTTCAGAGGCTAGGCATCAGCTTCCGACCAAGAAAGATTCAGATCATCTTAGTCAATATCATAGCTCGAGATTTGGTTTCACGTTCATCCCCTATGTTTATCTTGTTCGTTCCTAATTCCGTAGTAGACAACAGAATCATGATCACCATGTGCTGTAGAACATTCATACATACTTGACCGTATGTATTTATTCGAGGATCGATCAGTCAACTATATATAAGGCACACAATGGGCGCACAGCAGTAAGTGATCTTGTATGCGTCCTCGCCGCCATACGGTTGCAGTCGCTGCAATATTCTGGATGAAAAGTCAGCACCTGCAAATAGCTTATACACCTTCATCCGATTGCTGTTTCCGCGTTACTTTTTCTAGCATAGAAACATTTGTGTCATAAAGAACTACTAAATAACCGATTGAATAGGCATGCATAGGACTTTTTGATGGTCGTTGAAAAATAATCAAGTAGTTTCCGTTCATTCTTCGAAGCGTATCTTTCAAAATACTATATATCCAGCAGATTGATGCAGCTATCGTAGTACATGAACTATTGGTACTTTTGAACATATCCCAAGAATTCATGCATGCACACACCATGTAGTACAGAAAGCAAATCTTCTTTTATACAGCATAAAATTCAACTCTTTTTCTTGGGACTCCACCCTTCGCTCGTTCCTCCTTCTGCAATCTTGACCTCGCGAACCTTGGGCTTTTTCTTTTTAATCTTTTTCGCTACAGCCATCACCGTCTCTGAATGTACAGGACTGGGTATTGGTGGTGTTGATGAGTGGGGTTTTGGTTGCTGTGGCTGTTCCGGTGATTGTAGCTGTTTCTGCTGCTCTTGTTGTTGTTGCTGGCGAGGTAGCTTTAATGAGCTACTGCTTGCGCTAGGTGATATGGATGGTGACTGTACAGCAACCCGAGCTGCAATGCTTTGGTCGCGTGCTTGCTCCGTTCGCTTTATGCTGTCGACCTGGGATAAGTACTGCAACTTGATATTCTTAAGCTTGTCTGCTCGACGTTGTAGTTGAGTTGTTCGGGCAGTAAGCATCGACATAGTGGATCGTAAAGATAAGAGTTTGGTATAATATGTTGATACTTGTCCCATCTACATGAAACAACGGGAAACGTAGTTTATTACTACACACGGTTTTTTTTTCATATTTAACCCAACAATCAATCTATCTGCCATACAGTTTCCTTAATTTGTGCAAGTCGTGCTTCGTCTTCTGCGTTGATAGCTTCTGCTTCTGCTATTGTTTTACTTAACTCGAGCTGCTCTTGTCTTTTTGTTATATAAAGTGGGAACAAGAACGTGTCACTTAAATTGAGTAAAAAACAGCAAGAAGGTATGAAATAAAAGGTTACCCAAGTTGTGTAAGTTGGGCTTCTAATCGTGTAATTATGACGATAATTTGTGTCGAAATGTCTTTGGTGAGATGTGCTTCCGGGGAGGGTGTTGTTAATTCTACGTCGGCCATTCTGCAGGAACGTTTCGTGTGGTGTAAAGCAGCTCTGAAAGAAGCTCAAACGGACTTTTTATGGAGGAATTTTTTTTACCACTTTTGATATTTGCTTTCCTTTCCCGATCGATCTGCCATGACAACTACGATCGACACGATCAAGCAGTGTCTGACCGATGCTAATTTGGGCAACGATGCCAATAAATACTATGAGATAGGTATCTCGGCTGTTCAAGCCTTACGCCAAGTCCAGTGCTGCTACCGGTGTTGTCTTCGTTTCGTGAGCGCTCGCGACCTGAAACTTTACACCGTCTCTGAGCAGGTTCGGATCAACCCATATTATGTTTTGTGCAATGGCGATTGTTTAATCAAACAACACAACTGTGTCTTACGCAGGAATTAGGCTCCCTATTTTCTCAATTGCTCAAAGAGAATCACTCGGTAGACGTTTGTACCGCCTGCGTTGGCTCGCTTCAACACGCCGAAAACTTCGTAGAGACGATTGGTGAACGGCTACAACAAGAAAGTTATCAAACCAAAAACGTCAATTTGAATTGCACTCTGCCAATCAGTTTGCTATCTCGAGACCATTTGTTACGACTTTATCTGCGCGACACACTCAAGCTTGACACGCTCGCTGCTCCACGCGATCCAAAAGACCCATTCAAGCATATCATTGCTGCACAGATCAAGGGTAAATTTGGTGTCGGGTTGTGGAATAACGGCCCTTTGCGAATGACAGTAATTGTCGAACACGAGCCTACGGCACAGGAGCATATGTTTTTGACCCAAGTAGAAAAGCCTGTCCTTAAAGTGCGAACAAAGCGACGAAAGGTAAAACATTGGACCTAAGGGATGCTCTCAAGCGCCACGAATAATCTGGAGAGATGGATATGTTCTTCTCATGATGGGACGATTCATAATTTCGTTTAGGGGAAAGTGCAAATTTGGGGTGATTCTCGAGCCACTGTTGTAGAGGCACTCAAGGCGCTGAAGGACACTGAAGCTTCTTCGTAAGTCACTTTATCGATAGATTATTATTGAAGCTTTCCTCCTGTTAACGATCACTTTCCCAACGGATAACCCAGACTTACTACTATACCACCTGCACCACAAACTGCACAAGCAACATTATCCGAGGTACATTTAGTCCACGAATCAGCCTACGTTGGAGGAAGATACATCAAGAACTCTCGTGAATACAGTCAAACACCATGGAGTGTCAAGGGCAAAAAGCTGGCAGAGAACAGTGTGTCAGAATGCATCTGTGAGGTGCTCAAAAAGTATTACCGATGTGATGGTATGGTTCTACCTTACATTATGACTTTATGGGCTTCCACTTCGTTCTTGTTTACTTATAGAAATCCTGTGTTTCTATAGATTACAAGTTTGTTTCGTCAGGTCGAGAAGATGCGAATGTGCGGATGCTTGGCACTGGACGGCCGTTCTATTGTGAACTCGTTAACCCTCGCAAAATAAAATTCGAAAAGAGCGAGTTGACTGCGATGCAAGACGAGATAAACTCATTACCTTCCAAGGACGATGTACAATTGCGGGATTTGACGTCGATAAAACCGTACGTGATAAATCACGCTAACTATCACCAAAAAGTCTTTAATAACTGACAGATTAACATAGAAATGATACAAAGACGATCAAGGAAGGTGAAGAATTCAAACGGAAAACATACAGGTAACATGGAGTATGGACGGAATGTAGCTCTTGAAAGTTGTGTACTGACATAATATGTTAATTTAGAGCCTTGGTATGGGTATCTAGTCCAGTGACGGACGAGATGCTCGAAAAAGTAAACCAGGCAGGATCGAATCCATTCAAAATCCAACAAAACACACCAGTTCGCGTATTTCAAAGGTAGTATATCAATCAACCATTGACTTTGGGGAATCAGCGAATGCCCTTTACCGAGAAAAAAGAGTTATTGACGCGGTACATGTGTTGGGTTACTAGACGATCTGGAATCGTCCGTGAAAAAGAGATACATTTTTGCAAAGCAGCAAGACCGGCTAATGTCAAGGAGGACGCCCAAGAAGCCGAAAAACACTTTGCAGTGGTGACCTTGAACACTCAAGCAGGCACATATATTAAGGAGTTTGTCCATGGTGATCTCGGCCGAACACAGCCCAACTTTGCATCACTTGCAGGTGTCCAAGCGGCTGATTTGATTGAGCTGGATGTCACTGCAGTAGATTTGGCATGGCCACCGTCCCAAAAATAATAGCAATGAAATATAATAACAGTGGAGCTATTGCTTTGTTATTTACTTTTAGATTTTTTCTTTGGGGGAGTTAATACACGCGCTGCATATCTGAGATAGAGTGCAGTTTCTACCACTGCAATTCCAATGGCTCCTGCGAGAGATAGTATAATACGCTATACACGTACAGTGGATTAGATATCTGCTGGTCCAAATCCCTGTGGTACATTCCTTTTTATCACTTACAATACCCAATTCGTTCGTCATTGTCCTTGAACCCATGTAGATTGCAGTAAATACTGCAACCATGGAAAGTCCAATATTGAGGATTGTTACGATATGTCCTTGAATTTGTTTCAGCTCCCCAGGCCGAACACCGAATGCATATTTTTCATTTTCTGACGTAATTACCGAGGAAACCATCGATGCATATTCGCGATTACTTTGTTCATCCCGTAGTTTTTGTAACCGTGCTTCTCGCTCAGCCTTTACCTAGTGTATCCAACGCATTTTTTTCCTATAAGAAATGTTTGCCGAATACAAAAAGAAAACATTGCAAATCGAATTTGTTGACACACCTCAGGATCTTCTTCAGGTTTCGGTTCGATATAAACGCTCGTCCCGCGAACAAGTTCGTGAAACCAGACACGGCCTTTAGAAAATAAGTTAATATACGCAAGAATTATCCAATTCATTGAAATCCTTCAAGTAATACCTGGTTGTAGCTCTGAAACAAAGTTGCACGATTCGCGCAACAGACTCAGTGACACGCCATTCTTTTGATCAAGCGATGCATCAACTGCGATCTGAGCCTCTTTACGAAATGTTGGACAAAAATTGGGATCTTGCAGTGCTGTTCTAAACAGCTCTTGCATTGACTTTGTCAGTGTCAGTTGCATGGGTATGTATATTATGGTAAAGAACAATATCTGAGGGAATGGAGGCGAATATGGGGAAGAAAACGCGAGAAAACAAAAAAAAAGAGTGAGCGGGATGAATTGGTCCGAGGGGGCCGTTCACGATGCAACATGATATTTAAGCCCTTCACAATTAAGCTATGCTATATTTGTGTAAGCTTTATTTTGATTGATCTGTCGCAGAAGACGAAACCGTTCGATAAGGATGTATCAATCAGAGACATGCAGAGATCCTTCTGACGCTGACCATCACCATCATAGCTGCATCTTCACAGAAGGTCACTGTCAACGATAACCAGAACCCATGTATTTGAGTAAGTATTACCGTCCGTCCGAGTGCAATATTGCTCAATCGGCTCAAATTTGGGTTAGATCAAAAGTATCATGGCAACAAACAAACCTTAGCTTACATGACAACAGGAACGGATACCCCGAACTCGTGTGCAGCTTTTTTTTTTTGGGCTGTGCACAGCGCACATTCTCGCATTTTTGAAAGCTCCGCTGCATTGCCGTTTGCTTCTTCCGTTTTCCTTTTAAAAAAAAAATCTCTTTCACGGTACTATGAGCGATCACGGGGACTTGTACACAGGTTATTTCTAAAAGCAAGGAATCAACTGACATTAGCGTACTCTTCTTTACTTACCTTTTTTTTTCTCTGGCGAAAAACGCGCGATTCAATATTAAAAAAAAAAGACGACGATCCGGAATATAGAAACACACGCACAGTATCCGGCATTCCGCCACCGTCGTTACGTTCATTACGCGCTGCTGACAGCTATCCTCCACTACATTCACGACATTCTCGCGACGGTCGACCACTTTCAGTTCCAGAGCCACATGCAACAAATTCAGATCATCGTGCTGTCCCGGAATATCGTGGAGTGCCACCACCAAGATCGGCTCAACCACCACCACCACTACCGCCTAAGCTCGATATGCGCGTCAGTACAGACTTTTTAAAGTGTGATCGGGAACATCAACTTGCGATCCAGGATCTTCCTGCCATGATTCGTGTGAGAGAGCCCAAGGTAGCAATTTTAATGCGCGTTACTATGTTATTTGTTCTGTGTGTTTCAGTCTAATGTGGTGTATTTGTAGGAACAAGATTATTTTTGGATTCCTAAAGACCTAGTAGAGCAAACGAATGCTATGCGTGTAACGTACCTTTAAAACCACATCATTTTTTGCGTTTTAGGCAAAGGAACAATTCTTGACTGGAAAATATCTTGAAATTATCTCCTATAGAGTCGAGTGAAAGGTGTTTCATACGAAGCTCGTGCTAGAAGCAATCCGTACGAAAGTATCAATCGATCAATCTTTATGAGTCGCGCGGCAACCAAATTGGCAGCCCTGGATGCTACATTTGCATTGACAGCGACCACGGAAACAAACAAGGCAGGTATATGCAGTGTTATGAACCATATACTTTTTCCAAGCCGACGGTATTAATTGAAAACAATGACACTAATGACATGTAGCCTTTTACATTTGCTGATATTTGTGGTGGACCTGGCGGATTCTCGGGTAAGACACGCATTGCAAAGTTATTATGGTAGTCTGATTCGAATTAATCACAAAAATTTGCAGAGTACTTGTTATGGCGAGTCCATAGTTGGGGTGGTACTGCACATGGGTACGGAATTACCATCAAATCGCAAACCCACGAGGAAGTCAACTGGCATACTGAAAAGTTCCGCAAGGATATACCACTTAATTTCACACCAGTTGAAGGAGCCGATGGAACAGGTTGGGATAACAGTTGTCGACGAACTTTTAATTACAGCAATCAACTAATTAAAGAAACAAAAGGCAATTTGTACAAAGAAGCGAATATCCTTGCGTTCGGTGGAACGGTTCGACAACATACTCAAGGACAAGGCGTTGATTTGGCAGTAGCTGATGGAGTAAGTAGTCCTGGTTTTTTTTACTTGTCCCCGATAATATTATCTGCTTTTGAAAGTACACAGTGTTCTAATAGATATCCGGGGGTAATTACTCGCACAGGGATTCGATTTCACGGGTCAGGAACAGCACCAAGAGCATAGTGCACGACGCCTTTTACTATGCGAGATAATTACAATGCTCACATGTCTTAGACAAGGTGGCTCGTTTGTATGTAAACTTTTCGAGGTTTCCGAAGAGTTTACAGCCGATATGCTCTGGTTGTTATACCAGCTGTTTGACATGATTTGCATCACAAAACCACTGACGAGCCGGCCAGCAAATTCGGAACGCTATATTGTGTGTAAAGGATTACGTGTCAGTTTCCCAGAGGATCTTATCACGACTCTCTTATCAGTGAACCGAAGCTTGGAAACCCAACCTGAACGAATCGGATCGTTCGTCCCACGAGCTGTGCTGGAGGATGATGAAGATTTTGTCAACTATGTGAAAATGCGAAATATAAGGTATGTATCTTTTTGTTCTATTCTTTCTTTTTCAAGTAGAAAGCTTGAATTTTTAACGATAATGGTTGGACGGATCATAGATTTGCGAGTAAGCAACTTGAAGCATTAGGAGTGATGGAACAATATATTCGTCAACCGTAAGTATAAACGATGTAATAAACGACACGCGATGATACGTTATTCTACGAGACTCTCTAACGAAGAATAATCCAATTAGTGACAGGCCACCCGTGTACGATCAAGAATGGGTTCGACGTCAATGCTTGAAGGAGTGGCGGTTACCAATGGATCGTCGTGAATCACCCGAGGAACAACAATAAAAAACAATGGCTAATACGAACGGACAAACGCGTGCGTGCAAACAGCAGGCTGTAATATACATACGGAATGCATTTGTAATTGTTTTTCTTTATGAGTGGTTAGAAAAAATGTACATTGAAAAAGACAAGCAAGAGCTTTAAGACTATTTTTGTTGATCTTGAATGGCTTCAGCTGCAGCGGCGGCTTTAGCTTGGTTTTCTTTGTGCGTGTACCATAAAGATCCACCGACCATGGCAAAAACCGTGAAACCCTGTGCGGCAACTTTATAATACAGTGTTCCATGAGTTCATGCCCTGAGAAAACCCCCTTGCGACTATGCTGCTTTGAAAAATTATCACATACCACGAAGACGAAACATGTTATTTGCATAGGCACGGTTGCCTGTCTTTACACCGACCGTTGCTGCTACCAGCGCGAAACATGTCAATGCAACACCTAAACAAAGTTGTTAAAAAGTTCAGCATGGTAAATGACTTTCCACAATTGAAAAAAAAATAGAAGGCACTGAGGAATTTGCTTCAATCTATTTTCTCAATAGTACGCACCTGCCGGAACCAGCGGCTCTTCCTTGGACTTTCTTTTCATGCGATCCCAAGCGGATTCGCCTTCTAAGGCTATCCTCATGCTATCCAATTCCTCTCTTGTATATTCGGGCATGACGGTGTGTGGGGAGGGGAAAACGAGAAAGCTGAGAGTGTATTTGTCCTGCAAAGTTCCGGTAAATCTTTAATTGAAACTTTGGCGGTCTGACTGTGCTCTTTTTCCAGGTACCCGGCAACTTGGACCATATCAATTATTTATCATGGTGTCAGGACACATCAAATGCATGTCTTACTATGCCAACTTGATTCTATTCCTCAGCTTGCCAATAGGCTAGCGAAGCGGTGAAGGTTACTTTGCTGCCCCGGATATCACTTGGCATTTTGCCCATCATGATGGTGGTCGTCTCTTATTAACCCTTCCGTTAATTTCTCAGGCTAATTTTCCAGCGTTTCATGTCTGTTGTGATACAATGATGAATAAAGTTTTGATGGGTAATACATCCAGTTGCTCCTCCGTTTAAACACCTTGGGATGCGCTGAAGAATAGGATTTAAAGAGGAATATATTGTGAATGGCGGTGATCTTGATTAGGTCGCTGAGGAGGTCAAAAGGGACGAGTTGATAAAATGAATGTTGAAGGCAGGCAGGGGATCATAGAAGCGGTTGCAGTAGTTTGAGTTGCCGAGACGAGGCAACCGTAGTCCTTTGATGCGTAGCGAAACAGATAGGCGCCAAAGATTTGTAGTACATAGTAATAAGAAAAATCAAAAACATCTTTATGATATATCTTCAACAAACGATTGACCGCAAGTGTTCTCTATTATTTTGGCTGTCTTAAAAAGTACTTGTATAGAGTATGGGAAGGAGGGATATCACTCAGCATTACTAAGACAGAAATATCATGACATTCAAACGGATACATAGAGGCAGAGAGAAAGGAATAATGGTCAATGACTCATAGATCCGACAATGAGAATTTTCTCTTTTCTATACCACACTATTATATATTGAGAGATGCTCCAAGCAGCCAATTTGTGTGACATAATAGTCGTATTACACGACTCAAGCAAAACACGCGTTTAGATTATAAGCAATTTCAAAATATGCCAAAAGTATATTTAGAAAAAGTATGCAATGCAAAATATGCCGTAATAAAGAGAAGAGGGTGTAGAGAGCATGAAGGATTTGGGAATAAGATGATGTGTCTACTAAAATAATAGTATGGGAATATGACATTCAACCGAGGACAACAAGAAACCCTTCGTGTATAAATCTCTCTTTTTAGTGGTCGACGTCCTTGACGCCTTGCTTGCACACTCTGTGGTTGTTCGAAAGGATGCCTTCCTGGAGGACGCCGGGAAGCTAGTTTGCGTAGAAAAATCAAATGTTGTATTTAGTAAAAATGTAGTAAAAATAACCATGTGCACACTATGAAGCAGCAGCAACCAGAGTGGACATCGACCATTATTGCAAAAAAACCCCATCCCCAGTAAAAAGCGGTGATACTTACAAGGCCGGACAAATCACCTTGCTCGATACAGCCATCAACGTCGACAGTGTCATCGCCACCGTCTCTTCCACGGGGAAGGGCAGCAGCAGAAACGACAAACATGGCGAAAAGAACAGTAGCAGCGGTAGAGAACTTCATTTTTGGCTTGTGGATGAGATGATAGAATAATAATAAGTTGAATCCGATCACATCCCTCTTTTTATAGAAAAAAAAAGGCTCATCGCTGCTATCTGCTACTGCTGATAATGATGTGACGATTAGTGCGCAAAAAGTGCCGCAACTACTGTCAACACAAACAACTTCTTGGTGTACCCGGAAAATGGTATTGGGATTTGATTTGATTTTCATTAAAAAAACGATGTGTCGGAAGAGTTTTCAAAGGCCGGAAAAAGGGGGGAAACTGATCAACGCTGGACCATATTTGAACGCTCTGCTTCTTCCATTTCTCCATGGTATATCCGTGCAGAAAAAACGGACGTGAATTCCTTCAATTGGGGTGAGGACGTGATGTATCGTGTTGGAAGTTTAATTTACGCATCTGCAAAGGGAGATTGAGTTGATAATACATTGCTTAATATCATTTCTTTTTTTCTCCAACTGCATGATGCCATTTTATCAGACATATTAAATTAGGCTATTTGTTGCTCCAAAAGAAGTACCCGCATGCACCTCTTTGAATTCCGCTATACGATTGATTGGAAAAAACCCCATTTTTCTTTTCATTGCGGCAAGAAGTCTATCTCTAGACTATCAACATAATAGAAGGGAGTGGTCGGTTCTAAAACATCACTCCCACAATCTTTGTTATCCACAATTTATCGGGCATAGACAATGGTTTAAAAAAGGGAGAATTAGGTGTGATACGCGTTGATAATTTGAGATTGTAACTTATGCTTATTTTGGAGCCTTCAAAAGCATTCGAAAGCTTTCCAGAGCATTTTAATTGATGGATATAATGGTTTTCCTTTTACATGAATGCATCAAGCGATATGTCTCTTGCTGAATGCACAACAAGACTTATATGACTGATTTGGGACAATCCTTGCAGGTGTTAAGCAGATCGACGCACTGGCGGATCTTCTTGCAATAGAGATAGTGATGGTTAGGTTCCATAGGTAGATAAATACGTTGAAACCGCTATCCTGTTATAGAACAAGACAAGCCCTTGTTGCCCTCGTCATTGAAAAATGTTGCATCTCGTCTGGATAGTGTGATTGTAATAATGCGTCGACCCAATGCTGCTCTATTGAGCTTGTATGTCTACCGAAACACCCATAACGTGAGCATCTACTGGATCCTCCAACGTATCGGCAGCATTCGCGTATTCTTTTGGTAGCGGCATCTTTGACGACACATTGAGCATGCTCTGGCAAATCCAACGGCAGACCGCGAATAATTGTATCCCACGTACGGAGACCTTTCAGGAATTTGGAAGGTTGTTTTCGGTGTCTGAAAGATGATAAACGGCGGAAAAAGGGCAATTTGTATCTTTTGGATGCATATGTTGCATGCCTGCAGTTCTTCTTGGCGATCCGGTCGTGGAATAGTGCTTGTATAACCACCCACTTCTCCCTATTACCGCTTTTGCTAGTACAATTTGGTAGGGTGGATTTACGAAACGCGTAGAGTTTGAAAGAAAATCGAGAAAAAGTGTTTGACAAGCAGTAGGTGTATCAAGATTTGCATGGTTGAAGGCATGAAGTGTACAATAAATTTTCACTGTGGCCATACTTTGTGACGCACAGTAGCTACATTTTGGAAGAAAACGCTGAGAAGAGAAGTTCTATGGCTCCAATTAAATATAGTTCCGGCAAGTACTTATGGCTTTATTGTCTTCTTTGTGTACATCTACTTATAATGAATTCATGATACATAATATGTAATTATTATGTACATTAGCGGGAGGTCACAAATGTAAGTTTTTTTCACATGATAGTAAGCAAATTTAATGCTCATATAGACAATTTCACTTTTCTGAAACAACAACAACAATGTATTGTGGTGTGTAGCATTTACAGCGATCCAATTGTGTCATTTTCATTTGGACAATCTACAGTATTATGATGGTCGAGACTTCGGCAGTGTTGACAATAAAAGTAATACTTGGATGGCCATCGGGACAATGTGTAAAATGTGTTGTATATGAACATGTTGTGTTTGGCACCGCAGTTCCAAATGCTCATCAAATGGGTCGGGATGTTTACAATGAAGCAGGCATTGGAATTATCGTGATGCAAGGGCAACGTATCGTTTCTTTGCTGTAGACTAGAGGAATCGACGAGGACATCGACTAGATACTTACCAGCCTCACCATTGGTGATTGAAAAGCAACTGGCTATCCTTTCGATGACAGCGCTGCTGACTACATTGCGAACCATGGAAGGAGAATCAAGCGGGAGAGTAGACGATAGGGCATAAACTATGTATTGTGGATCCTTTGGTGCTGTCTGATAAACCCGTAATCCTGGGAGAGCCAAGAAGCTATTGCCGTCTTCTTTTTCGTCGTGGCTTCTAGTAAGTGGTTGTTTTTGCATGTGTTTAAAGCCCAATGCTGCATTCTTGAGGATGTTGCTGTATTCAATTCTGTTGGAAAAGAGAGCCTCGATGATCACTGGTGGTATCGATGTGTTGCTAACCACTCCATTCATTATACGAAATTCCTCCAGACTTGACTGCGAAAAGTGTTCTTCAAACAGTGTACACGCTGTGTCGGGATCCATGCCAGGGTAGTCGAACGCAAAGAGAAGTATATCTGAGGATCGAGGATGATGGGAAAAGCGGAATCTTTCCACGTGTCCAATCTTTTCAACGCCTGGGTAGGTCATTGTCAAGCACGCAAAGAAAAGAAGAGTGAGCGATCTATTTTATTGAGGATAATAGATCTGTTAAATAGTTCTTTGAGTTCCCCATATTGAGAAATCTGTCGTCAGTAATAGCAACAACTCAAGACGAAAGAGGTTATGTGAGCTGCTTAGATAAAGACCTTGCATAATGTCGTTCTCGGAAAGAATGAATAATACAATACTTTGATGAGTTTGGTAATTCGTAACGTTTGTTGTGGATTATTATATCGTAATAATCAACGTCTGTTACATTCACCCTTAACATTAAGTACTGTAATTTATACCCTCCCATCAAACAGTACGAAAATTCTGTGTATCAGTTGTATTAATGAATCGATGGAAAAATCAACAAATGCTGCCTTAACCAATGCAGGCGTCAGGCTTTGGAGAATACGGTTATTGTTGACAGCAATGATCTAGACAACAGTTAACTTTTATTGTCGTGTATAAATCATTACATAACAGAGCCGAGCAGTAGATTCGAGATGGTCATACACGCCGCTATATATTTAGAAATTCATGAGTAGCTCTATCTTGTCTTGCACTCTAGGATACCGCTGCTTCTTGTTGAGCATTGAGGATCATGCCACGCTTCCATTTTGTCGGCAGAAAGAACTTTAATATAATCAAGGGGTGCTGGGGGCACCCGACTGTTATTGTTTCATCATCCGGTATGCTTAGTGGTATTTACCTCTACTTACCAGGAGCCACATTGACTGCGCGACATATTATGATAGCACTCTATGAACACCAGCGAGACATACGATACAGAAATACATGTATACATGTAGCACGGAATTCAAAGTAGTAGTGTGTATGTGACATCAAAGATTTTTTATTTTGAAAAGTTATGCATTTTCATGAGCGTCAACTGTTGCCAGATCTGCACAATCTTCGGAATCGTGGAAATCAAGACTTGAGCAGTTCTGACAGTAGAAATAATACTTGTGTGGCTGTAATAAGTACCGCTTGTTGTAGATAGAGATATCTCGCATCACAATGTAAATCCGGTCGCTGTCCCAATTCGGTGGGAATTTGACAATAAAGCATATCCTACCATCGTAGTAATGCGAGGATTTTCCGTTCGCTTGCCGCGTCGAATCAACGAGTACATCGATTACATATCCGCTGGCTACACCACTAAGGCATGGGAAACAATCAACTATCTTACGAATCAAAGCTGCTCGAACAATGTCTTGTGCCCTCGAAGGAGAGTATAGATACGAATAGCTATATATTAGATTTGAAGCTAAATACACATCAATGTCAACAGTGCATGTGTTGTGAATTGGTTTACTATTTTTAGTGCGCGTTGTCACTCAGAAGCAACAAAATTTTGAGATTAAGCATTGGAAAAGAGAAAAGTTCTACTTTTCTTTTAGAACATAGTGTCTATTATTGTTTGCGGCTAACCATCCTCTTCTATAACCAGTGTTGGAAAGGTGAAGGGGGGGGACTCATCGAGAAAAGGAATGGTTATATGTGTGCCATTTAAGCTGTGGATACAAGTGTGATAGAATCATCTTCAACCTGGCAATAACTACGTGGTGACCAAGAACTATAGATTTACTTGTCTCAACGGATCCCCAACATCGTAAACTACCTTGTGTGATCTTTCCAGATGATCTTATGTTGCCATTTATTTGATCATGTAGTGTAATATATGAAGGACTTGTCATTATAGCTACAGATTGATCTACTGTATATACCCCGAAAAGTCTAGCCACAGATGCTGTACAACAAAAAAAAAAAAAGAAACCAGATTTACATATTTGGAAAGCCGTCAACAAGATGCGCTAATTGGGAATAGAGTATATACTCCAATACATGTGCTTATTATAAAGTTTGTGAAACCCCATTCCAAGAAATAAAGCACATTTTTATGATATAGAAGAAATACGTCATTTAATTATTTTTATTACACATGTAGCCTTCATGTAAATCTGAGGAGAGGAAAGAGAGAGAGAGAGAGAGGAAAAAAAAGTATTCACAAGGAGAGTTCTATGATGAAAGATATGAAGAATAAGAGCGTCTGCTAGACAAACAAAGAAGAATGGATGTGTGTGTATAATATGTGAGGTGGTAGTACAAACGGGGTAAGCGAAAAAAAAATGCGGGAGTATGTATAGTGTGCTGTGCTGTGCTGTGCTTGTTACATATGGTCGGCGTGTGGGTGAGTAAATGAGTGATTGAGTGAGTGAGTGATATGGAGGTGAATGAATAGCAAAATGGGAATGGGTTAGCCCAAGCTCCATTGAGTGGCCAGCCAGTCGTACGTCGTCAGTGCATCATCGCTTCCACAGAACGGCGCCTTATCTTTGCGGTCAGCCTAAGAGGGGGAGGGGAGGGTGCACACAAAAAAATATATTAGTAAACGCACAGCACAAGAACACGAGTACAATCTCAACTTACTCTTGGCAACGAGATCGTCGAGTCATCTGATTTAGAGTGGAAAGCGGCGAGTTTGCCGTAACCCTGGGGACTGATGATCCGATAGTCGGCATAACCAAGCAACCAGTTCTCGATAATGGCACTGTTTGTTCCGGGCGTCATCCGTTCGATCGTCACGTCGACCGGGTTCTCAACGTGAATGTACTTTTCAACCTGATCCGGCTCAATGTGGTCGACCTGCAAGCCAGTGACGATCGTCGACGTCGTCTTGTGGTTGGCACCCAGGTATTTTTTGGCCTTTTGAGGATCTTCGTTCAGTGACTTGAACTCGTCGCGCAGCTTGAGCGAATCGGTGATCATAAAGTATACCACGTGCTTGTGGTGAGGCTTGCGCTTGGCATCGGCCAATTGGTTTGCACACGTCAGAAAGTAATCCCACTTGTCAAGGTCGTTCTTGTCAAATTGAGGATTGGCCAAGGCGTTGTCATCTGTACGGATCTAAAACCCCCCAATGCAATAGCAGTTAGTATTCTCTCTCTCTCTCTCTCTCTTTGCGCGTCAACAACAGCATCCGTTTACACTCCATAATCAATCAAAGGTGTATCTTACCTGCATGCCAATGCTGAGCACGCTCTTCATGTCAAACAGATGGCGGTAGGCGTTGATGAAGCGACGCGAGCCAACGGTGGGGCGGAACAGGTAGTCGGTCAGACATCCGAATGTATTTTGTTTAGTCAGGCCCATCTTGGCCAAGACTTTTGGATATACGGCAGACTGCTTAAAGGTGCGGATAATGTACCCACGGTTGGAGCGGATTTCCACAAACTAAGCCATGGCGTCGCAAAAAAAAAAGGTAACATGAGCCCTAAACATGGCAAAAGAAAATAACCAAAGGAAACCCCCCCCCACCCCCACCCCTCACGTGCAGCGATATCTTACCGTTCCATTCCACAAGTCATCAAAGTTCTGCAAAGGACCATCAGGAAAGAGCGTGTTGCCAAGCACCGGGTATTTTTGGTTTAGCGTGTCCACCTGCTGATACGTGAATCCTAGCTCCTTGTTATCGAACAATCCCTTCATCTCTTCCGGCTTGTAGCTCCAATCAATGTGAGGCTTCTCGAACAAAGTCTCCAGCGGAATCGGGTTGGCGTCGGCCCAGTGAGCCAGATAAGCACGGTCGGTTAGCAAGCCATAAAAGAAGGTCGAGATCATGCCTAAATGCGAACCATGGGAGGGTTGTGTAAGTAAGTTATTTTGGGAAGCTTTAAAACACATTTTCTAGAAAATATATGATATATACCGCTCATCCGGTCTGCCGTTCCGCCGCAACCGCGGTTGCCATTGACAGGCACTTCCTTGCAAAGATACGAAACAAACAACGGCTCTTCTTCAAGATCACCGCCTTGACCGTTTCGGATCAGCTCCATCTGCTGTAAACGGCGTTGGTGCAGAGCAGTGTATTCTTCTTGCCAGGTACCGCATTCGCCCTTTTCATTGTATGGCGTTGCGGGGTTGAAGCCATATTCTGGTTCGAATACGTTTCTGCAATACGAATCGATATCCTCGGCAGATGCCTGTTGGATAGCATTGAGCAAGCTGGTATCGGGACCCGGTGGCGTATACGTTCCATCTTCAGACGGGTTGATATAAAGTTCATCGGGAAGAATGCAAACGTCAGGTGCGGTGTTATTGTCATCTTCTGTAGTAGTAGTAGCATCATCACCGATACTGTCAGGTTTAGTAACGTCCGATTCGTTATCGTCTTCGAAAGCCGTCGACGGTGGAGGAGCTGCTCCTACTGCTCCTTGTGGAGTGTCGGGTTCACCGTTCGTTAGCGTGCCTGATTCTGATTCTGATGATGCGACGGCATTGTCTTCGACTGTGTTGTCGCTCGTAGGTGCCTGATTCCAAGTTGATTCTAATGAAAAGGATGATGAGCAATGACTGACGACTCGACCTCCCGGAGGGGGAGGGAGCAAAATTACAATGATAAGCGAGAAAAAAAAACCCTACGGGGATACACGAGCGAACCAATGGCCATCAAGATTACGGCAATTAGACTGACGATCGTGAGTGCTTTGGCAAGCTTATATTTGAACAGCAAGCCATCGCCGTTCGTGCCGATACGCTTGTAAGACGGCCCGGATACCATCTGTGAGAAATTTAGACGAGAAGAAGAACAAGAAGAAAGAGCCTATCTTTTCTTGGATAGCAGGGAAAAATGGCAGATAAAGACACTCGAGGAGGCTACACACAGAGAAAGAGAGAGAGAGAGAGAAGAGAGAAGAGAGAAGCAGGAGCAGGAGAGAGAGAGAGTCGATCTTTGAGACTTTTTATTTTTTTTTCTTCAACAGCGACCCAAATGGGGTATTGTTCCAACTTTTCCCCCCCTCGTGCTTCTCGCCCGCAACTGGGAAGCCCTTGGCGGCAGTTGAACCAGGGCATCGAGAAAAAGAAGACGAGGAAGAGTGTGTGTGTGTGTGTGTGTGTGTGCAAGCCCAACGGCTTTGCTCCGATATTTAAGCTTTTGCTTTCCCGGCGAGAAAAAGTGGAGCAATAGTGGTTGTTGCATTCTCCTGTTTGACAGCTCCCCTTGGCAAATATCACAGCACGGCTTTGTGTCGCCGTGGTTGTTGTTGTTGTTGTTCAACACAAAGAAATAGCGTATGATGGTTCTAACGGGGTGGCAAAAAAAAAAAAGACCTCCAGCCCTTTTAAACATGCGTCACGAGAAACTCTCTTGGAAAAAAAATTCCAAAGGGGAGGGGGGGCAACAAAGCGCTTATTCACACCACCAGCCACACTTTAAACTTCCCTTCTTCTCTTCAACCTATTTTTCTTTCTTACTGTTGAGAACCATGTCTTACGGCACTCGTAACAACAACAACTCTAACAGTGACGACGACGACGACGACGCTATGGACTCTGTGGAAATGGCGAGTCCGGCATGCTACATGGGCATAGTCGATTGGGACTATGGCTTCGACAACTTTTTCAGCAAGGACATTTCCGAACGAAGACGCTCATGTCAGACTTCAAAGCAGCAGAAACAATGCTCATTGCAAGCAACTGCAGAAACTGCAGACTCTGAGAAAGAGGACAACCCGATAACGTCGTCGTCGTCTCAAACCACACCGGCAGCTTCGTCCTGCACCCACAACAGCAGCAACAATGCTCCCAAGAATGATCATACTAGTGCTGAAAGCAGCAGCAGTAGTAGTGGCAGTCCTTTTGGGCCAGTGCAACAGCAGGAAACAACGGCAGCAGCAGCAGCAGCAGCAGTTGTCGAAACAACAGCACAAGAGGATAGTGGCGATAATGCCGGGACCACGGAAGGTTTCTCCGATTTTTGCGGAGGAGAACAAGTGGAGGACGGAGACGTTGAATGGAGTAACGAGGATGACTTTGGAGACTTTGCAGAGTTTGATGAGTGGGAGGAGGACAAGCAGGTAAAGATTTCTGCAGAAATGCGCGTGGAGGGTGTGTGTGTGTGTGTGTGAATGTTTGTTTATATATGAATCCAACATTACTAGGACACGCACCACCAGCAGCAGCATGACGAGTTGCTCAACGCATGGAGCACGGTGCTGACACAGATTTGTTTGGATGACAAAAGAACGGACACTGGCGAGAGAGACGAATGGGTCTCGTCACATGGCCCAAAAAGCATCCGATATTATGTCTTGGAAGAAGCTCATGAGTAAATATGTCCCTTCTCTCTTTCCACTCCACTACTCTTTTTTTTTTTTGACACACACACACACACACACACTATACTCTTTTCCCTCCAGGTCAGTGCACAGCAAAATAACTTGGACCTCAGTGACATATACCATGGATCAAGACACAGGCGTCCCACGCGTCAGATGGCCACACTCGAAAATCGAAAACATGTACTTGGAAGCGCTTCATTGCGAGCGTCTTGAGGTAAAGGCACTGGTAACTGGGTCGCTTGAACGGGCAAACAAACGCGGGGCTGAATATCTCTACACTATTTTGTTTTGGATTTGGGCTTAGCCTTCCACTGCGCCACTTGTACCCTCTATGCTGTCAGTCGGAGACAAGCATGACACTTTGAGCGACGACGACGACGACGATGATGACGATGCTAGTGATATCCAGCCTGCTCCATCGCATCGATTATCTTCGCAGGAGAAGCCACAAGCACCATCACCCAAGGTAAACACATCTGTCATTTGGATGAATGGTAAACGAAAAGAAAAAGGTAGGAGGGGAGGGGACTCACTCGTTTCATCTTTCGACAGCCACCCACAACACCCAGTTCCTCGGTCAAAAGCCCTATTTTTGGATTTTCCTTTTCAAAGTTTTTGCCACGCTTATCCACCACCTCGCTCCCTCGTTCCGACTCCTCTGCTCCAACATCAGCCACGTCCACCCAGCGCTATTCTCTCGAAAGCATACCCAGAACAAGCGATGGCACCGGCACCACGTCCCCGGGAAAAGATCACTCTCATCGATCTCGTACATCATCGCCAATACCACCTCCCGTCATAGCCGCATCACCACCACCACCTATCCTACCCCAAAGCAACTCTGCTGAAAAGCTCGAGTATCTGCCACAACAACAAATACACCTCCAGAATCAATACCTTGGTGATACCCAAAAAGCAATACCCGAAAAACGATACAGCTTGCCTATTTCCAGTAGTAGTAGTAGTAGTAGTAGTAGTACCAATGGCTCACCATGGAACACCCATACCAGCACATTGACTGCTAGCATGACAGCTGAACAGCAGCAGCAGCAGCAGCAGCGTCGTCGACCCATGACCATGATCAACACATCACTTGCAAACAAATCCTTCAGCATCCTTGATCTCGACGACGACATAGTATCGACTCCACCAGCATCTTCTAGGACATTCTCATTTACCCCGTTGACACCAACACCGACGCGTGCAACCAGTATCCCCACGCTTATACCAAAGAAAGCAAGCGAGCCAATCCAACAAAAAGATCTACATACTAGCAAGGGTGGTGGTTGCTCGTCACCTGCAGCTTGTACTACTACTACTACTACTAGTAGCACCTCCTCCTCCTTCTACTACCAGGACAAAGACGACCAGGAATTTGGGGAATTCGCTGGGAGCACCAACGACGAGTTTGGTGATTTTGAACAAGCAGACCAAGAAGAAGAAGAAGAAGAAGAAGAATGGGGAGATTGGAATGGTGTTGGTAGTACCACTGCAATAAGCAGCCATTAAATAAACGTGCCACATTTATAATTTGAAATGTCGAAATGGGAGAATGCAAACCAAACATGAAAGAATGTCTTTTTTCAATAAACAAACTTTTTTTTTCTTAGCCAAGTAAACCCTTCATACGGTGAGCTTAAAGAGAATGTACGCTATCGGCCCTTTGTAAAGCGTCGCTTTTTCCAGAAGGTAAGGGAAATATGGGATCGTGTTTGTGGCCAGAAAACACACATTTTTTATCCAGCTTCGCGCGGAGACAGCTGAGCACCAGGACTGGTGTCACGTCTTGAATCGCTGAAAAGCGGGTGAGAGGATGTAGGTGGGTGCACGTGATCGGGAAAAGGGGGGGATAGGGGTGCTATTTGCAGACATAGCCTTTGTCATCCCTAACACAGCAATGTTGAATCCGCCTACTGCATCGCGATTGAACGTACTTTGGCTGCGACTGGGACACGTAAGATTCGTGCACTTGAGAGCGCCGTTGGCCGGTCGCAGCTTTCCATCCTCGCCACGGTATTTTTGCAGTGTTGTTGGCTCGTGGCAGTATGGGCAAGTCTTGCTGGACCGGTACTCGTCAGTGATGCACAGATGGCTGTTTTCCGGTGCGTCCAGTTCTTGCTTTAATTTTTTGCTTGCACCTTGTTGGTGCTTCTTGAACCCTTTGTTGCCGGCCCGCCACGAACCAAAGAAATGCAATGTGGGTTTGATCCCAGGTAGGCGCCAAGCCGAAGCTAATTTGCTGTGGTATATTTTATGACGCAGCTCACGCCAGTCGTGACAGTTCTAGTACCAAGCACCCGCACTGTATGGCGATTGACAAACGTAACGCGGTACGCAAGAGTCAATTTCTTGGATTCCATGGCTTGTTGGATCTTGGGAAGCTTGAAAAACGCACCGAAAACATCGCGCTTGCGCCTCCAGTCGACTGCCTCCCTTTTGCTTGTAATCTCCCCTTTCGGTGTCTCAGCTGGGATCTTGAAATCCCCCGAGAAAAGGGTGTACAAAACGTCGGTTGATATATGCAGGGATTGGTCTTTTTCATCGACAGAAGGGAAGGTGGCCCATTGGTTCTGTTGAGGACCGATCAAAGCTACAGCTGTGTTGGTGATGTATGCAAGCGGCGCACATTGATGGATCGTCAGGCTGTCCTTGTCATCGGTATCGTCGTCGTCATCTTCATCACTTGCCTCTGGCATGTAATACGGTCTAAGAGCATTGCAAATATGAGCAGCAGCTTTACATTCACTATGCGCAAGGTTTGTCCCTTGAAAAGCAGCATCTTTGATGGTCTGTGCGCTGACGTCTTCCGTGGCCTTGTCCAGTAATCTCTTGATTATTGATACCAACGCTCGGATCTTTCGAGTACTCGTTTCAGCGTCTTCCGATGTTGCTGCTTCGTCGTCTTCTTGCTGCTCATCTGCAGTGCAGACTTTCAAAGGGTTCGATTGCTGGACAGCAGAACGAAGCGACCGTGTCACTTTTTGCGTTTTTTTAATGGAGTCTCTTTCTTTGTTGGCACCAGTAGATGAGCTTGGGAAACTGTCGACCTTTTACGAAAAGAAAGCACGTCAGACACTATTCAAGTATCGTAACAGACGTAGTAGATCAATAAGTGTAGATCATTACCTTCGCCTTCCACTCCTGCGTTTTCAGCAATAGCTTATCGGTGACTTCTTTGTTCCTCTCTCGTACGATGGCCCACGTGAGTTCCTTGATGTAGTAATGCATAGTGTCAATGGCATGTTTTTTGGAGACAGGTGCTTTGGTTTCCGCTTGTGCGTTGTTCTGCTCTTTGGCAGCTTTCTTCAGTTCAAAATATTGCGAACGCTTTTCAAGGAACGCAGACAGACGTTTTGGGGCCAAAATTGCACGTAATAGCAAGGTAGACACAACGCGAAGGTCCCGATCATGTCTTTTGCGTGTCCATAGATTGTGAGCACTGGTAACAAATTCCCGCAACCCATTGTTCATCGCACCGTTGAAGAGAAAGTCGTCCTGCTTTGTGACATGTCCAGACTCGGCGATAGCAGCTCGGATGTCTTTGAACACGGGTGCTTCTTTGTTTTCGCGTACACTCGACCCAACGCAACCTGTCAATGATATACACACAGTCATATAATTTTAGCAAAGCATTCCAGCGACAAAAACTGCACTATTCTTAATCACACGCAACCTCGTAAACTTACCAGACAAAAGGTTTGAGAAATGTTCAAAGGTATAGATACGTGCAGCTTGTAAAGCATCTATATCTGCTGGTATATATGTGACGTTGACGGCGGTTGGACTATCTTGGGGACTGTGCTTCTTGAAGTCGAATCTCGGTACCAGTGTTTTAAAGTCAAATGCTACTTGCTGCGTTGGGATACCACAATGACGAGCGGCTTCCCCAGAGGCGATCAGACTGGTCAGGAGTTCGGTAGCACTTGACAGCTGATGAAGGCAGCGACCAACTCGATCTTGTTCGCTCAGAATAGTTTGTAGGAATAGTTCGTAATCTATTTCGTCACGAAGGATCGCCCGCAAGCTGAAGGTGATGGTCTCGTGGAGCTTTGTTGTTTTATTGTCACTGTCTCCTTCAATGGCCTCCTCCTCCTCCTCCTCGTCATTGTCATCCCCATCTTTGCCTTCTTCGTATCCCTTGTTGCCGCTGCCGCTGCCGCTGCCACTGCCTCTGTCACCGCTACTGCTTTTTGCATCATATCCGAGAATATCGTCCCAACTGCTGATTTGTAGATATTGTCGGACTTCTTCAAACAGTTGATTGCCTTCCTCTTTGTATGTATTGATACGATCGAAACTCTTGTACGAATTCAATCGGTTAGCGAACCAGCTAACAGCTACTTGTAGCCGTGGGTGATTTCGTAAAATTGACTTTTGTATTATATCCAAGATGCCTTTGGGCAATGTTTTTCGATTGTTGTGCTGTCGTTGGAGCTTATCAAGGTCTTTCAATGCGGCTGCAGCAGTAGCTGATTTGTCTAGGGCTTTTTCGGTTTCTTTGCGGAGGTGATATCTGA